ACTGCCAACTGCTACGGAGAGCCGCCAACTGCGACCCAAATACGCCACCAATTGGATGTGGCATGCAAACTGCGATGAGAACCAGTTTCGACTATGCGCCCATGCCTCTGTCTCTGCACTCCTCAGCCGATCAGTGCATTTGTCTGGGTCTACAAGATCTCTCCATCGACATTACAGTCCAACTTCAATAGTTAGAACTTCAGAAAGTTTTATTTTCTTTAACTTAAATGGGAACTTTCATATACATTTCATATTAATACTAGTTTTGGATTTATCAAAACCCCCAATTTCTTGTGCCTTCGAAAACAAAATACTTAAAATTCTAGAAAGATCCCGCCCCATTCAGCTCAAAAACCATTGGAGAATCAATGCCCGTCGAGTTGAAAAGTTATAAAAGCTTTTCGTTCAACGGGTTGAATAATGGGCACTTGTGTATGATATGAATGAAGTGGCATAAGTTTGTCGAAACGGCTGTGTCGCCATAATAATAATATTACTTAACTTATTTTCCGTAGACTTATTTAACAAGGAACAATGTTATAGCCTCGAAAATGAGATACACCAGCCACTTAATTCACACTACTTTTGAATTTTAAACTGCACATTTACTTCTGTTAACTCAAAAACTTGAACTTGCCAAGAAATATAGTAGAAATGTTGCTTCCACCACAAATGAGTTTTGGGGTAAGAAAAGTTGACATCGATAATGAAACAAACACGTTCCTGTTCTTCGTTGAAAACCTGTTCCTGTTCCTGTTCTTCAAGAGAAACCTTAAAACATTTTTAATAATGATAAATATTTCGATTCCTAGATCAACTCTTTTAGAGTTTCATCTACCAAAAAGATCGAATTGCATGGAAGAATTGCAATTTGCTCTGCTCTACCTGTTTATATTCTTAGAAAACTTGTTTGCCGGGGAAAATTTGTTGGGGGAAGTGGTTCTTTTGTAATTCCTCCATCGGTTTCAATGGCACGACTGCCCCATCACGACGCCCACTTGCACTTTTTGCACTTCTCTGGCGATGATGCCCAAAGAGGCTTGTTGTCAAGCAATTTAGCTCACTTCGCAGAAGGTTAGAGGCAACTGACTCTTTGGCCACCTCTTTGCCTTATCGCCAGCCGCAGGTTTCGTTTTTTTTTTCTTTTTTTTGTGTTTTTTTTTTTGTATTTTATTTTATTTTATTTCTGCGGGTCTGAGGTTGAGGTTGCACTCACAAGTCGCGTCAATGCACAATTTGCATGCATGTCACGTTCCCTGCAACGATGACGGCTTCGTCACCTGGCCCAACGCACAGTCGACAAGAGCAGCAAGAATTTGTACATTTCAGGCAGGAATAGTACAAAAAGCGAACCGTATTAATATTTGTGGTTTTAGCTGGGTCGATGTTTGGATACCCTTTTGCTGTGAACTTGAACTTTTAGTTTACTTTTAGTTTCAAACGGAAAAGATAGATTTTGGAACTCTTCATTGTTGATCAGACGCTGCAGTTTTCCATTGACAAATATTAATAAATAACAAAAGGATTTATCTTATGATATATATCTTAAATATAGTGAAGGGCTTGGCTCATTCTTTGTATCTATTTTATTTGATCAATTTATGACACAACTTTGACTGATTTATTAACCTTACCCCGTCTTTTTAACAATCTACATTTTTGTTCTACTAACTATTCCAATTTTGAATTCTACAAGTCACATTCTAATTCGTTATTGCCTCGTTTTTAGTACCTCACTCTATTTCTATCAATCGTGAGCAAAATATTTAAGCCGCTGAAAACCGAAATTGAAAACGAAAATGTGGGAAGTCAATTAAAAATCTTTGGCCATGTTTTTGTCTGTGTGGCTAAGTTAATTGAATTCACGACTGGCGCCATGATTTACGATTTATAAGATGGCCATAATCGAAAATAATATTGGAAAATGATTTTTGATATTTTTAAGGCACTTTCCGAATCGGATTTTTGTTATTTTAGATTTTTAGTTAGGGAAAAGAAGAATCTTTCATAATGTCTAAGAACTTTTAACTTTTTCAACTATTAAAGTTATAAAATAGATTTTTAACTAGTTTTGTTCTTTAACCACCTTTTCGCTCAGTGAGCTTTTGCTGGTGTTGCATGTAATTCTGTGCAGTTGCTGTGTGTCTGCGGCTGTGAACAACGCGGCTTTGTATAAATTGGCAGTGCGTAGTGAAGCAACAATGATAGCTTCCACATCTGCGAGACTGTGGTCACAGTTCATTGAACCGTTAGAACACACTTTGCCTTGCCGCAAAGATGCCGAAGAAGATGCAGCCGATGGATGATATGGACGGAGACCATGCCTTTATGCCTGTGGATGCTGCACAGGCAAAATATTGCAAGCCCTTTTGGGATTGAATGACATTTTCTGATTTTATTTATCTACCGATATTTCCACACGAAGGGGTAACTTCACTTAAAATCGATTGAGTATCTTTTGATGAGAGTTTTGTCTTGAAAGTACTGAAAAAGTACAGACTAAATCTAGCTGCTGAGCCAGGCTATTGAGCATCTATCAATAATTTTAAGATGTGTTTTAAATGGCTGACTTATGCGAAATGGGGACATAAATTCTAGTATATATATATATTGTCTTCTAAACTTAAAATCTTTACTGCCACGCCATGAAGTTTAAAAGCGTAATTACATTGTCAATAGATTTTAATTAAAGTGGCAACAACTTTGTTAAATCTCTGACTGTGTTAGACGAAGTTAACTTTGTGTGACTAGCAAATTTGCTTCCACATTTTTGTTAAAGCTTCGCCCCCATAACCCCTTTCTATGTCAAAGTCAGCTTCCCTTTGTCGTTTATTTATTATTATTATTTGCTTAGGCTGTTATTGAGCTTATTTTTCTCTGTGTGCCCATGCTGATGGTTCTGGAGGTGCTTGGTTGGTGGCTCAGACAGGCACTTTAGAGCGTGTCAACCAGTGGCACTACCGAGCCAGAAAAGCGATGCTTTTTCAGTGGTTTCAAGAGAGGTTGTGGTGGCTAAAATGATGATAATAATGATGATGAAGATGATCTGCCAGCGTTGCGAATTATGAATGCTGTTTGAGGTGCCCAACTACAATGTAAAGATGAAGCTTGACTTTTCTAGAATTTATGGATAAAATTCCAGGAAACCTTAAGAAAATATCCTTCTTAAGTTCGTTAACTAAACTGTTTTTTTGTTTTGCCAAAATCTGACACTAATTGGACTTTGTCTTCCAAGGATTCTTTCATGTATTGTTGCACTTGAAACGCGATAATCCGTGGATTTGAATAGGTCATCAGACGCACATGTTGTATGCCCTCAACTAACCACTTGACCCACATCCTTGAACTCTAAAGTAAAACGCGCTTTCGGCGACCTTTTTGTGTGCAAACAATAAATAAAATATTTATGAAAATTGTGCAGAGCAAAAGCAACAACAACAGCAGCCCAGAAAAAAAATGCATATTAAGAGAGGCACACACACCCATTGTTTTAGCGACATCGAAGGCCAAGAAGGCCAATGCACCAAGTGTTATTACCAATATAGATGTACATATACAGTGTGTGTTTGTGGAAACACATCAAAGCACAATTCTGGAGAAGCTGACTGTAGGAATCTTCCCCAGGGAGATGATCATCTTCGAAGCCCATGAAGACCATTTAAAAATAGCAAAAATCAAACGAATCCCATGATTTTTCACGGAGGCTTGTCGCATGTCGCGTCTCACTGCCTCAACGATTTTCTTTTGGAGGCCGAGAACAAAAATACAAACACAAACAAAAATGAAAATAAAAATGAAAAAAAAATGGAAAAGGAAAAGGAAAATGGAAAAATCTGCGCGGGGAGAACAGAAAAACATGTGTCAGCTGCACCGCACCAAAGTATTTTATAAACTAATTCCAATGATGATTAAGTAGTTGTATACTTTTTGAAAAGTTTCTCTAAAAGGGTTGCACTAAGTAATCGCCTTAATGATGGAAACATGAAAAACTTTTAAGTAACTTTAAATACCTAAGGGAAAGGCTATGATTAGCACAGCCATTAATCGTGCTTAATTGGTTTAGTTATCAAATCTGCTCATTAACTCGTCGTATTCGAAGCTAAATGATTCTAATTGATAGATATCATAACTTTTATTGCCAATAAATTAATATTGTACATTTTTATGACATTTTTTATGGAACAGTTATAAATTATATTAGTTTATTAGAGCAATATATTAGCATTAGCCAACTCGAGATTTATAATGAATATTAGAGAGACTATTGTAGTGAATTTTTAGCTTGTGAATAAAGTTAGGGGAAATATTCTGCTGATTTTTAAAACTAATATTATTTCCAATCTGATTCATTGTTTCTTTATTCGTCTCATTTGGGTTTATTATTCTTTGATTTTGTCTTTGATTTTTATTCGGTTGTTCGTCGTTTAGTTGGTTGTATCTGAAATATCTAATTTTGTTTGTTTCTTTTTAAATATTTATTTATATTCAATGATATATTTTCCAAATATCATTGATTTCCTATTGATTTTCGTATGTGTCTGTGATTTATTTATAAGTCTTAATACTTATTATTTGGCTTTAATTTGTTGTTCGTCGTTCAGAAAGGAAAATGTATCTTATAATTATTATTCTATTCGTCTTTCAGTTCTTTCTTATCTATATTTTTAGAAATGTCTTTAACTTTACACTATCAATATTCTTTTTTTCCTATTTACAAATTATTATCTCAACAATTTATTAAGTAAGATCAGGAATATTTCTAAGATTAGATGTCATAAGAATAAGATATCTCTTTTTCAATTCCTTACATATTAAAGAGTCATATTTTAGTTTCCAATATGAAATCTACTCTAATTAACTAATTTTGTATCTTGTTTGGGCTGCTTAGCCTTCAATTAGGTTTGTATCTTAGAAATGTTTCTTGAAAGTACTTAACTAAGTTCCCCCCTCCTCTGTATTTTAAGTTGAGAACAACCCGCAATTGAGAAAAAAAAACTTACCCAAAAAGCAACAACGATTGTGTTGCAAGTTGACTTCTTCCTCCTTTTTTTTGTTTCCTTGTTCTGTATCTGTTGTTGTTATTTCGCCTGTTGTTGTTGTAGGTTTAAGATGCATAGATGGCTGTTGTGAGAGAGGCAGAAAAGAAGAGTGCGTTTTTAAGTGACGAACGAAAGAGAGAGCAAGTGCGTTGTAATTGAATGTTTGGCTTTTAATTAAACAAGAACTGTGGCACCCACGCCAATGGGCAGGGGGCGTGGCAAGCACTTCTTATGCCTTTCCACGTTTTTTTTTTTTTATCTTTATCTTTCTCTCGCTCTCCGTTTCTGTTTGATTCTTGTGCTTGTGCACTTTCTCTCTTCTTCCACTTTTTGGTTATCTAATCCGTGTAGCACGGTGACATTTTGCAACTTTTGAGGAAGCACTGCTAAGCGGAAGTTGTTGTTTTTGTTGCTGCCGCTGCTGCTGCTGCCAATACCGTTATTGATTTTTTGCGGCAGCTTGTTGTTGTTGGTTGTGGTGCTGCTGCTACTGCCGCTGCTGCCACAGCCATAAGCCAAAAAAAAGGCGTGTGTGGCAAAGAGACAGAGGAAAGAGGAGAGAGGGAAAAGCCAATGGCAAAGCGCCGCCTAAGCGCATCCATGGACAACACACACACACACACACGCACACATTTGCAGGTGGAGAACAGCGTGAGGAGAGGAAAACGGCTAGAGGGGGTGGAGTATCGAGAAGAGAGCCGAAAAGGCCAAAGCAAAACGAGTTAAGACGCAAGACAATGCAGATAAAGCCAGCAGCAGCAGCAACAACAAAACCAACAGAAAAACACGGCTAAGAACAACAATAACAACAACGTAAGGCGTCGCGGCACGCTCTTCTTTTTCATCTTCTCCTTCTTTATCATATGCGGCCAATGCATTTGTTGATTTTTGTCAGTATTTTCTTTTTAATTTGGAAAACTTAGAAATTTACCAGCTGCGTTTTTTGTAGTTTTCCTGTCACTTCTTTAAATGCGCGCGCGCATTTCCCCGACAAAAAAGAAAACAAACGTCCTAAGACACACAAGAAAACTTTACCAAAAAAAAAAAGGAGGAACAACACTAACACCGAAAAAAAAGAGTTAAATTCGTCGCGTTATTTAACGGCTTTCCCACTTTCCGACGGCGATTTCTTCGACTTGTTTGGATTGTTTGGTTTGGTTTGTTTGGTTTTGCCTTTTCGGTTTAGTCTGTTCTCAGCAAAGCGTTGCAGCCAAACTAAAGCGTCCGTCGGCGGGTCGAAACGAACCGAAACGAAACGAAACACGATTGGACGAACATCAGCGCCTAACGAAAGCACAATCGTAGAGATGGCCTAGCCAAGAGACGATAACTAATCGGCTTATCGAATACATTTTTCACAGGGCACGGGCTAATCAGCTGGCTTTCCATCAGCTTAAAGGCCAATGCGATTTTATAGTCCCAACGTACTAAAAAATATATTTAATAATTGAATCTCTGTCCCAATGCGCAATGTTCGTTACTTTCGTTCTAATGCTGAATGAAAACATCGCATTCATTCCCTCAAAATTCGCATTAATTAATTATGTGTGCCTTTTTTAAATAATTGGCTTCACACGCTTGAATTGAATATAAAAATAGTTCTTTAACACGATATATTAAATATATCCTTTTGAATATTAACAATATTGAAATTATCGAATTACACGAATATCGCTTGGAAACGCTATCGTATATCGAAAAACACAATTGGCCGATATGTACTAAAAGTACTAAAATTGGAATTTGAAATTAGCTTACCGCCAATAGTCAAAGCTTAATAGTTTATCACATGCATTTTGGTCCATGAAATGAACATACCTATTATGCAGCACAGTAAATACCAAAAAATTAATCAAAATTTGAAATGAAACACACGGTTTTGTATAATACACTTCATATAATTATGCAGGTATTAATATATGCAAGTATTTAACATTCAGTGGCGTATCCAGAAGAAGACTGAAGAGTCCTGGGACAACCTGTGAAACGTTTATATTTCAAATTTTTTCATAAACTATTATTAGCTGTGACTCAGTAAACTTCACTCTTCTTTTGTACACGCAACAATTACCAATATTTGTACAATCTTATGTATTTTGTCGGTTTTTTTTGTAAATCTGGTTGCTGAATGTTTAGCTCATACACACTAAAACTATTAAACTGATTTCGTTTGTTGACTAGCATTTAGTTATTTGCTTTTTGTAAACAGCATAAAATGTAACTTTCTTATTTATATGCCTCTAAGTAAACTAAATTATTGCACATTTTATTTAGGATTAGAACATAGTTTGCCACACGTGCCTGAGTGCGTTGGTGTGGATTTAAAAGATTCCTGCGGGCTGATCTGATCCGTCTGGATTGATGTCTTCAATGATATGTACGCTACGCTTTTGACTAATTGGATTTTTGGGTTTTTGGGTTTACGATCGATGCCCAAGTACTCATAGAGTAAAAATTTTGCCATAATTCATATTTTTATATATATAGTTGCAGTGATGGGAGTTGCTTATACTCTTGTAATCTAAATTAAAGAAAGGCTTTTCCAAATATCAGAAAAATATGTTTTACAAAAAATGAAAAATTCTAATTTAGAAAACTGTATTTTGACTAGAATATATTCTCTATTTCACATACATATTCGGATTATAACAATACTTTGATATTTTTTTAGAAAATCCTTTTTTCAATTCAGAAAACAATACCAATTAGGTTTAACTTCCTTTGGGTTCATGTTTAGGTACTCTTTTCTATACCTGATTTCAAAAAACTATCATTATGAATTTAGATCATCTAGGGATCTTCTAAGTTTGAACAATAATTTGAATATCAATTAAAAAATGACTTTTCCCATCGCTGCTTATTGTGGGTGTGCGTGATAGTGAGGGCGTATTGGTGTTTCTCTTCTTCTAAGTGTAGGGTAATTCGCTGTCGTTTCAAAACAGCAGGGCTCCAACCACATTGAGTGCCTGATGGTGTTGCTTTGGTTGTTGTTGTTGCTGCTGCTGTTGTTGTTGTTGATGTTGTTGGTGTGTGGTGTGAAACATGCTTGTGGTTGTTGTTGGCGATTTGAGTTCTTCCACTATAATGGCACCATTCTCATCCACCGTGTGATTTAATAGTAAATTCTCAACCTGCTCATCGGACAGTAACTCTTTAGGCTCTGAAGATCTGCAAAGTTAGGTTATTTCACGTTTATGTAATTGTTTTACATAGAGGGGAGTTTTATCAAACAAAAAACCATAACTGAGACACGACAAAGATAAACATGTGATATTTAGTGGATGAGAAGAAGGGTTAACAATTACAATGATTAACACGTAAAAAAGATGCAGTCGAAATGGCCGACTAAGAGATACCCGGTACTCTGATTATGACTGGATAAATAAGGTTTTACAATTAGTTTTTTTTTTTAATCCTTTTGGATAACAAAATATTTCAAAGGAAAATAATATATACAAATTTGGAAATTTTAGACCCAAAAATATATTAAAATTAAAGTTATGATATGATCTGTACACATGTTTCATGGCGAGTATCTTTAAGATACTTTTTTAAGTCAAATACAATATCGAATATGGATAATTTCCAAAACTAGAGTACTGGGTATTCAAAAACAGTTAACATTCAATTAGGAAGAGATAGTGAAATGGAAATGGCATGGCTTAGAGGGAGAAAGCAATGGTGTGTGTGTGTGTGGGAGGGAAAGCGATTTAAAAAGCAGTTAATGGAGTGAGAAAAATAACGTTCAATAACGAATTGATTAAACACAACAGATATTTCTCGATTTTGGTTTTTGCGTTTTGAGCAGTACATACAGAATTTGAGGTTAAAGCGAGTGTGCGTTCGTGCTTTTTTTGGTTGTTGTTGTTGATGTTTATCTTGTTGTTCTTGTTGTTGCTGTAGTTGTTGTTGTTGTTGTTTTAATTTAGTTGATGTTGTTGTTATTGTTGTTGCAGTTAGTTTTTTAAAAGATATATTAAGTGAGAGAGAATCAAAGTAGCAAAAGCAGAGACCAAATCAAAGCAGCCAATTGTTTATATTAGTAATTAATATTATTATTAATTTTTGCAGTTCAGTTTCATTGTTTGTTTGTTTGTTGGTTTGGTTGGATTAGATGGGTGCAAAAATTGCGTTGATCATCGCTGTTTCGGTAGGGTATTACTAAATATATATATATATATATATCTATATATATTTCGAAATTCAAATTGAAATTTAAATTCGGTTTTCGGATTCGGATTCTGATTCAAATGAGCTTGGTGAGGCGGCTCTGCAGCGAGTTGAGCAGACTGCGACCACCACCCATTGACCCATTACCGTCTACTGACCTGCTGAAGAGGAAAAAATCACCGGCACCGCCACCGGATCCACCGCCTCCTGAGCCACTACCGGATGAACCGCCACTGCCGCTTCCCCCGGTTACAGTCAAGGAGTCTGTTGCACCGCCTAGTAGTGCCTCTCCTTCCGCTCCACTATCGCCACCCATCTCAGATTCACTGTTACGCCGCTCCAAACTCCGTCCCACTTTCTGGAACCCATAGCTAAACACATCCTTCACCTTATCACCAGCATCGATTAGTAGATCCAGGCTTTGTCGTCGTCCACTGCCCTTGAAACTATTCGAGCGGGATAGCCACTGGCTTAGGCTCTGCTTCCGACTCATCTGCTGACCACCACTGGCTCCGCCACCACTCGACGCACTGCTGTCGTCCTGAAATATCGTTGTGCAGGTGACCTTGCGCTTCGGTTCATCAGACGACGAGGTCGAGTGCTGCGATTGGGCATCGGCATCCAGATGATTTCGACCCAGACCCAGACCGAGTCCACCGGATATGCCACCCGTGCTTTCCAGGCCCTGCTGCTCAAGCAGCGACTGATTCGAGTAGCTGGAACTGGTGCTGTCCGAATGCGACAGCCGGATCTCCGTCCACTGTTCAATATCGTTGTCCGCCGGAGCTCCACCGGCCGAAGTTGAGACGGAAGCGGATCCCGATGCCAGAGATCCGCTACCCGACTTCACCTCGTACGGTGCGTGCAGGCCCAGCGGTCCCAATCCGGCTTCCCCATCCGCTGCTGCACCAGTGCTGGCTGACTTGTGCATTCCACCGGCCAGTTTCTGCGGGAACGTAAGCACAGCCTCGAAATCGGTCAAGAGTTGTGGGCACTCGTGGTGACCCAGCCGCTCTGGCATGCGCAGGTACTCCTCCTCGGACGCTTCCTCGCCGAGATCTTGTTCTGAGCCCACTGCTCCAGCACCAGACACACTTCTTGCTAGACCCGCTGTCAACGTGTCCACCGCATCCACCTGACGCAACATGGCCTCATAGTTGAGCAGGTTATTGCGCTGCTGGCGCTGCCGGTGGATGTCCTCTGATATCTGCTCCAGGTTCTTAAGCGCCTCGTTGTACGTAAGCTTCGCCGCACTGACCTTCGCCTCCAGCTCGTTGACCCGAGTCTTTTGGGCCTTCAGCAGTCCATTGTAGTTTGCCCGGGTCTCGTAGTACGGCCTATGATATCGAGGGAATCCACCGGATTAGTGGTGATGCCTGATACATATGGCCAAATCGGCGATACTCACGAACAGAGGGTACAATACAAAGCGTGCATAATGCTAAAATATCTCAACAAAAGTAAATTGCGCTTGAGCTGCAATCTAAAAGAAAGAAAACAGAACGGAAGAAAGAGCAGTCCGCCGGGCAAATACGGAGCCAAAAAACAAAATAAAAAGTATACAAAAATTAGAATCAAATAAATAAGAGGTCAACTTAAAAGTTAAAGTTAACAAAATTAAAAATTGTATAACAAGAAAAGCTTAATTTCGGCAATTTTTTAATTCCAAAACATTCCTTAAGACATCTTTCTTAGATTGATATTTAAATGAGTTTATATTCGAATTGTCAAAAATGTGGTATCCTAAGAATCTTCGATGATTTTTGGGACAGATAAGAAAAATTATTCTCAAACTATGGCAACCGTTTTTAGAGCCGTTTCCTAGTTGGTTTTGAAACTTTGCTTTAAGTTCGGGATATATCTTTATCAACAAGTTTTGATATTATCTATTAGAACTATTTATGACGATTGGAGTTGTTTCGAAGTTCTGACTCTAGTAACCTCTAGTAAGGAATGATCTGTGGTTGGATTAAAATTTAAAACCCAATCCTAAGGTGTAAAAGATTCCTTGGAACTCGAAGATATTATGGTTGCCTTGCTTTTTCCCCGATTGATTTTCTTTAAAATATAATAAGATCTATGCGACAGATCTAAAGACTTTACCTGGAGGCTCTTAGCGCCTGTTTGAGCTGACCCTGCAGCTTGCCGACCCGGTTGTTGGCCACCTCGAGCTTTAACTGGCACATCTTGAGGGCGTTGCGGGTGTCGGTGACCTCCAATTGGGACTGATTCACTTTGCTGGCGGCATGGCTGAGCATCTCCTGACAAGCAGTGTCCAGTGTGGATTTCTCACCCAATCCCTGTTCGGCCAGATAGACCATTTCCTTGGCAGCGGCATGTATGGACTTGGCCTTCTCGTGATTGGCAGCCGCCATTTGGGTTTCCTTCGCCAATTGAGCGGCATAGATGCGAGATTCGTAGTACGGCTTGGCGGCATCGATAGAGTTACCGAGTTTATGGGCGGCAGCCTTAATCCGAACGACACTTTCAGCCAACAAACGTTTGAACTCGCACTTGGCCTCCTATTTTTTTTTGTTATTTTCGATGGGTTATAAGTAATAATGATAAGTAACTGGGGTAACTAGGGAAAAATCAATACTCGCCCACTCACATCGAGCTCCACCTCGTATCGGTTGATGTTGTCCGTCGCAGAGTTCAGCTTCTCCAGCTCGACCTGCAAGTGTCCCGAGAATTACATCGAATATATTTAATATATAGATGGATATATAATAGATGGCACCTACCTGGACCCTCGGATCCACGGGCGTGTTGCTCTCCATTGACATGACTGTTACCTGGAGATTCTTAAGTATTCCCTGATTTCACCGTGGAGTGCTGTGGATGTAGTGCAGCAGAGAGGCAGCGGGTTCGTTCAGTGGGTCAATTGTAGCTGCCAATTCGAATCATTTCCACGGCACATCGCAAATAGCAAAGCAAATCAATCGTGGAATGGAATCAAGTGAGCTTTTGCAACATTTGTTGTTGCGCAGCCACAGTTATGACAACACACACGGGGAAGCTTTTATTTTGGCCAGTAAAAAAGCTCCTGTCAGCTGCTTTTTACACTTGCTAATAATTTCGACCACCGCCTTCAACATCATCGATAAGTTTTTTGTAATCGCGTTTTTTTGAATTATTTGTATATTTTATTCAGTGCAACAAATATGTTTATGATTGTGAAATATATATATGTACAATACACTATGAAGCTCATCGGAAATGAAATTCAAAAAAGGCGGCAATCGTTAAGGATATATATAATTCCATCACGATATGTCGATACCAGGAGATAAGATTTAACCTATCGAGAGAAACAGCTGTGCGCCTGCCGATGGAACACAAACGATAGTTATGTTATCAATTTGATATCGAAGACAGGACAGACGGGCTCTAAACAAAAGTAAAAATATAATACACCAGCTGAGATGCAGTCGCGCAGCAAGTCCGATATGAAACCCATTCGAAAGGAGATCCTTAATCCGGGAAACGCCTACATAGAGCTTACTCCGGGCACTAGGGTGAGTCGACAAATCCCCTGGAACTGCCTGCATCCTGCAACATCTGCAGCATGAGCAAAACAGACAAGCCAGTGGCAAATTGGGCCAAGGCCGTCGATGTAGGCGTTCTTTGGTGGGTGGTACACACATCCTCATCATCATCGATATTACCCTTTTCCAGGTAAAGTTCCATTTCCAGACGCGCAAGGCTGGCAACAGTCGCATCATCGATGATAGCCGCAAAATGGAGAAGCCCATGGAACTGGTCTTAGGCAAGAAGTTCAAGCTGGAGGTCTGGGAGCTCATTGTTCAACAGATGTCCCTCAACGAGGTGGCAAAGTTCACAGTGCACAAGTCGGTAAGGCAGGCATTGGTATAGAGACTGAGTAACCCGATCCCTATTGACCCAATTTTCCCGGAACTTCAGCTCTGCGCTCAGTATCCATTTATATCGAAGACACTGCGGGACATTGGCAAGAAGCCCGAGGAACGACGTCATTGCTGCGGAATGACATTGCAAAACGAAGGCATTGGTTACCCCGATCTGGACGAGCTGCTTCAGAATCCCGCAGAGCTTGAGTTTATCATCGAGCTGATCTCGATTGAACTACCTGAACAGTATGAGAAGGAACGTTGGCAGATGTCCGACGACGAGAAGATGCTGGCCACCAGTACACTTCGCGAACGGGGCAATAACTTTTACAAGGCCAGCCGATTCACGGAAGCGGAGACCTGCTATCGGGAGGCCGTAGGCATTGTGGAGCAATTGATGCTCAAGGAGAAGCCACACGACGAAGAGTGGCAGGAGCTGGCGGCCATTAAGACTCCTCTGTTGTTGAACTATGCGCAATGTAGGTTAATAGCCGGTGACTTTTATGCCGTGATCGAGCATTGCAACGAGGTGCTCACCCTGGATCCGCGCAATGTCAAGGCTCTTTTCCGACGAGCTAAAGCGCACGCCGGCGCCTGGAATCCAATGCAGGCGCGTCGCGACTTCATTGATGCTTTAGCTTTAGACGCCAGCCTCAAGTCGACCGTGTCAAAGGAGCTAAAGTCCATCGAGGATCAACAGCAGGCACGTAACGTCCAAGATCGTATTCACATGCAAAAGCTATTCTAGAACATAAGTTGCGTCAATGTGCTGCTCATGCTGCTTGTTTATTGGAGCAGCTACCTGCAGCGCTAGCAGTACCTGTCACTTCCCTCTTTCCTTTCGCTGGCCGTCACCTTTGCCCATGGTCTCGTCCTGCTCTGTTCGCTTGCGAATCTATTCCTCTGCTGCTGGACGCTCAGGAAACTACTGAGAGCACTAGAGCGGGCCAGCTGGTGATTTTTAGAAAACCCAACACAATCAACTAAGGTACCACCACCTCATACTGTGAGAGCTGCATTTCGGAGCACAATATTTATTAACCTATACTCATCCTCCGCCTCGAATCACATTCAACGGTGTAGACTAAAAACGTCAGAAATGTAAAGTAAATGTACCCTCCAGATGCATGAGTGGAATCATGTGTGTATATGGAATGCAAAATGTTGTTCATGTAGCGTTTACCAAAACTAAAAATCAAATGTTTCACATTTGTTGTCCATAGTCATATGTGTATGTTTGTAAATGTATATCCCTATATGCGATATTTACTCGTAGCTAGAATCTATTCTAAAACTAGACAAATTGTATAAGATGTAATAAATGTGCTTTTGATGCTGTCTAATTGTTAAATGTAGTTTGAGACTTTATCGTTTGTATATGCATATGCGGTAAGCATGCATAACAATATGCATTAGCATAAGTGATTAAAATGTATACAAATAAATATCTGTACTCTCTAAATGGACAAAAGAACATCGCGAACATTCCCTTTTCTATGGGTTTTTTGAATGATTAAAATAAACCCTGATATCGTTTGTGGTTTGCGGCTAATAGACCAAAAATAAGCTTACTATCAAGCCCTTTCATGCGCCTTTCTAGCAGTCTTTCAAAAACAAAGATTTAAATTTAATTTCAATTAATTTAGAGTTGAAAGAAAAAACACTCTTTAATATTAAGTTTGATTTACTAATTAAAAATCACGATTAAGCGGCATCGTTAACGAGTAATATACACAATAAATACACAAGGATTACGAACTAGGAAAATCTTTGGAGACCAATAAGTATGTGAATGCCAAGGGCATTTAATCCTACAGCCGCCAAAGCCTGCTGCTGTTTCCACCGGTGGCGCCTTCGGCCTCGCCGCGCAGTTTGTTGTCGTCAGTACGCCAGACGAAGGGCTCCAGGCGGTCTTCGTCGTCCAGGAAGTTATTGATCGCCTCCAGACTGGCAATGTTCTCGTGCAGCAGTGAATTGCACCGACTTAACTGATGCGAAACGCTCCGGATCTTGGCGAATTGTTCAGCGTACGAGGCATATGTCTTTTGCATGTCCACGAACCCGGCGAATAGCGTGGTGATCGAATTGCTCACCACCTTGGTACGTTCAACCAAATGATTCTGTTCACTGGCCACATAGCTGGCGCACAGATTCAGATGCGTCTGCATGCGGGCACATATGTTTACCAGATGCTGCGAGTGCAGTCGCTCCAGAATCTCTGCATCTCGCGTATAGGTGGCCGAGGTGATGGATTCGCGCAGCACGGGAAGGAATTGCGGTATATTGCGCAGTCGTGCCAAATCGAGATCTACATCCTCCCCAGCATCGCTTGCACCAGGACGCACAATTACAATATTATGACTGGATGCTGTAGACTGCGGTCGCTTTGGTTTAACGGCGCTGGTGATTCCACCTGGATGTGACTTCCTGGCCGCCGCCCGACTGGCACTGCTCTGCTGCAGCATGTGTGCCGGCTTGCTGCGAATTTTTGGAGAGTCACCGATGGGCCGATCTGTATAGGAAACATATGGCAGGTCAGAGCAGACGCTTAAAGGTGGTGATGGAGGCCTGCTTAGCTCGGACCCGCCGGGAGACGCTGCCTCGGCGATGATCTGCTTGCTAGCTATCACAATGCTAGCTCCTGGTGCACCACCAGTTCCTGCTCCTCCAACTGGTCCACCAACTCCTCCTCCAGCCGTCTGTTGGCGATGACCAATTCCACGTCGTTTGTTGGCCGCCGCTGTGGCCGCCAGCATCATGGAGCTCCCATCGGCAAGGGCTCCATTTCCAGCTCCCATTCCCGCCCCAGGCGGCTGGCGACCATCGAAGATCTCGTGGCCATCAGCCTCCGCCCGCTGCTGTGAATGCTCGGCGCCCATTTATCGATCCGATTGATGGAAATCTCGACTGAAAGTCCCAAATCCTTCTGGATTGATGCTCCTGGATGACTGGAGGTATCACTGCTGCTGTCCTTGGCCCACCTGCTACGTCATTTCCATAGGTCAAAACTTGGGGATTCACTCCTAAAACAAATCGATGCGAAATCCTCGAAGTCAATCTCAACAAAGTACAAATAAGATCCTAAAAAATTCCCAGCGACGATATTGAAACGCACTAACGCATTCTTGTCTTACGTTAGTAACGTTACGTTACTCTTACGTCGGTATAAAGTACAGTTGATAAGCTGACTCCACTGCGACTCCATACCTAAGCTCTTTTGGAGAGTTAATTTAAAAAAGTTTTGAAATTCAATTTGCGGAATTCAGTTATTATAATGCCAGAGAACAGCAAAACAAATATTATCATTTTAAACGACACAAATTATGGTTTATTATGGGAATATATATATCTGTGTTCCCTTTAACTATAATAACTGCAATAGTTTCAAAATCAAACAAAAACGAAAAAAAAGTTTGAAATATCTTAATATCTTAAGTTTTTCACTTCTTATATTTTACTATTCACAAGACTTTAAAGACCACGACTAACGGCAATTCAAAAATAATAATGAACACATCACGAAAGTTATGAAATTTATTGCCTGAATATATTTCTGGTTTTTCTCTTTGTTTCCTTGAGTTAAAAGTTTTAGTTTGAGACGAGATATAAAAGTTGAGCTGTAGAAATAGAGAGGGTGTCATGAAAGGGCAGATAAGCATGGGCGATAAGTAGAAATCGTTCTCTGAAGCTTCCGTACGAATTTGTCAGTGCTTTCGCGGCTGTCGTTCTAACCGGCATTTTTGACGGGTGGTTCAAGGTGCTAATTCAGCATCAGATTAAGTTTCGGTTTCAATTTCTGCTCGAACAATATTCAGCAAAGTTAGTTGACTGGCGACCGTGATCGCGATAACTACACTTTCACTCGGTAGAACGGATCGAAATGGTGAGCAGAAGGGCGAGGTTTTTATAAGAATAATCTTATCAAGCTCTCCCATCGATCCCCACCTATAAAATTGTTTATTTTTCTACCTAATAAAGTAAACATTTCCATGATATGTGAGCCCTCATAATTATCTAAGAAACGTTTTGACCTGTAATTACAAAAATTTGATTCTTTACTCAGAAAACTTAAAGATGTTCATGATTTTTAAGTTTAAAAAAAATTATGTTGACCTAGGCCATGAATCTCCATGTCACTTTAAAGTTTAAACATAAATTTCTTTATAAATTTATGATGCGAATATGAAAAATAATAATATTTCGGTTAAGGCCAAACCTCAACACATTCTGCAGCTGAGTGAGGAGCAGCGGAGCAGCTTCGTCGGCTCCTTTGACCGTGTGCTCAGCGACATCGATGGTGTCCTGTGGACTATGGAGCACAATATTCCACGGGCTGCCGATGGATACGCTGCCCTCGAGCGGAAAGGCAAGCAAATTACCTTCGTCACCAACAACAGCGTTCGTACGGTGAATAATTGCGTTAGACGCTTTGCCAAGATCGGGATGCAGGTGCAGCCAGAGCAGATCTGGCATCCGGCTCAGTCCATTGTCAACTATCTCCGTAGCATCAACTTCCAGGGCCTTATCTATATCATCGCCACTCAGCCGTTCAAGGAGGTGTTGAGAGAGGCAGGATTCCAGCTTCTCGACGGAGTGAGTGATAACTAAGAGTTCCTCCCTGGTTTCTAGTGGGTGGAACGAAGTCAACCATCAGAAATACCTATAGCAATTTCCTTGCAGCCCAACGAGTTTATCGAGGAGAGCTACGAGAGTCTGGCCAAGCACATCTTCGATAAGGAGCCGGTTCGCGCTGTGATCATCGACGTGGACTTCAACCTAAGTTCTCCAAAGCTTCTGCGTGCCCATCTTTACCTAAGGCGTCCGGAATGCCTGTTGATTGGAGGCGCCACAGATCGACTGCTTCCAGTGGCCAAGGGTGTGAACATTATTGGTCCAGGTGCTTTCGCATCCATTTTGGTGGAGGCCAGCGGAAGGGAGCCCATCACATTGGGCAAACCAGGACGTGCGCTGGGTGAACTGATCATTGGTCACTTCAAGATCGATCAGCCCCGACGTGTACTCATGATCGGAGATATGTTGGCTCAAGATATTGGCTTTGGTCGGCAGTTTGGCTTCCAAACCCTGCTTGTCCTCAGCGGCGGATGCACTAGAGAACAGCTTCTTGCGGAGACGAATCCACTACACATTCCAGACTATTATGCCGATAGCATGGCTGATGTGACCCAAATGCTGGGTGAAGCGCCCAGGGCGCATGTTTAGTCGATGGACAAACTCGATGTAAGGAAGACCGGGTGTCCTTTTACCCGGAGGGCTATATTTATGGGTACCTGGGTTATTGATTCACTATATTATATCATCACAATATCGTTATCGTTATCTGAAATATAAATCACACTAAGCAAACGAAACCGGAATAGTTCGAAGTTGGGGAATTCCAGGAACATAAAGTTACTGCAATCGCTGTAACCATATCCATAATAGATTTTTTATGTACATATTCGAGTGTATATGTATGTAGAAAGATGAGTCAATATAGCCGTGTTAGTCATTAGCTGATGTTCAGCAACTCAGAGTTATATTAGTTATCTAAAATATAACTCACTCTTAGTAAGCAAAACCTCATAACACTCCTATTAGAAAAAATAAATTTATTTTTCACATTTTTGGATAGATAAAAGTGTTCAATATTTATTTTAAATATTGTTCAAAATCTATGGGATATTTAAATATATACATATAAGAGTAAATTATTCAAAACTAAAATCTACAAAAAGAAAATTAAAATGGTTTTTAAAATATAAAACCGAATTGGATTTGATATGAAGTCTCGAAACAAGTAACTGCTGATTATGCGGACCACACACTAATTTATTGATTCTGAATCCAAAATACTTTTGGCTTCTGCCTGCCATCAGCAAATACGCGATTAAAATGCAATAGATTACCATGACAAACACTCGAAACGCTATCAAGTCAAAAGCGCCGAGTCAGGATTACTCAATTCTCTATTGTTTGGGGCTATTTGACCGAGGTAATCAACCAGATAGTCCGGCATCTGTGGATGGTCATCCGGTAGTCGCTGAATGTCCTCTAGCTTAGTGCCACCAGTGAGGACGAGTAGTGTCTGGTAGCCACTGGCGCGGGCAAATCCAATGTCGCTGGCCAGACTGTCGCCCACGAAGAGTACGCGGCTCGGCGGGATTTCCGGATGACGATCCAGTAAAATCTTGCGCAGATCCTCTCCAGGTTTGCCAAGTGTGGTGGGCTGACGGCCAACTGATTGGGTCACGACATCGATAAAGGCTCCGGGACCTGTTTTAAGGGTGAAAGACATTTGTAAAATATATATATAAATTATATACTTGTGTACGAAATTCTCACCTATAATCTCACCCTTGCCGAACGGAATTAATGCATCGGCAGCTCCGGCCAGAAACAGGCACTTGGGATTCTGCAGCTGGACATGTGCGCGCATCATCTTGGCCGCCGACAGATTGAAGTCTACATCAATGATAACCGCATCCACTGAGTCGCCGGAAAATATGGCCTCGTGCAAGTCTTTAAGGCTTTTAATGATTCCACTTCCACTCTATTAGAGATTCATTAAAGGGAGATCAAGAAAGGTTACGTCTAAGTTTTGATCACTTACATCTTCTGCCAGACGAAATCCGGCATCCACAAGGAGTTCCTTAAATGGAGGCGTGGCCAGGCAGTAAATAAGTCCTTCGAAATTGATAGATTTTAGATGATCGCAAATGGTTTGGGCAGGATGAATGATTTGATGCTGGCAATATAAGGATAATCTATGTAGATGAAGTATGCCATAAGCTTATCTTTCCTCACTCACCTCATCAATCTTAAGTTGGCCCTGTTTCTCGAACTTCTCGATGTGATCTTTAACCGAACTTATACTGTTGTTGGTCACGAAGGTCACCTGCTTGCCAAGATCCGCCAAATGGGTCAGAGCTTCAGCAGAACCGGGTATAAATTCCCTCAGGGGATACCAAACCACTCCTTGAAGTATGATCCCAGATTAAGCTGGCCTTAAAGGTCTGGCTATAAAGAAAACTCACCATCGCAATCGCAGAAAACCAAATCAAAAGAGTCAAAGAATGCCTCGCGCTCCTTTTCATTCATCGTAGAGAGATGTTTTGCCTGGGGAGTGATATGATATGATATACAAACTATATAATTTTTGAAATATTATCCCTTAAGATTTAATTAAAAATCGAAAAGCTGGCTACTGATCTCAGTATCTTGAAATTCGCTTATCCAACCAGATCTATTACCTATTATTTATACTTTTTATTATACCCACCGTACTCATTCCGATCGAGTGTTACAAAAGCGACACAAATCCGGATTTAGAGTGGTTTTGGGAAGGGATTCCGGCTTAGATTCCGATTCTTGGCAGCTCAAAGTTCCAGTCGAGCGATGCGACTCAACCACATTGTCAGAGACAGATTTGTAACTAAGTCCAGTGAGACGAGCGTGCCAATCTGGAAGACCCAAGCAAAGACAATTGCTGAGTCTGAAAAGGGGGCGATTGCATTACACATTTCAAATTGCATTAGACCAGCAGCTAGTTCAGTGTGAAGATTGGGGGCGAGGCAAGTGGTACACACTGCAGGGAAATATTTAGATTAGTTGAAAATATAAATGATATTTAAGAAAAAGTATAGAAAAGAATTCATTTTATATGGAAACTTAAAAGCAATAGGTTCAGGAATTGATTTAAAATTAAGCCATAAGTTTAAATTAGAAATTATAGAAAGAGCTTCCTATAAAGATATTTTGCAAGTGTAGTTCCACCTCAATCGTTCGTAATCCATGGCTTGTTTTCCGGGACCGAGGTGATATGGGGTAGTAAGTGGTGTCTCTGTCAATTGAATGTTGTCCAGTCAAGTCGCCGGGTAGCGTTCCAATTGATTTGCTTTCATCGCATTTCAATTGAGTGCAGCTTATGCCATCTTATCCAGTCCATCCGGTTTACTTTCCATAAAACAAAAATAGTCTTAAGATAAACAAAATAGGATCAATAGATAAACACTAGATATTTTCACTTATATCTCACTGTTAACATTAATGGAGTTAAACCCATTTTTTTATTTGTTACTTCTTTTTTTTTTTGTTTGGATTCACATGCAGACCAGCACACAAAACAATTCGTTTCTGGCTTAATATCTATCGTAATCGTAGTTGTTATTGTTATTATTATCGTATAAATATGTTTATCAAAACAACAATTCACTATAGGTGTACGTACTGGTAGCATTTAGAGTTCTACAAAATATTGCGAAATGTGCAATGCTCTCGCTTGGCAATAATCAACAATAAAAACAATGGATTAGAGGGAGAGGATGAACCATACCATATATGTATATGTCTGAGTTTGTGGGTAACATTGTAAGGTACATTGGATTGTTTCTTAGTGTTTAATGTTAGCATATTATAACTTGCACACATCTTGTGGTATATATATAATTCGTTTCTTATTCTTATCGATTTCTTCATGATCGATCCATCATCCCTATAGGTATGTAGAAATAGCTACCAAAGGTTCCATTCTTTTTTCAATTTTATTTTTAAATTATAAATACTCCTTGTTAATGCACTTTGGACGTGTGTATATAATGTAAAAATATTCAAATACATATCTCTATAACTGTATATTCTGTTTTCGATTTTGTGTGCTGCTAAAGCGTCTTGGCCACACAATGATCTTACGGGATGATGATTCAATTCTCTAGGCTCTTCTGCCGGGAGTTGCATGAATTCATACCCAATACGATCCGTTTGGAAAATCAATTAACAATATATATAAAACCCTATTCGTGTGTGTATATAAAAATGCAATTGCTTGACTTGGAGCTCCGATGCCCCCGTATTCGTTGAGCATTTTCAATGCAAACACAGTACAAAAATCATCTTAAGTACGAAGCACAACTTCCATGCGATAACATTAGATGGATCCCAACATATTCGCCTGTCTGTATATACAAAAGTTCTGCTAACTACGTGTTATGCTCGAGAAACCAAGGAATGATCTGATGTACATGCAGCTCCCATTTGCCGTTCCTTAAACAAAGGAGGTGGCTTCATCGCGTTTAAGGATTACAGTCTCGTTTTGAGGCTGACGCGGTTCGCTTTCCGAAGTTTTTTGGTTACCCAGTTCCGTTTGTGCCATCTTCATGGCGTGCTGTTTCTCGTAGTCGATGATGTGCTCCCGCAACAAGAAGTTTTCCCGTGTGATGCGCTTCAACAGGCGTCCCGAAACATCCGGTACGGCCCAACGCAGGATACCCTGTAGCATGGTGATAAAGGTCTGGATGGGTGAATGTAAAGAAGGTTAATTCAAAGCTCAAATCTAGTATTTATTGGCTCTTTTCACCTGGTAAATGACGATGAAGGCCAGCCGACCCGTCAGTATCTTCCAATATATCATGGGACGTTTATAGGGGTGCGGATCCGTTGGCGAGTTTCGGAATTCGGTGTAGCGACACACGGTCTCGTTTACATGTTGACTGCCACCCAGCAACGGCTGTACTTGGAAATCCTTGGTGTTGAACACAGCCAGCGTGAAGTTCAGATAGTTGTTAAGCTCGGGATCATTCATAGAGGCGGCGTACACGATTTTCGGTATAAGGTTCGTGCTAAATGCGATGATCATTGCCTGCAAAGCAAATCAAAATGTGGGATTAGAATACATCATAACGTAGGGACATGAATTCCTAATTAACTCACACTCGAGGCCACGGCTATCCGGGTGACGACGGTCATGATGTTATGCCAAACTCCAATATCGCGAGCTCGCATTCCAACTGGCCGTCGCAGGAAGCGCAGCATCTTGATGGCGTCCAGCCGCACCTCTATCACATTGTTTAGCAGGGCTAAAAGCGGCGCCAAGGGGAAGGCCAAACTAAACAGGGTGATGAAGCCAAATTGCACAACTAGGAAGAAGAATGTTAATTAATATATAAAGACAATCCTAAAAGATTGAATCTTTATGGCTTACCCATTTCAAGGTATTCAACGTAAAGCGAATTGTTCTCGGCGGGCAGTAGATTATAGTCCTCGGTGAATTGGTTATAGGGCACGAGACGCTGATCCTGGTGACTCTTGTACCAACCATGGCGGTAGCTAAGCTCTTTAAAGGTGCGCATTAGATACGGGATTAGCATCTCCACAATGGCGTTGATCGCCTGCTTGCCAGCCATGATAATCACCAACTGCATACAGAGCTCCATAAGGCAGCCGCCAGGATTGCATTCCTCCTGGCGAAAGCCCAGTACCCGATTATACTTGGCCGGGTAGCCGACAAACTTGCCCTTGAGGAAGGCGATGTAAAAAAGTGATGAGTAGTAATTGACAAACTGGAACACATAGTTTTTGATAGTCAGGCTCTCGTCGTACTCCGTCTGAGTGCGACAGTACTCGTAGTTGGTTAGCTTCACTGCCAAGTTAGAGTATACCATGTCCAGCAGCGAGATTACAATGAGGTCAATGATACCCGCCGTCATCGGAAGGATCATAACCTTAAAGGTCATCGAATTCTCACTGCCCAGAATGCTATGTGAAGCTCGCTGTGCCATTCTATAGATGATTATTCCGGCTATGGCAATGACTGATATGCAAATCTATAAAACAAAATCAATAAATGAGTATTTGAAACTCGATAGAGATTTAAAGTACTGACAAACAATATCATGATGCTATAACTAGTGAAGTTTGGCAGGAACTTGATACTCCAAAAGGGCACATCCGGATCCAAAACGTTCCGTTTGCCAGTCTGATCCTGTTCATAAGCTTTTCCGGCCAGCCTTCTCGAATGCGATATTTTGGCCAAGTATTGCGGACGCGGATGCTCCACATGGTGGGTAAAACCTGTCAGTCCCCAGCGATGCACCAGACCAGCCGAGTAGCGCTTCCAAAACTCCAGATATACCACAGCCCAAATGGCCATCGATAGGGCAAACACCACCGTCATATTGTTGTCTATCAGATAGTTGAACTTGGAAGAGGTACATGTCTCGTTTAGTCGCCAAAAGTCACAGCTGCGGTCGCACTGTGGACACATTATTGTCCCATTATCGTTACAAATGTCCCGGCTAATCGGATCGCTGCTCCACGTGATGAACCCGTACAGGAAACATAACACTCCGAAAACACTAATGGGTATCAGCATTTGCGTGTAGAATCCCAGCCAAGCGAAGTATAGTGCCACCTTTGCTCCAAAGTAGTCTTTAATTTGGTCCAGTGGTTGCAGGCTGAAATATTATGGATTAACCATTTTCATTAATTTTCTGATATTAATGGATATATAAAGAGGATTTTTCTTACTTTTTCCACTTGGATATGTTGGCCCACTCCTTGAGCAGACGATCGCGATCGTCCTTCTGCAATTAAAAGTTTGTGGTTTTATAAATAAGACATCCGATAGTAGGATATATATGTCTGTATAAACCTACATCGTGCAGGGTATAGGCGCAGGTATAAACGCCATCTTGGACGAGCTTCTCGATGCCCAGATTGTCAGCCGTCTCCTCGCCTTCGATGAAATGCTGTCGCTGCAGAATAAAGTTGATGATGGAATAGCGGGTGCTGGCGTCAAGGAAGTTTGGATGCTCCGTGTCGTACAGCTCCAGATAGTTGCGGGAGAACTCAAGATGGATGCGAGGTTCACGTTCCGGAAACAGAGCCGTATTCAATTGCACGGAGCTAAAGAGACTGCGACACATGCGGCTGAAGCAGGATTTAAATTGATGCGCCGACTCGGCGAATATTTGATCCTGACCGGGAATTGGCTTCAGCGGAACCTTGATCTTGAGTATTTCCGCATAACGATACAGGACATCCGCCGGTGCATGAATCTTGATAAAATGCACTCGCTGCACTTTGTTGTGCTCCAGCTGCAAGCCCTCCCGCTGCAGGTTCGCCTCGAAGATCTCGCACTTGCGCCGATGCTCCTCCGATTGATCCTCTCCATTGTATGCCAATACAAAGTCCACGCTGCGTTTGCCATCATCGAAACGTCTGTACGTCTGTATATTTTGGATTATTTTGTGATCCAAAGATCCAGAGATGGGAAGAGAATGATAGAGAGATAAAGAGCATTAGAAATCAGTCATAGGAGTGAGTCACTCGAGAGAGATCTTAAAAATACATCTGCTTATCATCTAGACGGAAACAAAGCGTGTGGGTGCGTGTGCCTAAACACTTCCCCTTTCCCTCTTGGCCACCCTATCACCGTGGAAGACTCCTCCCGCTCATCTCCGGAGCCCATGCAGTTAAGGAGACACCACTTTAGCATAATAACAACCGGCGGAATCCCAACACCGACAAAATAGCGACGAGCGACAACAAACTACGCAACCGTTTTGGCCGAGATACAAGAGGCAAATAATGTGATTTCGTTGCGATCAGTAGGGACGAGTACTGATTATGCTCAGCTTTTTGCTTGAATCAGCTTTAGCTGCTCCAGAGAGTTTCTAACTTACATATTAAATTACAATATACAAAAAATTCTCAATAAGTGTTCATACCCATTCCCGCAAGCAAACTATAGGAAATAGAGAAATATAAACAAACAAAGGAGAGCGTGAAAGAAGGCGGCAAGAACTTTATCAAGTGCAGAATACTATATCATTACAGCAACAGTATATGTACGCGAAGAATGTGTGCGGTGGTCGCTCGATAAATAGGATCCTCTTAAAAATTGCAATTATATTAGAAAATTGCAATTATATTTTTCTTATGTTATTGGAGTATCTGATTATATATACATTTACATTATTCCAAAAGATCGTTTTTCAAACTCTTTACTTTGATTTTTTAAGTAAATATTTTCATGAATGGACAGCAAAATTGGTTCCGTTAAAATACGTTTTGAAAATTTAAAAATTTAAAATTCTTAGAATGCATATACGGGAAGGATTCGTTCTAGCAGCGACCACTGCACCAGCGATTAAAATAATTCTTATGTGAAAGCTTAGATGATAGCTCCTGGCAATGGGATGAAAATGGATGTGGCAAATGGGTTGAGATGGAGCAATAGCAACCGCAAGGCAAACATGACAGTGAGATCGATGTGTGTGCGAGGGATAAAGACATCGGCAGCAGTGCAAAAGCAAAGGCTTTTCTTTTTTGATTGGTTTTCATTTTTGATATGTGCTTAATCGTTGTGGAACGTAATTGGTTTTGAAATTTGAATTTGATCGTATGTTACTGTCGTTGTTGTTTACCCTTGATTTCCACTGGGAGTATGTTATTGGCAATTTCTTATCTTTATTAGAAATGTTGCTACTAGTTCTTAACAGACGTCTAGAGACCTCATCGTCACCACCTCCTTGTCCTCCATCTCCGGTCACACCGATCCCCGTGGGCAGGTGGTTTCGTCCATTTTGTAGGGCAGTTATTTGGGCAGCGATTGCGGCGTCCGTTTGATCACCATTACCGCTACCGCCACCACCGTTCAAGTGCTCCAGCGCTGTCGATTGCCGATAGCCGGGTTGCCAGGCTAGCGCTGAATGTTCGGCTGCTGATCCGCTGCCACCCAAACGCATGCTGCTTCTGCCCTCATCTCCGGCAAGATCGACAGCCGAATGGTAGATGGTGTTCCTCGACTGCGAGATTGATTTGCGATGGGCCGCGGCAGCAGCCGCCGCTTCCGACTCGGCCAGCGATATGGTGTCGAAATACAGGCTCTCCCGTTCGTCCATTTCCGATTCGGGATAGTCGTAGTCGTGGGTGCGGACTGCAACGAAGGTTGAGATTAGTCTGAAGTTCTTGTAGTAGTTGAGATGAGGTCAGATGAGTTGATTGGTGAGAGAGGTGAGGCGGTGGTGGTGATGAATTAGTTGTTACATTTCCACACTCCAATTGCAATGAAAAGTGCATGATTTTATTTCAAATTTAAGCTTATTTATGGAATAAAAGTGTTTATAACGTGAGAAATTATAGAAACCACAATTAATAATGAAAGCATATCAGAGTTTACTAATATATAAATTCTGATGAATGAAAGTGATTCTCCTCTTCTATATATAAACAAGAGCTTGCATATCAAGTTGTTTTCCTAAAAATAACCTTGAACGTCCCAAAAAACACTCCAGTTTTAAATTACTTGACCTAATCCCCTTATTAACAAATATTCAATTAGCTGGCATGACATAACACCAACGCCCATGAATATTTTGATCGTTGTACCCATAGATATAGGAACTACCTCGACCTTTCCTGACTGAACAAAACTGGACGCAATAAATATTTTAAGCGATAAGTTTCAATGACTTGGACTGTGCAATGTTACTTATTTTTAGTTATTTACTAATTAGTAATGGTTACAAAAGTGAAAAAAGTACGTTCTACAAATTATTCTAACGTTAGAAACAATAACTATGGATCATTATAAATGATTTTCCATTGTTATTAATTGAGATTAATGGCGGAACTGGTCTAGAAATAGCAAACCTTTCATTATTAATTATTGATAAGCCCTGGAAATCCCGATAGTGAGTCTGTGGCCATGATAATGGGGATGATGGAATTTGATGGCCCACTAGGCTGGGCCAATTTGGAAGCCAACTTATCAGAGGCCAGCTGTCGCTGATACCAGTTCGCCTGACTCATTTAAATGCGGTCAATTACATAAGTGCCCCATAAGTGCGTTTATAACCCATGGAAAAATGCGTGTGAGAGTTTCGATGAATGAATAAATGGATGGATGGATGGATGGATGGATGGATGGGGTGGCAAGTGCGACTACTGGTGATGATGATCAGTTTCCGGCGCAGGAAACCCCATCTTCTTTTTTGTTTGGAAAACTAAACTAAAAACGGTTAAACAATACCAAATGAAGCTCGAATCGAATCTAAACAATGCTAAAAGTCCAAAGATCGTAACGATATATAGAACTTATACTGGAAATGAAACAAGTTGGCCGATCAATTCGATTATATATATGGTTTATAGTATATAGTATAGTATGTGTGTACATAATAAGACTGAACAAACAAATTTGCATGACAACGAACGGGTGCGATGTTGGATTTGTTGTTTACTCGTTTAAGTATTTACCCGCCGAATACATGATTGGTGGTAGCAGAGGAAGAGCAAGGTGAATGTCTTGGCGGCAGTTTTATTCTTTTTGATTTTTTTGTTTTTGGTTTTGGAAGTCGATGATCGATCGCTGTGATCCCTCTCAGAAATCCAGCTGATCCTTCTGATCCCTCGTATCGTGTCCTGGCGACAGTGGATCCTTCTTAACTTTCGGATTTTTCGTCACTTTCTCAGCGGCTGCGCAACGGCACCGACTTCCACGCATTACGATTTTCAAACTGCCGGCAGTGAAAAAAGAGCGATATTTGTGCAGGAAATAAGCTCGTGACTCCAAAAAAAAATGTATATATATTTTATATATCAAAAAAAAAAAAAAAGGAAACAATTGAAACTAAAACCCAAGCACACACAGAGATTCACCCGCGAATGATGTCAGAGGGAAAAATAAATGCACAGCCAGAGAGAAGAAATGTGCGTACGCTCGCGTTGTTTGGCGATTACTGAAAACAGAGTACGAAATAAATAATAGAGGCAGAAATACACAAATTCGGTTCGGGCTTGCCAGTCAGCTAACCAACCTCAGAATTCACCGACAGCCACAATAAACTGATTGCCCAAATAGGCGTGCAGTTTAGACGTAACGTCGCACAGTGCCCAGAGATCGAGGAAAATAATATATCTGCTAAAGATAGTTCTCTAGATTTTACAAAACCCAAGCGAAATGTTTTCAAAAAAGTTTCATTTGAAACTATTTTTTAACCATTTTCATGCAAACATTTCATGATATGGCTTTTAAATGGTACATTATTTAATGAGATATACAAGGAAGTTGTCAATTAATTTAGAATTTTGAGATCAGAAAAATGTATTTTACTGAAGCTTAAAAGTTAATCTCAATTAACTCTTAAACTGGGTTCTGGGAAAGTATAAACAGACTATGTTTATTATTTTTCAAATAAAATGTCAAATGTTCATTAGATAAGCAATATCGCTGAGCATTTAACTTTTTTATATTACTTGAAATTCAATTTTTATTACTCTATTGCCACTGTAACTATAAGAACATTAATACTGAAAAAAAAGCATCCAGTCGGGTCAAATGTTTTGCGAGAGAACAAACTCATCTTAAAAAAATAAATCGAAATAGTCGATTGCGGTTTAGATTCGGGATCGTATGTGTAATTCTATTATTCCCCGTCTGTATACTTAATATACACAACTTTTAATGCACTGCGATCGTATATTTTTTCCTGAATTTCTTCAATTTACGGCGAGCGAAATAAAATAATAGTGCCAGTTTAATGGGTGGTGCTTATTTTAATGAATTTTTGTGGATTGGCATTCTCAAAATATTGGGTGAGGGATGCTATACTTCAACCTTTCGGATGGAAAATTTTTAAAATTCTGTTTTGAACAGATAGTTGAGTTTTTCTGGATTTTGAACACTAAATCTTTGATTTGAAGAACATGGTTTTAAAATCCATTTAAAGAAAAAAAGCCATTGACAGCCTATAAAAAACACCAGCATGATTTATGATTGGTGTCAACTAACGTGACCCTTTTGGAAATACCCCATATATGGAATACATTTTGTATGCTAAAATCTGGTTTAAAGATTTTTAAGACAATGGTTATTGAAAGATATATTCTTGTCTATATGATTAGTGAACAGAACAAATTTTTAAATGAGACAATCTGTGAATAATATTTCACTGTACATAATTATAAAGATATAAAAGTTCTTTAAGTAGCACTCTGCCGTATTATGTTAACCCATTTATACAAATTTCCTTCGGAAAGTGTTGTATACAAAATGCCAAAATACAATAGACACTAGCCAGAATCATTAACCTTGACGAAATATCAGGAATCCCTGGGTGCAAACGAATAATTAAAGAGGGAGAACACGGGTTAACGCGTCGGCGGCAAAGGTAAAGGTCAAGCTGCTCCACAGATTGTTGACAAATCAAAGTGCGAAAAGAATTCTCGCATTCGTATCTATAAGAACGAAACCTGTTTGGCATATGTATATGGAACCCATTAAAAAAGTGGGAGGAACTAGTCCAAGACACGCGAATCGTTTGGAAATGGTGAAAATACGCCGGAGAAAGCTTAATTCCCGAAATTCTCAATTCCCAATCCGGATGCCAATGATGATGATGATATTGAATTGCTGATGATGATGCACTACACCTTCAGCTCTGTCTATGTGGACATTTCTATTTTTAGCAAACTGCAGTGGCCGAAAATAAACGGAAGGTCTCTCGGTGGAATATAGAATAGTATAGCTATGGAATATCGAGATATTGGTTAGGAACAAGGCGTTAGTATAGCTGGCCAACGTGATAATTCCCATCCATTACTTTTGGCTTCCCTCCTCACCTGGTTTGTTGTCGTTGAGTTTAACTAGTGTTCACCGTAGTTGACGGCCAAGGCCATGTCCACTGTCCACTTATGTTGTCCCAATCTTGTCACTCCTGAATCGTTTCACACATCCAATAAACAAACAGTTATAATTGTTGAAGAAACCGCCAGCGACCCTTGCTTTCATTAATTTACTTTACGGCCACAAACGTTCAGATGTCCGGACGAACTAAGCGATAACTATCGCCGCAATCGATATTGCCAAGCGGCACGATGGGCAGACTTCTAGATTCTTTTACCAGTCGAGATTAAGCCGATAAAAAATTAATATGTCAAAACCAAACATAAAATTTTCTTGCATAATGCCTAAATCCTTCATGGCTTGTTATTTTCGAACAAATAGCAATAAATATATGGTCGATTACTTAGGTATATTCCCGTTTGAAATTTCTAAACAGTGACCGGTGATTTGTCGATACTTGTGACTTGACAGTTTTACCCATCTCTAGTCTAAAATAATATTTTGATATGAAAGTAAAACATCTGTAAGATACGCCGTTAAATTTGTGCAATAAATTGAGAGTGGCTGGAACATCCTGGATGGTAGGGTGCCGTTATGGTGTACATCGACCATAGTGAGTAGAAATGGTTCTTGAAACAACCAAAAACTGTAGAAATCTGTTTTGTAATTCGTTTGTTTGGCAGATGGGCGAGTGTGGGAGAAGCGTCCTTGGGATTGGAGACGGATAGTGGAGCTATTTGTGGGAATATGGTTTGCCATAAAACAGCTGTGAGTTTATCACCTTGTCAACTTGAAGAAATGGTTATAAAGAACGTTTTTCCTGCAGATTTCTGACATTTCTCGCTCCCTTCACAGGCGCCAATAACCAGGCCAACTCTCGTCGTGGAAATGGTTGGGGAGGCGGTGGTGGAGGTGGAGGATGGGGAGGAGGAGGAGGAGGTGGTGGTGGTGGCGGAGGATCAGGACCACGAGGAGGTGGCTTAAGGCCAAACCGTCGAATTGGGCGTATTCAGCCGTCAATGAGCTGCAATATGCCTGCAGCGGGCGGATGAGGCTAATAGCGACATCTGGTCCCAAAACATGTATTTGGGAGGATGTCGCGCCGACAAGAGACTGATTACGCAAAGCAGCAATATATACGATCTAGAAATTACGTTTTATCTCGCCTTCATGGCGCTTATGAAGCAGCCCTCCTAAACTTGGTCTCAAGCGGAGTGCTGCTGAACTGATTAAACGCTGATTTCCGGGTCGCTGCTTACGTGGCCGTCGTCGGTTCCAATATAGTTACAGGTTTTTGTTTTCGGTCTGCGGGTTTTTCTGAATTAACCAATTCAAAGTACAATGTAGCCTTAAATATATAAATAAAACCCAAGAATTTTGTGCAAACTTGCTGTTTACAATTATTGCCTTACAAAGAATTAAAATTAGGAGCAAACTTAACTCAAGTTTCTGTCATTTTGGCGGAAAAATCATGACTAATGAAAATTTTAAATTGAAAAGTGATTTCTATTTGAATTATCGGATGATGTCAGAGTAGGTCAGTCGATATATTGTATTCGCTCGCAGTAACATCAGCTGCTTCAGTCCATCTCTAAAAACCACGTCAAGTTTTGTTTTGTACACAATTTCACAAATTAAATATCAGTTTCGGAAAACAACCACATCTTGCATTCTGATTTAGCTGCAAGATGGCGTACGTTGATCAAAGTAAGCGACAGTGGATAAGGAAGTGACCATCAGTGTGCTTTAAACATTGTTTTGCAGACGGCCGCTTGTGGGAGAAACGTCCTTGGGACCTAAATCGTGTCTTGGCCTTATTCGTGGGTATTTGGTTTGCCATTAAACAACTGTAAGTGGACTACTGATCTGTTAGATTGAGGATAAATTAATCAGTATAAAATCCGTAGATTTGCCTCGTTCCTGTCGCCCTTCACTGGCAACGATAACAACGGTGATAACTCCCGTCGCGGAAATGGTTGGGGAAGTAGTAGCTGGGGCGGAGGCGGTGGTGGCGGAGGAGGCGGTGGTGGCGGCGGTGGAGGAGGTGGCGGTGGCTACGGTGGAGGTGGATTAAGACCCAATCGTCGTATTGGTCGCATTCCACCGCCATCTCAATCCTGCAGTGCCGGTGGATGCTGTGGTTAGCCAAATAGTTCAAACGTTTTGGTCTAAGCTGCTAAGCCAGAATGATTAAACGCTTTACCCCAAAACTCCTATCTCACCACAGTGTTGCAGCAATTAAACTATATTTTTTTCGTTTCTATTATATTAAAGGTCGATTTTAGTCTTAAGGTTTTGGATATAATGAGAAAAATTTATAATACTATAAATATACAATAATAAACTTGGTAATTTCACAACTTATAATGAAATGGTAATTTCCATTTTGCTGCATACTTAAATAGATTTAACGTTGTTAAACTATCTCAAATCTGGGTCGAGGACATAATCTTTGATAAGATACTTTATATTCATATATAAATAATTTGAAACTGAGTCTATATACGAAACCGAAGCATTTCGATTAGGTTTTAATTTAAATGTAATTTTTTATTCGTTTTGATATACAAACTCGGTTCTTAAAAATAAATACCCCTAATGTGTTAAAATGCTTGTATAAGAGTGTATAAGACTACATGTGAGCATTACACAACAATACCGGCAACGCTGCTCAGAACATATGTTCAGTCGACTGTTGAAAAGAAGAAGAACAAATGCGGCGCCTGGTTGGAAATTGGAATTGCCGATTGTTATTTAACGACAAATCCGGCCAAGAAATTATTAGACATGCCGGTGTCCGCCAGCAGACCACGTCCAGTTCTGATGCTAAGGAGAAAAAACCGGTGGAGGCCGACAATAATGGATATGGAGCCAAACACTGCATGAGCTTAGTTGAGTATGTAGGACAAATCGCGTAGTTAAGTTTCCCAGTTTAATGTCAATCGCTTCTAATGCGGACAACTAGGAAATACGACCACGAAAACTACCTGTGCACCCTGCTCCTCCCGCGGGAATTGCGACGAGCTGCCTTCGCCCTGCGGGCATTCAACGTGGAGGTCTCCAGATCGGTCAGCGGCAATGTGAGTTGGGCATTCGAATCCATTAAAGGATGAGAGAAAACTTACCACTAATGCCTTTTTCCATATTCCGACTTGTGATATAATATGTCTGCATACAGAAGCTGGAACCGCAAATAGCTAAGTTGCGCCTTAAATTCTGGCACGACTCTATAGACAAATGCTTCGAGGACGAATCCCAACGTTCATATGTGGAGGACCAGCCTGTCCTGCGTGAACTGAAACACACGGTGGGCAGTCGCAAGCTGAACAAGGTATATTTACGCCGCTTGGTCACAGCACGCGAACGTCCGCCAAACCAGAGTTTCGAGACGATTAGAGAATTAGAAGAGTACGCCGAACAGGCTTTCTCCTCGCTATTGCTGTTGCTATTGGAGGTCGGTGGAGTCCGTGACCTGCAGGTGGACCACGCTGCATCCCATCTGGGCAAGGCCCAGGGAATAGCCACTATGTTGCGCGCTATTCCGCTGGCGGGACGTCAGCAGGCTGCTTGTGTTCCTCTCGAGGTGCTTGTCCGGCATGGTGTCAGTCAGGAGCGTATTCTCCGTTCCAAAAGCGATGACAAGGGCGTCGAGGAGTGCATATTCGAGGTAGCCAGTGCTGCTAACAACCACCTGCAGCTTGCCAGGCAGCTCGATGACAAGGTGTCAAATAAGGTGCGCAAGATCTTTCTAACTGCTGTGGCCACAGATGGGTATCTGGAACGCTTGCGACGCGCGAACTTCCTGTAAGTGTTCTATGTGATAGCCCCTGCTTACTTAATCGTTAGTCTGAGCTTGTATTTCTAAATCATAACAACGAATATTGCTTCCTATCCTAAAGGCTAACTCATCAGAGCTGTCTCGGACGTGACTCCCTGCTGCCAGCTCGTCTTTTTTGGAAGTCTCTGTTTAATCGGTTCTGATAGCAGTTATTTTAGTGTTGTTGACTACGTTAATTAAAACTGTTTAAAATTACTCTTGTTCATATATCTGGGATCAATGGAAAATGGCTTGTAAAGTTATTAAAGCTATACAAATGGAAAACACCTTCGATAAAAAGGGTTAAGACCTTACAGGAATATCATTACTTTAAGAGGATTACTATCGATGACAGGTGATCAATCACCCATCTCAAAGAAGGTATCGAGAGCAGTGATACAATGCAATACCGGAATAGTACAGTAGTTGCTAGCTGAGCGCGGAGCGTTTAAGACGCAGTTTTAGTTTTTTATGAATGTTAGAATTGATGTGGAAAGTGTGTGTTGGATATTATTAAAAGCGGAGCAGTGCGAGAATCGCTCAACAAGATAAGCACCGTTTTCTTCCGTCCCGTTTCCGTTTCCGGTTTTGGGAAAATTGCAACGCCTTCGGGTTGGTGAGTTTTTCCGGCTTTTAATTAATTTTCGATCTTAAATACCTTTGTCTTCATACTAGCCCCAGTTCCAGGGCTTAATCCCTTTTTATTTTGCGTTGCAATTTCGGTTCTCCTCGCACGTAACGGTTCTTTTTGGCCGCCCTTTCACACACAGCGAAAAAAAGAGGGGAAAATCAAATAACAGAGGAGACCGCAATATACGAATATATATAGGCGTGTGTGTGTGAAATTACGGTACTCTACACTGGCCGTAAATAGTGAAAGTCAAAACTTATTATTTAAAAAAAGCTGAAGTGAATACAGTGTTAGTAACTAAAAAAGAACCAAAAATAAATAAACAAGAAAACATAACAAAAAAAATACAAAAGGTATAATATTACACTAAAAAAAAAAAACAAAAAACCAATAAAAGTTTTCGAATTCTAAAAAGAAACTAAAAAAAATAAAAACCCTATTTTATCCTAACTTAAAATTAGTTCCTAAGAAACTAAGCGAAACGTGCCGAGCAATTTTTTATACCCAAACTCGAGCCACGAAAGCTTTATCCAATCTCGATCTGTGGGCTATGTTTACCACCCGATTATCCGGTGACATGAAGATCTTTCCCGCAGATGTTGCCGAAAGCAGCGCAACAGCAACATGCAACACGCCCGTGCAGCAGCAACAGCAGCAACTCGAGTTCCGGTCACGAATCTCCTCGGGTTCGCCGAGTTCTAAGCCGGGTCAATGCCATCTTAAGTTCGGGAAGTACAACAATAAGACGGCCAATCTGCTGCGCCAGATGAACAGTTGTCACAACAGCAACAGTAGCAACAACAACAACGGTAGCGCCACTAGTAGTTCTAGTAGCAATAGCAACAGTAGCAACAGCAACAACGAGGCCAAGGGACAACAGCAGCAGCATCTGCATTACTGCAACAACAGTCACTCATGGGCCCGTAAAAAATACTTTGGCCATAGTAACAGCAACAATAGTTTGCAGCAGCAGCAATCGTCGTATTACCAGCGACAGCAGCAGCAACAAGAGCAGCAATCTTTAAACAACAACAATGTGTTGATGAAAAATCAAAATATCATTCAATCACAAATGTCTGATTCCAAATCCACCGACAGCAACAATAACAATAGCAGCAGCAACAACAACAGCAGCAGTAACAACATGAACAGCACTAACAGAATTCCAGCTAAGCCAGCTAAGTGGCTTTACGACAACACCAGCAGCAACAATAATAACAACAGTATTGCTTGCAGAAATAACCACAATACGATTAGCACTAAGAAACGCAACTCAATATCAGCAGATGCAACAGATACGTATTATCGCAAAGGTTCCGAATCGGGAAGCTCTGAAGCTGCAGCAGATTCGAAGGAAACGAATGCATCAGCAACAGGTTCCAGCAACATAAGTCCCCCAACAATAGATTCGAGCACAGGAAGTGGTAGTGAATCGTCAATGGATAAGACTCAGGATCAGGATCGGGACCAAACGGGCAAGCACCAGCGATCCCGACAACAACCTCTTAGTTTCTGGAAGACCAATTATTCGCAGACAACAGCCAGCCAGCTCAAAGATGTAAGAAACATTTCAAAAATCTTACAATGTTTATTGAAGATTTATAGTACTTATTATGTCCAATTACAGAAAGAAACGGTGGCAGCGGTTGTATCAGCGGCCGCTGTAGCAGCATCGGAGCAGCAGCAGCAACAGCAGTCATTGTCATTGGAGCACAGGAGAAACACGGGTTACCAGCAGAATCAGCAGCACAATTACTATCAATATTACTATTCACAGCCCAAGCAGTTGACCATAGCCTCATTCCTGCAAAAGGAACTTTTGCCTGACACTACCGAAAAGTCCAGCCAACAGAGCAGCAGCAATACGGGTAGTAGCAACAGCAATACGGGTAGCAGCAACAGCAATACGGGTAGCAACAGCAACAATACGGAAAGCAGCAGGAATATGATCAGCGGCAGCAACACTAACAGCAGCACCAACAGCAGCACTAACAGCCACACCAACAGCAACAACAACCACAACTCCAATAACAACACCAATTGTAACACCAACAGCAGCAGCAATTCTGTGAGCAGCAACGGCAACAACAATCATAACTACACTCGGCAGCATTATGGTCACCAGTCGATGGGATCTAGCTATCAACAGCAGCAGCAGCGGTACCGTAATGCTCAGAATGTCTACCAGCAATACCAGCAGCAGCAGCATCATTCGCACCAGCAAGGGATGGGCAATTCGCACTTCCGCCGGAAGCACAGCGATAACACCAACAATAATAGTGGTATTAACAAGAAGATGCATTACAGTCCATTAGGGAAGAATGGCGATCTGCCCGAGAGATCCTCCTCCGGACAGCAACAGCAGCAGCATCACCATCCACATCAGCAACAGAAGGCGATTGAGATCCTGGCCAGCAGCAATTTTAACGCCATGCATCGCAGGATGCAGGGTGGCAATAATAAGAACGGATACTATAACCACAACTACCATCCGCTGACGGGCGAGCCCGGATCTACGCCCACCCGTTCCGAACATCAGAACATCTACAATCTCACCTACATCCACGTGGACGTTGACTCCCCTAGTGATGCTGGAGCCGCTAATGCAACAGGATCAACTCCAGTGGTCAAGCCCCCGGTGCTTAACAAGCCGAGCATTTCAATAACCCCAGCTTCGATTACCACGCCAACTTCGATGGACAGAGCAATGCCTCCGGCAGTTCACCCCGTATCAGCTCCAATATCCGGTCCCATGTTACCGGCAACAGCAAACCATGTTCGCAATATGTTTCCACCGCCACCGCTGGCCATGATTGGTGGCCACGGGCTGCTATCCCCTGTGACCACGACCACACCCACGAAAATGATAAGCTGCGCCCAGCTGGATGAGGCCATAACGGCGGCGGCGGCCAGTGGTGACAAGTCGGCCACCAGTCCAAGCTATAATCAGGCAGGGCCCTTTATTGTACCGCCCCAGCAGCAGCAGAAGCCTTCGCATCTAATCCCGACCAGCACCAATTCACATCCTCCACCGCCACCACCGCCGCAATTATTCTTTCACTTTGCCGATGGGTTTGGCAATCCGGGACACGGTCATCAGGCACATCCACCTCCTGTGTGGCAGCATTCAAACTCGCCCTGCTACCAGGCTCCTTATGGATCTAACTGCAGCATGAGCGGAAATGGAGCCGGAAACTCGCCTCACAACAAAGATGGGAATACGGTAGGAATGCGATCCGTCTCGCCTGCCCTTTCTGTATCCTCACTAAGCAGTGAATCCCACTGGAGCGCCACGAGCAACAGGAGTCGGTATGTGTGGAACAAATTTGTAATCAATCTGATCCGGTTAAAGATGCTTATTTTCAGCTTAAGTCATGGAGGCCACCTCTCAATTTCGCCCACTCCTAGCGCTGTGGGATCTGCCCAGTTGTCTCCGCATATGGTTGAGATGGGTGTTCATCATCAGCTGCACCAGCCGCATCCTCCACTGCTTTCCAACCACCATCACCATGGACATGGGATGAACTCATATGTCCCACACCGCCATATACCCCCGCCACCACCATATCCGGCCATCTCTTCGCCTACCCCAACGTCAAGTGCTATGGGAATCGGAGGAGGAGGAGTCCCCCCTCCCTGGTACGAGCTGCTTCTACCGCCGGATCGTTACTTGGCCCAGGCTAGAAACATTGAGGTCGCCGTTCAGCCAGAAAAGCTCATCTGCCTGTGCAAGTATGACAATCTATCGGCTGAAATCTGGAAGAGATTCCGGGGAGCCCAGCAGACACACAAGAAGTTCAAGCTCAAAATGCGTCTCTGGCGGTACTTGTTCCTTTGGATGAATGTAAGTGAAAGTAAATGATGTTTATTTTGAGGGGAAGATTTTCATTTATAAACAATTTGTATTATTTTTAATATACCAAAACAGCAACCCATGTTTGAGAGGTATCGCATCTGCTTGGTTGGATCAACAATCACGGGCTTCGGAACGGACTCCTCTGACATAGACATGTGCTTGCTGCCCGAGCAGGGGGTACATCCTCAACAGCATCACTACCATCATCACCATCACTTCCACAACGAGAAGCGAACTGAGGCCCTGATCATTCTCACATTGTTTAACTCAGTGTTGAAGGACACGGGTAAGGACTAGAAAGGAATACCTGCTCCGCAACAGAGTTAATGTCTTTTGTAGAGGTTTTCCAGGACTTTAATCTGATTGAGGCGAGAGTACCGATTCTGCGCTTCAAGGATATAACAAATGGAATCGAAGTCGATTTAAATTTCAACAACTGTGTGGGTATTAAAAACACATATTTGCTGCAACTTTACGCCCAATGTAAGATATTTTAACAACAATTTAATAGTTTAAATATTTGTAAAAGTGTCTTCTAAACTATCATCTTTATAAATTCTTGTTATTGTCCCTGAAGTCCTGATATATTGTGTACGTTTGACCAAGTGCCTGTCCTATATGTCTTGGGTGATAGATAGCAATCTGTTTATAAGGTAAGGTAAGGTGTAAGGTGACATCTTTAATCATTTATATTAAATATATTTCAGTGGATTGGCGGACACGACCGTTGGTGGTGATTGTGAAGCTGTGGGCCCAGTACCATGACATTAATGACGCCAAACGAATGACCATTTCCAGCTACTCGCTGGTGCTAATGGTGCTACATTATCTACAGCACGCCTGTGTGCCTCACGTCTTGCCCTGCCTGCATAACCTGTATCCGGAGAAGTTCCAGCTGGGACAACTGGACTGTCTGGACCTGGACCTCATCGAACCGATCGAGCCCTACAAGGGTCTTAACACCCAGACGCTCGGTGAGCATCTTCTGGGTTTCTTCAAGTACTATAGCAGTTTCGAGTGAGTCTTGTTCCTTTCTTTTATTTTAGTATCCATAAATGTAAGCTAAAAATGAATCGATATATTGGTATTCCAACCACCAATATTGGTTTAAATCTGTTATTTCCGTTCTATCAAATTCTCATTGCGTGCGATGCTGCAACAGTTTCCGAAACTTTGCCATCTCTATACGAACTGGTGGTGTCCTCCCAGTGTCCACATGTCGAATGGCCAAAAGCCCCAAGAACGATGTCTACCAATGGAAGGAGCTCAACATCGAGGAGCCTTTCGATCTCTCCAATACTGCGCGATCTGTCTATGATTATGCCACTTTTGAGCGTGTTAAGGGTGTTTTTCTGATCTCAGCACGTCGCCTTGATCATACCCTTGACCTGGCCACGGTTTTCCGGCCCATCCACCATGTCCCAGAGAACTTTCCCCAACAGCAGCAGTTCGAGCAACAGCAGCCACCACACTATCCGATTGCCAGTCAGCAGCGAAATGGAGGAGGTGGATCCGCTTCAGCGTCCAGCAAATTGATACCAGAGGCAGGCTCAACGGCTGCAGCGCATGTCGCTTAATTGGAACACATTAAATGGATTTTTCCCAGGTAAATTGAATTTGTATTTATTTAAACATCTTAATCATCACCTTTCAGGTACTTTCAAGAGAATGGATAAAAAAAAATGTTGCAACCAAAAGATAAATAATATGTCCAACAAATGTTAAATCAGAACAGGAATTCTTGTAAGTTGAAATTCGGAAGGATAAGCGTAAAAAAAAACGATTGGAGCAGAGTTTCAAATATACTTGAATGCATTCTTATCTTGTTAAATGTTATAATATTCATTTATTTATTCTTTTATAAACTCGAATATGTTTCATTCGGAATCCATTAATTATTGTAAACATCCACGGAGGTGTGCGATGTCCGTCTCCCTCCTGTGGCGTGTATGTATCTTTTTGAAAATCAAAAATGTCACCCGAAAATGTAAAATTCCAAGTTCTGTAAAATAAATAACACAATTCATGCAAATCCCTCGGATATAAATATCATTCATTTGATATATTTTTCCGTTTAATTAACCCTTTAAAAAATACATAACATCCTTATTTGTTTTTCGCAAGGGAAAACTTAAATTCTTTATTTAGAATTTAAAAAAAAATATGTTTCATTTTCTTGAATCAAAGAGTCGCGTGGGGAAGAATTAACTCACATTATATAGAAAAAATATACCATTTTCATATCGTTTTAAAAACAATTAACAGGCATCTGTAACTGTATTAATATTAATTAATATTAACCTTTTCGGAATTTGACCTTTCTCTCCGGTTCTTTCTAAGTTCGATTTGTTAATTATTGTTTGTGATTGTGGGGTGTGTGTGGGTGTATTTGGATTGGAATTCATAATATGCTTCCTCATCAATCATTAGATTTCCAATCTTCGCTGTTAACTTGCATCCGCTTTGGGGGATCCGCCAGCGTTCCCGTGCGATTAAAAATGGTTTATCCATATTTTTTTTAATTTGATTTTGCATCGTCTCGATTTTTTTGTTTGGTTTTTTTGTTGGTTTTTTTTGTGTGTTTGTTAGGATAACAAATGCATACAGAAATCAAAAAAAGAAGTCAAAAAAAAAAAATATGTACGAAATTTACAACAGTTGGCATAAAAATAGTATTGTATGTATCGGTGTGAGTAAACCGTCTTTTTTGGGGTGGGAGTGGGGAAAGGTTAGAACAGGAGCTGAAGATTGGCTGCTGTACTTGAGGCCAGAAGAAGGTTAGAAGGTAAGCCACTTGGTGAATACGTGTCCTGGGCGGGAGTAATTGCGTTTTTTGCGTTTAAGGCTCCGTCTGCGAATCCTGGCTGGCAAAACAAAAAAAGGAAACGTGTCGAGAAGTTGTCCGTCGTCGTTTCAAGGGCAACACTGGTGTGGCGCCTTGCTGGCAGATTCGGCTCATCCGTGGGCTAACTCCTTTGGAGCGCACTCGTGGCCAATAGCCAGTCGCCTGGCCATGATTTCATGGCCCGCGGCGTTTTTCGGGAACATCTGCTTGGTTGCAGCGGCTGCAGCAGTGCATCCTGGCAGCCTACATCGTTTTGCTCTCGATTCCTCGATCACTTGACATCTCTACTCCGCCTCCTCACTTCTTTATAACTCAATCCTCATATCTCGCCATCTCCGTCTCTCGTCTTGCCGTCTTAAATGTCCCGCTCGTACTCATGTTCCTTGGTCGCATTGTCGCATTTTGTTTCCCGCATCTGTCATTGTTCCCGTGATAGTCTTCTTTGCTTTATTCCTGCTGCCTACTGATGCTACTCCTTGATGATGACTTCAAAGTTGAGTTTGTTGTTGTTTCGTTTGGGTTGCTTGTTATCGTTTGTAGTTGGTGCACCTCCGGCCGTATTCTCAATAAGGCTGTGAGAACTGATTCAAACTACGTTCGCCCGACTGCAACATACATTTAAATATATTAGCACTGTGGATACTTAAATTAGAAAAGTGTTTATATATGGCACATGAAAAACAAATAAGAACTTTTTTAGTAAAACCTAAACTACCCTTAAGATTTCCATTTACAAATCAATGACACACTTACCACGTTAAAGGCAACATCCTGGGAGAGCAAACCATCCATCTGTGATATTTGCCCAAAGTCCTGCGAAAGTTCCGGCTGCTGCGAAAGAGCAAATCCGCTGGGCTGCGTCATCTGCAGCGATAAAGTCGCCGGCTGCTGGCTAAATGGAGTAGCAGCATTTCCTGTGCCCGACTGTCCTCCTGTACCTGGAGCTCCACCAGTTTGGGCACCGGCTACACGTGATTTTCCCAGCTTCTGGGACTTCTTATTGCCGGTTAAGGAGACTCCACCAGTTAGTGAAACAACCGAGTTATTTGGAGAGAAACCACCCGGCTGCTGTTGCTGCATTGCCCGATTCTGTTTGGCAGCCATGATCGCCTGCTGGTGTTGGTTGTAGAATCGTGGCGGAAGATTGCTCATGTTCATGAACATGCCAACGGGTACTGGCATGTTGCCCAGAGCCGCTGCTCCGTGATCGTTGGATATGTAGCCAATGGAGTCGTGGTGTAAATGGGCAGCTGCCCAGCTGGGTCCTGTACCGGTACCTGCGAAGTTGTTGTTGCCACCGGCAGCACCACTGCTGAATCCCATCATCGAATTGGAGCTCGGTGCACCATAGCCAAGAGGAGAGCCCCCATAGGGAGCCGCACCGCCGCCACCACCGCCACCGCCGTACTGACCACCATTCATGGCCTGACCCGGCATTGGGCGGTTCTGACCATAACCACCGCTACGATCGTAGATGGAACCCGGAACCATCACCTCCTTGGCATCGGCAATCATGGTGGACATAAAGTGTGCGCCAATGTTCATGCTGTTGACGAGCTTCTTAGGCTTTTGGAAGTGAATGAGCGATTCCTTGAGGTTATTAAGAGATCCCTCCACGAGCACCTTACGGTCCTTGTAGAAGTTGAGCAGATGGTTCCAGAGCTGCTGCTTGGCAAGCACTTTGGGATTGCCCACAATGATAATGCCGTACTTGGCTCGAGTAAGCGCCACGTTAAGACGGCGCGGATCGTTAAGGAAACCGATGCCTTGACGTTCGTTGGACCGCACACAAGACATGATGATAATATCCTTTTCACGTCCCTGGAACGCGTCCACGCTGGCGATCTCAATCTCCTGGTAAAGGCGCGAATGAAGGCTGCCTTGGTATTGCATGTACTGCACCAAGTACGCTCGCTGACCTTCGTAAGGAGTGATGATTCCAATTTGTTCCGGTTTGATGCCCGCCTTGAGGAATCTTGTTGTGATCTTCTCTACGTTGGCGGCCTCTGTGCGGTTAAGGAACGAGGTACCTGAACCGGCAATTTCCTCCTGTCCCTGCGTTACGAGGAAGAACATTGGTCTCTCTGGTTGTGGCCAGGGAAAATCCAATTTAAGGCGACGATCTTCGGCGCAGACACCGTTCTGCAGCGAGCCCTCGTAGAAGAAGTTGGACGGGAACTGGGACAGCTCGGGATGCATGCGATACTGCACCTCCAGGCGGAAGGGACGGATGCCCAGGACCACCAGGCGTTCAAAAAGACTTTGCGATAGACCGGCACGAGCCGCCTTCTTGCACATGACCACCGGTCCGAGCTGGCAGTGGTCACCCACGAGAATTAGCTGCTTGGCGCCCAGCACCACTGGCACCATACATTCCGGTTCCGTCGACTGCATCGACTCATCGATCAGGATCGAGGTAAACTTGATGCGCGACAGTCGGCCATCGCCAGCACCCACGCAAGTGCAGCAAATAACATCGGCCGCCTCCAACATTTGGTTCTCGGTGCCGCGCTTCAGACTGCGGTAACGCTTCTCGTCCGCTGAGCTCAACTCGCCTGTCTCGTCCTTTAGCTGCTGCAGCTTCTTTAACTCGGAGTTCGTCTCCATGTTACGAATTTGGTTGTGCAGCGCCAGGAAGCTAACCGGACTATCGATGGCCTCGCGACTCTTGGCGCATACACGCACCACTTTAAGGTTTGTGCGGTGGATCTTTTCGGTAAGCTGGTCCACAGCCGTGTTACTGGGAGCACAGACCAGCACAGTGCCGCCGTGCTGCTTCACCAGCTGGTAAACTATAGTGGCCGATGTCACGGTTTTTCCAGTTCCGGGCGGTCCCTGAATCAACGAGAGCGGGCGCTGGAGCGCGTGCTTAACGGCATAGACCTGGCTGCGATTCAAATCGGGCAGATGCGGGGCACTATAAAGCTTGGGTTGAGGTCCGCGGAATAGCACCTCGTCGTTGGCATCCGGACGGCCATGGCCCAAAAGGCGCGAATAGATGTAGTTCGAGACCGAGTTGCGGTCCATAGCGAAAATGCGCAAGGCACGAGTCATGCGATCGAAAGAGATACACTTCCATATAAAGTCCACCGTAAAGTTGCTAGTGCACTTAACCGGAGCATTGGATGAGGATTTTAGCTCGAGGCCCACGTCGTCGCCGAAATTGTCCGGTACTTTGATCACGTGCCCAATCTCGCTCCACGGATTGTACATCTCGCCCACGTAGCGAAGGCGAAGCTCGTCGCCATGCATCAGCTTCATGTCGGAATCTGTCTTGGCCAGCGTGAAATAAGCGATAGTCTTCTTGTTAAGGCCCACGTCCCAACGCACTTCGATGTTCTCCTGTGTAGCAGACTCCTTTAGCTTCTTATCGTAGTCGGCCTCAAGGCGAACCAGCGGCCCAAAGGTCTTCTCGTACTGATAGCCATCCTCGTAACGCAGCAGCACCTGTGCCGGTTCCGAATCAATGCCCGGCTTCTCCAGGTCCTGAAACGTGGCCTCAATATTGTCTTTCCACAGCTCCTCCAGCTTGTTGATCTGGGCGGCCGAGATTTGGCGCGCACGCAGCTGGCCCTGTTCGCTAGGCTGCTTTACCAGCCAGGGCAAAAAGCAACGATCAGCAATAAGCGGTTTCCACTGCTCTTGATCCCAGTTCATATCCTTCAATGAATTCTGGGCGGCACAAGGCTGTCGACATAGCAGTACGACCACGGAATCGGCCTTGGCCGGAATGAAGCCAAGCACAAAGACGTTACGAACGCCACAGGAGTAGCACTCCAGTATGGTCTCTCCCAAAGGTCCTTCACCGTGCAAGGTCACTTCGCGATGCTTGGCCCTTACCAGATGATTGATGATGTGCGAACCGGAGGTGCTGCCGCGTCCATTGCAGAACCATTTTCGGCAATTGTTGCACATGACAACCGTGGCTGGATCATGGATACCACAGTACTTGCAAGCGTGTGCCGGCAACTCTTTTACATAGGAGCCTCCGGCCTCATCGTCCTCCTCCTCGAACTGCAGATCGGCTAGATCATTGGTGATGCTGGCCAGCCGAGGATGCGAATCCCCGCCAGAACGTCGTGGCTGTGGAAAAACGGGTGGGAGATGTTATTCACGTTTTGGAAACTAGTTGATTGCAACTCACGTGGAGCTCCAGCTGATCGTTCTGCGTTTGGCTCTGCGAGGTGGATGGCATGGTGAAGTCGCGGTAATCGTACTGCGTTGGCTGCGTATCTGCTCCAGGGAGGAGCTCGTTATCATCCATGTCCAGAAACGAGAGCGCCGAGCTGGGCGCGTACGTGTCCACGCTCATGGCGCCTGTGCCTCTTCTCACCCAAGGTTGTTAATTTTGCTGTGGTTCTATGATGGATCAATAGGATCTGGTTAGCGATATTGTGGATATTGGTGGCTATTGCCCGATTGTGACTACACTAACCTGCAGTTCGCGCGGGGTACACGAATCGCTTGGTCCGGTTACCGGATTTGGTGAATTCCTAGATTTGGATTTCCCAGGCAGAGCGTGGCCGCGATGATTATGGTATGATGATTGTATCGCGTGTGCGTTTCGCGCTTTCTGTGTTCAAAAGATCGCCGCTCGTCGTTATTTTTCGATACCAATGCTGATGTGTGTTCAGAATCCGTTCTGTTCAAGAGTCGCACTTTCGAGAGGCTCACGTAGTAAAGAAAAAAGGAAAGAATTGTCGCTTGTTCAACAAATTTGCCCGGCCTGCTCAGTGTTACCAGTTAGCGGATCGGCTTATTTACCACACTTATATGAATAACCGATTACCAAAAGTACTACCATATTTTGTATGCCTTTAAAGCAAAGGACAACAGATAACGATAACCAATCTATGGTCATCCGATATAATTAATCAACATCATAAATCAAAGAGTTCTAATCAAACTTAAAATAACTAAATCAAACGAATCATTCAATAATATTGGAAACAAATTAAATTACTCTTCAGTAAATAAACACGGAACAATATGTCACAAACCAGTGCCAGAAAATCATTTTTAAAATATTTTAAACTCTTAGTACACTACCAATCGATGTCACGAAATCCAAGTGGTCCTAATTTATCGATTATTAGATCATAAGTAGCGAGTGGTGTGCTTGGCGGGAATATATAAATGTTTGAAATCAGGCATTCAAAAATTAAAAACAAAATTTATATGTTTTCATCAATGCATATAAATATATTTTCAAACTGATTTTTTTTATATTTTAACCCCAATTTATTATTGTGTACAGAGAAATAATACACACAACATATCTCACTAGTTTCTTAACATTATTTTATTATAGGGTTTCATAAGTGATTTAAAATAAACTTGATCTTCACTATAATTTCCGTATATATGTTCAAAAACAGTGATAGGAACCTGTAATCCAATTACCGAAAAAATGCCCAAACAGCGTTAAAAATATGCACTTGAAAAATATTTGTACTATATACTTAAAGTTTTAAATTATTAACACGTTTACTGAACTTTAAATGAAGTAGGGAAAGGCAAAAATGCAGATTTATTTTAAGGATTTTTCATACTTTATCAGGGTTTAATCTACTATTATAATATTAAATTGATCACTGACCTGAAATTTACTTAATAAAAAAATATATATATAACTAAAGCACATATTCCTAAGACGAACAATAAAAAAATCAGATAAACGCATACTGTAGCCCAGTAAAGAATTTTTAGTTTATAACCCAGAAATAAATCTTGGGTATAACCAGGGTAACCATTCCGGTTATTTTGCATCCCCTCCGTATTTTTCCCCCTATGCCGGAACATTTCTTCGCCTTGATTTTGCATAATAAAACTGGAGCCGGTAGAAAATAAATTGAACTTTTAGAAGGTCCACCTAGAAAATATATTAAACAAATTTGATATGTTTTAGGAAAATGCACCAGATATCAGATATTTACACGGCACTTATTTTCTTGTTGATAATCCTTTGAATGAATATATTATATAAATTATATAGATTTTAATGAAATCACTATAGAATTGTTATAATGAACTTACAATGAAGTGGCTTTTGTGGCAAATACAATACAATCTTTAGGGTTTTAATTTAAAAAAGAAACTGTACACAAGACTAGGTTGTTAGAAGATCAGGTAGAGTTACTTGTGCGCTTCGGTCGAGTCTCTGGTTAGGATTGAGAACGCTGGTGAAGTGAGCAGAATTTTTGACTTGAATTGAGCCCAAGAGCTATATACATTTACACACATAAATATGCATTTATGTGCATATGGTTAGGAAACAAGCTTTTCCTCAAATTCCGACAGAGACGAAATCAAGAAATGCGCATGCAGCATTTAAGATTTACACTTGGAAAAACAACTTTCATTCGAAATCTGTGTTGGAAAATAGGAACCTGAAAACGTACGATTAAATTAAAACCATATCTAACTTTGTTAGTGGGTATATTTATTGATTTATAATTTATTTCAAATTGTTTTAGATTATACACATTTTTGCAAGGCTTGCCTAACCAAAAAGCGAATTAAATAATATGTAAGTTTGTTTATAGGGCTGTAGCATTTCGTATTATTATGATTATTATTTATTTATCAATTAAACTTAAAGTATATGTCTTGGACGGATTAGTACTAATTGTTACGAAAAAATTGATAATCATGCGAAAGTGTTGTGTTGAGTGATCCTTTGTAAGGAATCCAATTGAGGCCCCGTATAACATCGATCTCTGTAATCTGTGTGTCGTTTGTTCATTTAGGATATTGTTGCAGCTTTCCGTCCCGAACATTTCCAATATATTTAAGGTGTAATCAAGAGGACTTTGCATTTGAGAATACTATTCTGTAGTAATACTTTTTTATTTCAAACCTGTTTAACTATCCCACTTGGACTTTATGTATATATATATATAAAACTTTCAAGAGTGAAGATCCTCGAATCTGTTGAAAAAATCGTGTGCATGTGGCAGTTTGATCTTTGTATATATACATATATACATTTGTAACTAGAAGATATAGTAATTAAGCATCCGACATGTGACCACCTAATTTCGCGATTATAAATTGAAAAGTATTTCTTTTTTGTTTATAATTAAGTAATGATGCTAGGCTTCATGTTGTGACTGCTCATACAAATTTCCTATCAAAAAGATCAACGGCAGCGTTAAATCTAGAGAACACTTTTAACTAATATTAAAACTTTCACATACCATCATTTTTTTGTTTCTTTTTTTTTTTTTTGTTTTGTAAATTATCTACCTTGCTCTTTTCCTTTAGAACATATTTGATTAAATGCGAAATCTCAGTTGGGAGTGCAGAACACACAAATCGAATGGAGTTGATACCACTTTGAGAAAGGCTTTAGAATTTGGACTATCGGCTTTAGACATCCTCTGCTTCAAACTGACATTCAAGTTCTTCTTTATAGTGGCTTACTCTGTCAGGCAATTGTAATTGGCACGTTTGTTAATTATTGTAAGGCTATGTACTCATATGACCCATTAATGCGAATTAAATATAGGGGGGAAGGCATTCTTGAAACAGGCTGATCTGCCAGCATTCCATCTATCCCGATGGGTAATGATGGCCCCAGCAGTTTCCACGCAGAACACACGTCTACAATATAGGGTTTCTTTTTGTTTTCGGAAACCCTTTTTCGGAAAGGTGTGCTACTTCGATTGTTAATTTAACTCGTTATCCGATCCTTTTACCACTTGCGCGGCGGCAGTGGCATCTCCTTCTCTGCGTGGTAGACCCTTCGATGGGTCTCCACATATTCACTCTGCGTTTGGGTCTGGGCCAAAACTCGCTCGCCGCTCCTTCCCGGGGCCAAAGCCAGTGGATTCGACGGCAGGGGCTAAAAGTGAATAAGTGAAATATATATATTAAAGAAAATATCGCCAGTAAAGGGATCGATAACCAACCTGTCGAGCCCGGCGAGTGTGTGGAGTGCCCTCCGGGGAAGAGACCTCCATCTCATCGGGGGCGGTCCAGTGCTCTGTGAACTCGCTAGCGGATCTGGCCAGCGAGGGATGGCTGAGAGAGCGATGGAAGGAGCGCCTGTCATCGTCGTCGTAGTACTGCATCCGGTAGTAGCTGCTGGCATCGCTAACATTGTCCGGATGGTCCACCTGCGGACGACCAAAATCGACGGTCACCTCGGACATGGATCGGAAGTCGTTGTGGTCGGTCTGGTAGGAAGTGCGCGAACTACGGCGAGATCGCTGCAAGTTGAATGGTCCACCGGGACCACCGGGACCACCGCCGGCCATAAGAATGCCGGACATTCCGGGATCATTACGGATGGTTCGCACACTCGATCCACCATCGCTGTCGTATTCGTAGAGAGTGGGCAACGAACTGCGGCGGGATCGTGTATCCCATGGCTGTGGCGATGCCTTCTTTCCTCGCCTTGGAGTTCGCAGCTCCACATCGGGATCATCGTCGCCAGGTGGAGCCAAAATTCGAATGATCACATCCCATGTCTGTGGCTCAAACATGCGTTCATAGCGAGTATCTTGGCGAATCCTCTCGAAGTCCTCGCGAACCACCGCCTCGGTGAGCATGGTACGCAGCGAGGACTGTGTGGTAATGATCTCCTTCCACTTGGCTCTGTCATCGTAGGTCAGATTGTGAACCGAGCTGACATCATCGTTGCCAACCTCTGACATTTCTGGCTCTTCCAGAATGCGGATAAGCACATCCCAGTTGGGCACATCCTTGTCCTGTGGCGGCACTTCGATCGGCTTCATGTTACCCACCAATTCGGGGCTGGTCAGCTTCAGTTTGTTGTCGTGGATCTGGGCCGGAAGCTCGGTTGGCGGCAGGCTCAACTCACTGCGCTCCATCTTGGGTGTAAGGGTCAGTCCGGAGGCACTGGAGATGTCTGAGAAGTTCTCCCACAGCTGCTGCTCCCTATCGCTGGGATAGTTACGTACCCGCACATCGAATTTGGGATCAACCGGTGGTGGTGGCGGTGGTAGTGGTGCCCTCGGCTTGCTCTTGTATTCGGTGACCCTGCGCTTATGGCTTTCGATATCCTCAATGGTCTTCTTCTCGGTCACCGTGCGCAGATAGACGTCATCCACGGTATGGGAGGTCACCGGTGGCTCCACGGCTGGCATAAACTCATCCTCATAGTAATGCATTGTATCCACCGTCATATCAGGAGCCTCCGATGACAAGTCCGTAATCTCACTGGGCGCCGGGCCATCGGTATAATCGGACCAGGTCTCTGGACGACCATCCACAACCTCATGATGGGTTCGCGTGTACACGGAGAACTTGGGCTCCACGACTACCGGTGGTGGCAGTGGAATCGATTGTGGCACTTGCGGTGCAGGATGCAGTTCCGGAACATAGGTGAACTGCGAGTGCATTGTCTCCACCTGCGGCGGCAGGGAATCCATGGTGAGAACGCTCTCGCGATCCTCGTAGGCCTCCATTATGGTCGACAGATTATTGCGATCCGGACGCAAAGTGGCCACACTTTCCGTATCCGAGGTGACTGGCGATGGTGGTGGAGGTGGTGATTTCTTAACGCGCACCTGGACATCAAACTTGGGTGAATCAACGGCGGCCACAGCTTCCTGGATGGGAATCGAATGGCGGGTCACCGAGGTCGTAGTCATCACAGCATTGGCACTTGGCATCTCTTGGGCCGGAACATAGTGATCACTGTAGATGCTCGAAGTTTCGTGGACAAAGGCACGATTTTCGAAACTTCCAGCGGAACTGAATGGCAGTGACCTTGTATCAATCTCCTCAATTTCCGAATGCGATTCACTGGGGTAGTCCGAAGGTATCAATGCTCCCTCGCTGCCCGAGGAACTGTAGACCGCCTGGAGAGCAGCATGCGCCCTGGGAATCTTGACGCCCTCGAAGGCGCTTATATTGCCCACACTGCTGCCACTCAACTTGGTAATCTCCGATCCACTGCCCATGCTCATGGGCAGACGACGTACCACCGGAATGGATCGACTGCGCAGACAGTAGTACGAAACTGCCAGTCCCAGGAGCAGCAAAGTGAGGAACATGATCGCGCAGATGATCATCAGGATCTGGATGCTCTTTAGCGGCGGCTGCAGCACGGAACTGGTGGCAATGGGGTTCAGACTGTGGAAGGTCACGAGGTTAGAAGTTTCCTAGGACATTTCAAATGGATGTCTTCGAACTTACATTGGCGCTGGAAGGGCAGGTGGCAGAGAGGGCACTGGAGGCGGATAGCGGCAGACTATCGTGATGATCTCGTCGCCGTCCATCTCAAGATTGGCATGGAATCGTACAATGATATTGTTGGTGAACACACGGGTGGGATTCTTTGGGATATAAGAAATAACAGAGCAATAGATTTCATCGAATTCCTAAGATATAAAGGACACTCACCTGAATGGTACCGCATCCTTTGAGCGGCAACTCGAGTCGGTAGCTGAGAGCTCCCTTTCCACTAACGCGACAGGCGCTACTGCGATCATAGTCAGCCTGGATAATGCCATGGAACGGGTCGTTGAACTTGAGATCAACCTGTTAAGATATATCATATCCCTAGTTAGTTATGATTTAAGGGAGGAGATCTTAGATAGGAAAGTCAAGTACCTGCATGGATCCTGCAGCACAGTTGAGGGCGGCCTTTGTTCGGTTGAGGAAAATCAGTGGACTGATGTCGTCCAGTTTGGTTACCTTTAAAGAAAGAAAATATATAATATAGCTAGATTTAGCCTCCTTTTTTCAATCTGTATACAGATATATATCATCCTACAACCGTAGCTAAAACTATATTTGCTTTAGCGCTGCAATAATAATATATGAACCATATATACTTATGAGCTTAGACATTCCCCGTCAAACTAGGTGGCTGGTTCATGCATATTAAGTGGGAACTTTCTGCACGCTCGTGCTCCATTTCGATCCAAAAACAATGCCCTGGGAGTTTCCCTCGGATCTGTGGAACTGGCTCTGTGTAAACCCGAAGAGCCAGAGCCATTGTGAGTTTGAAGGCACTTCCATCGGAAGCGCAGTTACTGATATAACACTACCTTATAAACTGAACAGATGCAAATGCTCCACAAACGCATCTTTAATTTGTGGTTGCCGTTGCACTTCCTCATCGTACTTAGTTTTAATTAAATCTTTCGGTATGTGTTTTCTTTGTTTAAGCCTCTTAACATCCAACTTAGATGGACTTTGCTCTGAAATTACATCTTTCGGTATATATTTTCTCAGTTTTTTCCCCTGTTGGTCCATCTTAAATGCACTTTTCGACATTGACGACCGTTTAAAATGGACAAAATGGCCTTGCTTGATGTTGGGCTAACCCATGATTGCCCAACTGGCAGTTCCAAGGGCGTTACACCGGGTCAAATTAAGTGGGGGTCCAAGTGCTCACCTTGCCGTCCAGTGTCGCCTCCTCGGGCAGTCCATTTGTGGTGTAGTTACCGCTGTCACCGTGCTGCACATAATTGGACTGGGCCATCGTCTGTCCGTTGAGGAGAAGCATCAGGAGGATGGCCAGTAGGCCCCGCCATCCTCTGCTGGCCAAAATTGGCCCTTGGTCCGAGTTCATTTCGCTTGATAGTAACACGTCGGGCTCACCAATGCCAGAAAAACTGAAAGAAATGGGTTTCGAGCTAGGGGGAAAATTGAAAATAATTAGTTATGTAGACGAAAAACTTAGTTTAAGACGGAAAATAACAATTGGTGTTTGTTTAACAGCAAAACTTTTGTGATTTTCTGTTTTTAAAGTTAAAGCAAACGCTTTTATTTTTATATTTAGTGGCTTATTTGAGTTGATTAAGCTTGACTAAGAAGTTAAATTGACAATTTGATTTGATATTTGATTGATATTGGCCCAATGACCACGCCAACATGTCGGATGATTTATCTAACCAACATGGCGGATGATTTATAAAAACTAAATACTAAGAAAAACTTAGTTAAGAGTAAAGTAAAGAGTTTTATTGCAAAGTAAATATCAATATATTCCAAATTTGATTGATATTGGCCCATGTCAATATTCCTTTTATATAACCAACATGGCGTATGATTAATAAAAACTAAAAACTAAGAAAAACTTAGTCAAGAGTAAAGTAACTTAAGAGCTTAGTTGCAAAGTCATAAATATCAGTAAGCTAAGTATACTAAATATATTTTCTAGATTTTTTCTCCCATCTCCTTCCTTCAAAAAAAGTTCAAAGTAATAACTTGAAATGTCAAACCCTAAATCCAAGTGTCCAAGTGCATAAAAGCCGTTTGTATGTAAAGTATTGCTAGCCACAAAAAATACCGTTAGCTGCCTGTTTAGATGAAAACCAACATCTCCGGCTTTGAACTAAACTACCTCCACCTACCTCGCCCATAGTATTTGTTTCTTTAGTTTTGGTTTTGGTTTGGTTTTGGCGGCCTTCTGTCAACGACCTTCGCCCCAAATATCCGACGTTCAACATCGAGATACAAAGATACAAAGATACATACGTGATTCATGTAGAGCTCAGCTTGGCAAAAAAAAAAGCCCAGAACCTATTTTTCAAGCGGTCTTTTGCTGGGATCAGAGTTCTAATGTATCTTTTTCTTGTTTTTCTTACCGTGCTTTAAATACGGCTTTGATGGACAAGCGTGGACCGCTGCCGATGAACAGATGTTCAATGCCAAGATTGATAGGTCAGCCAACCGAGATTTGACGAGATGTGTGTCTGCCATCCGCAAATTACACTGGTTGGCAAAAACCAGAGTTTCAATTTCAATTTCTGAGCAATTTATATAGCTAAAAGTCTTTGTTGGAGGGCTGGTTTATATCAACATGGGTGTATTTTATTTACTTGAGTAAACTAGTTTATCCATAATATATATGCAGCCCATCCACTTACACTTATTGCATAAAAGCCTCTTGCCATACGCAATACTGTAATATATATAAAAGACTCGAGATGTAGAAGTTATGGCTGGTAGACCAATATAGCCAGACACCTACGACAATTTAGCCATATTTGTCAGTCAGTCGCCTTGAAGCGGATCTCCATCTCCCGACTGCATTGCGACAAAGCAAAGCAAAGGCAGAGAAAAAGCAAACCAAAAGCCAAGCCAGTTCAAGTCGATCCAAGACAACGGCAAAAGTATAGCAAAAAAAATAAAACTGAAAAACTGGCAGTGGCTAAAACTCTACTCGATATAAGCTTACCATTTTGCTTTTTTTTCTTTTTTTGCAAGAACGGGTTTTTCAGCCAGCCAACCAACACACAGAGATTCACAGATTCAGATACAAAATTCAGCCAGATACAGATACAATATACTGGGGGGGGAAAAATGGCTAAGGTACGTAGGAGCGATTTTTAGCCACGGCCCTGGCAAGGTAACTTAATGGTACACCTGGGCCAAAATCCTGATTTAACCATGCAGTACTGCATGCACTGGAAATATATGTACTTGTCAAGGTTGTTGTCACGTTTCAATAGACGAAAACTTCGTTATCATTTATTTGCTCATGACTCATGCTATACTATATCCCAGCTAAATGCGAAAAGAACTTGTTTTTGGTTTCACCGGAAACCCGCTAGATTACTGGCCATTTCAATCGGAACTTGTCAATACATCTGAGTATTGAATTTCTAAACTCTGATCTTTAAAATGTGATGATCTTTTCCTATACAGCATTTACAGTTAGGTTACTAACAAATATCTATACTATATGTTTTAAGTAGCTTTGGGTTGGATTTGTGAGTGCATAGAAGTGGAAATATTCTAAGGTCCTATGAGATGACAGGGCGGATGTTGACTCAATCATGAAAATATGCAATGAGTCAGTCATGTGTGGTGGCTTAGGCTTATATTTTTTTATTACTTTTTCTCAAAGCGAAGTGTGTGAGAAAGTACAATACTTTGTCAACTAAATAAATTTACTTAGATTGTAAGATTTTTAAATTTTTTAAAAGCTGTTTTCAAAAATTAATTAGTTATGAGTTAACATGATCATAGAATGTGTTAATAACAGAGATGCCTCAGAAAAATATATATTTATTAACTTCCAATTAGTAGTCGATTATTAGCCTTCTTTCTTATTAAAATATAATATTTCTTTATAATTTTAAATGTATTTCTATCAAACAGAATAATATTTTAGGTGTTAAATCTTTATTTTTATCAAAAGTCAAACTTCTTATACCTTTTTAAAAGATTTTACTAGTAAGATATATAAAAATATTAGTATATATCTAGGAATGAACTAAGGCTATGCTAAGCAGCTTTTAAGCTTACTAATAATCTACCCATAAACATAAGGAGAAACCTAAAAATACAGCATTTTCCTTTATATAACTCAACTAATTGCACCGGAAAATCATTAAAAGTTGTTGCTTTTTTTTTTTTGATTACTTGAATTCGCTAAAAAATTCGCAATTAATTGGATTAGTGTTCTTTCTCATGTAAATATTTTCGGCACACACATCTAAGATCGATGTATGTACGTATACATAAGCACACCTTTAGCCATGTAGTTACATACGTATGTGTGTGTGTGTGTGGGTATATCTTTTGTATGCAGCTTCACAGGCACACATATAAAAACACACACACACACTTGCACACACCAGAAGGTATCTATAGATAGGTTCGCTTTGTCGCTCAGTTGGAAAAAAAACTGGTATTTTGACTTGTTGCTCGCTCCGCTCGAGTCTCAAATACCCCCGATCGCTCCAACTTACTCCATGGCACCCCGACCCGTCCCTCCAGATCCGAGCTATGGTTTAATGATTACGCGACGACTGAGAGTTGCCAAGGTATGAGTACCAGTTGAAATCCAAATGCACTGAGAGAATGGTCTACTCTGTGCTATTGTTTGAAAATCTTTAAGTTTGAAATATAACTCTTTTTTAATTATTAGTAAATGTGAACTGGAAGAAGTTATTAAGATCTTAGATCAGTTCAGTTTATGTACGAAAGGGGATCTAGATATTAAGCAATTTATATTGAAACTTGGAAAAGTATCTAAAGACAGATTGCAAATGGCTAGTGCTAGTATTTAGTATCATGAAGTATCATTTTGAAACATAAACTTCGATTTACATGTAGAAAAGAGTAATTTCAGACTAAAAGGTATATAATTACCACCTTCTAAACCAATTTCCCTTGCTTTTCTCTCAGTGTATGTCAGGTATGTATCGCAAACTCAGGCTGCGCATGCGCTGTGCGCTTATTAAGCTGTCTTCTTCTCTCGCCCTCTGTCCACCCCACTGAGCTCATTGCCTCTCTGTTCCTCTAAAAGCGAGCTTGCCTCATCGAAATGCGTAAGCATCGGAGACACTGTTCAGTATTCAGTATTCGGTATTCAGTATCCACTGTTGTTCAGTGCTCAAGCTCTGGAAAACAACAGCTTCTATGGCGGCGGCGGCGGCGGCGTTTCGACAGCATTCCAACTGGGCGATACCCACGCATTAGCCATTAGCCATTAACCATGAATACCTTTTCGTGTACAATCAGTACTGCGAATCTACCTATGTAGGTTCTTGATTTGGACAGGTTAGGCTTAAAGAAATGGTGCGATTGTAGGAAAACTAGATTGTATTTAGAATTACTTTACTTTACTAAAGTATAATGGGGTTTTACTTTACTGTTTTACTTTCAAAGTACCTAAGAATACAAAAAATACCCTATCTAGATAAGTTAAAGAGTACCTTTCTCATCGCTAAAAAGAACATTAGAACTACGTTACTTTGATGCCCATTATTGGTATGAGTTTTATGGGTTAGAAATCCATTTCTATTCTATTCCCTAAATAATCTTTTAATAATAATAAATCCCATCCTAACATTATTAACCCTATTTTATAATTCCTGAACTCAACTATCGACTACAATCAGAACTAACAATGAGTCTACCATCTTGATGGTATGCAATAATTATTAGGCCCAAAAGCATAAGATGAAATTAACCGAGTTAATGCACTTCTTAAGTACTTCAGATTAAGTGAAGTGAAGTACTTGAAAAATCAGTAGCATTCCATCTACAAAAGGCATTCGTCACGATGGAGGAGATAGCAATTAAAATTGATGAAATCGATGAGAACTTCGGCACTCTGCCACTGCCACACTTCCGCCACAAGATATCAGATACAATTGAGTGAAACTTTCTCGGATCAGAACCAAAAAGCAATTTATTCTGCCAGGGGATTACTGTACCCTTTTGTATTTTTGTAAGGGAAAGCCGAAATATTGGTTCTTTTGTGACTGTCTTGGCTATTGGAAACAGGGCGCCACTGTCCACTTGACCGCACTATCGGCCACACTATGTTAGATTCTTTTCCTTTTATCTTTTTAGAAACCAATCCCATTTGGTTAGTAATGCGAATTCCTGGAAGATCGACGATGATTTGATATTGTCACACCTATCTCAATGCATTTATTTATTATGCAACACACATTTTTGCTATCTGCGTATGTTTTTTTTTTCGTATTAGCACAGTTGCATTTATCATGACAATTAAAAACTTAAACAAAAGTAGTTTTCTTTATCGAAGGTTGTTGGAGTTTTTGTGTGATGAGTTCGTAGTTTTAATAGGTCATTAGGATCGGATCAACAGAAAGCTTAGAGTTTTATAATATTTTTTATGGAGTTTTCAGATCACTTCTTTTTGATTTTACTTAGTCAGCATCCTTACCAGTTTTTAACACTACTTAGTTCACAGTTTAAAAATGGGGGGATTTCCAAATTTCCCAATTGAAAACTTTCAAAACACTTTAAAAAAAAAACAACTTTTTCACCAGAAAATCACAAAAGTTGTTTGGTTTGCCATTTGAAATGTTGTTTGCAAAGCCTGCTGGCCATTCAAATTAGCCACGCAGAGAGGAAGAGCTTTCGTAAGTGTATTATGGGAAATGGCTATGCAAAAATCAACAAAAAAAAGTTGTTAAACAAACAAAAAAAAAACATAAAACAAAACAAAATATAAACGTAGATATATACTTTTTCCGTTTGAGTCGCGTTTTGGACGTCTGTTTGTTATTTTTTTTTACAATATTATTAAGAGCCGAATTGTTGTATTTCTTTTTTTTTTTTTTTTTGTGATCTGAGACCAGACTTGTCTCTAACACTTGTCCGTGCCCGAACGCGCTCTAGTGGATAACTTGCTGGCGACTGTTTTGGCCGCTCGCGAAACGCTGGCCCCAGACTTGAGTCGGCCTTCTCGGCCCACAGCTTTTTGAGCCAAGTTGAGGCTGGGTCTCTGTGTGTGCACTTATCAATACGTTGTCTCGCCACCTACCAACTGGCTCTCCAGCGTGTTGGAGATGCTAGCCTGGCTAGCACGTTAAACTATACATCTACAGAATCCACATATATAGTTCTTGTTGAACTTTAATTTGGCTAGTAAATGTAAGACTGAGTCCCAGCACTGGCTAACAACAATCTGTCTTAGCTGTCTCTCTCTTTCTCGTGCTAACGCAATTGAAGTTCGTGTTTCGGCTTAAGCCTCGTTCACCTTTGTGGGCTCAGCGATGCACGACCATTTTATGGGTTCCAAAACCCCAAACCCAAAATTGAGAGCCCTATCTGGCCTATCTCTCTGTTGCCCTGTTGCCAAAACCTGTTGCGGCATACAGAGAGAAAACTCGAAGCCAATGGCTGAACATTGAAATTTGTTAAAAAAATATACAAATATTGGCAATAGCTAAGCTGGCTAAGAAAAACAAAGTGAAGTAGTGCAAGCATCTTGGATTGTAAAGGTCGATGCAATGACAGGGGCTTGACAATTTTTATAATCCCATTTAATACTTACATGTATTATAAAATACGAGGTGTGTTCAAAAAGTAAGGTGACTCTTCAAATTTCGCGAATTTCAAATTTTTCGATTATCGAAACCTTTTAGAAGTTTTCGAGTTGTGTTCAAAAAGTAAGGTGACTTTTCAAATTTCAAATTTTTCAAATTTTTCGATTATCTTCAGTTTTGGGAACAAGAAAAAGTCACATGGGGCCAAATCCGGTGAATATGGTGGCTGAGGCATTATTGTGGTGTTGTTTTTGGCCAAAAAATCCAAATCCTTTGATCCATATTTTTCGATAGCAAAAAATCGCCGAGCTCGCAAAACAACTTGTAACTTTACGCCTCTCACAACCAAACAAAAGAGGATGTTCCATTGAAACTTGGTACAGATGTTAGGGAAGAGTGTACCAATATAACAAAACAAAAAAATCGATAATCGAAAAATTTGAAATTCGCGAAATTTGAAGAGTCACCTTACTTTTTGAACACACCTCGTATTATAACTTATATACTTCTTATAACCTATATAAGAAGATAACTTCATTTTCTGTAGATGGGTAATATGTTTTTTCTTAGTGTATAGCTGATTGAGCTGACGATCCCCACTCTCTCAAGCGCCAAATCGCTCTCTTACGAGTTGGGGAACAGCTTTGTGGAACTTAAGCTTATGCTGTCGCAAGAAAAGCTTTCAAAATTTCCCATGCCAGCTTGAATTTTAAAAATATAAGGAAATTTCTCATTTAAAATATTTTCTAAACAATTTTAACAGGATAAGTAAGCAAGGTTAGAAGAAATAATATTATTTTCCCACCTAAAATTTATGTTTTTAAAAAGGCTATCTATCCACTTCAGAATTGCCATAGTTTCTATAGTATTCAAACCAAATCTCTCCTCTTTTGAGATTGGCAAAGACTGTAGCACTTCCATGTGCCAATCACAATTCCCAGAACAAGTCCTTATAAATTGCATAACAAAGAGGTGTTTGATTTTTGATAAATATATATATAAATTTATAAACAGAATAAATAAGATGAAGGAGGTCCGTTCAGGGCGCTACCTTCCGAGATAACGAGAAATTTGTTTTTTGGTGTGTTTGGAAAATGGATGAACATCCATTTGAATCACCAGTCGTCTTCCACTTCCTTGGAGATCTCAAGGAGGAAGGAGGTCTTGAAGTTTTCCAACTTACGCCGGCAGTTTCTGCTCAGCGGATTGTTTCGCAGGTCAACCAAAGCCAAACAGTCACTGGCTATAGCCTCTTCCGTATCGATTTCTGTCAAGGATTATAAGGATTGTATGAAAAAGGAAATACAAAATAGTATAGGTACAGTAGACTTACCCAATATGGCATTATTCTGGGCATCCAGACTGGTGAGACTCTGAAGCTTAAAGACTACTGGTGGTAGGACGATGAATGAGTTGTTTGAGATATTCAGCTTGGTCAGGGCAGTCAAGCTGGCGAATTCTTCTGGCAGCCTCGTTAGTTTGTTGTGTGAAAGATTTAGATCTGAAAGGGTAAAGTATTTGTAGAATATATCTATATATTGATAGTATCAATAACCCACCTGTGATGGTGCTGAACTTTTGCGAAAACTTTGGTGAGACGCTTTTCAGCACATTGCCACTGAGATTGCAGGTTACCAACTCTGTGTTTCGCATAAGGTGGTATACCGCTTCCGGTACTTGCATCAGTTCACAATTTGAAAGATCTAAAAGAAGGATTACAAAAATTAATAATAAAACTCAAAGTGAAAAGTGTTTTTAAAAAACAAATAGCTTTTTGGTATCGAAAAGCTTTCGAACAGCTGATAAAACTCTTAAGTTATTTTATTCCACAACATAATCTGTATATAGATTTGTTGATTTTTGGAAAATTCCTTACCTAAATTCGCATTTTCGTTGGCATTTTCACAACGCTCAATCACCTGCACCACCAAATGAGCCATCACCAAGCTTCCATATGATCAGTCCTTGCGGATTATTATTGATCGTTGGCAATCTTATCTATATATGCTATATATACGATATATATTTCCTAGTTGGTTTCCTGATTTCCTTATGTTAGCCCACAGCTAAGTTGGTCAGCACTGAACACGTGAATGGAACGGCCTAAATATAAATACGACATTTCCCCATCTGCGCACGCAACTTATTATGCGAAAAGAGCGCCGCTATCGGCTCTCTATATGCTCTCTTCCTATCATGTATATATACATATATGTATATATATATGTTAGTGAGTCAGCCAAACGATCGCAAAAGCTTTTTACACAAGCTGTGGGTCTGAGAGCGATGATGAGAAGGAAATTGTTTATTTCGTGGAAATTGCGTCTGTCCACACTAGCGAACTGCGATTTTGTTTTTGTTTCGGGAAAACCAACGAAATACAATGAAAACATTGATTTACAAAACAAAATTACGAGTGTTTTCATATTTTATTCGAGTGTTTTTAAAGTCAAAACACTAACCAATAAATAAGTTATTCCAGAAACGCAATTTCTTAGGCAGCTGTCTTCCTGATTTCAAAAATTGCGTGATCATTTTTTTATTTTCTTCTTGTTTTTATACACTCTTCGAAAATAAAACGTTTTTTTAATGTCTAAATGGCGTTGCTTTAAGAAAATTAAATCTAAAATCTTTTTGCATGACTAATTTGTAATAAAAACTAAAAGTTTTTACCAAATTGAAGAAGAAATATTACTTTAACGATTATTTAGTTTAGTTTTCTATTTTAATGATAAGATATAAGATGTTTTAAAAATAATTCATTGATTACTATTTAATAATAATGTGGCCTTAGGTTGTTTTATATCTCAGTGAGCCAAGACCAATATCTTTAGAAATCTTCTTCTATCCTAAGACTTTTCTTTCATTTCTTTCTATAAATATTAAGAAATCAATCATAAGTCTATTAAAACCTCGTAATAACGCAATCTGCGTATCAAAAAATCACAAACGCTATCACCTAGAGGCCAATGTCTTGGTAATTGGTAACCAACCCCACTTATCGGGCCCATTGATAATTACCTTTCTTTGTTAACCGAAGAGAATTTATGGCAAACAAACTCTGAATATAATGCAGCGACGCACTTCTCTGGGTAGTGTATTTTGGGGGGAATGAGGGGTATGAAAAGGCCCTAAATTATAAACAAATTGTTGCTTTTGTATGGGGAAGACAAAGCGCAATAACTGAAATTGGCAATTGGCCAATTGTCCATACTACGAACCACAGATGGAACAAACAGAAACCATCTAGTTGCAACTGCGTCTCAAAAAACGAAATAAGAAGATGCTGGTGATGGCAGTGGAGAGGTCACCATTTGACTTACCCAATTTGTGATTCTCCTTGGCATCCTCACAGCGCTGAACCACCCGGATGACACCTTGTCCAGCAATTGGCGGAAAGGTACCAATGCCACCGATCCTCGCTATATGTGGCGGGATATTGGGATCTTCTGATATGTTAATTTCCGCATTATCCTCGCTGTTAATATTGCTATTCCTTCCATTGTTCCGATTGTTGTCATTGTTGCCGTCATTGGGATCATTATTGCCACCATTACCACCATTGGTATTGGCCGGGATGTTTGTTATATCGTTGCCAAAAGGCCGCATCTTTGGAGATTTACTTTTGTAGTTTTCTTCTTTAAACTGGGCTTCAGTTGGCCTATATTGGATTTGTCTCACTAGATAGATCACTCAAAAAAAAATGTATATATATATAGATATATTCGATCACTGTTGTAAGTCTGTGATTTTTTGGATTTTTTGAACGCGAGCTACTTCGCAAGCCAACTGAACGTGACTCTCTTCCGCATTGAAATATTGAAAATGCTTTTTACTTTCGGTTTTTATAGCGCGAAGAAGAAAGAAAAGCTGCGCATAACAAAACAAATGAAAAATAAAATGAGAGGAAAAACAAATAATAATAACACACAATTTGGCAATATATTTGCACACCGATTACAGGATACTCTTGATTTTGGCAGTTAAAGGGAAAATCTAACCTAATACTCCTTTAAGATTTAATCTTTTGATTTGATTTTCTATACTGAAAGTATTTCAAATATGAAACAATAATGATTAAAACACAAAATGAAAGTTAAATTTCATTTGGCAATGTTTTGAAATAATAATTTGGATAAACCCGAGAAGTTGCTTATAATTTTGTAACTTCTTCTTAACATCTTCGTGAATTTGGATTTTATAAAAAGTTGGAGAATTTATTTTCATTTTCAATCCTTAGATTGCCGCTGTCTTTTACTAATAGTTTAATTTTAATTAATAGTTGTTGTTGTTGCTAATTTATTTAAGAAAGCATCTTAACCCCTTCTGCAGAGTATCGCTGCATCGTAACAAAATGTCTTGTCATCTTAAGAGCAATAGCCTCTGATATAAACAGTCCTTCTTTCTCTTGCCAATAAGCTTGTTCTAGCTGCGGAAAAGTGTAAAAGTTCAATGCAAAAAGAGAGTGAGTGAGAGTAAAGTGCCAGCGAGAGGATCGCACAGTGCACTAGCTAACAAATTACATCGTTCCTTAAGAAATATTTGATAAATATTTGTAATTTAACCAATTAATTCATATTAATCGATATATAAATATAAATATAAATTTATAGTAATTACCATTATCTTTTTGAAAACACTTTCATTGTTTGTTGACCAGTGTTATCATTGTAAAATGGTCAAAATACTTATAGAATCGACTTTTACGCATCAGCCAATTTGCTGTCTGTTTACCAGTGAAAACAAGTCATCATATTGAACACCTCATTTCCATGTAATATATGTAAATGAAAGTATAATATGAAAAATGAATACATCTATTTAAGATAATGGCCAATTTCAAGGTTGCCAAGGCTATTCTACCCATTATCTGGTGTCCATGGAGAATAAAGGTAGTTCCATGCGATCAAAGAGAGAGCTACAAGTTCTGCTCCCAAAAGCTATTCCATGCACTTTCATTAGAGTCATGCCGAAAGCTTTGGCAGGAAATGTTGGCTCTTTGGGATATTAGAATACCCTGTAATACATCTAAAGTTGTAGGAGACTTGTGTTATTAGTAATTAAACTTCATAAAATCTTCCTGGTTATTGGGATGTTCTAGAAATTCAGCCTTGAATGGGTTTCTAATGTATTAAAACCTTTTCGAAGAGTTTTTTCAAACTACTTTGCATCTAAGTTTCTTGTATGCTTCAAGTCGATACCCTCTTTGAAATATGTAACTGAAAAATTAAAAACTTAATTTCCTGAAAGAAGTATCTTTAGATCGAATCAAAGTGCGTTGTTATCTTAAGAGCAATAGCCTCTGATATAAACGTCATTCGTTCTCTTGCCAATAAGCTTCTGTTGGCTGTGAAAAAGTGTAAAAGTTCAATACAAAAGGAGAGAGAGATTGAGAGTGAGTACGTCAGAGAGTATAGAGCATTATCAGTGGAAAATAATAAAAATAATTATGCGTCGTAAATGAATCGTACTTATAGAACCGCCTCTTACGCATCCGTCATTCACGATTCCTCCGAACCGGAATTTCCTCTTGTTGAATTTGAACACTTGCCAGTCGTATTGGACATGACATTTCCACGTTTGCATATTTTATACTTAAATACGAATTTTAAAAACAATTCATAAGAATAAAGAGACAGAAAATCTATTTAAATCAAAATTAACCACTAGAACTCTGTGTGGAATGTATTTTGAAACCACAAATATATTTAATGATCAAATTCAACTTCGAAGATAACTAAAATATTTAAAGATACAAATATTCAAATCAACATCAAAAATATTTAATTTAATTTTCACACACACACTTAACTTATTCAATATAAACATATATATTATATTATACACATAAAATTTAGCTATAAAATAATAATTGAAATATCATCAAAAAATGTGAAAGAACTTAATGAACATTTGGTTAAAAAATTTTATTTGCCAAAACGAGTTTGAACTCTATTAGATACCATTGATGTTTTGTATTGAGTTTCGGGTTAATCCCACAATTATTAATATTTAGTATGTACAAATCTGTTTCAAAACTGACAAATAAGCGTATTTTGATTTGAAACAAATGGCTAAAATTGAAATACTTCTAGTTAAGTATGCCACAACACGAATTAAAAATGCCCATATTAGTTCACTAACACATTTCCAGTCTACTACTTAAGATTATTTACGAGTTCACCGAATACACAAGTATTTAACCATTGACTTTAGTTCTTAGATCTATTGCAGGCCCACTCCCTGTGCATGCTGTAGACCCGTGCACAGGTATAGCATTATAATGCTCAGGGCCTGTACCCTCTCATCCGATCTGTCCGATTTCCAGGGCGACGATTCCGTTGCCTTCTCGGCATCGTTCATTAGGGTATATCCTTCAGTTTCGGCATCTAGTGCTACCTTTAGTTTTGTAAGCTGTTATAAGATATAGATATATATAGTAAAATCTTATATATAGATTGATTCGCAACCTACCAACTCGTTTATTTTGGCCACTCGCTCGTCGGGCGGAAAGCTAACGTATAAATGTTTGCTGGTACTCTTGGCCAGATTCATCAGATCCTCGTTGCGGGTATGGCGAATGATGGGCTCGGTGATGACAATTACTTGCTCGAAACTGAGTTCCGGACAATCCATGGGCAGAGCCTCCAAATGCTGGGTAACGCTCTCGAAAGGATTCTGGTGCAGAATAGGAGCCGCCTCTTCCACTATCGAAGATTTTCTGAAAAGGAGTAGGGATAAGTAACCATTTCTTTCCTTCAATCTTGCTTGAAAACCCACCTCGATGGCGTGTGCTGGGGACTCGGAGGTAGGCTCTTGGAGTTTATCTGCTGACCACTGCCAGTTAGAGAGGACACAATGCCGGGTATGTCCAGGTTGCTTGCCTGCCGCTTGATGCCCTGAGCCAGCATTCCGGTGATGCTGGATCGATGGACATCGAGGTTAGCAGCCGACGGCGCTTGGATTTGGGCCTGATCCCCGCCAGAAGACGAGGCCGATGCCTCATCTAAAAGCGCCGCACTCGTGTTGGCATCAAGAATCTCTGAGTTGTCAGCCTGGGTAATTGTGAACTCCGGCCGGCTGGTCATCGCAGGCGTAGACGATGCTGCAGGTATGGAGCCGGAACAGTCGACTGGGCCACAAACGGTGGCCATCTGGCACTTGACTATGCACTTCTTGTGGCAGCACATGGAGCACTCCTGGCATTGCATGGCATCCTTAAGCCAGATTTTCTTCCCACAAAAGTCGCACTGCGTGGCCCGATGGAAGTGGGTCCTCACAAAGTCATGTGCCCTTGGCACGGCAGTTGTCGCACTCGAGGAGTCCCCGGATGTGGAGCTGTCCGCCAAGGAGCTGGATTGCTTTAGGAATGCTGCCTCGTGGGACTGATCCTCTGGTGGCAAACGCTCGCCAGCTGATAAGTTTCTGGATTTGTATAGGGAGAAGGTTGTGTTAAGACTGAGATATGATACCAGAACTTGGAACTTACCTAGCCGGCGACTGAGACTTGGAGCCACTCTTGATAGGACCATCGCCCACCGTCAAATTGGGATTACCTAACCAAGAGAAACCGAACAGAATGTCGCCGAAGCAGAGGTTTGGATTGAAGCCAGACTGATTGGACAGAGGATGCATCTTCCTGTGGACACAATTTAAACAGTAAGATAATAAAATGAATATAAATTAACTCTGGAGGATAACCTACACAGCCTGCAGTGATGCTGGGTTGAGACTAATCTGCTTGAGGCACTGGTTTAAACTGGTTTCCGAGCACTCGACTAGGATCTGACCGATCTGAACATTGTTGTAACCCAGGAGGACACTCTCGCCGGCGGATTTGCCAAAGACGCACACGTTGAGGAAGCGACTGGAGTTGTCCAACTGGAAGCTGCAGACGTCGTCCATGTGGATAAGTGGGCTAAAAGCACAGTCGATGGTGGAGTGCTGGTAGAAATAGTTGACCGGCTCCTCTGCCTCATCCTTGGCTTTGTCTTTGTCCTTATCTTTATCCTTATCCTTGTCCTTGTCCTTATCCTTGTCCTTATCCTTGTCCCGATCCTTGTCTTTATCCTTATCCTTATCCCGATCCTTGTCCTTATCCCCACTCTCGCGGCTCATAGTCTTCTTGATAGCCTTGGCTATAAGGTTAGATTTCTTGGGTGAGTTAGTGGGTGTTCCACTTAAGCCCGGCTTGACGACCAGATGCTTGGGTCCTGGATCAGGCACCGCTGCAGTTTCATCAGCTTCCACTCTCGGCTGACACAGATTGGGAAGGTCTCCTAAATCATCGTATTTGTCAAAGTCCTCCAGGATAGCATCATTGCGAATGATTCCAGGAATGATCCGTTCAATTCGTAAACTAAAAACAGTGGCCTGCAGCGTCTTGACCACCTTGGCAATCTGCTGAATGGTGGTCACTGGCTTGCCTTCAATGGCCACCAGAACATCTCCTGCCTGCAAGTTAGACTTACAGGCCGGAGTATTCGGTAGCACCGATTCAATCCTGACCACCTGACTGCCGCTCTGCTTGAAGACGATGCCGATTTGCTGGTTCTTCGCTTTGTGAATGAAAACATCCATCGATATGAGTACATTCCGGCTGTCCCGCTGATTGGCCTCGATAAAGGGCACTGGGGCTAGGGTAATGGTGCAGTAGGTCTCACTGGCTCCCGGATAGCCCATTAGCCGTGACAATTCCGCCAGCTTGACTGTGAGTAAGCCATTAGGCTGGATATCACAGTCGCCGGCATCCTCCTCCGCTGTCCAATGAAAGAAGGGCTTGTAGCGTAGCTTGTAATTGGGCAACGTGTGTTTCCGACGGACTGCCTTCCGGATTTGATTTGAGATTAGATTGGTTATATTCGACTGCATCTGCCGTCCCTGGTACTTTGACTCAATATCCAGGATAAGCTCCGGGTCACCCAGAAAACTAATTGACCAGTGCGTGTAGGGTTTTCTCGTGAACTGCAGACGCGCCATTCCCGACAGCTGCTTAACTGTAAAGATATATATATATAGCCTATATGTCTTTCTTTTTAATTTTGTAAATTAGTTCAAGGCCTTTAAACACTGAAAAGGTTGACCTATTTTTCTTTCCCCAAACCAACTCACCCTTAAGCGTTATCGATCCTTTCTTGCCCAGCACCATGTCCGCATCAATGGAAGTTGTAAAGTTGCCCACATAATTTATGTCCAGCAGCAGATCAAGGTTCTCGATGCGCTGTTCGTCCTTGTCCAACTCCACATTGTGCACCGATAGGGATCTGACGTCAGGGAACTGGTCACCCAGCTCAAGTTCTTTTATCTGAAATGTTAAAGGTCATCTTGTTAGTTCATAGCAAAGATATTGGATATATAGAACGCAGTTTATGGACACAAAATTAACTCATGGTTAGAATATCTATAGAGTATCATTACCGTAAGCTTGTCAAGAAGTTTTCCGGTGGTAGTCTTAGTAATCAGTTCGTCCAGTTCGATGGACAGCTTGCGGTAGAACCATTTCCGCACCCGGTTGGAGTTCTTGAACTCATGGAAGAGGAACTGCATAACGAAGTTAAGCGAGACCAAAGCAGAGGCTCTCCTTAGACTCTCCTGATGGTTTTCACATCCATTACCAGCACCAGCTCCAGCTCCAGCTCCTACACCGGAATTGGACAGCCTCTTCAGGTTCCGAGCCGTTTGCTTAATGTTCTGTGATAGAGAAAGTGCATAAATTAGTGATATGTAAGTAATGGGTATTGCAAGTGCTTACCAATGGCAGGGTATATTTGGCGTTCATCTGCTTCTGCTCTTCGCTTTCATCCGGCAAATTGGAGAACTTGATGAAGATGAGGTATTGCAGCAGGATCATGACCACACCGCCAATTAGCAGAAAGATCAGACACAGGAGTAAGATGTTCGAAATGGGTATCTCCATGTTGGCAGCCCGTTCAAATCTCTCTCTCTCTCTCTCTGTGTGTAAGACAAAATACTGTTCCTTCGATTCCTTAGGAGAACTGGCAAGGTTTCTATTCCAAGTTCAACTTTAAAATCCAAAGACTTTCGTGGGACACAAAAATCTGATGTCAGTCTTTTCAATTACGTTCTGGATGTGCACGCATTTGTATATCGTCCAGTATCAGTTAACACGTTGATTTGTTTTTGTTTTCCCTTCGATTTCGATGACCCATCCATTGGGATGATAGTGCGGATTACCTCGGCCGATTTCGCCAATTTGTGGCTGGGGTTTTTCCACCTAGCTTCTAGGAGCTGTGTAAACTCACAATTGTTACAACTACTGAATAGGCGACATAAAATCAATATGTATTCGCAGCACTGGCTGCGCCTTTTTTGCCTTTGGCCATCGACTGCGCATGTCTCTGGATCAGCTGTTAACCTTCCTGGGGGTTGATTTGAAGACCATCTGGAGCATAGCAATCAGCCGGAACTCATTGTCCAGCTGTTCTGTACTCTATACTGTTGGAATGAGAATTGGGGAAGAACGTTACCGAAAAGCCCTACGGATTGGCGGCTCTTACTGCCGGAGGTTGATAATTTTCGAAAGGGGGGTTAAGGCACTTAAGTCGTTTAAAGACCAGAAGTCCTTCCGTTAGATCCATTTTCATTCAGCTTGAAGCCTTTAAGAGATGTTTTTTAGCTTAAGCATTTTCCAAATTCAAACACTCAACTTTAGCAAGATTTTTTGTGTTATTTTTCTGACATTTATTTTCTTCTTGTTTGTTTTTTTTTATTATGGTATTCCTTTACTTTATGTAAAATAAGAAAGTATTAATAGTTTTATTAACAAATTTGTTGAAGGCAGGTATTTATGTTATTATATGTTTATGTATGTATATCTTGTATATAAATTACGAGTCATCTTTATAATTACATAATTATTAAATGTAGTTTAATTATCTCTAGCGTATCTTAGTAATTATTTTAACTGCTTTATTTCACTTAGTATATTAAATTAAGATATTTATAATATTCATTTCTTTTCTTACTTTTTTTTCTCATTTTTTTTATATATTTCTGTTTATTATTATTATGTATTATCATTACATTTTAGCCGTAACAGTTACATTTTGTCTAAATTTAAACTAATCTTTATTTTTATTATTATTATTAAGTTTTTGTTTCCTTTCCTATTCGCATATTATCTCCTCTCACATTCTATATTCATATTTTGTTGCTTTGTAAAAAAAAGTCAGATCTACTTACATATATATGTATTTTTTGTTTTTCTTTTAATTTTTATTTAATTTTTGGTTTTTGGTTTTTATGTTTTATGTTGTTCATGTAACCGTTCACACCAGACAGTAAACAAATAACAAAATATACAATCGAATCGTTAAGTTAAAAGTTTAATTTATGGTTTTCCAAAAAAAGTAAGCCACCTACGACATGAGACAAGGAACACAGGGAGCGCACCTCAACTTGGATTGAGGATTGGCTCGGCAGCAGCCTTGTATGCACTTCATCAAGGTTTGCATGCATATATATATATATAATAAACCAGCTTTAGAATATATATATTATGAACCTGCACCGAGCCATCATTAAGCTTATGGATCTGAAGGTGTATTAAACAATGATAGTTCCCATGTGTGATAGAGAGAGAGGAACGCAAGGATCTGGATTGGAAGAACATTCCTGTCCCGAATTCTTCTTCCCCGATGGAAATGATGTTAAATTTTGGATCCCTGCACTTGGCACCTAACCATATAATAATAACAGTAATAATAATAATAATAATAATATTAATAATAATAATAATAATAATAATAATAATGTTAGAATGTACAAGTAGGAGTAAAAGTTGGGCAGAGTTCGCGGTCGGCCAGCTGGGAGCCTACATATTTTGTTTCGAAAGACGAAGCGAAGTTTTTTTGTGGGCCTTAAGAAGCGAATTGAATTTGAAAAATGGTCAAGTATGCCGATAATTTGCTAACTAAATAGTTCCCCTACAGGATGGATTGGATAAACCGTCTAATATCGGAACGATATTAGTTAAACTATCTTCATATTTTGTACTCATTTCTATTTTTTTTTCTTCTTATTTTTGGTTTTATTTTTATTTTTTTTTTGTTTTTTAAATTTTATTAATATTTTCGTTTTTTTTTTGTTTGTTTTGTATTTAGTTTTTGGCATCGGGGCAATGATTCAGTAGTAGTTAGTTGAGCTAATGAGCCCTAAGCTGCCCTTCCAAGAACTCTACTGGCGTGGAGAGGATATATCGCTAGTTATAATTGGAATGTTTTATGTTTTAAGCAAGCGCAGTGCAAATGATGGTCAAAAATTCGGATCTTAAGCCTAAGACTGAGGACTTGAAACATTCGCCGCTTGGACAAATTTCTTATTGGAAGTAGTCAAAAGTGAACCTCGGAAATACAACGTGCAACGTGTGTGGTTTTGTGTGTGTTTACAATTAATTGGAGAGTGAATTTCTATATCGGCGATCGTTTTTTTTTCTTGATTTTTTTTTTTTTTTAGACCTTAGCAATGGAATTCTGGTTTTATTTGATACTAGTTATAAACTATTGTATATTTATCTATGTAGGCGTGTACTGTATATTGAATTTATGTTTGTCGGCATCCGTAATTAAGATAATTATAGAAGAATACGCTTGTCGGTTTCCTTTCCCACACTCCATTTCTCTAGCTTTTAGAAAATCGCCATGAAATCGAAATGGTTTTAAAATTTTGGAAAATGTATCCAGAAAGAAAGTCCTATACATAAATAAGATTTAACATAGAAAGTTTGAAATTCTTCAAAAATAACGTATACGTAACGTATTACGTATTCGTAATGTATACCTATACGTATACGTAACATATTACGTATAAAATTAAGAAAACGTATTTACAAAATTATTTATAGATTATAAAAATCATAAAAGATACAATTTCTTGAAAATTTCTACTTTTATCTTTGCATTTTTGCGAAAAATAACAAAAAACTGAATTCATGGGTAAAAAATATTACAAAAACTGAGTTCTGGTTTAAGGAAACTTTCTGAAATGCGTTTTTAGAATATTTTAAAAATACTTTCATTGAAAAGAACATTTTTAGAAATTACTTTCATGACGACTTTCCGAAATTCCATGCCGATTTTGGCCTTTTTTTTTTGAGTGTATATTTTGGTTTATCGTTTCTAGGTTAGTCGTTTTCCCTATTCAGTATTGCTCAGTTAATATTTAAGTATTGTACATGGCTGAAGTCAGCTCAGTTAAGTTAGTTTAGGGTTAGTGTTTTTTCTTGTTTGCTAAATGTTTTTTTTTTAAATATTTTTTTTTTTGATTTTTTTTAAACTGTTTTTTTTTTTTTTTGTATGCATTCTACGACTCTAGTCATCGTCTCATAATCGTAATGGTAAGTTCATTTGCTGTGTAAATTCGCATTACTGCTCAGCTGCTATAATTATTTACTTAAGTTATGGATTCATTTCTTTAAATTACAATTATTGTGCGCTCTTCGATATCCCGTCGTCCAAACATGTACGATTCGTCTATCTATACACATGATCTCTGCATTTTATTCTCTGGTTGCTCTTGTTTTTGTTTGGTAGTGTAGAGTAGGCTGGAGGGGCTGTGTGCATGCATATCTAAATATTTGAAGATATTAATGTTTGAAGTGCCATGAGCTCTGCATTTTTACACATTATACACATTCTATTTGGAGTATGAGGAGTCGGAGGTGTGTGTATGTATTATATCTACATATGTTTATGTTCAACTTGCTGGATTGTAAAAAACAATGCATTTCGATTTATATTTATAAATACATATGGATATCAATTTGATTGGAGATTGGAGTTGGAGAGAAGCTAATTTCAGCATACGAAACTCTTTCGGAAATACAGACAAACAGAAGCATTGACCTTTCTTCGATTACAGAAAGGGCGTAATAACAGAAGCACTATATGAAGAAATCTAAGAAAGAAGCTAGTGTATGTTCCTAAAGTCTGTATACACGAATGGCACTGGATGATGCTACAGACACTTTATCTTGGTCATAATTCAGTTTCAGTGGTTGTATTATAGATATCTCTTCAATAATCTCCTCTTCTGTGAAGTTCTTTAAGTTACGATACTAACAAAATATCCGCTCGAGTATAAGTTTAAAAAACTGAATAACAAAAATCGTAGGGGACGCTCATTTGTTGCTATTATAGCTAATATTTGCTATCGGGTTCGGTTTTTTCTTGAAGGTATTTATAATAGTAGTCGTAGGCAAATATATATATATATCGATATATATATATATATATTACATACAAAAAAAAATTTGTTATCTACAATTATCTGGTATGTACATAGAATAAATCAAAGGTCGCATTTAAATACACATAATCGAGTTACTAACTTTAAATACAAACAAGACAAAAACGCTTGCAGATTACTGATACCTCGAGCTAAGTCCTAGATAAACTTACAATGTATGCGAGTACCTACAATTTATATTCCCTATGTACTTATAGACCTAGATCTATCTCTGTGTGTGTGTGTGTGTGTGTGTGTGTTGTATGTGTTATGTGTGTGTGTGTCTGTTTTCGGCTTGAAAGAGTTCTGTTATCATTGGTTTTGATGTGCTCTTCATTTAGGCTTGTCCTTACATTAGAAAAAAAGTACAATACACTTGATCATATTTCATATCTAACATTAAAGTTGTCTACTCCTATTTCTAGGCAAATCTGTAGCTCTAAATCTGTTTACACGTCGTCCTCCTCCTAAATCCCATTAGATTTTCTCAATAGAATATCTTTCACTTTACACATTCGGTTCAGTTTCAATTAAAGTTGCACTTTTAGTGGATCTGGATTCTGGATTCTGGATATTGGATTCTTGATCTTGATTCTGGATATTGGTTTGATCTTGATTCTGGATACAGGATAATGGATATTTGGTTATTGAGACCTATCCTCCTTATAGCGTATGATACGAATACTGCGGATAGTGCTGGTGGTGATGTTGCTGCTGTTGCTCGTGTTGTAGATCTGGTGTGGTTAGTTCTGGTACTGGTGGCTGGTGATAACGATGAGCTGCATCCACCACCTCCACTCGGTCATTATCATCATCATCATCATCGTCATTAGCTCTTTCGGTATTATAATTAATGTCATTATCTGAATATATCTTTTTAATAGCTAATGGGGACGTTATTGTAATTGGTACGCTTAATATCATTGCTTCAGTTTTAGTTGTCCTTGGTGTTATTGCAGTTTTTCCGGTTTCATTTCTTTTTATATTTCTGATGAATTCGATATCGGACTGGGGCGATGTGGCTCGAGTTTCTGGCAATGATGCCATCACTGGAGATCCATATGGCGGCGGCACACCACGGCACCATCTTAGCCACTCAAGTCGCCCCTCATGATGATGCTCATCCAATGGTTGCTCTAGTGCTTGCTTCCGTTGCGATTGCGATTGTTGTGGTCGATTCGGGTTTAATTCCTGTAAGCTTACTCCAGCCAATTTGATATCAGATATTGTTGTTCCTAGTTTCGGTGTCGATACATTCATTTCATACCTTCGATGTGAGTGGTGTTGGTGTTGGTTTTGATTTTGCTTTTGCTGTGGAAGGAGGTGTGGCTGTGGAAGGGTTTGCTGATGTTCGGGTTGGTATCTGTGTCGTATCGTATCAAAATTGTGATCTAAGTTTGGTGCTGACAAAGAGGAGCATATGGCCTGATGCTATACCCAGATCTGATCCTTTCGATTACGCGATCGCAATCAAAGCCTTTGCTAGCACCAATCCTCCTCATCTGAATCGGAGTGTCGAGGGTTCAGACCGCTCTTTGGCTTAAAACCATTTAGAACTGGAGATGGCAGTACACGACCTGTTCGGCCCATAGCTAACGCTTGTTCAAATGACAGCGGTGCTATATATTCCAGTCTGTTTATAGGATATAGATAATATATCAGTGTTCATATTTAAGATTCTATCGTACTTACCTTTCTCTTTCGACCTCCCGCTCGCGATCTCGTTCCCGCTCGTACAACTCCCGCTCCCGATCCCGGTACTCGTAGCGCAGGTCGTACTCGTGCAGGCGATCGCGATCCCTTTCTCGATCCCGATCCCTAAGGCGTTCGCGATCCCGCTCGCGTTCTCTACTACTATAGTACATATCCCTTGGATCTCGCAGCAGGTCGCGGTGGTGTGGTAGCGAGTGAACACTGTGGGGCGTTGAGTGGTGTGTCTAAAGGGCAGAGATTGTTAATATCGTAAAAGATAATACCTAAAAAAGTACTTACATGTGTGGGACTCGCATTAAGTTTGGGGAAATTGATATTTGTTGGCTTGAGCTGCAATGTTGACGGTTTGCTTGGAGTCGGAGGAAGCCGCCGACCAATTCCAGCTCTTCGGGATGCCAATGTTGGGTAACTATGCTGGACATGCGTTACACCTGTGGGAATACGAAAGGCATTACTTCCCTGTCTACCGAACTGGTGTTCATTTTCTTTTTCTTTTTTTTTTTAAGGGCATTAATCGTTGCAAAAATACTCTGCTGTTATGAGATACTGAACAAAGTGTACCTGAATTTGATCTTCATAGACAATAACATGGACAATGCTTAAAACATACATACAAATATATATATTTATGAAACATAAAATACAAATGGGACATGTTCGGAAATAAGGTTTACGATTTAACAAGTCGATTAGTCGATTAGGATTAACTAACTAAGTTTTGTAAGGCAATCAGACAGACTTTTGTGTTTTATAGTTTTAAGACAGATCTTTTGTTTATTTTGTGCGATATTTTTAGGGGGTTATGAAATGTGCAATCTTATTTGACTTTTGAACTCTGAAAGTACTTGGGGGTTACTCATGAAAAATACTGAAAATACTTTCAAAATTCAAAGTTTACAACTTTTTGCACATTTTTTCGTGTTATTTGAAACTCAATTTAATTTGTTTTTAATGATTAGGTGAATTTATGAAAACAAGAACATGTCCCAATCAGAGAACCATTCAACTTTTACGATGTTCAAAAAAGATAAAATGTTGCTATGCAGAAAATGCATTCACTGTATCTACGTTGATAAGCGTGTGCAATTATTATTTTAGCACCTAACAGAATCATACAACTTAGATCAAAAGAATATAGAACAGTAACGATAGTGCTATATATTATATATATATTATGTATTGAGAGGAATATACACAAAGTAGTTGGATGATTTCTGGGGATATGGCCGGTCGGCAGCTAAATTGTTCATGGCAACATGCATGACTGTTCGATTTGGTCTTTGATAGATCTAGATATATATATATATATACATATATATCGTATAATGCATAAACGAAAAGGATGGATTAAGAAATGGTGCATTATACTATTGACGCACATTCATAGATTAGGATAAGATAGATAAATATGCACACACGTCTAGATACTGAAACACCCAAAAGCTGCATCCCATAATAATTCCTTCTGATAAAAATAGATCAGTCGATTTTACCGCCCACAAAGAACAAAAGAACAATAAAAAAAAAAACAAACAAACTTGAACAAAATGTAGGTACACAAATATTGATATTGATATTGATATTGCCTGGTTTATCTTTATGTAGTGGCTGGACTTAATGGGAACATGTAGCAAGCTTGGAATAGAGATTCTTGGTCAGTGTCTTGTCCTGTGCTGGTCAGGCTGACAGAGGTCGATTTCGAGATGGAATGAACAAAAAAAATTCTATGACGTATGGCTTACGAACTTCACCTTCTTGCAGGAGGAGGGGGATGCACTAAGAAATTATGTTCACTTATCACTTATCTCACCCCTATCTCACTTTTGAAAGTAACCTGTACTACGTTCTTTATAGTCCGTCGTTATAAGTCCCTGACTTCTATCCTCTAACTTTTGGTTCGAAAAAAAAAGAACGATACTAAAACCATTTAACTTGCCAGAGAGAGATTCAGTGTGTTAGTTAGAGTTAGTTGAGAGATGAGGATGAATGTCTGTACATGTCAGAGTACCATACATACGAGATGTGATTATAATATATAGGGTGGATGGTACGAGAGATGGCATCTAGAGAAATGAAAACAATAAACGCTGCTAGTGTAACAAGAGTACAAGTACAAGTACGAATAGTTGAGCACATTAGTTATGATGTCATCGGTGGTGTGGTAGAGATCGGAGATCTGAATGAATTGAGATAGCTGTGTGGGGATGGACGAGTATGATAATTATATATAGTATAAAAACTATTCATTATTAGTTGAAGCTTATGATGGACTGATTGATTGATTTGATTGTTAATCTGATTGAAAGTCTGCGGCATGACAATACATGTACATGTTAAGCATGGTTGGCAACTATGTACGAATACGAGTTAGTTACGATTTACGATTTACGATTTACGATTAAGCATGTCTGATATCTTGAGATGTTTTGTAAAAAGTTGAAATGGTTGAAGTTGAAATTTGTGTAGAAGAAAATACTAGCATATATAGAAAACAAGTTGAGTAGTTTTTTTTTTTTTTTTTTGTTTTTTTTGTTTGATGTTAATTTTTGATCTTGTTGGACTTTAGTTAACAAGTGCTATAAGGATGTACCCATATCAATCCCATAACCAAGTCTGTCTCGTTCACGCATCTCCTGAAGTCTAGCGGGACTCGGCGATCGTGATCTTTGACATAGACTGGTTGTCCCATATGTGGGATAAGGCAGTTGAGTGCGTTTACTGCGAGACAAATGACCACCATATCGAGAAGGCGAAGGCGAACGGGCCGGACTTGTCGATGCTGACCATGAACCTATATTGTACATATAACAACAATAATAAAAAAACGTAATAATTAAGGATGTCGGGGCACAACATTTTACGTATGTATGTATTTCGGTTTGGTATTTTAGCAACATATTTCTTTTTTTTTTGATCATTTCACGATTGTTCAGATTTCTCTTGAAGAGTTCAAAAGAAGAACAACAAAGGAGAGGACCGGCTTAACCGAAACGAAAATAATATTATTGGAATATATATATTATATTATTGTATTAAAAGATTTCGTTAATAGCTATGGAATTGTAGACATATAATATATATATATATGTATATAACTACGATTCTACAAAATAGATCAAAAATCCTTGGTATTACCAAGTTCCAGGTTATGTGTGTGCCCATTGCCAGCTTGCCTTCTATATATATACCCATAAAGGCCCATATAGAGAAAATCAGAAAGATTAAACCGATCTAGCAATTGGCACACACACACACACTCGCACACACAATATCAGTCAGTTTAGTTAAATGTCAAAATGTCGAGCCAGTCAATACCTCTTGGATATCGCGGATGACTGTTGCCATGCCTAGGATGACGAGTCTCCTTGACCATCTCTACAACATTAGATACGGTATCGGAGAACCCGATATCATGATGTATGTATTGATGGCCACGCCGTCGAGGACTTGGAGATCGGGCCAGTGGAGAGCCATTGTGCCTGTTAAAGAGTTCAAAGTTAAGTTGGAAATTGATTTATATAGTAAAAGATAAAAGAAAATACTTACCTCAAGCTAGGCGATCGCCGATGACCATTCATATACGAATGTCCAGGATGTAAATGGCCAGCATCGGCACCGGTTAGTGATTCTTGCGATGGATGTCTCGATGCGTCCTGTAGCTCCAGCATCTAGTTGGAAAGATGTTAATGGAGACCAGTTAGTAAGCCAATTGGATCACCATGAATGCCACCACTCGAAATCAGTCCAAAAAAAATAGTGAGATTTAGGGGTATAATTTTGGTTAAGGTTCAGGTTCAGGGGAAGTAGGTTTGTTTTTTCGAATTGATTTTTAGCGCACTTCCAGCTGTCCGAATCAGATTCTAATTTGGTCGAATTATTAGGTTAGATTTCTCTAGACCGATTTCTTGTGGATTCATTCATTGCACTCATATGTTTTTTTTCCTTTTTTTTTTAGTATTTTTGTGTATTTATAAATTAATAACTATAGTTGTCCATTGCCCCATAATGGAGCGTTGGCAATAGATATATATATTTTTGTACTTGGTATATAATGCTACAAAATAAATATACATAGAGACATGTATGCTTACTTTGCGGGATATATATTATGGTATTTAAGGGGGAGAGGGGGGGGATATACGGTATATAAAAGTAAGCAAAAGCAATCATTACTCCACTGCAACAAAATACATATTCAAATGCGTTTGTAAAATTAGTTTACTAGATTGTATAGAAAGGTTCTTTTTTAATGCGGGATTATATTGGTTTTTTTTTGGTAGTTTTGGATTAACCTATATTTAAGGGCATATAACATTTAAGGAATTCCATACACTACTCGGGCGTATACATATACATATATACTTGGTCACTTTCTGTTAACTTTCTGGATGCCTTCTTCTCTTGTTTTTGTTTTCTTTTTTGCGAAATGATATGACTCTGCCATATTGCGTTTCTTATTTACGCCAATTTCTTTCATCTACGTTATTTGATTTTGTTTTTTTGGTTTTTTTTTGGTTTATTGTCCTATATTTATGGTGATATGATGTAGTACAAAAGAAGTTGAAAGCAAAATACGACGTAGGAGTAACAACAGCAAGTATTAATCGATCTTTGCATCTAAGAAAGTGAAGATTCAGCTAGATATTTTCTCTACAAGATATATCTACAAGTTATTAAGGATCTGGTACATGCATGTGTGAGTGTGTTTAGTTTAGCGTCTATTTGGGAAAAGCAGTGATTAGTTAAGAGTCAAATACCAAGGCGGAACAACGAAAGCTAAGCAAACGGCCATAAGTATGTTGTTTTTTTATAGGCATGCAACTCTAGTTTAGCATTTTTTATATTTGGTAATTAAGGTGTGTGGTGTTAATGGTTGGTGGTAATGGGTTTTGTGGTCAGGTCCTGAGTCCTTTTCCAATTTGGCTCTTGCTCTTTTGGGGGGCCGTGGAAAGAGCAGGTTTTTCGATCATTCCGACGAACTTACTTACTTACCGTACACAAACCATTTCGCATTTGTGATTGGACTAACGAATAACATTTAAATACCAAAAACTTTATACTTATTACATTCAAATCGAATTCGAAAACAATTACTACCTACACATAAAGCCGCCTTTATATGTGGAACTAGAGGGTTAAACTCGCTAGCAATCAATAATCAAACTGTCTTCGCCTCACTCTAAGTCGTTATTATTATTAGTGATAAACAGTGGGCGGGAGTACATTTAAGTGTCCAAATTACAGATCGTGTGCTAAGTGGTGGTTTGCTTTAACTCTAAGAGAAAAAAGCAACTCGCTAGTGTTGTTTTACGTGTCATTGAAAAAGAAAGTGTTCCCTACAAGTAGCTAGGAATTAAACTCTAGTTAAATATTACACATAAAAAGAAAAGTTAAGTTCCTGACTTGGACCCGCATTTCTTATACAACCTACCAACCTTTCCTGCAAATGGCTTTATGTGTACGTAGAAAAGTCTATCTGGTCATTTCCCGGCTTTCACTTTCGAAGGTTAATTGGATTATTATGATTTAAGCACAAGTTTATCGGACTTTGCCCAGAAGGCTGTGAGTGGGAACAGAGTTAGAACCGCCAACTTGTTTCACATGGCTGGCTGGCATGGCATGCCTGTGATGCGAATTCGATTAAACGACTGATGTGGCAGAGGAGTTGTTGGAAAATCCTTATTTGTTCTTTGTGTAAAATGAAGGTGTCTCGATATGTCTAGGTCGCAATTGTACTGGGATTGGTGAGTTAATCTTACATTGCTGGCAATTTGTTTTACGTGAGAACCAAAGATGTTATTGCATTTGCCTATTATTACGCTATTTGCTTAAAGGTCCTGGCAAACTAGTCAGTGAAAGGGGTCTTCGAATTAAGAGATTTACGATTGCAAGTCCCTTTATTTGGAAACTACAAGTCGTCAACAAAGTCAAAGAGGCCTGGATAGCCCACTCAACATGTTTGAGAAATCACTTTATCGATAGCTTTAAAGTGCACGAAGGACCAATGGATACTATTTTAGACTTAGAAATCAAGAATCCATAATGCCACTTTAGCTTATTCATTACAATATATCAGATTTCTGAACAGACTTGGTCCTTCGAGCATTGAAAGGATTTTGAGAACGGAGGGAAAGATCGGACTGTGATTCATTGGAGTTGAGTGGAGCTAGAGCCATAGCCAGAGCCATAGCCAGAGCCAGAGCCTTTCAGTCCACTGTTCGTTGCCACTCTTAACTTGTCCAAGGAACGAACGCCTACGTACATAGGAGTACATTTAGTGGTTATAGAAACGATCAAATTACAACATTGAGTACGAGTACGAGTACTAAGCCAAGTTTTGCGTTTCTAAATTTTGTTTGTTTTTTAATTGCTATGCAACATTTAGGTACGAGTATGTATTGCACTATTGAGTAAACGCAAATTAAAGTTTTATAGTAGGTTGAATACGCAGTACACACATGTGGGCATGTATATATGATATATGTATTTATATATATGTATTATGCATGGAGCGACAAGAGCCGATGATCTGGCATATTATATTCATATATTTTACATAGTCATAGATACGTCACACACATTGGCGCGTACATACGCTATACATATACTTATGAGTGAGTATGTATTTAAAGGTACTAGTAGATTACTTGACTTATAATCGGTTTTGTGAACAACATTTATATCGGAAACGGAGAGTATGGACACAAAGAGTATTCACATATATATTTATATAATACACAATTAATTATGATTTTTGATTAGTAAAATTTTTGTAAATTTCATTTTGGTTTACCGCTTGGAGTTTATCAAACTTATTCACCTTTTTGTTTCTGAAATATTTAAAAATTAGAAGAAAAACAATTTACTTATGTCAATGTTTTCGGCAGGATTTTTTGTTTTTGTTTTTTTGTTTTTGCACAAAGGCACAAAGAACTTGTAAGTTCGTTTTGCTAATTGTGTTGTTAGATGTTGTTAGTAGTAGTAGTTATTGGTATTTCGATAGTGTTACGTGTGTGAAACGAAAGCTAACTTATGCATTATGTATGTTAAATGTATGCTGCTGTGGTCCTTGACGATCGGATCAGAGAGAATATGCGAAGGATTAACTTGGAGGATATTAATCGAAGGTCACTTTAGAAATTTGTAATATTCTTAAAGATTTACTTTAGTTTGAGTTTTGAGTGTTAATCAACAAACAGCTTTTTGGATTTCCAAGGAAAACTAGTTTTTGACCTTTAAAGACGTTTAAGAAGTTTGGACTGAATCGCTCGTTGACTTGTTCAAGTTGAGATTAGGAGGGATTAGGAAGATATTATATAGCATACTTTTTAGTGCAAAGCGGAATAAGTATTCCTAGAACGAGTCGTAAGGTTAGAGCTTAGAGCTTAGATTAACTAGATTAGAATACAAAAAGTTAAGACCACTCGTCGTTGTTTTTTGTTTTTTTTTTATGGATGATGATCGAAATGGCTGGATGATCGAATGATAATGGCAATGGCAATGGCTTTTATGATACTTTGCACTTTACGGACTATGATTTAAGATTGAAGCTGTTTTAAATTACCTAACTGATCGCTTTCTGATCGTACTCCGCCGTGCTAGTGTTGCCAAACTGTTGTGTTCGGCATCACCGTTTGCGTGGTGGTGGTGCGTGCTGGCTAACAAATGTGTTTGTGAGTTGGCGGCTCCTTCCCCATTCGGCTCGAAACTTATGGAGCCCTGTCGCGATCCTCCTTTGTCAAGGGCGGCCATATCGAGTAGGCAGTTAAAGAATGATTGTTTCTACGATTTCGTTTTAGGCAAGTTTTTGTTTAGCAATTTGACCAGTTGATAGTAGACAGTAGACAGGAAAGTGCAGTGGTTTTTGTTTTTTTAAATTTGATTTTTGGATTTTCAATTGCCATTCCGTTCCGTTTTCGTTTTCGTTTTCGTTTTGTTCGTTGCAGTTCGTTTTCATGATTTATTTTTTTGTTGTGTATTTTTTGTTGTTTATTTATTTTTTGGTTAAGTTGGAGTTTGGTTTTTTAAGTTGTAGAAATACAGATTTCAGATAGTGTTGCAATTGAGTTTAATTTGTTGTTTATTGTAGACACAGTTGTGGTTAAAGTTGGGTGAGTGGTGAATATTGATGTAGTAACATTGCAACGCATTTTGGGATTGGTTTTTGTTTTTTGGTTTTTATTTTTTGTATAAGCATTGAAAATGGAATGTAAGAATTATTATAGAATAATTAAAGAAATATGAGTAGTAGTAGATTACAGGAACAGAAATAATAATCAATTATTATCGCATATATGTATGTACATATGCATAGTATATATCGGTTTATACATATGTACGATTATGTATTAATAATAATGATGGGGCCATAGAGCCCCCAGCTTAATATCTTTACATTTAGGTATGGTATATGGTATATATATATTGTATTATATAGCATTTCGAGATGTGTCGTCAAGCTCTATATATTCGGATTGTGTTCGGTATTTATTATGTGGGTTAAAAAATGGTGGCAAATGTATATCAAAAGAGATGCTGCTTTCGCTTAAGTTTTCATAAATAGCTTAAAAGAGAGGCTTGCTTAGTACGGTAAAAGCATGCGCAAACATTTTTACAACTCACTATGATTTAAAGAAAATCTAAGAGTTACCGCTATAAGACAAAATTGTTACAATCGTTCTGTTTTTTTTTTTTTTATTGTTTTTTATTATTTTTTAATTAATGTTATTAAGTGCCAATTTAGAGAGAAATGGTCAAACAAAACAAGTGATTACGAGATTTAAGGCTGTTTACTATGATTAAGAAAATAGTTTTGGAAAGAAAAACTTGTGGAAATATGATAAAAAATTAAAAGAAAATCTTTGATACCCATATGACATTGTAGTTGAAAGATTTAAGTTGCAAATTCATGAATCCCTCAAAGGTTATTGATTAAAATCTAAGATTTGTGACAGAAAAAGTAAAGTTTTTCTATATTAATTAGTTAATATTTTTTACACCCATGTCATATAGGCATTTAAGTATAAGAAAAATTCGACCGATTTCATTAAGATCTTCCATGCTTATTGTTATTTTTGAAATGTTTAATTTTGTGTCTTCAGATTGATGCGATCGCTTGGCTACCTTAAGCATGCCTATTTAGCAGATAAGATTACTAGAAATTCGGTGGCAATTCGACTTGTAAACAAAAAATATTAAATATAGGACATTTGCCTGATAGATTGTCAAAATTTCCCTGATTTTTATTCAAATTTTAATATTTACACTAAGGTTTCTTTTTTGGTACTAAGGGTTTTGTATATTTAACTCGAAACTATGGCTTTGACGGTTTGTATCAAAATGCATCCTTGTGGTTGAGTGCAACAGTCCGTTTCATACTTAAAAAACAGTGCGCTATTTCTTAGATGTATAGAAAAAAAGGAGGCCACTAAAGTGAGTAATAAACTAAAGGACAAAAACTTCAAATGCATCAACACACAAGGACTTAGACGTTCCACAATTTTTAAATTATTATTTGTAATTTTTGAGAGCCCTTTGGGGGTATTTTATTTCCTTAAAATAATGAGTTATTATTATTATATATATGTTATGTTAAAAGTTCCTAACTGAAAGATTTTGTATATTTTTTTAATGATTTCATTATACAGATTAGTTGACAGTCACCCCAATTTGAAGAGCCCCAATAAGATATTTGGTTTTAAGTTCTATGATCATCAAATTAATCATTGTTTGATATTAATATATCTTCTTTTTGTAGTATTATTCTCTGATTTTATAGAGTTTTTAGTGGTTACTCTTAGAGTTTGTGTATAAGCTGCATATTGGATGATCGCAAATCAAAAAGATTTAGTACTCCCCGTGATTTCCATACCTTTCCCTGCCCTATAAAATCCCATTTTTCCAGCCTGTAGCACTTAAATACCCATTCTTTCCTTCTACTGCTAGTACAACCTCTATTACATTTCCGTAACTACACAAGATATCACTTAAAATTTCAATCAATAGAGCTCGACACATGTTGACCAACATAGGTTTTAAAGATTACAACTCCCTCTCATCATGAGACCTAATGAGAAAAAATGCCTAAAAAGTACAAAGCTTTCGCAGGGAGAGGATCCTTAGAGGAACCTTGAGAGGAGGATAAAGCAGGCAACCTACTATCGATATATCAGACGACTGGGCCTTAAGCCCAGAATGACGGATAGTGCACACAGTTCTTCTATGGCTAGTGGGTGTGTTAAGCGAAACATGACCATGGCATTGCAGTTTTAGGGTGTTCATCTACAGCTGGATAAGTATATAGGAATTTGGATGTGTTAGTATTAAGTACTTTTGGATTTTGGTTTTTGGTTGCACTTGGTTGCTGATTTTTTTTTTTTAGTTTTTAGTAATTGGGTGGGCAGGCTGGCTTATGCTGATGTTTTTTTTTTAGTTTTTAGTTTTTCCTAGATATAGTTAAAATACCCTTAGGCGGGTATTCTTATAAACATGCCGCTAGCCGAGAATGGTGAAAAGTTGTACAAAATAGTTGAGTAGTTGACGCAAAAAACATGTGGTTAGAGGAGGAGCTTTTATTTTTAAAGAGAGGCGAAAGTAAAACCAAGCGAAAGATAGATAGGTATATATATATATTTTTATATACCGGCTCCTCGACGGCCGTTGGGCTATATTTATGCTCATCATCGTCTTCCGGCTTCTTCCGCTATTGATCATTTTGATGTAATTTCAACATATTACATCATCCAACATCATCAATCATGAATGTTTTCATTTTTGTATTTTGTATTTTAAACATGAATTTTTGAATTATTGATTTTTATGATTATCAATTTTGATTTGTCAATCGATCGTTTGTGTGTTGTGCACAAAAACAGGATAACAGATAAAATATTTGAATTAATTACTTCAGTACGTGTGTGTGTGTGTGTGTGTGTGTAGTTGTTGTTAACCCACTAAGGAACGTTTTCTCAATGTCTAAGGTTAAGATCAAAGATCCTAACTGATCATTAAGAAACCGCACCTCTAAATGGGTGAGGATCTTTAGGGAATATGTGATTATATGAGGGAGGATATATTCCTTGAGTATTTCTTCAGAAATTCCCTTAATAATTTGTTCTTAAGTTATGCCAAATATACTTTGCAAATTTATGTTTTCTGTAGTGTTAACTTTGTGTTGAAAACAAAGGGCAAACCTCTAGAAACTTCTAAGAATCAAATACGTGTCTTTAAATCTGTTTTCGATCTTTAGCTACTTAGAACGAACATACAATCGCAAACTGTAGAATCAAAATATACGAACTGGTCAACTCTACCGATATATATATGGGAATATATATATAGTTTTTAAGTAATTACTTAAAGTTAAGCGACTTCTACTGAACGGTATTTCCATAGCTCATTACACGAGTTAACAATAACCGTCAAACCCTAAAATGGGCTTGCAATATTTTCTGCTCCCAATTTGGATATCTTTGTAGTTTTCTTTTTTTTGATTTATTTTTAGAAAATTATGCAACCCACACAGTGGCAGATCCAAGGAAGGAATATATAATAATTATCCAATTTGAAACCCCCTTTGGATCCACCCCTGACTGCCCCACACATTGACTGCCCATAAATTCCAAATTTTGAGAGTTGAAAATATTCTTTGAGATCAGATCTGATAGATAGGGCGCGTCTGTAAGCCACTTATGGGCAGTTGCCTGTACATATACTTTGTAATTTATATATATTTCGATATATGTACGCAACTATGTGGTTATATATGGCTTGTGTCTAAGGTTTCGGGTAATTTGTTTCACATACAAACGGGCATGTATGTGCTCAATATATATATTATATAAAGGTATATTGTATGTACAAATGTGATAAACATGAGGTTGCATATAAAATTAATTATATACCTCCTTCCAGTTCTGCATATTTTTCATTATCTCGTTTTTATGTTTTTGTTTACAGTTTTTTTTCGTATAGTTTTTGTTTTTTTTAGATATTTTTTAAGTTGTTATTCAATGAGAGAGTTCATTGTCAATCGTATGAGAAGAGAAATCATAATATCACATATTTATTTCATGTTATATATAGACTTTATGGAATATTTTGTATTTGGTGTTGTTTATTATTTAGTATATATATGTATATTGTTTGTGGTAGAGAGAAGAAAGGGTATTCAAACTGCGCGTTCTCTTGTTCTTAAAACGTAATATAATATATAGAAAAATCGCCCTAAATATCTGATAAATCCTGCAGTTGGAGTTAAGAAAAATTAATATATACACAGAAAATGTAATAAGTTTGTAGGTTTTTCAAAGAGACCTTTAAAATTACTTCAGAAAACTTCATAAAATCTTATAAAGTTTTATAAAATCAAGTACCTGTCTTCAAAATGCAAGCTTTAAAAACATAACTTTAACCTTTCTTTAAAATTTAGGGCGATTTTTGCAAGTGCAGCATGAGCTTGAAGTGCTTTGAAATTCTAGAAGACAGAAAGATAGTTGATGGAAATGAATAGAATCTGCCTAGACTTGGACTTAATATCAAGACTTAATCGAGACATCTCAATGTAATCCTTAAAGGATCTGCCTAAATCTGAGATTTCATTATGCCTAAAGATTCCTGAGAAAGGGGTATCATGGAAGAGAAAAGACTTCTTGACTGGTTAGAGTCCATGTCCATGTGGACATCTAGACTCGACTCTACTCTCTGGAGCGTTTGTAGTTTTTTGTGTTAAGGGGAAGGTTGGAGGATGTAGTTATTAGAGAGTGGCTTACCGGCATTCCCGAATCAAGTTGGCCAAATCGTGTGCTCCGCCAGGATTCCAGGATGAGGAAACCTGCATAGATTTTACCCACTGAGAGCTTGCCCTTGTTCAGCTGATCGCTGGGTGGCACCAGCAGGTTGAGCATCTTCTTCGCCTGCAATGGCCAGATGTTGGTGATCGTCTCTCGCAGTTCCATGTCCGCCTGGTCCATCTCCTCAGCTGATGGTTAGATTAAAGTTTCTAGTTATTATAACTATTTTTTCTCTTCATTTTTAATAATTAATTTTTAGATTAATTTCACCTTTTTGTAGGGTATAATAACTATATCTACTTACGCGCTCTCATTTTAATGCTCAGATTCTCCCGAATCAAAGCGAATAATGTTGTGGTGAACTGAACTCTCAATTCGTCGTCCAATGGCATGTTCATTCGTATTAGCTTCTTGTAGGCCAATCGATTGGGACACTTGTTGCCAAATCCCAACGGTGGATCCATATTCTTCAGCATATCGTACATTTCCGTGTAGTGTATTTTTCCACTAGTTATCCATGGGGGGAACACAGTAAAAGTTAGTGGTAATCTCTCAAGGAACTTGTTTCCATAACAAGGAGATCTATAGTCGATTAACCTGACTATCTAGTACCCAGTACTCAAGGGGTAACTACAGACAAAGTGAGTACTGAGTTTTTGCAGTGTAGTCAAACGGCTGGGCCGAAAGCATGCATGAGTCTTGGGGTTTTTAGGAGAGAAGTTAAGTTCGGACTTTGTAAAAGACTTTCTTTCTGACTCATGCATGAAGTAATAAAAGTAATAATAATAAGTATTGCAATCCTCTTTCTGATCCAGTCTAAGGACTTAAGCCCAACTTGTGCACAAAGCCAACAACCAACGAGTATGAATCAAATACGACCAAATAATAATCGTTTAATATAAAGTTAGCCCACCAAGGTGGCTCTCATTCATTTTTGATCTCTTCAATAATGACACAAATTTGAGGAAACTTAATATATGAAAAACTAAAAACTAAAAAAAAGAAGAACAAAATTATAAATAATTTGAGTGAGGGGGGTAAATGTGTTGTACTGTGATTTGTATATTAAACAGATAATTACGTCGCATTTGGATCATATTCCGCCCATATGCGCACAAATTCGTCTAAGTGATGGGCACCCAAAATGCTGGAGTCCCTGGTGAGATAATCGAAATTATCCATGATGACGGCGACGAAGAGATTCAACATCAGGAATGAGCAGAAGAATATAAACGATACGAAGTAGGCATAGGCCAATGTGGATCCACAGTATTCTCCAGGTCCCTTCTCGGCGTCCTCGTCGCAGGCCTTGCCCTTCAAACATGCCAGCATTATGTTTGGCCAGGCCTCGCCAGTTGCGCACCTACATTACCATTTATACATATATATATATATATATATATATATATAATATATATAACACAAATAATTAATACACCAAATAGATAGCCTAGTTCTATATATAGATATATATGTTATGTAGAAGGTAACTCTAGATGTTTAGATGATTATGGTTAGGATAATGGCTTTTATGAGTTTTATGTTGGTTCTCGCAACTACTGACCAAGATCTATATATTTACAGTTACAGTAATGGCACTCGGTTGTGCCTGAGTTATAAAGAGAAGTGTATATACACACAGGGAACTGCAGGGGGTTTGTAACTAGGACTGGATTATGGTTATGGGTTTTCTGTTTAAGCTTACTCTATTATATATAGAGAGAGAGAGACTATGACTATATGGTATAGATATGCAGTTTAATTTTCGCTATTCTTCAGTTTCTAAAACATAAGGCTATAGTGGCTAGCTATCACATCTACTTTATACTTTCACATTATTAAATCGACAAGTTCTAGACAAGGTTATAAGATCTATATATGATATATCTTAGGGATTGCAATGATATTTTCATCTTTTGCAGTCCCTAAAATATATATTTACCAATAAAATATTATAACTAAGTTGTAGTAAAACTTATTTGTATTGATAATACTTGTAGTTTAAGCTATAAATTTAAGCCATTTAATGATTGAAAAACAAAAACAATTTGGAAATGGAATGATGTTAGAACTTCCCACTCTGGTTATAGATTTAAATACAAACTAAGTTACGATATTAAGAAATACTTATGACTGACAGTTAGCTAAAATTCCGGACAGACGGATTTTGAAACCAATTTTGAATAACTTTTTCTCAATACCTAAGTTCATGGTGTCAATGAGTTACTCTATATATCCAAGTTAGATGTGCTAGTAAAATGTTAGATAATGACATGATTTTCATACAGACATACGTCAATCGAGAGGTCTATTAACTTTGCTAACATTATATAGTTTTATATATATATATGTAGATATATAAAGAAGTATATAGAGATATAGGGAGGGGCAGATCGTTTTGCGTCGTACAAGTATATAACAACTATATATATATATATATAATATATGTATGTTTATGTTTTATATAGCTAAAACGTAAATTACCAGCAATAATGTAAAACTATTTAACTTTCATTTAAATCTCAACAGATTAACTGCAACAACGAAAAGTGCAAACTTCGAAAAATCAAGCTGCGCTCAAATTTGGTTTGTTTTTTTTTTGTTTTTTTTTTAATATATAGCTCTACAGGTTTTGTAAGTACATAGATATTACATATATGTATATTCCAGTTTTGATTTTGAATCAGTGTTGAATCAACTCTAGAACTCAATCTACTTACACAGGTATCAAAGAACTCGAATTATTTGTACGCAAAAACGAATGTATGTAATGAAATCGGTTATCTGTTATCGGTTATTGGTTTTATATATATTTCTTTTGAGATCTGAGTTGAGTTTTATATATATTTGATTGTTTTAAGTTGTTTTCATGGATTTACCACCGTTTATATATATTTTTTTGGTTGTCACAAATCCGATCAGAAGCTTGGAAGAACCTCGAGAAGAAGTTATATCTAAGGCTAAGACAGTCTAAGATCTAGAGTTTGCTATATATATATAGATATTCTATCTTCGATGTTTCTAAAGATCTAAGCTAACTGACATATATCGTTGTTGTTGTTGTTGCTAGGGTGGCTTCACTTTCAAGATGCTAGACACCTTTTAGGAGGACCCTATCTATGGACACGCTATATAGTTATATATAATATATATATGTAAGATCGCTGGAAAACTGTAACGAAAATCTATCAATGCGAACATATGGATAGTGGTATATTTAAATTATTCTAACTTGTATTATATGTTAAAACTATTAACTTAATTACTGAGAATCGAAAACTGTTTTTGGTAGTTTGTTTTTTGGATAGTTAAGATATCTAGATCTAGGAGAGATCTAGAGGAGTTACGTACCTGAATAGCAACATGACGCCTTGAATAAATGATTGGAAGTTGTTGTGTCTAGTAATGGTATTTTCCACCGTACCTAGTTTGATATTCCCGAACACCTAGTCACGATTCAGATATCGGTAAAGAATGCATTTGATTATTTGTTCTGTTTTTGTTTTTTGGTTTTACAAACTGAAATTGGTTAAGTTAGATTCGTTATACACATTTTACACATTATCAGATACGTCTCCACCTTAATCGTTATCTTCTCCACAATGCTGTCTCTCACTGTACTACAGAATTTGAGGGGGCGGGAAAAAAAATAGAACCCGCTTGATCCTTACGACAAAAAACGGCAAATCCATCATGTGTGAGTGGATCAGGATGATCATAAATATATGTATATAAATGCTATATATATAATGTGTGCCGACTTCCCCTGAACTATAGCAAAGTCGTTATGTTGATGTGTAGTTTTGTGTGTGGTTTTTGATTGGTTTTGCAAATTGCACAGCTAAAAACATTGGAACAGAAAACACTTAGTTCATTTACTCAATCCATCAATCATAATCGGGTTTTGGGCATCACAAACAAGCTTACTAAACGAGGTTGCTGATCATACAAATTATAGTTTATATTGGTGGTGCTATATACTAAACCCATGATATGTTGGAAAATTAAAGAAAATAATAATAACTGCATTTAAAACACTTTAGTAAAACTTTTTAATGACTTTCTGTGGGTCTAATTCGTTCCTTACTTTTGCTATTTATATTTTATATTCTTACTTCTTAGATTTTCTTTTAAGTACAAAGATTTAAGCCTCTCCTAGGCTAACTTTCTTTGGTTTAACTGCTTATTTTTATGACATATTTTTAGGTTTAATATCTCAAACAACTGAAAACCAAATAATAAACATTTATACAGCACAAAAACAGAAGAAAAATAAACAATTTATGACTATAAGACTTCTGCCTTAAAACTTCTTAAGTACACCTCGCAAAAACACAAATATTAATCATAAAAAACAACTTGATTAACTAGCGCATCTATGTACAATGTTAAAACATAATGTGCTATGGCTAAGCTACATTCACATTCGGATTAGTGATAGAAACGAGAGTCCAGGATAATGGAACGATTATTAAAAAACAAAAGCTACCAAATAGCATACGAATAATGTAGCTCACAAATCGCAAATCACAAATCTCAACTGCAAAGCAATACGGATCAAACGACTTATATAACGCATACATTATATCCTTGATTTATTGCGAATATGTATATATAATATATGCATAAGCTTTTTAAGTATTTTTCTCAAAACATTTTGAAACATGGAGACTATGGATTGATGATTGAAATATTTTTTTTTTTTTAGAGATAATGGGGAGTTTGACCACAGCTGGGTTACCCTCTATAGTATATATAGTTAAGTATAGAATATAATAACAATAATAATTACACCGATTGAGAAATCCGTTTGGATAATAATAATTTCGTATAATGACTACAGAGAGTAATGTTTTGAGTATAGAGGTAGAGGTGACTGTTGTGCCATCTTTTGGGTAATATCACTATTCAAATACTATAGTAGGCTAACTAGTTAACATTTTTGTCATTTGTCTCGTTTACCGAAAGAGCAGCATTATTCCACCGGAGAACGACTGGAAGTTATTGTGGCGGTTGAGTTGAGTGTCCGGATCATACTTTATGTTGCCGAAAACCTTTTGGTTTGATGTAGATATTATAATTGAATAGGCATTAATCGGGCATTAATCCATAAACCAATCGACTATTCTATAAGGCTAAGTCAAATATGGGTTACTAAGGCAAAACTAAACGAGGAAAACTATATATTTATATAGTAGATATATACTTATTAGATACTAATATGATTTTGTTTAGAGATCAGCCCGAAAATATATAAATAGATCCCTTAATGCAGCATAGTATCAGTGGAGAACCCAGCTAATCAGATATATGGTTTACACCCTAGCTTATCCACTCATCAGTTTTACAAGTTATATATATATATAATACTTTTAGGGTTAGGATCCTTGGATCCTTGTTCGACTTACCTGCATGCCAATAATGGCGTATATAAAAAATAGCATAGCTATAAGCAAACAGACATAAGGAAGTGCTTTAAATGATTGTACAAATGTCCACAGTAGAATTCGTATGGTATATCCTTGGCGAAGTAATTTGATAAGTCGCGCCGCACGAAATAAACGCAGGAAGCCGACGTTGATTGAGTTCGACTGTAAAATATTATTGGCCAAAGGAAGAGAGAGAGAGAGTGTGTGTGTGTGTGTGTCGGAAGGAGTAAACAAATCAAAAAAAGAGAAAGAGAAAACAGAATGGATAAGGATATTGGCATTAGAAAGGTTCAAGTTCCCAATTTTTGTTTTTTTTTTTCTTCTTCTTTTTTTGCAATACAATTTCGATGAGCTCTCGAGGGAGAGACTCAAGGGAATGTAAGGAACTCAAGGAACTAGAAGGCGTCGTCATCGATCTACGTGATTCGATGGGTTTTAATCTAAACTATCGATTAGTAGTAGTAGTAGTAGTAGTAGTAGTAATAGTAGTAGTTGTTGTTCTAGAACTAGTACTAGTAGTAGTAGTACCAATAGCAGTACTAATAGTAGTAGTTTGAGTATTAGTAGTACTAATAGTAGTAGTTTTAGTACTAGTAGTAGTAGTACTAATAGTAGTAGTTTTAGTAGTAGTAGTACTAATAGTAGTAGTTCTAGTAGTAGTAGTAGTAGTTCTAGTAGTAGTAGTACTAGTAGTAGTAGTACTAGTTGTAGTAGTAGTAGTACTAGTAGTAGTGGTTCTAGTAGTAATAGTACTAGTAGTAGTAGTTCTAGTAGTAGTAGTACTAGTAGTAGTAGTTCTAGTAGTGCTTGCAGTAGTAGTAGTAGTATTACTAATAGTCGTTCCGTTAGTAAGGCCAGTACCAGGTGAAGTAGTGCAGTAAGTATGCGGTTAGGAGCAGTTTGTTAGTAAGTAGTAAGTAAGAGAGTTACATACATAGAAGTGGCAGTAGTTTCACTGGTTAGTTAACAATCAAAATGAATCATTTAAGCTAAGTTAGTTAACAATTCGCTCTATCACAAAAATATAAGCAAAAATAAGAGAACTAAAAGCAAAGACGATCCAATTTGAATTTACTCATCGTATCGTATTTAGTACATAAAGCCAAATGCTAAACAAAAACTTGTCTTTTCAACCATTTTTACAGTAATTGTAATATACATATTCTGATTATGTGTTTTTGCCGCAAAAAGTTAATCAAACATATTAATAGTATTTAAATTTTTGAATTTTTGTGCGTTTTAGGTGTTCTTTTTTTTTCTGTGTAATTGTCTTAGTGTTTCATGTTTAGATTATCACCCAAAAATAATCAAAGTGACTTGTGCGTGGGGCATTTTTGCCAAATACTAATTAACAAACTGTACCAAGTTGAAGATTAAAAATTACACATATTATTTTGATTGTTCGTCTAAGGAAGAAGAAGTTTGGAAAAGCGATGTTTGTGCGTGGGTTTTAATTTTAAATTTTTTAGCATTTCGTCTAAACTAATCGTCCCAAGGTAACACAAAAAAAAAAAAAGTGGAACATGCGAGGCGTGTTCTACATACGTATTATTCAAAAATTTGAAATGGGCCTAGGCTGGCGGCGCAAAACAAAACCAATTGGACAGTACAACAGTTAAGTAAGTTATGTACATAATCTCGATTTGGAGAAATCATACGTTTGCGCAGTACTAGTTGCTTGTACACGTTGTTTTTTTGGTGGGTGTTGTTGGTTTATTTTTAAGTAACTATAACTATAGACGGGGGCTTTGGCCAAAATATTTTACGCATCAGCTGTTGAAATCGAATGCATGGGCGGATGCATTACAGGATATCCATGGAGGAGATGATCCTCCATTTCAATCCGTATGCATCCGATCATACGTGATTTGGGCTATAAAGTGCAGGTTAAAGGCTTAACCTTCACACAGATCAACCGCTGATTGAAAGACGCATACCGCCTCACCGTGGAATCTCTGCATTTGATATTTGACACTGTAGAACATGGAATTAGGTATATATATATATATGTACTATAATATGATTATTAATATTGCATATGTACACTGAAAACGAACAAGGATTAATTCAAAACCGAACGTGTTCTTGATAAGCGGGTAGTCCTGAAAACGCGCTTAAATGTCTACGAAAAAGATGAAAGTTATTAAAATAGAAATTTAGGCCAATTTCGGGATTACCCTCTATCGATAATCCCATTCGGAGGTGAATTTAGTGAGTGTACGTACTTAATTAATGATCTTGCATATACTTAAAGTTAGAGAGTGTATATATGGTATTATATATAGAAAGACAAACAGTGTGTGTTTGACTATGAAGTCTAGAGCGGATGAGGGATTTTAAGATGTTTGATTATTAGCAAAGATGTGACACAAAACGGTCGTTGGCTTTTTTGCAAAATATTAGTGAGAAGTAGTACTTAAATGGGTAGAAAATTGGCAAACTGACGTTACCAATTCTTAAATCGAGAGTTATATACACGGGTATATAGTATGGCATGGGCTAAGCAGAAAGGCTAGAACTACCTGGGATTCTGCACTTGGCTAAATGGGTTTATGCGGGTTGAGAGATACTAAACAGATAGAGTTAGAGAGGAGATATACAATGAAGAATAATTCCACGCTGTTGTTCCTTGCGAAGATGCGAGAATCTTGGGAAACTTGGGACGACGCACTTAAATATATATATATATTATATAGACTATTCTAACCCAAAAATCGAAAATGAAGGATGCGGGAAAATACACACCAAAATATCTCTGTGTATGATTACAACCCTGTCTAAGCTCTGATTTCGCTAACTAAGAGTAAAATTACGTAGAGAAAGTGGGCGAAGAAAATAAAAGAAAGTTTCAAACTTGAATCTACAGATGATTCATCGATGCGAACTACTCGTATATAAAGTTGTATCTTTTTTTTTTTTTTTTTTGTTAAATGGAAATTACAATTTGTGGTAAACATTCTGGTTGAAGTTAAGGTTTAGCTAAATTGGCTAATTAGTCAAAAGAATTTTGTTGAATGTTTTGTGTGTGTTTTGTAGTTGTTGGTATTTGGTCATCGTTGATGTTTTTGAGTTTTGTTAGTTTGGAAAGTAGTAGGTAGTAGTAGTAGTAGTAGTAGAGAGCTTGTTAGGATAGATTTGTTTACTTACATCCTGTTAGTCAGAAACCATTTTCAATTGGAATTTTTATTGGATTTGTTTTGAGACAAATCAATGTGCCCGCGCAACGCATAAATCGCATAAAGAAACGATTAATTTAGTTTGGTTTTTATTTATATTTTTTTTTTTTGTGGACGATTCAGGCAATTGTTGTTGTAGTTGTTGTTGTTGTTGTTGTGGTTGGTGTTGTTGAATTTATCATTCATTTATTCGTTTGCAATCAGATATTCGGATATATATGTATATATAGTTCAGATCGTTGCAATTTTTTCAAGCGAATAACAACAAGGAAATGTTTATGATTGTTTTTTTTCAATTTGGTTTTTATTTTTGTTCAGTGCAGTTACTCAGACGTTTGACGATCGATCACAGGTCAAACGAAAGTCGTTGGGCGGCGTTCGATTTGTTGATTTTCGTAATGGTTTTTTTTGAATATTTTTTTTTTTTTTTTTTTTGAAAAATACAGAAAACAAATAAGAGTAGAGTTGAAAATTAGTAGGACAAGTTGTCTGCAGTTTGTAGCAGGTATACAAAGATAGATCAAGATCAATATCAGTAAGCAGAGTTTCTATATTCTTGTGTTTCTGTGTTCTATGTTCTATGGCATGTCTTTGTTCTAGTGTTTGGTATTGTTTTCTAATTCATTTTTGTTAGTTAGTTAGTTGGGGAAAATTACAGCTCAGCAAGGAACTAATTCGATATTTCTATTCACGCAGATCGGCTTGGCTATGCTATGCATTTTATTTTTCTTTTTCTTTTATTATTTTCAAATAGACACTTCTACAAGGGCTGTTATATTCGAGCACACATAGTTAAAAAGGAAAAAAGAAAAACAGAGTTTGTAGTGAACAGAAAAGGTCGTTGATAGTGGAAATGAAAGTTAAGAAAACCGAAAGTTACCTCTCGAATGGTTAGTTGGTTTTACCTCTATCTTACCCGGGACACGCTTTATATAGACTTATGGACTCGCAGGATCTGTGGTGGAACAACCAAGGCAAGCAACTATATATATATGTAAAACCACACTTCAGCATTGGGAAACTTCTTAAGCGCTTTAAAAGGGGGTTGCGTGTTCAATTTAAGCGGAAGCCAAACTTATTTTTAAATAAATTTATTGAGAAAAATAAAAGAACGACAACTCCGAGTGAATCGCAATCAAAATCGCAAGTGTCGGTGATCGAGTGTATGGATATCAGAAATGGATATCTGAAGAGTGCAAAAATGTAAGTGGAACATGCAGGAGATGTAACGAAAGCTAAACCAAGTTCAACTTTTAAGCTGAACCCCTACTTAAATGGCAGTGAAAGATGTGAGCATATCAAAATTGAAGGTGGTCGGTGTTAAAAGAAAGGGGTCTTTTTTGTTTTTTTGTTTTTAGGGAGTAAGCAAATCTTCAAAAGCCATCCTATAACTTATGATCTAGATATAGAGAAACTACTGCTGAACCTGCGAACTGCGAAAAACATTACCCAGAGAGAAAACTAGCAGGAGCAGGCGAAGAAAATGGGCTAGAAGGGGAGGGGTGTTCTCAATCCAAAAAAGAAAACAGAAGACCATGCTTTTGAAGAGTTTTTTTTTTGAACTGTTTTTAAACTGTTTAAGCCAGCCTGAGGCTTTGTTTTTTTAGTTTAAGTACCTCTTACAGTTGACCTCAATGCAAGCTTCTTGAGAAGATGACTACTTACAGTTCAGTAACTGATCGACTGTTGGGGCAGCTCATAAAATACCTCATCCGATCGATGCACAAGTTCGGTGTGATAATGATGACAATGATGCTGACTTTGATATCTTGCATTGGTTTCTTTTTTTATATATATATATATCGGTTTTTATATATCGAATATCGTTATATATCGAATATTCTCAAGTGAGGAGTTTTTGTGTGCATGATTGACGGGGAAGGGGTATGACAATGGTGAGGCTTTCACTCGCAACGAGAGTTTTTGTGTGTGTTTTTTAATATTATTATTATTGTGAAATTGCCATATCAAAATCGATGTGCAATGTTAACCAAAACGGAAACAAGTGGATCAAAGCTTTGTCAATGCACTTTAGAGGCACTTGAAATTCGAAATTCGAAACACGATCGATCAGTTCAGCAATATTATCTTAACTAATATACGAGTCAGGAGTTACTAACTTATAAGCTCTAAATGGGAAAAATTGAAAGCAATTTTAATATGATTTTACATATTCAATTTAGATAGAAATAAATCGTAAATCGATATTTTATCGATATAGCAATGAAATATTATTGAATTTTTTGTTATTTATATTAGAAATCACCTACAAAAAAACCACGAACATTATATTTTCTATGGGCAACATTGGGATTTTGGTAATACAAAAAAATATTTTTATTTTTAAGAAACGTCTCACTTTCTATCTTTAACTATCTTAATAGGGACGCTTCTTGAAGGCTTATGGGGAAATCTAGTATTAAAGAAAACGTAATATTCGAGCTTATAATCTCCTATAAAATATATTAATATATCATCTATGGGCGACCACCCCTTGCTGTACATTCGACCATTAGCTTACGCTCGACTATAAGCTTATACAAGCAACTTTTTACAGAGAGATGATAGGACAGAGACAGAGACAGAGAAAGACAGTTAGAGATACATAGTAACCATAAGATACAGATAGATATATATATTTATATAGTGACAGACAGAGAGACACAGTAGCAAGTACAAATCGCAATGTAGTGTGCTATGCAACATAAAAAACAGATTGCCAAATTGTAAAACAGAAACGGAAAGTAGAAAATTTCAAGTACGAATGGATTAACTAAGATAAATTAGTATATATTTGTTGTACGAAGAGAAAACATAGCTAATCGTAGGTGAGTTATCAATAATAATAATAATAATAATAGTAGTGAGTCGATAATAATAATAATAATCATAACGAAAATGAAACTATTTCTGATTTTTGTTAGGCGAAAACGAAAATGTTAGATAGATAGATGGTTAGATGGTTAGATAGATCGTAATTAATAAGCTTTTTTAGGTGGAAGGCCATTACTTAGCGTTTTTTAAGCGTTTTAAGAATCTAAGTTCATTGATTGGTATTGCTGGTAGATACACATTGAAACATTTTGTTTTTTATACTTTTTTGTTTTGTTTTTTTTTAGTTTTTTTTAGGATAAATGCAAAATTAGTGTGTGTAGATTTAGTGTGTTTCGTACTTACATCGTGCTGCAGGTTGTGTCGTTTGGTTGTACATGTTGTTGTTGTTGTTGTTGTCGATGTTCAGATGTGGGTTTTTATTGTTGTTGTTATTGTTGTTGTAGTAGTTGTTGTTGTTGAGATGATGATAATAGGAGATATCCACGTCCACACATACACGGGCGGGCATACATAGGACATAGTCGGCATGGGCAACCACAGATGTGTGTGTGTGCACGTGTATGCGAGATGCGAGAGATATATATATAATATATGCATGTGTATATGTGCGTGCACACGGTTGATTGACATACACAATTGCAGGACATACACATACACATGCATGGGATTTGTTGCGATGATGATGGAGCATTTTTTGTGGCAATCGAAATTTGTTTATCGATTTTTTTTTCGTTTTTTTTGATTTTTTCGATTAATTTGGTTGATTAGTTGATTGATTCGATTCAGTTGGGGGGATTCCATTTCAGATTTCGATTGATCATTTCATTTGGTTGGTATTCGTATCAAGTTGACATATTTTTTTTTTTTTTTTTGCATATATAATCGTTTCGATTTGGAATTTGATTCAGTGAGTTTATATAATAGATATATATATATTGATTATTTTTGTTCATATACAAATTCGGTGGTGATTTTGGTGGCATTTGGTGATTGTGGTGAAGTGGATCAGTGGATCAGTGGTTCGGTGGATCGGTGGATCGGTGGTGGTGGTGGTATTAATTTTTATATATTTTGTTTTTTTTTTTGGTGATCAAGAGAGACATATAGAGTTTGTTGCACATTATCATAGCATTTATGGTATTTTGTAATTACATAGATGGTATTTGTTGTTATCGATTGTTGATGTTTGTGTTGAAATCATTATTGTTTTTTTTTTGGAACGTTGTTGTTGTTGCAGTTGAATTGAATTCGATTCGATTCGATTCGGTTTTCGATACATTCCCGATGTGGCCAATTGCAAGGGACATACAAAACGTTGCGATCGCATATAGAAAATATATATATATATAGGATAATAGTACACCAGTGTGTTGAGATGTGGAGATTTGCGTGAGTTTAGATATATGAAATTACACATTTGTTTGGAGGTGTGTGCGTGGGTTTTTGTTTTTTATTTTTATATATATATATATCATTGCGTGAGTGATCGGTTATTATATAATATTTTATGTAATTTATATTTGGAATTTTATATATATTTGCATTGATCGAAACATTTTTTTTTTTTTTTTTTTTTTGGTTTTGGATTGATTCGGATTGGGTTTTCCCGATTTTGAAACCACATTTGGTTTTTGGTTTTCGTACATAAATAAATATGGAAAAGGAAATCAAAAAAGAAATATGATTATTAATTTTTGTAATTCGTGATGTTTGGTTTTCGTTTTGATTTTGCTTAAAAATGCTGTTTGTGTGTTTCGTTTTCTTTTCGAGATATATATAATATATCATTATAGAACAAAAAGGGAACATAAAACTCAAAGATATATATGTAGGTGTTCGAATGTAAAAAGCATAAGAAAAACATGTTAAAACAGTGGGGGGTGTAACTGTACTGTCCTTGCCATCTGTGCATAGTGCCAAATCCTGACTGTTGCGCTGGATAAAAATATGACTTAAGGCTAAAACGGTTCTCTCAACCGTACGAAGGTGTTACAAGATAATATCATATATTATATTATATTCGTGAATAGTCTAAATCGGAAGCCCCCATAGATCCCCCCCTTGAAATATTATAAACGCTGGTGTAGTTTAAGATCCAACAGCTATTAGGTTTTTGCATCTCGAATAGTAAGAATAAGTTAAGTAGATGCAATTATGACTCCCTGATTCTCTGATTGTTAGAAAAAAGATATATCTTTGTAACGCAACAACAACATGTACCTAATGTTGATTATGAAATTAATAAGACTTAAAATGGTTCATATACCCGAGATACATATAGGTATGCATCAGGTTATATATGTAATATATAGATACTTATTGGTTCTTCTATCTTATTTGCGTGTGAATATTCTTTGTGTTCGTGTGGGCTGCTGTGTCAAAGTTGAGGTGTAGATTTGTATCTTGGCAAAATAATGAAGCTAGATACATTCGGTATTTGGTATTTAGTTTAGTAGATTAGATTGTTTCTTGTCTTGCATAACGGCACAGAAATCGAACACAACAGTAAAATGTATGCTCTGGGTTGTGTTTTGGCAAGCAACTGATAATTACCCCGAATTCCATCCATAGTGCATCCACAATACTGCCCAAAACGGTGATCAGATCGAATATGTTCCACGGGTCCTTGAAGAAATTCTACAACGCGGATCGGATTTTAAACATATATATTATGGATAATATTCGATATAACATACTTAGAAAGTTTATTTGTTATCTATGATCACTTACCTTAACACCGAATCCAATGATCTTTAGCACAGTTTCCACACTGAACATGCCAGTGAATCCCATGTTAATATACTTCAGTGACTTCTCGTACATATCTCCTTGATTGTGATACTGTTGAGGGTTAAGATAGGTATATTAGTTAGTTATAGTTATTCCCCCTTCGGAAAACCTTCCAAATAGTACTTAAACCCTAGCAGAACTCACCTTCATCATCAACAAAAGCGTATTGAACACGATCAACATCATAATGAAGTACTCAAAAGGTGTTGAGACCACAATTCGCCACACTTTGTACTTGAAGGTGTTACGATTTTTGGGCATATATCGTTCTAGTGGACGTGCTCCTATAGTAAAATCGATGCAGGATTTCTAGAGTGAAGAGAAATGTAATTAAGAAGATGAATTCGTTATGTCCTTTGAGTATTGGCTTTCGTGGCTACAGTACATTGCTTTTTTTCCAAAAGAGATTAACTAAGGTGTTTTCAACGCCTATTTTGTAAAATGAATTTTTAAAACATTTTTGTTTTGGGGATCAGTACAAATCAGTTCTATATACACACATTAATCAATAACATCGATTTTTTTTAATAAATAACTACATTTGGTTTCCAATTTAGGGAAAATATTAAACAAAAGTTAGGATTAGGTAGGGTAGATATGCAAATTGTTGTTAAAAGCAAACTGAAAAGTTCTACCCCCTTAAAAATACATTCATTTAACACATGCCCAATTTTTAAATTTATGTTTTATTACTCTCTGGGGTTTATCTAAGGACTGTGTCTGTATTTGCAGTTTGCAGTTTGCAGTTGAAGGACAAAAAAAATGGAATATATCTTGACCTCCAAATCTTAGCTCCAAATTGAAGTACAAAAATTGGAGTTATTTTGGGTTAACTAAAATTAATAATACACTTTTCTTACGATACTCCTCTACTGGCGGATGTTGTTGTTCAATGCATACTTACAATCAGTTTTACGCTCTTTGCTCGCGATAAGTGTAAATGGATGGAGAACGCGTCTAGAACAGCTTTTTCTTTTTGGCAACTGACTTTAACGATACATATCGTTAAATATTCCAAAACTAATGGGGAATATTTAAGGACTATCGTGTGTGAAATGATATATCTCTATTTTCCGGTAAATGTTCACTATTTATATTTATAAAAAAAAAAAAAACAAAAAAATGGCAACTAATCGAGGCTTCTAGGCAAATGTTACATGGAAACTGGGAGCTAGTTTGATTAGGGGGGCGGGCAGCTGAAATCTTTTCGAGGCCCACAAAAAATACACGAGTAACTAAGAAGAGCGAGTCTATACGCAAATGTAGTATATATATATATTAAAAATATATATCAAAACTGGAGAGTGTTCTTTGTGGGTGTGTTAGCTTAGTTTTAAGGGGATCAATCCACAACGAAAGGCGAGAAAGCAAGGCAAAACATATTTCGCACATTAATGGTACATATATGGAGACTAGACTAGGATTTACGTTCTTGGATTTTGGAGACATTCTATGTACGAGTATATTTTGCTTAGTGTACAGTGTGTACTTGTTGTGTTCGAGTTCGTTTTGAAGGGTTTTTTACTGTATTAGTAGTAGTAGGTAGTATATTAGTAGTAGTTATGTCGGTAGGCGGGTTAGTGAAATGTACGTGCATTATTAATCAATTTATTAATTAATTAACTTTTAACTTTTTTTTTTTTTTTGGTTTTTTTTTTGGGTTTTACATATACGACTAGCGGTACATTACACACACACACACACACACAGATATTTATTATAAGCACAGAGAGATAGAGACAGAGAAAGGTATAGAGAGAGTTTTGGACTCACTGGTAGATAAATAACAGGTCGGATGGGTCTGGCTCACCTGATTTTTGTCAATTTCGCCATCTTGCAACTCAGCTTCGCCTTGCTCTTGAAACGTAATAATAATCAAGGCCACGAATATGTTGACGAAGAAGAACGGAAACACAATAAAATACACAATATAAAATATGGACATTTCGATCCGGAAATTTTGGATTGGACCCCTATCTTCATAAGTGGCAGCCATTGAGTGTTGCAAGACCCTATTTTCATTTCATTTCATTTTGTTTTTTGGTTTTTTTTTTTTGGTTTTCAATATTCGCAGTTGATTCGATGAATATGGTGACACGCGTGTGTAGATGGGCATTCAAGGTGCAGTTTTGTTTATTTTTTTTGTTTGGTTTTTTTGTTTTTTGTGGAGAAAAAGAGGCAAAAAATATAAGTTAGATATGTTTTCCATTTCGAAAGGTTCATCCGACAGAGACAGAGATTCAAATAGGCAGGTTCAAGATACACAAGTTACAAGTTACAAGTTACAAGTTTTACATAAGTATCGAAAAATAGCGGGAAATATATATAGCATGAATCAGTTACAACAACAAATTGGCTTACTGTGGCCATCCCTCGCCGGTCTGTACGGCGAATAGTGTCAACATCGCAGCAGCAACATTATCGTAGTGGAAGGCCCGTGGCTTCCAAACTCTCAGTTCCTGTCTTGGCAGCAGCTCGTCCTCCTCGTACTTGAAGTACGAGCCCCTTTTTTTCGGTAGCGTTTCAAGGTTTTTTTTTTTTGGGTTTTCGGATTTTGGGTTTTTCATGTTTATTGGATGGTGGTGTTAGTCGCAGGTGTGGTTTATAGTCATTTGTGGATTTATTAGTAATTTGTTTCAGACTCATTCGAGAAAATACAAATTAAGTTTGCGCAAAAAACACTAAGTTCAAACTAAAAACGAAAATAAAGCAATCAAAGCAAAAGTTTGGCAAGCATCTAAAACTGAACTTAAAATCAATTGGGGGGATTTTTTGATATATTTTTCTTTCTTTTTTTTTTGTTTTTGTAGCTTTTGAAGTTTTAATGGTATGGTGAAATGGCATTAATGTGAGATATATGTAGAGATCGAAGTCTAGTATATAAGAACGAAAGTTAAATTTCTAGAGAAACAACCACTGGGGGGTGCCATTAAAAATCGCTGAAAGCTACTCCAATCTACCTACTCTCACAGTTCTATAACAATTTTGATAAGTTTTCTCGATTTTTTAAGTCACCCCTAGCAGAGTTAGTAAAATGAACGTATGAAGTGTCCTTGTTTTTCGAATGTTATGATGGTAGTAAACTGTGCAAGAAGCGCTCTCACATCTACAAACTGCATTGACCTGGTAGCCGAGTTTGACTTGGAATTAGATGCACGTCTTGGCCGAGATCAACTCAACGCAAGCCAAATCAACACTCAGTACGGTCTGTATAAGAAGGCGTACAAATAAAGAAATGTTCGAAAACCACTACATAGAAAGGAAAAAAAAGTAAACAGAAGAAACTCTAAGCCCATTACCCATGGAATGGATGAATGGAAAGACAAGACTATGGTTCGACTTGGAGCTGTGGATCAAAAGTAGTAGAGCTCCCTTAAGCTAGGGTTTCGTGGTTCGGCCCGTTGTCGGTTCGGTGATGTGTAACAAAGCAGCTGCGCTCAAAATGAATGGGTTTCTTAATTTGGAATGAAAGTAATTGTAATTTGTTGTAAATTCGAAGGAAAATGAATCAATTTTTAGCTTTCTTTAAAACTATACAGCCAAATGAAAGGAAATTTGTTTGCATTTTTAATAACCTGATGGGCGGCGGAACATACGAAGGCTCTACCTCCTAAAGTTCAACTCGAACTGAGTGATAGAGTAGTGTACTTAATGACCTTTAACAAGACCTAATTAGATACAAAAGTTCCATCGCTGGGCGGCGTAGAGGCGTGAGTGTAAATGCTAGTGGGCGGGCGTGGGGATGTACGTGTACATATGTATTTTTTTTTCTTTTTTTCGATTTTTTTAAGTAAATTTTTATTTGGTTTTGATTTGGTTGGTCAATTATGTTGAGCACAGTTATTGCATACGAAAGGCCAAACAGCTAAAACAAACCGATACTAAAATGGCTTTCAATGTGTCGTTGAACGTTCCCTTTGGTTGCAACGCAAGTATCGGACTTTGTTTTCACTTCTCAACAGCGTCGAGTGTAAGATACGCGGTGTTAAATATATAATATAATACATAATGATACTCTTTATAGACACACACACACTCTCACACACACACACACACATAGTAATAAGTTGGGAAAGAGCGCTCGTCATCTAGTTTGGATACAGTCTACTACTACTACGTCGTACAAACCGAAAAGCTGGTTTCTTGTTTTTTTGTTTTTTAAATATAGATTTATATAGATTTAATACTTGAACATACAAATAATGAAGTGTATGTATGGATGATGGCTAGGTAATAAGGATACACTTACTACTACTTGGTTTTGGTTTTTGTTGGAGATAAAATAGAGATTTGGAGAAAAGAAAGCCAGGACCTTGGAGCAGAAATGAAATTTTTAAGCATACTTCTCGCTCACATCTAAGTATCCCTAAGGAATTGGGTCTTGAACTAGGTTTCGTATTAGAACTGAGTTATTGAGTGGAAAAACTCTTTTGGTTTCTAGTTAAACTATTCTATATGACGGTCCGTGACTGCTATGCGCGTGCTTATTAAGAAATCTTCTGGTAGTAATATGGACTCTTTGGTATTTTGGAGAATACCCAATTAATTGCAAACAAATGAAAGATTTAAATATTAAATATATATATGTATATATATATATATATATATAGATGGATAATTGTGGTTTAAGTACACAGGCTAAACGCGAAGACTCTTGCTATTTCCATTGGTGTTATATAACCCGAGCTTATTTTGGTTTTGTGAAGACAACATATACAAACATACACTGATACGACTTAACTGATTAAATATAGATATATATATATATAGAAAATAATTATAGAAAATTAGGCGTAACTGGTAAGGTTTAAGGTCTTTTTTTTTCAGGTGGCAACTAGAAACTGTAGGTTTGCATTTCTATATCACAGATGTTGATTCGAACGCATTTTTTTCTATATATTTCATATGCTTTTTATCAGTCACTTTTTGATTTGGTTTTTGATTTTCTCTTTTTTCTTTTTTTTTTTCTTTTTCTTTTTCTTTTTCAATTTTTGTTTATGTTTAGTTTTGGTTTTTGTATTTCTTTTTTATTGTGTTTTGTTTTTGGCCCGTTTAGTCGCGTGACTGTTAATTAGACAAGTCAGGCAAGAAAAACATGGCGAGAAACTATAAAATGCTACTCTTACATTCTGTTAAATCAGTGCACCTTTTTTGGTTTCATGAAAACAAATACGATAATCGAACAAAACAGAAGGTTAATCATAATGTTTAGGTTAACGAAACGATCGTACAACACACATACAAAACAGTGGGATCTGGGTCTTGGAAGCTTATAACCTAATTGCTCTCTATTTTTGGGACCACTTCAAAGTTAATACATACACATAAGGCACCACATTGATATAATCGTATATTTATAGATATATACACACTAATAGGGGGATTATCTAACAAAAGTTTCATCCTGCTTTCTCTATTTAAGTTTTACTGAAGATTCGGTTGGACAAAACCCAATCAAAGGTCAAAGTCAAGAAGTTTTTCATACTCTCTGGGATCTCTGGGATTCCCTATTGTGAAGGTAAATTCTGAATATTATAACTAGACATTGATGTTTTCGGAGATATAGAGAGAGAAGTGTTGTGTAGGCAAATAACCCTTTTTAAGGGCAGCTGGCCTGGGAAATAACTTTGTAACATCCCGCCATCATCTTAAACATTACGCTGTCCCCCACTCTTCCATTTACCTCGACAAGTGTTGTGCAATATTTTAAAAAATTAGACTATATAGAGTAGAAAAATCAGGGAATGCGAATGCGTCGAAATTCCAAAAACTGCCCTTATAAGTAGGCAACACTTGTTAGCAGCAACAGGAAACTGCCCTTTTATGTAGGCAACACTTGTTAGCAGCAACAGGAAACTGCCCTTTTATGTAGGCAGCACTTATTAGCAGCTTCACCAAACTGCCCTTTTAAGAAGGCAGCACTTATTAGCATCTACATTTTTGGGGTCACATTTAGAGTACGAACTTTAGCAAATTTTATAGTTTATCACTAAACCTAACATCAATCGCTAAACACAAATAATTTGTATTAACTTTCTGTAATTTTACTCACTTTAGCACTACTATTTTAATGAGCATTCGGTAAAACATTTATGTAATTTTCTACAATATCTAATACAATCTTAGAAACTATTGCACAATTGATCGGTTAAAAGGAATACAAAAAAAAAACAGAGAGAGACAACGGAGTTACAAAGATGATGAACGGAGGTGGTACTATTGCCTTGAACATAGCTATACATGTACGTGTAAAGAGCCCAGAAAGTTATCAGGGTTATCAGGTACATACGAATGAGTGGAATGTGTTTGTTCTTTTCGGATCTATAAGCTACATTATGTATTTGTCAGTCTTCTAATTTTATGTTATTTGACCTTTAGACAAAGTAACACACAAAGTTAGCAAGAGAGATAGAGAGAGAGAGAGAGGCAGATTGAAAGACAGTCATAGAGAGCGTGTTTTTGTTGTGGGTTGGGGGTGGGGTAGGAGGAGAGTAGTGGGAAAGCTAGAGCGCTACAGTGTAACGCGACTATACGAGAAAAGAGGAGATTAAATGATCGAGGGGATGGTAAATCAAAAGAAACCTATAACAGGTTACTACATATCATTTTTATATGGCCATCGGTTGGCCGTCTTTCCTATTTTTTTTTTTTGCAAAATGATGATCGAAATCAAAAACAAAAAAATACAAACAAAATCATGTCTAATTAAGATCAATAATTAAGATTACAGAAGAAAGAACTTAGGAAAGCGAACGAACAAAGTCATTTTTTGCTTGTTAAACTTTTAAATTGAATATAAATTTTACTTACTGGCACTCTGCGGAAGTATGTTTACTTTCGTCCGTACAATAAAAAAATTTTCCATTGAACAATTGTACTCCAATAACAGAAAATATAAATTGAAACAATATGTACACGATTAGAATGTTAACAACATTTTTCAATGAGTTCACGACGCAATCGAACACGGCTTTCAATTTTGGTACACGCTTAATGGTCTTCAATGGGCGGAGTACACGCAATACCCGTAGCGATTTAATAGTCGATAAATTTTGTCCAGCGCTGCTACCGCTCATATCGAAACCGAAACTAACAGCAGCGCATATAACGACCACAGCATCCATAATATTCCAGAATTCTCTTAAATAGCTGCCAGGATGTAGTATTACACCCAAGTCTACAATTTTCAGCAACATTTCTATCGTGAATACGCCGGTAAATGCATAATCGAAATAATTCAATATCTTGTTTCGCCTTGAGTTCTCACGAACGGGATCTTCGGCTGCTAATGCTATTGATGACATTGAGATGACAACCATAATGAAGAAATCAAAATATGGTAAATTAACAACCCAATGGGCTCCGCGTCGTATGCTGTATATATAGATATATATAATTTGTCGAATTCATCGGACAGCGAATATAGGTTTCGATAGATATATCGATTTTCATTTTAGATATGTAATATCAATTAGGTTCATGATCATAGATTTTGTTTTTTGGCATTCGGGTTTGCGTCAAATTCGGTGGCATTTTTATTTATTTTTTTTTTAATTATAAAGTTTTTGATTTTGTTTTTAATCATTTTTGTTTCGGTTTTTGGTGTAGGTAAATTTTCAAGTTTTTTTTTTTTGCGATTTCAATTTCAGATTCCGATTTTTGTTGGTTTTTTTTTTTTGGGTACCCGTTGATTTTTATTGGTTTTTCGTTTTCGTGGTCGTTCCAATTTTCATTTAATATTTTAGTTTTTGATTTAGTTGGTATTTTTTTTAAATTTTTGTTTTAATTTTGAAATGAGTTCGTTGGTTGTTTTTTTTGGAAATGATTTGTTGATTGTAGTTTTTTTTGTTGAGAGTGTCGATGAAGATAATAGTTGCAGTTTTTCATGATGATGTTCGATTGATTGATTGATTGATTGATTGATAGATGGTTGATGATTGTAATAATTGTTGTCGGATATATATTTACAAACAGATGTTAATTCGTTCAACAGATCAAGTGGTTGATTAATTTGTTTGGTTGTGTGCAACATAAGATTGTAATCCAAAACAGGAAAAAAGGTAAAAAGAAAAGAGTATATTGCATCAGTAATTGATTAATTACAGTTATATGTAGTTTATCAGATATTTATAGATAGATATATATATATATGTCATTGTCTATGGATGATAGGTTATATAACTAGGATAGGTTTACTGTACATATTATATAAGGTATAACTATTATGGGACCCATTATATAACTCTTTAAAAACCTTGAAAATTGGCAAATTTGCCAATCTGGAACTACAAAATGATCATAAAGAATCATATTCCAGTTGATACCTAGACATCGGGTTTAGGTTATCCTGGAAGAGACTCGATTAACTTAACACTAAGATGAGCCCTAAACTGATTTTTACTACAACAAAGATGACCGGACACCCATGACGACCATGTTGATATGACGATATGAAATGATATGATATGAATGGAAGAATATTTACGGATTGGTTGGTGAAAGTATAAACATCGATGAGTAGGGCAACATTGGCTTGGGACCCTCCGTCACTTCCTCCTCCTCTTTCTTCTCCTCCTCCTTCTTTTTGCCCTTGGACTTGCTGGGGGCAACAGTACCATCACCATTCTCCACATGAACACCATCAGCCTGGAGGGCCTCCATCTCCTTCTCGAGCTCCTGCAGTTGTTTCTCTTTATCCTCTTCGACTTGTTCCTCTTCGGCTGCTGTTAGTTCTTGGGCATTCGCCAAATTATCAACGGCGATAGCCAAGAACACATTCAATAGCGTGTAATTTCCGAAGAGTACCAAAACGATAAAGTATCTGTCGAAAGAGCATCAAGAACATACAATAAAAAACAATCAGAGTTTAAACACTCATTGCATTATCTAATTTTGTTGGGCATTAGCTCAGGAGAGGAACCTCCTCGATGTTATGAAACTCAAAATTTACTGTATACTGTGTATACGTCAACGTGTGTTGTGCTGGGGAATTTGAGAAAAAAGGTAATCGGGTAATTATTTTGACAAACTGAGGTAACTACATATTGGTTTATTTTTTTGTTTTTTCTTAGAGAGAAAGTATCTCTGTTGACTGGCTGCAAAGAGAGATGAGAGATTGAGAATAGACAAAAGAAAGGTATAGCGTTTAATCGAATGTACAGATACATTTTGCCAAAGACCAAAGGTTTTCTACACTTACGGATTAGTGGCTATAGTCACGATGAATGGATAATACGAGGATACGAGTTAGTGTGGATTTGCTGTTTGACTTGTGACTTGCGACTTGGGCTTGCAGAATTTTGGTTTGTTATTAAAATTCTTCAAGCTCCTGAAGTCTAAGGTCGATTGCACACATTAATGGTTCGACGTTCAATGAATTTAGCGATTTAACGCTTGGGAAGAGGGTTTAGCGAGAGGACAGCTTATAGAATCATAGAATCCTAACGAGGTTTTACTTATCGATTGCTTAAGTAGAGAGTTCAGGCAAAAGGTTTAACCATGGTGCTTGCTTTAACTACGGTTTTGAACTTCAACTGGCATAGATACAATGCACATGATAGAATGATAGATAATACATTGATAAACTTACATAGAGTAAATCATTCCTTTCTGAGCACCACCCTGCGAAATGATGCCCTGGTACATGACCTCGTTCCAATCTTCGCCAGTGAGGATTTGGAATACGGTCAACAGTGCTATCGGGAATGTATTGAAATTGGTTTCTGGTGTTCCTCCGGGCAGATTGAACTGGCCGCCAAATAATTGCATGCCAAGTAAGGCGAATATTAGGATGAACAAGAAGAGCAGGAACAACAATGAGATAATCGATCTCATTGAGTTCAATAGAGATATCACTAGATTGCGCAGCGATGACCAGTACTTGGTTACTTTGAAGATTCGGAGCAAACGCAGGGCACGCAGCACAGACAGACCGAATGAACCGCCTTTGACCTCGGACCAGATCACTTCGAATATCGAACCACTAATGACAACGCAATCAAAACGGTTGAACGACGACTCAAAGTAGATCCTTGGCCCCAACGCATACATCTTGATGAACATTTCCGACATAAACAGTCCCAGGAAGATGAATTCAGCATAGTCTACGAAAAAGGAAAGGAAACCATTAATATCATTTTATATAGAAGGAAAAAACTACCATATAATACTTACACAGAAACTCTGTGAGGAAGGAGGGCTGACCATAGTGCTCCACGGCAACGCAGACTGTGTTCAGAAAGACGAGGACGATCACGAACCAGTAGAACCATTGCGTCTTCACCGTGTGCCGGATCCAGAAGCGAAACCTCTTCTCTGCCCGCCAGAATCCGGTGCAACTTCCTTGAGGTTTCGAGCGAGTTTTCAGATAACCTACAGAGAACACAGATAAGGCAATCACTTAGATAAAAGTTCTTAAAACAAGTCAATGTGCTTTCACAAATATGTATATCTCCAGCTATGGTTACAGCCAGGCAAATGTTGTGTACACTGCTCGAATACGGGTGCAGTGTATTTGAAAACAACTTTTTTGTACAATTAATAACTTAAAGTTGTCTCGAAACACACTGTTCTTGATAGTAATTAATGTACTCAAAATATAATGATCTTAGCGATAGAGTTTATGGTCAACTATTTTGGTATTAAGACGACGTTACACAAGTGCGAATCTTATAGTTTTGGGTGGGCACTAACTCTACAAAGACGTTGGCTCACGTCCTTGAGAATGCTAGAATCCTAGAATATTCTAGCTAAGGTGCTTATTTCGAAGTTCGAAAGATCCTTCAGTTGACTTTTGATCCTATTTTTTTTGTTTTATTTTTCTAACATATATTTATAATTTTGAATCACGTTGAAAACGAGAGCGGGCAATAGTAAGTGTTCGATTTCATTTAGCTAATATTCATGAAGAACTTACATCCCAGTTACATCAAAATTTTACATCTAATACCAACTACTTTCTCATATATTTACACAAGTGAAAAGTTAACAAAGATTTAAGTTAGTTGCTGTTACGATGAGAGAAATGTAACTATTTATTTGTTTAGCGATGGGTTTGGTTTTTACTATAAATATATATATACGAGTATATGCATATATATCTGACGCCGGTGCAGATTTTTCACTTCGTGAAAATGGAATAGAAATAATAATTTACTTACACATTTCGAACATGTTCAATGTAAGATTTTACAATTTTACAATCGTTTTGTTGTTGTTTAGTTCAGATATAGAAATAAAAAATGTAATTAATTGCATATCGTAATTGATTTTTGCAAATGCAATATATAACTTAAGAACTTAAACCCAAATATTGGCATTTTGCTTTTAACCCCTTAGCCATCTTGACATTTTAAGAACTTAGCGTGTAGTGTTGTCTTGTTGATAGGAAAGTCAGTCAGTCCTTAGTTCTTCTAAACTACTGTTTTAAATATCTTTCTTACCATCGTCACCATAATCTTCCTCAGCCTCCTCCTCTTCTGTATCGGTTGACTTGGATTTTCCTAAGCTTTTCAGCTTTTTCCGCTTGGCAGCGTTTCGTCTACGAGCTAGAAAGGGTACATTTATTTAATATATATATTATTATTAGTGATATTAAGTGATAGTTACCCTCCATTATGTGCATTTTTTCTTCTTCCGTTGTTCGCTCCTCGGCTAGGATTACCTCCTCTGCAATAACAGCAAAGTTCAGTGATTGGTGTTTGGTTTTAACAAGCAAATCGATTTGATCAACACATAAGCAGAAAGGATATATGTATGTACTATATAGTTGATGTAGGCAAGTATATATATATAGTATATGAGGGAGTTATGAAGGATATGTGTGTCCATATTTCCACGATAACTAGTTTAATTTCCAGAGTATATTCAGGAATTTATTTACTTTCAATTTGGCAAATATATATTGGGGCTTTAAAGGGGGCTTAGTTCTATGAGGAGGGGGTTGCTAAGAATGTGCCAAAAGTGCTGGCTATTCAGAAACATCTTCATACAACATGTAGTTATTAATATAAACATATGAATATATCCTTATTTGATATGACAGATTTCAAATGAATGATATTTGAAGTTGAAGTTGAAGTTGAAGTTGAAGTTGAAGTTGAAGTTTCAAAGCCTGAATTAAAGTGGAAGAGGAAGGAAGTTTTCTGGAAGTTCCAAACCAATTTCGTTTTCAAAGTTCGGGAATACCTTCATGGATAAATTATATATATAAATGTGTGTTTAGATGAATGTATAATGAGATGATATTTGTGTATGAGAATTAATCATAGTTAGTGTATAAATATATATATATATAGATTTACAAACAAGAAATAGGGGTAAATACTATACCAGCTTTACAAATCCATTCAACATAGCCGTTTAACTCTCTTTCTAGTTGCTGCTGCCTTCTAAGTTTAAGAAACTCTTGTCTATTTTCTACTTTTTCTCGTTCTTTTGCGAATTCACTACAAAAAATAATTAAATAGAACGTGATAAACCAAAAAAACAGGATTGATTGATTCTTTGCTAATAAACGTTCATATGTATGCTTTGGTATCACAATATCAAAGTTCACACCAAACTCTTTATCGTTTCTGTACGAGTGTATGTTGTATAATCAGTTCAAAATTAAAACAAAAATCAAATATTTAAAAAGAAAACTAAACAGATTTCAGTGCCTCCTTAAAATACACAACAAACGGGCATCAACAGAAAACCATTTACTGGAAATTAAGTAACATAAATAAAGACAATTTAATATATATATATGTATATTACTCTCTGTTTTTGGCGTCGTCCACGACAAGACCTTTCAATGAGGCCAAAAGTCAAGGAAACGTTTAGATTTAGATTCAGATATATATATATATATATAGAAAAGGGAATGTGTGAGATTATATGAGTGCATACAAGCATATATAAAGATGATTTATTTGGTGGCATAGAATGATGATGCCATAGCCTCATCGGGATTCCAATAACTCGGATTTTGGCCCTGGTTACGCTGGGAGTCTCTGAGTCTAGATCGATGGCGATGGCGATATTAAAACCGGGGACAGAACATATTTGATATTGATGGGAATATTGATAGGTGCACTGGTTACTCAGTGTTAATAAAGTGTATATTAGGATAGTGTTACTCTATATAGCCGAGATCGAGAACGAGAACGAGAACGAGAACCGAGACTCAAACAATCGCTGGCGGGGGGATAATTCTATATAACTGGAGGTTAGTTAAGATGGCTAACTTGTTTTTGTAGAAGGATTAGTTTTAGTTTATTAAGGCTGTTAGGGTTAACAACTTTATCGCTATGGGTTAAGTGTATATAGCAAAATGCAGAGAATATAATTATTATATATTAAGTATACGCACTGGAGAGTATATATTTAGTCGATTTGGTTGAACTATATAGTGGGGTGAACACAGCATTTCGCAGTTAATAATTATTAATTCGGTTCATTGGAAGTTTGTTTTTTATATTATTTATTTTGGGTACCAGAACTCTGATTTTTGTAGCCAGGGGATTTGCTTGCGATCTATTTTTAGGAATACATAACTCTAGCAGTAACAAGTTTCTTTATTATAAACGTTGGGAGGAAGTAGTTAGTATTGGGACGGAGTTTGCTTTTTGGGCTTTTAATTAGATATGGGGTGTTTATAAGATCAATGAACTGCCGCTCGGATATTCGATAACAAGCGAGCAGAGTAAGTAAGTTTTTTTTGCCAATATTAAGTTATTGCAGGTTGTGTTTGTATGACTTTCGGGTTTTGATAATGGCAGTTTACTTTGGTTGCACTTAGATATAGATCTAGTTGTATAAACCTGCTTGCGTGATCCAGTCAAGGTACGAGACCATTGCTGTCTGAAACATGGCCCGAAAGCGGCATTTCTGAAACTCCATGCGACGTTCGACACGATTACGTTCGTTCGAAAACTCTCTGAATTCAGGAATACGATAGTTAAATATGCATATAACAGAAAGATTCCCATAAAATGAAAAGTATTAAATCAATCGAAACGAGAAGAATCGAAATTAATAAGTATCTCAAACACGTACATACATATATTTCTCAATCTTCTTGGTCTTTGGATAAATTTTCAAATAATTTACAATCAAATTGAATTCTGATTTTCTGATTTTTCGATTTTCTTTGTTTTTCGCACCCTTTATGCACATGCATGGAGCTCTAAATATGAAACCAATATATACATATGTATAATCTGGCAATCCTTTACAATATTTATATATCCCGTTTATCGAAAATATCGTTTATCGAAATAATCTAAACATATGTATGCAGTATTTTCAAATCCCATTTCAAAATATTGATTTCATAAACATAAGTAATTTAAATCATAATCAAAATTGAATGTGAACTGGTGTAGAAATGGTTTTATCGATAAATTATATCGATTTGTGATCAACTTACCCACTAAGGACACCAAGAACTAAGTTGAGCATAAAAAATGAGCCTATAACTATAAGAGGCACGAAATATATCCAATTAAATGCTGAACCTAATGCGTCGTTGGTCTGTGAATTAGATATTAAATTAGTAGAATAATCGATAATATATTAAATAAGATCATAGAAGGTATACATAAAAAAAATCAGATCAGATCTTACCCAATACAGTATTGACGTCCAGCCCTCCATCGTGATACATTGGAATACGGTCAACATGGCAAATCCGATATTATCGAAACTCGTGATACCTGAATTTGGTCCCTCCCATTTTTCCAGACACATGCTTGTGGTGTTGTTGCATACAAAGGAGCCGGTTGCCTTTTCCGTGCTGTTGTCCGTGTTGCAAGGCGTCTCTGATTCGCCCTCCTTCACTAGTTTGTCTGTTTTTAACAATTAAATATATATATTAACTATATGCCTTTGGAATGTATATAGAGATTGTATTACTTGGATCTTCTAAGCTATAACAAGTCTTATGCAGTGCGCCCGAATAAAACTCGAGTCCAATGATTGCAAAAATTACGATTGCAAACAACACCAAGAGACCGATTTGCAGTAAAGGTGCCATCGCCTTGATTATAGATTTTAAAACTACTTGTAAACCTGTTCACGTTGTCATTTATCCAATCCAGAAGAAAGTTTTCGATTGATTAAGGAGATAAGATATTGAATTAGCAAAGATGGGTACTTAGTTTGGGTTTTACATTTAGAACAAGGTTGTTCTACGACAACCAACAACCACAAACAATCAGTCTATTTATAATGAAAATCAAAACTAAGTGGTTAACCACTCACTCTTACAAACTTCATGAAATTATAAACCAAAAGCACTTTCTTTTTAACACACAGTTAGGTTTCTGGTATAGGATCAATCAGAATAAAACAAAATGATTTACAACAACATCAAGAAGAAGTATAAAAGATTATTGATTATTTAAACATAGGAACTACTCACTAGGAATTCCAGACACTAATTTTAAGGGCCGTAGCACACGAATGGCTCTAAGTGTTCTTAGGTCTACCTCGGGCCCTATTTGTGGGTACTGTGTCATGAATCTGTTTGCAGACGTTAAGCGATCAAAATGAAGTTATATATAATGTATATATATAAATATATAATTTGATTAGCGATACTCAAGGAATACGAAGATCAAAAGAATATCACATTTAGACAATCATTAAATCATACAAGTACATAGGAAATCAAGAACTTTACATGTATCAAGTGCATCTTAAACTTCAAAACTTAAATCGAAAGCATAAAGCAAACTAAGAATGGTAAATACTATATTATTATTTAGAAAATAATAATTTAATTAACGATTAACGTTTAACGCGCGTTTAGTTCATATATTTCGCACACACAATGGGTTACCCAAGCGAAAACGCAGAATAGTTTATGTTTGCTCTCCATTCTTAGCATTTAAGATTAAGACTTTCTAATCTAAATGCTAAATGTTTTTGAAAGCAAATATAAACTATGATTTTTGGTCGGCTATAATATATAGAATATGAGATTTAAGGTTAACGGTTTAAGGCTATAGTTTAGAAGTTCTAATCAAACTTTTGCTTATAATAAGACATGGCTTTCTTCTAAGACAGTTTTAAGTAGTTCATCTTTATAAGCAAGATGAATTTCTGATAGTTTTACATCATTTTTCTAGAAAATCAAATAAAACAATAAATTAGAAAAAATGATAAATTACCTATTTGATATATCTAAACTTAATATCTATGTGCCAGCTATTTTTTGAAAATCAATAATATTCGCTATTCGTTTACCTCCTTTAAAGGAGGTTTATTAGATGACTTGCGAGCTGCGGTATATTTTGAATCGAATCAAGAGGCAGTCAAGACTTAAGGTCTTTCATTTGGTACCTATAACTAGCTTATATATATATTTCATAAGAGTTTTTGTGAAAACAAAAAATCCAATTAAAAACTCTACAAACGAAAAAAGTGAATACATATTTCTATTACGTAGTCTTAAGCTACAGATAACTAACATTTAACATATTAGATATACTTTATATATATTTTTGAAGTCACTATTAAGTAAATGTAATTATCTTGGAGTTCAATGCCATATTTTTAGCAGTAATAAAAAGCTACAAAGTGATAGCCACGTCTAAATCAAACATATATTTTATTTTTCAATATTTTTAACTCTTTTAATGTACTAAATTCATGGCTATCACTGTACATGAATTCTTTTGATTTTTATATCTATAAATAATACTACAAAATAACATCTCTAGTTTTGAATAAATAATACATAGCATCCTACTGATGCCATCTATTAGGTATATCTAATCCTATTTAGTTTTTCATGAAAAATTCCCATTTTTCACAGTCATGCTTTCGTTTTTATTGATCTTCTGAAGTAAAAGCTTATTAGAAGATTAAACCAAATCGAAAGCAGGAATGATTAATAATCATAGGAAACTTTAATAGCTACTTAATATATAACAAATTAGACTTTCACGATTTTAGCATCCTAACTTCTAAGATTGTTTCAGTTTATGCCGTTTCTTGCTACTCCTATTAGGAAATGAATGAAAGATAATATAACTAGCTTATACATATATATATATCATAAAAAGAAAAGTTTATATTAACTGGCCTAAGTTCGTTTGGTAATAGCAACTAATAGTTCAGACGATGGCTGATGTCTTACTTGGAATTCGGGATACGAGCTTCAGTGGGCGTAAAACACGAAAAGATCGTAACATACGCAGGTCAACGTCTATATTGGCCTCAGCAAATATCGTCATGGCTCTGATATTGACATAAGATATTGTCATTTGAACATATGGTAGAAGTTGTTATTAAATATAAATGCTTACTTAAGTTAAATACATGAAGTTAGGTTGGATTTTATCTGACAGTTTCCTTTTCAATTCAAAAAGTAATCAAACTCTTAAAGACTACACAGACATATCTTAATATAGTTTTTATAAAATATTACATTTTGTTTATCTTAAGACTAAAATTCTTAATCACAATGATTGATTCTTCAATTTAAAGTAAACTTATTATAATCGAGAGATATACATAAAGGTACATAGGTGAAATTAGTTTAGATTGAACATAAATAAAGTAAAGCTTGCACGGCGTGATTGACTTAATTTTAAAATAAAAAGTGCATATTTAGATAGATGGTGGTTAAGTTGATTATTTACCCCGTAACTACAACGAAAAAATCCATGATGTTCCAAATATTCCTGAGATAGGAGTGTTTATGCAGAACAAGCCCTAAGGCGAGGATCTTGAGCGACGCTTCTACACAGAAAATGCATAAAAAATAGGCCTCCGTTTTTTCCTATGTATTTCGTTACAGGATGACCAAATTGGTTATTAATCCCAGATTATGTTTGATTAAGTTAAGATCTTACCAATTTTTGAGCCAATACTGTCTTGTCGCCCCCTGGTAAGTGCTCCTCTAGTGCCAACACAACACAGTTGGCTATGATTGTCAATAACACAGCGTATTCAAAGGGCGGCCATTCTATGATGAATCGTGTGTACTTTCTAATTGGGTTATCCTCGGTTAGAATAAACAATGACGTCGGACCACCACCTGGTGGGTTTTCCTCTTTTTTCGGGCCACCCATTCTATCAGCTAAGCGATGGGCTCCCTTTCGACCCAAGTGCCCCCCGCCTAAGGAGTCCTGTTGATGCTCTGCTTGCACTACTTCCTGAGCCGCTTCCAACCTAAATAAAAGATGTGGTAAAGTCGGCAAATGGGTAAAAAATATTTCCACTTCCCATGGCAATTATCCACTAAAAAACTATTCAATTCAAATCAATTATTGTATTTATTACGTTTATGCTCAGCAATCGATCAATAATTAATTCAAAATTTAAATTACCCTTCTCGTTCCTTGAACTGTAATTTTCAATTTGGTTTTTAAGTTTAGAAAGTATGTTTGCTTGGAAGTTAAGTTTTTAAATCAATATTAGTACGGTTGCTTAATAATCCATAAATTTAACGATTTTAAAATGTTTTCTTAAATGTTTTTCTTTACATATTTCATAATCAGCAAAGAAATGTAACTAACTTTGTTCTTAACGTTTGCCAACTTTAAACATAAATCAAAAACATTACTCATACGCCTTGTGGTTTAATCTTTGACGTGATCTTTGTATTTAATTCTTTGTAAGCTTTATAGTTTCGTTTAGTTTTAAAATAGTTGAGCATAAATTTGATAAATTATTTAAGTTGGCTTCGGTAAGCCGAAGTCTGTTGTTGTTTAACTTTAATATTGGAACATTTTATTGGATATCGAGTCAAATTTTAATAGCATTCAAAAGTGGATAGCTAAAAACGTGTAAAACCAAAAAATGCAATAGCATTGCATTTTAAAATGATTATGGAAAGTATGTTTACGGTTTTACAGTTTTCTAATACATCCGATTTAGGATTTTTTCCTTTAAATCATTCAAATCATGGCAATCTTCATTAGGAACTTTCACCAATATATGATATGAATATGTTTTGTATTAGAAAGTATACAGCAAATAGTATAGTTTTATATAGTAGTAGCCTATATAGTGTAGTTTTAGGACAAATCAATTGATTTTGTTCATAAATCAAATAAGATAAAGACACATACCGTCACTGTATCCAATTTCTGATACTTTTGTAACGACCGCTCGGCCATAATTATATTAAACAAGGTCAACCACAATACGCATTTGTCGGGAGTGACACGCCGTCCGTATGGAACGATAGCGGCAACTGGACATTTAGCTCGCGAGTCCGATTTGCTGTTTCCTAATGATAACTGGAGGATGGAGGATGGATGCTGGCGATTGGAGGCTGGAGGATGAAGGAATCCGGATCCAAATCGTCCTCGTCCCGTATCAGTAGTATCCCTCGATCGTTACTTCTTGTTTTTGCTTTTATTTACTGATGTGTGTTCTTTTAGTCTTAGGTGTTTTATTTGCTTTCTCTTGAATGGCTCTTTGATTTTTAGTCTTTTATTATCTTTATTTGTATTTGTTAGCTTTTTAGCATTTCCACCGTGTTATTAATATTATTGTTGCACTTAAACTGAATGAAATTTGGAATTTGATTAGACATTACAAACACACACACACTAAATTTGATTTGGGCACGTTGTTTTCTTGTTAAATTGATCAGCTTTCTATATAATCGTATTTAGTTTGGATGGCTTGCGGCTATTTCGGCATTTGGCGATGTTGTGCTACTTATTTTGCCAACCAACCGATAATTATGATGCGCTCGGGTCAATTCAGTTCATGACCTATTGAAAACATGCTCATACACTCGCGCACGAACATATACACACACACACACATATACATATGTATATGGTTTGGTGGGGATATGGGGAAATTCGGGTTTGCATACGAAATGCATGGTCAGTGTTATTTGAATTCTATATTTTCGGATATATGACCCATAGATAGAGGTATAAAAGAACATATGGGGTTATGGGTTATGGCTTATGGGATTGCAGATGTAGTTATTTCGGTTATTGGTATAAAATTCCATTACTGGAACACGCCATGAATGAAAAAGTTAGGGGATGAAAAAGCCAGAGGCTGAGAATGTGTCTGACACACATACATATATACATAACTCTCTGTACATATATGTACAGAGCCAACGAAAAAGCTCAATAGAGAGCGACTGTGGTGAGTTGTGAAACGGTGAGATTCACTTCACTGGAAGGAACAAATTGTGTGTTTCCTTTTTTTGAAAACTTGTTTACCTTTTTGTGACCTTTTTTTGAATAAAAAGAGTCTCAATATCAGTCATTTCTAAATATATTTGGAAGTGCTTTATGTTTACAGTTATGCAGTGATTAGTAAACTATATTTATTTGCTTTTTTCCAGCTGATAAGAAGAATTGGCATTTGCAAAATTTCAACTCTCTTTATTCCACTCATACACACACACACACACGAACACAGATGAACCGGCAGGAGCTCGCTCTCTTTTCGCACTCTCTGATTTCAGCAATCACTGGGTCATATCGATAACGATAACATGCAGCCAACAAAAAAATCGCTTGCCTACTTTTAAGGGCTCAGTAAATCAGTTTAGAATTTACATTTATATTACATTTAAAATGAATTGGAATGAGGAACTTTCGAAATGATTAAAACCTTAGCTAGTCTTTGCTTTCAAAAATATATTTCTCTGGGACCTGATATAAATCTAACACTCTTTTTTCTAGTGACGTCACCGGACACAATTGTCTGCCTGGGTTTTTTTTTATGTTGACGATGTTTTTGGAAAGAGTATGGAAGTATGAGAACGGGGCAGAAGCTATACATCTGTATGTACTGTCGCTCTGTGACTATAATCGGGCGACAGTGGGACCAACGAACCTGTAATTGCCAAAAATAAACAGCCCCTTTCACATTAACACAATTACTATTAAGGTTGCTCCAATTTCTTGACGCAAATGTCACATTTTTTTTTTTTTGCTTACAACTTAAAGGGTTTATTGGGTGAAACTAGATATGTTGTTATTCTTTAGTTACAGAACACACACACACACACACACTAGACAATATTTGTTCATATGTTCATATTCTATGCTAAACATGACCATTGTTCAAAGAAGAGAGACAAATAAATACTTTTTTCACTTCCGTGTAGAAGGGAATAATAATTCCGGTTTGGGGAATTACATATAGAAGTGTGTAAAAAACGACTAGTTGTAGAACTAAAAAAGCTATCTATTTTAAATACTATAAAGGCAGCAATGAAATTAAATGTTTCCTGATTTGCTTCATCAATTCATTCACCTCGAATGTGCGTGTACACGTCACAAAAATAAACGATATATGTACCGATAGCCGCTGTGGCTAAAAAACCCCAAAACTCCATATCTCCTTTTCTTTTTTGCCTTCAGCTTTGGCTTTAGCTTTTCCTTTTTGCCAGTTGCCTTTGCCTTTGCCTTTGCCTTTGCTTTTCCTCCTCTTGCCACTTGCCACATCCACTTCCACAACCATCCACCGCAATATATAGCACCACCGACGCAACATTCCGCCCGTTGTGCTACCGACCCGCTGACCCAATCCCAGCGACTATATATATATATACACACAGATATATATATATATATATTTATACATATATCAGGGGATATATGTATGTGTGTGTGGTGCGTTCATGGGGCTTGTTAACTTTAACTTTTACAACTGGTTTTTAAGGATAGGTGTTTTTTATAACAAGGACTGAGCACAGAAACTAGGATATATATATGTATATATATATCCCTAAAATAATAATTAGATCTGGGGTGAAACACACACACAACCAGAGGTCGTTTATTGGCTTCAGTTTAGACCGAATAATGCTTTCTTTTCACTTGGTTTTTCGTTCTCATTCTTATTTTTTTAGCTGTCCTCGTCGCTATTTCCATTTCGACATTTTCCCGTTTTGCCTTTTCACGTTTTTTCCAACTATATTTCTTTCTTTCTTTCGTTTTTTTTTTTTTTTCTTGGTTTGGATGTTTGTAGTTTTATTTTCACCACTCGACCCGAATTCGGATGCCAGCGCACACAACTTTCGAAATGTGGAATTTTCACAGAGCACTTATATAGCACCGCAAGGATTTGTTAACACCTCCATGGCAATGGGGGCTATAATATTCAACCGTTTTCTTGGCTGGACACATATATATATATATATATTTGCTGATTAACTAGCGAATCGGAAAAAATAAAAAACAAAAAACCGCTTTATATACGGGGAGCTGTCAGCACCGACTTTGTCTCACCAGTTGGACGAAAAACTCAACAAAACGCAAGACTTCAACTCGGCGACTTTGTATCACATACTACCACATCGCCAGGGACCACACATACGCACATAAAAAAAAAACGAAAGCCAAGAAGCAAGGAAAAAATGAGCACCAGCCCTGCGCTCTGCGTCCGCCCGAAAGCTACACCCCAAGCTCTGGTTCAAGCTCAACTGACGGGGTGGACACACTGGCCAGCTAAAGCGATGGCTAAGGCGCTTGCGCGTCCCTAAGGGAAGCCTGCTTTGCTACCGTTACATTTCGCTGACTGAGCTTTAAGTTTCGCTTGCTTATTCACCTGTATTCAACGAAACTATTGTTGATTTCAAATATCCTAAATCAGGAAAACATCGGTTTTGTTGAGTTTATGAGGCTATCAAAGACATTCAATTATCACCAACTGAACCTTTTTCAAATTTATCGTTTGATATAATTGACTATCTCTTAATCTATTGACTTAGCTTTAAGCTTCACCTGCTTTCTACCAATATTTAACGAAACCATCGCTATTTGAGAAGCCCGGGCTTGCTTTATGCTTCTGGTTTTGAAAATACTAAACCTCGAATGCTTTTCTTAATCATTAATAAACGAATCTAAAAGAGTTTGCAAGAGAAAGACTTTCCTATATACAATTTTTTTCTTGTTTTCACAAGTTCTCAAAAATTCTTATAAAGATCGATAAGTCATATTGATAAATATATACTGGATATAATATCCTTAAAAAGGTTTTTGAATCTACTCACATTATGTCTCCCAGATTGGGCCGAGTCTGGACAAGAGCAAAGCTTTCCGGCGCCCGGCGCCTTTTGTTGGACCCCTGCATCGGGTAGTGTGTGCTCCGCCGGATGACGCCATCGCCGATGATGGCAATATTGTCATCCAGGCTGTTGATGTTGCTAATGGTCAATCGCGCCATAGGTGATGAGCCCCTTCTTCGACGAGCTCCCACACCGCCAAGCATTCTGGGATTCGTTAAATCGTACTTTACACTGCACTAAATATGCTCCAGATATGGCCATTTCTGTATAATATTTCATTTACGAACCGGTCACGTACACAATTACAATGGGTCGGTCACACAAAACTGGAGATCTTCTGGAGATTGCGAGTGTTCACGAAAAACCACAGGGCCTAGAGCCCCGGATTAGATGCACCAGCTGCCACGGTCCGAATGAAACTGATAGTCGTTGGGGAAACGGCTGTTGTCGATGCCCCAAACAGCCCAGCAAAGATAGATAACCGCCCAGATGGCGATGACGACGATTGCGGCTGATGACGTGCTTGATAGTAGTCAGCATATGCGCAGTGCAGGCTACCGTTGGCAATTAAGGGGCCAGGTGTCCACGGGACAAATCCACTCACACGGCCAGGCCACCCACTCCGGATATTGACAGCTTCCTTTGTTCATGAGAGCCCTCCACACTGATAACAAAATCATAGTAAATACAAACTATATCATAAATTAATTAACATTACACGTACCTGTGATATACTTTTTTAGGGTCAGGGTGTATATATAGTATATAGTTATGAGGAGTTAAGGTTGATATATTCTGTTGATTTCTCTTGAAAAGTGTAAACTTTTCTTTAATTTATTATATGCGTTGCCTTAATGTCTTAATTAAAAATGTAATTCAATTGCCGGTATCATAATTTGCATTGATGAAACTATAAAAAAAAACCGAAATCGACTTAAAACCCCGAGAACTTGGAATGCCCATTGGGCTATCACAGCGCTTATTTAGAAATGTTATTACCATACACATTTCGGATGTGATTTAAATTATGAAGGCCGTGATCCAATCGAGAAACTTGGCTACGTCAGCATATATGATGTACTGATTCTTACAGCAAAGCTTATGGCTTGATCCTGAATCTTGTGACTCAACGGCAGGCAGGGCAGCAGACACAGTGCCACGCAGCATCCAGCGATTGTTTCGCATGATAAACAGGCCAGCTCCCGAAATTCCGGTGTAAAAGCTGGCACTTCTATGGTGCGAATCTCTCTCCTCCGCCTGGATGCCAGCGCAAAAAGTTCGGTTGGAGGAGAGACTGCGAAAGTGGGCATTCGCTCCGAAGCACTCAGCATTACTGACAACTGGGGCTTTAACTACCTTTGGGGCACTGGTGTCGGTGGGTTTCTTGACTGGAGCCACCGATGACAACTTATGATCATGCGTCCCATTTGATCTATCAAAGCTCCAGCCAATGACGATGCCCTGCTCGCCCACAATGTACTCTGCCTTGCTGGAACCCGACCAAAGGCAAGCGGGCCGAATGAATGTGTTAAACCTAGATAAAGGTATAGCAAATGTATGATTCTAAATTTAATATGGATTGACTTACCGAACTTCGTCCTTCAGCATGATCACGGCAATATCCGCATCGTAGCTGCTAAGCTGGCTATTGAAATCGGGATGAATGTAAATGCCATCTACAGGAGCCGCCAGTGAGCCCTCCTCATTCCAGTTCTTCAGATTGTGCCTGCCCAGGAAAACGAGCACCTCGTTGGAGGTGTAGCGCTTGTTGAACAACTCGAAGCAGTGCGCCGAACTGATTACCACACGTCCTGAGACGAGCGTTCCACCGCACTGAAAATCCAAGGAGGTCAAATTATTCACATAGATGGCCGCCAACCAAGGCCAGGAACCCCTGGTGATCGACGGCAAGCTCTTAGTGTCATCTAGGGAATCATTATCTTCTGTTTCCGTTTCCGTTCCGTCCACGAAATGCTCCAAGCCATCAACATCTTCATCGTCATCAACAAAAACTGGCGATGTGATGGCATCCGAGCTTTTTGCATCGATTTCGCTGTAAATAGAATCCTTTCTTTGGGATAACCGAAAATCAAGATCCCTATCGATGCGTCCACAATTCTCCTTGGGCACCTGGGCAAAGGGTTTTCTACAAAATCGGGCATTAAGTAAGGAATGAATGACAAGATCATATAGGTTTTAACCGACCAAAATCCGGATGCATACTTCTTGAACTGGATGTGCTGCGAACTTGGAGACTTCTCGTCCATTTCTTCTGTCTTCTCAGTATCCAGTAGCAGGGAACTCTTCTTATCAGGAATAAAAGATAATTTCCTGATGTGCTCCAACTGGATTTGGGTCATGAAGATGCTGTGCTCTGTGCGGGCAAACAAATCAAGGATTAAATTGTGGCTCCACAAAATTTCAATGATACGCACCACCGGATCCAAAGCAGATCACATGATTGTTGGCGGACATGAGCAGGAGTTTGGGTGGGAAGTGATGCTTGGGAAATCGAATCTTGTAGAGAACTGGAGCACTCTGGGTGAACTTACCGCGGGTCAGTAGCTCGATTTCACCCAGATAGTTCTATGTGAGAAAGTGAATTTGGTCCAGTAGAAAGTATCAATTTTTTACTTTACCTACCGTGGTTGGCTTTCCCCGCATCGACAGAGTAACCTTGATGTGGAGCGGCTGGTGGCCATCGGGACTGCGAACGGCCATCAACCCAAACCATTCGCTTCCATCGAAGCGGTATTGAAATATCTTGGGACACGGACTGATCGGCATACCCTGAGCGACTGCCTTGGACACGTGCTCGATGCAGAGGATAAGGATGACCATCAGGTGCAACCTCATCTCAATTTCTGAATTACTGTTGAAAAACTTTTCACTCAAACCAAACGTAAACAATTCCGCGATCGCCGTGAAAGCTTTAGAAGTCTGGCAACGCTGTGAACTTTCAAATTTCCCCAGTTACAGAGCTGCCACACTCATAAAATACCCTCCGTTACTTCATTCACAAAAAATACCCCAAGCGGGGTGGACGCGAAAACTATAGTTCTGTGTGAAAGATCGGATTTGGTTGGAAAGATCGGATTTCAGTTGGAGGATATATATTCCGCACTTTACATACCGTGGTTGGCTTACACGACATTGATATCGTAGCCTTGATGTGAAGCCGTCGGGACCGCGAACGGACACCAATCCGAACCATTCGCTTCCATTGAAGAGCTACACTGGATAAATGCCTCGGACACGTGCTTGATACACATGATCAGTATGGCCAACAGGTACTACCACGTCTAGATTTCTGAATATCTTTTCACTTAAACCAAACGTAAACAATGCCGCCATTGCCGTAAAAGCTTTAGAAGTCTGGAAACGCTGTGCATTTTTTTTAATTTACCCAATTACAGAGCTGCCAGATAAATTAACATCCTCCGTTACTTTAAATACAACAAACACCCCAATCGAGGTGAAAACTTTTTGTTTAAAAATTCCGTTTTGTGCTTTTAAAATTTGATTAACTTGTTATTTGGTCTTAAAAAATCATTTATTTTGATATTTCCTTTTTAATTAAACTAAAACTATTTACAAAGAGTTCGAGTGTTGATATTCAACCTCCAAATTGGAGAAGAGCATTTATTTTAATTAAATCGCTTTACTTATTAGACAAATTCATCCTCTTCGCCATAGCTAAAGCCATCCTCGTTCTCCTCGTTGCCAAAGAAACGTTCTAAATCCTGTTCGGCCTCCGCCGGAGCAGTGTCGGCGGTCAGCAGCTGGTCCTGATCCTCTGGACAGCCACGGCAGCGACTCTCGTTGATCCCATAATTGAGACAATTTTCGCCAACACATTCGCAGCATCCGTCATGGAACCATCGATAGCTACTGGCTCCCATGCTTTCGCATTGCTGACGGCACTTGTTCGACCGGATGCACGAGTTCACATATATCACCGTGCACAGTGTAACGCTTCCGTTTCCGCTATCACTACTTCCGCCCTGGACACGTTGCTTAAAGCCGGCACGCATTGAAAACCTTATAGTGGACCATCCATCGTCATCCACAGCTGTAATAGTGTCGAATAGCTCTGGCACTCCCTCAATGTCGCCGATCTCCGATCTCTGTGTCAACGATGGCAATGCATCCTTGTGCTTAGGACACATATCCAGGCAGCCACAGCATTCGATATATAGTTCTCCAAGGCAATTCAAGCAATCCTTGCAGCAATGGCAATCGTTCAACTTGCACTGACAGCTTTGGGTGATCAGGCACTTGGACACCACCGATCCGCAAACCACCTCGTTGCAGCCATCATCGTTAGCCAACACGGGCCAAGGGACTAAGCTGGTAAGTAGCAGGATATAGTGGTAGAGCAACTGCATTCTGGTCGAGATCTCGAGATCTAATGGCACATCAGCATTTTTTCGGCATGTCTTTATATAGCTATGACGTAATGTTTAACCTGGACAGATGGTCAGGTAGTGGGCTTATCCTTACCGCAATCCTCTAATCCTTAAAGTCCGCAAAAAACAGGTAGTGCAGGGTCATTTAAAACCATTTAGAGCCAACACCTCCATAAAAATAGGCTAGATAAGGGATGCTCTGTTGGTTTGGTTTAACTTTGTAGGCAGATTTTGGCCTTTGACCTGTCTTATTGATTTATATTAAGTGTCATAAAACCAAAAAATCCCAACCACAAAACAGGTATTTCTGGTTAATATAAGCCGAATCTCAACCAAATAGTTACCAAATATGATGTGGAATTTCCTTGGAATTTTCCATTAAAAATATTTTGTTTTTAACAATTTTTATAATTATCTGCATTGGAAATTTACATTTTAATTTACAATCAACTGTATAATTTAGTAACTAATTAATGAATCTATCAAACGTTTGGCCAAGACTACTCGGCAGCTGGCTCTGGCACAGGTTCCGCTGGAGCTGAAGCCTCTGGCTCTGGCACCGGCGGTGGCGGCGGTGGTGCTTCTGCTGCGGGTGCTTCCTCTTTGGGCGCCTCGGCTGCCGCTTCTGGTGCTGGAGCTTCAGGAGCAGGAGCAGGAGCTGGTGCTGCTCCCTCCTCGGCAGCTCCTTCAGCGTGGGTTTCAGCTGCTGGTGCAGCTGGTGCAGCTGGTTCGCCTTCAACGGCTGGTGGCGCTTCTCCTTCTGCCGCAGCCACCGCAGCTGGAGCTTCTCCCTCGCCAGCGGGGGCCTCTGCGGCGGGAGCTTCGGCTTCGGCCGGTGGGGGTGGTGGTGCGGGTGCGTCGACGGCGGCAGCCACTGCTGTTGCGGTTTCTGGATCCATAGACTCTCGCATTTCGGCGGTCTTCTTGCTCTGTGGTGAATATCGAATTCTTGAGAAACTGCCAGCTATGATATTTAAAAAAAAAACTTACGCGTTTCCTCTTCTTTTCGGGTTCCACGACCACTTCCTCTTGAGGCTTGTAGTCCTCCGGGAAGAATTTAAGGGCCTCGTCCTTGCCAACAGTTACATTGGGACTGACATAGCTGGGTCCATAGGACACCAGCGACAGCATCATGTTGGATTGCACCTTGTTCACCTTCAGCACGATCTTGTCGTCCCTAAAAGAAGAAATTATAGAGATATTAATGTGAAATGAAGACTAATCCTGGTCAGAATACGTACGCGGAATGCGGACTGCCCTCGTATTTGTCCGTGGAATTGGCAATCAATTCGGCCTCTTCCGGTTCAGCACTGGTGAAGTAGCCATAGAGTGGTACATCGTCCTTATGCCGATCGACCACATGCATGATCTCCTTGCGCTTGGAGGCATCGAAGGCCATTATGACATGTGGTGGCTCCGGTTTGGGATCCGGTGGCAAGAATCCGGACGTTTGACCACGGAAGAAGACATAAATAAGAGCGGCATGGGTGCGTCGATTGTTTGGCACCCAAATGGGTGGCATTTTCACCGTTTTGGTGCGGGTGAGTGGCTTCGGTGGCTCCTCCTCCTTAACCTCCTGGGCTTCCTCTTCGTCCTCGACGACTTCGTCGGCATCGCCAATATCCATGTCGAAGCCAACCATTGAAGGCATTCCACCCATTGTATCGCCTCCGGGTGGTTCAGGTGCCTCCTCCTCACTGACCTCCTCCTCGTCGTCTATATCGGGTGCCTCCTCCTCGACCAAATGAGCTTCTTCGTGCATGACCGATTTGGTTTTTGGTTTAGCCTTCGCCTGGAGCAATCTAGCTTCCTCCTCGGAGCTAATCTCGTCGACCCAAACTTCGCCCTCCTTTAGCTCCACTTCGACCTTTAGTTTCATGGTGGTGATAATTGGTGGAATCACATGCTCCTCGGGTATATCTTCGGTGGGTGGACCCACTCGTTCCCTGGTCAATTCATGTGCGTAGGCCATCAGGACATTCGGTACAGTTCCGATACTCTCATCAATCTTCCAGAAGCACATAAGCAGCTCCTTCCCATCCAGCTGCTCAATAACATCCGCTGACAAGGGATTCTTGCACGAAAAGTTAACAATCTCGAATTGTTCGCTGGCCACCTGGATGACCCGACGATCCTTGCACTGCATCTTCAGCGGTTCAGCGGGTTCGGTTAGTTTCTTGAACATATCACGATTGACTTGAGGTCCAAAGACCGTTACACCAATATCCGGCATATTCTCCATTATGTGATCCGTCACCTGGGTAAGATAGTCCACTTGTTTCTTGTTCTTAATCTCACGCTCAATCCGCTCGGCCCTTTCAATGGCCTCCATTTTGATACGTTGCTGTTCCACCTCAATGGGCTGCAGTTCGTCCAGTCTATAGTTGGCCTGTCGTGGCACTCTTTGAACGACCTTCTCCAACTCCTTGGCTAGCATGCCCATCAACTTGGGCACATCCGGACCAAATATAATGTTAACGGCCCTACCACCCTGAAAGTTTAGTATGTGATTAATTTAAATGCGATTAAGTTAGTAATATTAGAAATTTCACTTGACTTACGGACACAAAAAGCCAGGTGGGTTCGCTCCTCTTATTGAACCTTTTAAGACTTGTGATGGTGTCCGATTTGCACTATATGAAAGGCATTTCATGATCTTAAGATCAATATATATAACTTAAAATTAACCCACAATAGCCAAATGCAAGTTGTCACCTCCAGACTCGAGCTTGAATTTTCGTAGGGAGCCCACCATCCCCTGGCAAGGACCACACCATTCCGAGTATACATCCAAAACTGGCGATATAACGAATATTTTTTTTAATATTTTTTGGGATTTTAAGTTATTTTTAAACCCACGTAGAAGACCTGGTCGCTCCATGAAACGCTCCAGTTCCTCATCCGTCTGGATGTCCGCCTGGAGTTGTTGTTGTGCCGCCTTCTTGGCCATCTAACCACAAATTTTGCTACCAATTTCTGAATTTATTTGAAAATTTATTTTAGCCCGATTTGTTTTTTTGTTTTTGTTGATGTTTTTTTTTTTTGAATGCCAAACCGAAACTGAATATTCCAAGAACTATTGATTAAACAAGACGAACCCCAGCCCCCCTCCCAACTTACCAAGTTTTTGTTGCTATTTTTGCATTGAATAAAATTGGTTTTCCATCAATCGTAATAAATTAGTCAACCACAATCGTTTAATTGTTCGTAAAATTAACGCTTTTACACACACACATTGGCGAGTTCTTACACATTGCATAACAAAAAAATTGTTCACTCTTTACTAAAATAGTTAAAATAATTTAAACAACACAAACAAATACGAGTAATGAATATATATATATATATATATAGAGAAAGAGCGGAAAATGGGTATAACTTTCAGCTCATTGTTCGAAAAATTCCTACTCGAAAAGTCGATTTCAGTACATCATTTAGATATTTGTTAAGTATATGTATATATATGTATATATAGATAGATTATTCGGTATATAGACCTAGTTAGCTACTAGTTAGAGCCACTACAGTACGTGTGCATAGAGGGTGACCAAGTTTTAGATTTAGGCAAACTACGAGTAACTCAAAACCTCCCTTAAAAAATTAATATGTACAGTTATTAACACAAAACTAACGTTAAACGCTCGTTAATTAATGCTGCCATCCGGTTTCTCCTTTGGATTTTGATATATCTATATCTAGTTATATATCTCTATCTCACGGATATTCCATTGATGGTTATAACATTACTGGCCACCGGCTCTGGTTCATAGACTTCGTCATTGGTCCGCATCTCGTAGGGAGCATCGTAGAATTGCTCGTTTGGTATTTGATCGTAAATGTTTTCTGTAAAAAACAGTTTGATATAAGTAAGATTTTCTTAAAATATATATATCAATTTAAAGATAAATAATATTACATCAAATTCCCATAATTTATATATCAATAAGTCATCAAATAATTAAGTAAATCTGCAAGCTTAAGGATACATTTTCTAAATCATTTTTAAAATACTTTTTAATACCTTAATCATGTAAGACTGATATCTATGTAATAGTTTTTCTTGATATCTTTGAGGTCAAAAAATCATTAAAAAGATTATTTTATCATTTGAGTCTATTTTTAATGCCATTTTGATAAGATAAATTTTATTTTAATTGATTTTCTTATCATTTTTCGTTATCAAAAGGTCAAAAGATATAGAAATAATCATTTTAAAGTTTCCAACATATCAAATTACTTTCAAACTCAAATGAAAACCCATCAAAGCAGATAACCCATGAGGCTTTCTCCTTAATTTTACTTACCCGACCGATTGTTGTTCAGTCTTTCACCATTCCCAGTTGCATCTGGATTACCGCCGGCATTGTTACGTCCGCCGGCTCCTCCGTGAAACGTGTTGAACGTCGCTGACGGATTGTTGTCCATGTGCATCCGATTGTTGGCCTCCAGCGTGGAATATGACATAACGGCGGCATTACGTTCGTCCTTTGTCTCTGCCGCCTGGACATTTTCCGTGTTTTTCACAGGTCTTGCCTTATTCCGATATAGGAAAATCAATCCAAAGATCACTAACAGAGCCACAATTACAGTGGCACCAATGCCCACGCCAGTTCCCAGCTCTGAGGTCTCATGACCCTCCGTCGTGGACAATTCACAGCGTGGCTGCTTGCCACTCCAGGCTCCTTCCTCGGTGCACTTGCGCAGGTACTGACCAATTCGATTGTAGTTGGGAATACAGTGGTACTCGGCGGATCCGCCATACAACGTCGAGTCGTTGACCACAATCACCCGACCATTCTCAATGGCCAGTGGGCGTCCACAATCGACAGCTATAAAAAAAACAAGTTGCAAAATTAGTCATTGAATAATTTAAATGGTCTTTAAATTAAATAGCCTATACTTACGCCTGCAGGTGGGACTTTTGCCCGCCCATTTGCCATTTTTCTGACAGACACGCGTGTCATTGCCCATCATGATTCTGCCCTTGGAGCACTTAAAGGTGGCCACAGATCCCACGGCCCGAGGACCAGCCTCGACAATCAGATTCTCACTGATATTAGGCGTATCGCAGACGACCTCCACACATTCCGGTGTCTCGTGGCTCCAGTTTCCATGCTCCGTGCACAATCTCCGGGAGACTCCATTCAGCTTAAAGTTCACATTGCATTCGTAGAGGACAGCGGCTCCGTAATAGGTGGCATTGGTGGCGAGGACCACCTTGCCATTGTTGATGTTCTCGGGAGCTCCACACTCCACATCTAAAAGGGATAAGCACACTGAATCAATCTGTCAAGATGAGATTTTTATACCCCTATACGTACAGACACATTCTGGTATGGTTCCACTCCATTGTCCACTATCCGTGCAGGTGGCCAGTGCCTCGCCAACCATCTTATAGCCACGTTCGCATCGGTACTTAGCCAGGGCTCCAATTCTGAAAGTTAACAATGAGAATGGTAGATAGATATTCAGGAATAGAAGAATCTTCATCTTACTTATAAGTCTGAGCTGTATTCTGCGAAGATTCCGATGTCCGGATAAGAGTCCTTCCGTACATGCGATCATTGCCAGTTACGGACAACAGACTATGGGCAGCCAGTTTAGGTTCTGGACAGCGAATCTCTGTGAAAGATATATGATAATATAATGATGAACTGCATCTAGAATGGAAGATTAGAATGTATCCTCACCTTCACACTTGGGTGATGAATCACTCCAGACAGCTGATTCCAGACACTGGCGCTTCAGGACACCACTGAGCTTATGGGACTGGGAACAGCTGAATACCACTTCGGATCCCACATAGGTGGTGTTGGTCAGGTACTTGTGACTGCCATAGGGAATGGGCAGGATCTGGCCACAGTCGATATCTGTTTGGTTAAAGGAAATGTAAAATATATTAGTTTAAGTTTATATCATCGTACTCTTCATATTCATGATAGAACATCTAGGACATGGAAGTATACATATACTCCACCCCAAAGACTTACATTCACAGTAAGGAGCATCAGCACTCCATTCCCCGCTGTCCAAGCACTCCAGCACTGGAGTACCATGCATGATATGTCCTGGATCGCAATTATACTGAATCTTTGAGTGGACATTATAGTCATATCCAATGACAAAGGAACCCGTTGGAACAGTAGGAGTTTCGCAGGTGACTAGTTCACAAACAGGCGCCTCGCCAGACCACTTTCCATCCCGGGTGCAAAAGAGCTCTGACTGGCCATCCAGCCAGTGATCCTCGTCGCATTCGTATTTAACCACAGAGTTTACTGTGGTGGTGCCATTTAAAAGGATTGCTATACCACGATTTGGTCGTGCCGGAGCTCCACAATCCACGAATCTACAAGAGGGAGTCTTGCTTGACCATTCACCACCAAGACCGCAGGAGATTATCTGAAAGGGGGGGCAATAGGAGGTTGCATTACATATTGGATTATAAAAGTAAAGGATTGCTTAACTTACCGCCTCTCCAACTAGCACATATCCTGGTTCACAAACATATGTGGCCGTCGATCCAGCTCTCTTATCATTAAACCGGACATTGCCTCCATTAATTGGCTGAGGATCTGGACACCAGTCCACTAGACATTCCGGTTGCTTACCACTCCATCCGTCCACTGCACATGTCCGGTTTTCATTGCCAATCAAAGTGTAATTCTCATGGCAACTATATGTGGCCACCACGCCAAAGCTTGTCCTGTCCTCCGACATATGAATGGATCCAAATTTCAGCTCCGGCAGACTGCCACAGTCCACGTCTAGGAAAAAAGTTGAAGGATTTTAAATCTTAGGTCTCTAAACCTTATGGTTATTTAACTTTGATCATTTGATCATTTTTTTTTTCGCCTTAACTATTGCATAAGATCGCTTACATTTGCACGTCGGCGATGAGCCGCTCCATGTACCATCGAGTCTGCACTCCCGTTCCGTCTGACCGAGCAGCGAATGGCCCTTGGGACAATTGTATTGGATTTTCTCGCCGAGAGTGAACTTTTTGCCCATGACAGTGGTATTTTGCTGGGCATCCGGTGAGCCGCAAGACAATGGAGCTGCCGGAAGAAAACAAAGAAGGTGAGCAACTGATGACACTGACTATATATATCGGAAGACCCACTGTGTTGACAGATGAAGTGCAAGTAGTCCAAATTGCAGCCCACGTCGTTCCATAGCCAATTTCGACCCCCATCGAGTACAACGCAATTCTGTTCACCATTGTAGTTATTCGGTTGATCCTTTCCCCAAGTTGGCTTCTGGACAACGTCACCTGGAATGGGTTACAAAAATGTCAATAATATTGAGGAAAAATCTGAAAAAATCTTTCATCTAAAATCTACGAGTATAGTATAATTATATATCATAAAGATCATATATGGTAGATAGACTTACCGGTAACCCATTTCCAAGTACGAGATGTAATGCCCGGCTCCTTTTGGGCACCAATCCAAACTAGCTGCGGCTTCAGTTCGCTCTTCCGGCGCTCCAGCTCGGACAAGATATATTGACTGGTGGCGCCACGAAAGTCGTGTACCAAGTCGCCCCCTATAATTAAATGGATATTGATCAGTTGGTATTTCCACAATCTAACCATAGAGTTGGGAACCCCCTCCTAATTCCGCATGGACAAAACTCACCTGTCTGCTTGCAAATGGCCTGCGCCTTGTCGAAGCTTTCTCCTTTTGTGATATGAAAGTCGTAGCAGGTTTTCGAGAATGTCGTTACCACGGTGTCCACACCGATTTTCGGACTCAAACAGCGATCCACGGAGAATTCATCGTTGGTGAAGGTCTCCACTTCGCAGAGACTCAAGCTGCCCTCGACTCCGACCAATTGAATGGCCACATATTGGCCAACCAAAGGACGGGCACAGGTGAATGTCTTGACAACGCCTTCATCTAGGGTTCCGGGATACCAGGCACACAGTGGATTCCTTTGCAGATCCGCACTGCTGTTACCCACTCGGATTTCAAGATCCTGCAGTGGCTGGTGGCCACAGCAGCCACGTGTGGTTATGCGGACAACGTGCACTGCCTGTGGGGTTAAGAGGTCAACGCGCCACCAGGGTGAGGGCTCCTTTTGCGTCTCAGAGCACTCCTGGCCATCGGGATTCTACGGAGAATGAAATAATTTTTATTTTTCAATCTATCTAAAAGGCCACTCAAAAACCTATCTTAGTCTCAAATAGCCAAATCAATATAATGAAAAATCAATCAACAATAACTAAAATCAATTTTGCTTCTATATATAGTAAATGACATATTGAAAAAAAGAAACAAAATATGCAAACAATTTCCACAACTTGTTTCAAGTCACATTGCGGAATGCACAGATTCATCATTAAACTTTTGGTAATAGTTGACAGCTTCTATGTTTTTTAGCCCAAAGTATTTGTTTAATTTTGTTTCGTCTTTGTTTCTAAAATGGGACATGAAAAAGAAACTACACAAACTACCTAAAACTGAATGCATAATTCGAATTCGATGAATAACAAACTGATACACCTTGACCTTTTAATTTTTGCACAAGAAAAAAAGACAATTTTAGCAAGAAAAAACGAAAATGTAGCTTAAATTATAAATCAATTTAAGAAGATTAAAGTGTAATTATATGCAGTGTTAAAAAAGGCTAATATATCTTCTTAGTTGACCAAATTTCTTAACCCACCTTATTTCCCGGCTTGCCATCATTCGCATAGTAAGCCGGACCGCTCCTGGTGTAGGAGCTCTGGTTGACCGGCTTGCGGTATGCCACATTGACACCACAGAAGGGTAGATCCCGTTCCCAGCCGGTCCGGACGTCACACTTGACCGACGCCGAGCCAAACAGCTCATAGCCAGCATCGCACTCGTAGTGCGCCTCCGTGATCTGGGAGTCCACGGTGACGGTTCGCACCTTGGCATTCAGCGGCACCGCCGGCGGACCGCAAACTGAAAACAATAAACAACACAAAAAAAAGTTATAATATATATAATAATGTGTGATGTATGATGTCTGTGCTGTGTATATATTATATATAATATGAAAGGCTTGAATCTTAAGCTCGAATATCTGCAACGACACTTAACGTTTGACGCAATCAAGTTTTTTTTATGAAGAAACTGGATTAGTTAAAAATATAACCAGAAAACTCTTTTAGTCATTTAAAAAAAAGTCAGCAATCTAATATTTTTTAAAATGTAAATGTTACTTATTGGAAAATTATTTAATAATTATAAAAGATTTTATCTAAAAATAGTTTAGGAGAATGCAAAAATGTCTATAAAAAGTTTCCTTCTATCAAACTGTCAGAAGAAACTGATGTATTCACTCACAAACCCAAGAAAAAGCATATTGACTCAATCAAAAAATGTTTGTGATTGATCTTTATAGAAGATTAAGAACAAACATTAAGACAAAAATGATTGAGCAAATGCTAGGAACTCTAACAAAAATTCCTAAAATTTGTACATCTTCTATATGTATGCTTTTTACGGAATTTTTAATGAACATTTTCTCAAGGAAAATACAAAATATGCTATATAAGTTATTTATTGACTTAAGAGTATATTTCTTTAAAAATTCCTAACCTTTTAAAGAATATTTTTAAACAATTATTCACACAAATACTAATTATTGAAGCTTTTAAGCATCTTTTCCTATCTCTGAAAACTAAAATATAAAAGAGACTTCCCTACACTCTTTAAAAATAAGTTTGTAAATACAAAAAAAAACTGTCTCAATCAGCGGTTTAAAAATAAACCAGTTAAAGTTGCCTCCTAAACGATTCCTTATATAGTAGGACGCCAAAAATCTTGTCTCTTTGTGGTTGGTTTTCTTCTGCGTGGGTATTTTTTTTCTTTTCTTTTCTTTTTGGTGGGATCTCTCACCTTTGTTCTCCAACCGTTCCCCTGACCCATGCAAGAAAATTGTTTAATTTTATAAACGAACAATTTGAGCTTAAGAACTTGTGAAAAGTTTAAGTTTTTCCAGTTCCCATGATAAATATGCAAAGGCCTAAAAAATGCAATGTTCTCAGAATTGTTTTGCCTACCAAATAGTGAGCATAAATTATTCGCAATGAAAAAAGGCTACATAGTTAGGTTATTTTTGGGCCTGCCTGAGTAATTTCATTAAGAATAAATGAGGCAATTAGTGGCCAAAGTAGCGCGAAATGGTTTTGCAAACATGTCTCTTTCTGTTTGTTAGCCAAGTTAAAGGGCAAGAGACAAAAGCGATGGCTGGTCTCTCCAAGGAGAACACAGCTTTTCGAGGCGAAAAGTGGTTACGAAATGCGGAGTTGGCCTAGTTACAGGTTTTCTGTATTTGTTGAGCATTGTTTTTTTTTTTTTTTTGGGTTATAAATGCTTACAAAAAGTTGATAAAATCCAAGGAGTTTAATTTATATTTTCATAACATTTTTTAATAATTATTATTAGCAATAATCATTGATAATTCCACCCAAGTACCCTAAAAACCTAAACTAGAAATCAAATTGGAGATGCGTTGGCTTAGATCGATATTTTCTGCATATATACACATATATTTCCAGATCGGGATTGTCTTGAAAAACTAAGCCATCAATATTTCCAGCCTGCAGCTGTGTATTTTTGTTTTTTCTTTGCAAATTTTTGCAAATATTACGAAGAAAAAAAGAGAAACAGCTGCGCTAGCTGCCTCGATGATGTTATTTTTTCCCAACAGCCAAAAAGCCGTTATTGTTATGAGTTTTGAATCGCATTCATCCGGTTTTACTGGTGTCAATGATCTTCCTACACACTCCCAACCATCCCCCATCCTCCAAAGAAAAAGGTAAATTACTGGGTAGGGCGTGGATCAGGCAACAGATCACCAAATAAAGGAAACTTTTTTAATTCAGGTTATAGACGACATTTTTTTTTGTTTTTTGGAAAAAGAACCCTCTAGGAGGATGCCTGAAGTTGTTTAAAAAACAGTGGTTAAAGAGTAGTTAAAGTTGTGGAAAATATAAAATAAAATAATTACTTACATATTATATTAAGTAGGTTGTAGAGATATCGGAGAAATATTATTATATTATTGTATAGTTTTTCTTAAGAAAGTTATCATGATTTTTCAGTTAGATAAACTCGTAAAGTTAGGCACTTTCTGTTTTACGATAAAGTATACACTTTTTTTTAACATTTAACATTTATTTTTAAATATTTTCAAGATAAAAGCGTTTAAAAATGTTAAGAAAAGTTTAAATTTAAGATTGGTATTTAGCAAATAAGCTTAGTAAATCATAAAACTATATTTCCCAAAGGTCGTTAGAGATGAATAATTTCATTTGGCACACAATTTACTTTATGATCTTTTTAATTCGTTTTTAATATCAAAAAATCCACTGTGCATTGATTCGAATCTTGCGTTTTTACAATATATTTTGTGGTCCGTTGTTGATTTCTGACCTTCAAAACAAAAAAACTGAAGTCAAGGGGGAATTGCCGTCGTTCAAAGACCTCAAAAAGAAATTGTTTCAAAATAAGTAATTTAAAATATATGAAACCCAAGGGAAAACTTTATAAATGAGTTGAAGAACAACATCAGATAACAGACATAAATCTAATAACATTCCAAAGAAAATATTAATAGCAATAAAAAGTATATAAATTTTTAACATATTTTCATACTTAACTTTCATATTGCAAAAAAAAAGCCCTACCAACATTCATAGGCCACATAAAAATAACCAAATATGACTATAAAAAAGCAAACATTATTGAATATTTAGCCGGCATTAGAAAGGTGGCCCAATTGGCATGATGTGACAACATCGGGAGTCGATCATCACCAAAGGAAATTGTAATTTAAGGCACGTAAGTGGGCGCAATACCTACAATATATACAAATACATAGTAGGTACCTGTAACTGTTAGCCGTATAGTAAATCTACAAACGGTGAAATGTACAAACGCAATCACGTATTGCAAGACTTTTAACCAGCGCGGACGACAAAGACGGCAACGTGAACTTGTGAAACTTTTGAAATAAGAATGTCACAAGCAAAGTGGCTTCCTCAAGACGAGGCAATATATATATATATATATCTGTATGTATGTATATATATATATGTCCAATGGCCAAGACTTGTACATACACAAACAACAAACAACAGCCGCAGAAGTCGTTCAACCACTGAACTGGGAAACTCTGAAGCTCAGAGCCGCAGAGACTCAGAGTCTTGGAAACTTTCACTGCTTCCACTCCATCCAGCTGGCTGTCCATTTCTTCTTGCCCCTTCCTCCATCGTTTTGACCCAAAAGAGTTAGCCCCATTTTTATTCCCTTCGAGACAAGACAAAAACAGGTCACAAGGCAATTTATGTTTTATGGTTATTTGCTGTTGCCGCTGAGAAGTATTTGTCAAGACATTGCCTGCATTTTATGCTTTTCAACTATTTCAAGTACTTTTTTTTTTACTATTATAATAGAATTAGAATTAGAATGGTAATAGTTGGTTTTAAGTTGGATATCTTTCCTCTACTTTAACTCATTATTGCTCTTTTTACAAGAACTAATTTGGTATTCAAGCGTTGTTCGTGATTTTAAGTTCTTAAACATACAAGAAAATCCCATTAAATATTTAAAGTGCTTAAGGAGCTACTTTGTAACTTTAAATTCGATTAAATATTCTTAGAAGTCTTTGTTTAGAAAGGCTTACGTATTTTTATCATTTTATATTTTTCATTCTTACATTTTATTTGATGTTTTTGTTTAATTTCAAACTGTTATTGGTTGAAAAATAAATATGAAATCAATGTTTATTTTTGTTTTAAGATTCTGACAACCATAAAGCCCTTTTACAAAGATAAAATTAATGATATTTTGGAATAAATTATACAAATCTTTATGAATATATAGATAATTTATAACATTTTAGAACAGATTTAATAAATCTTCATTGAAATTGCCAAAAATTTTAACAAAAGAAAGTTTATTTAAAAGCTTGTCATTAGAATCTTAAAACATTTCTCAAGCAGTACAGCATTTATGGCTTACAAAGGCAATCTTTGAAGTTTAACTTTAACACCATGTTGATAAACACTTCTGTTTAAATATAGAACAAAGAGTTATTTATCTAACACAATATAGTATATATACTTAGTACAAAGCTAATCGTTTGACTAACTAAAGAGCTTTAAACGACAAAGCAACTGCACTTTTTCAAAGCATCTGTTACTTTCCCAAGCCCCAACGAAGAATGACTTGGGCAAACGAATTGAGAAATTCTCAGCAACGTGGTGACCCCATTTAAAGGTGATAATTGGAAAATAGAGTGAGTGCATGAACGGATTGTAAAGATGTATAATATAATGGGGTCAATACTACTAACTGACTGGATAGATGGTTGAACTTACTTTGGCAATTTCCAGCTGTGCATAGAGCCAACAGCATCAGCGGCATAATGAGGTTCATTGCATTTGGAGAAGTCATGGCTCTTTGAAAAGCCAACCGAGTGCGGTTGCGATGGGATGTGGCAGTGGATGTGGATGCTGATGTTGATGTTTTCAACAATATGTTGCAGTAAAACATTGTTTGCTGTTGCCAGCTGTTAATGTTTTTTTTTTTTTTTTTAATTTGAATTTGAATTTGAATTTTCCTGATGCCGCGTTTCCGATGCTGCAAATGCGCCTGATGATGATGCTGTTGGTTGTTGTTGTTGTTGTTGTTGTTGTTGATTATAATGCCGTTGGCTTTGGCTACTGATTAGCTTTAGCTTTAGCTTTGGCTTTTGCCTTATGTATTGTAATAATGTTGTTTGTGTTTTTGTTGTGGCATCACCGACGATTAATTTATGCATACACTTGTGTCGATTATTTATATTTATATTTTTTAAAAGATATGGCGTGAGCGATCGTGCTGCGTTCATTAAGGTTTCACTTTGCATTCACACTGAATTTCCACAGGCTAATTATGATGTATATCTATATCTAAACATAAAGATATATATATATTACTGCATATTGGGATAATGCATAAAACCCAGGCTCATTGTAATAATCGTGAAAATTACAGGTTGCGGGTTATTGACTCCTCCCTCACCTGTCAAGCGGTACCAAACCGCTTTCCTAAGTTCCCATATCTATAGTTTATCTATCTATCATATACATATATATATATATCTTGTCTTTCTGTCTGACCGCTCGTTTCGATTCAGTTCCATTCGATTGCTTCGATTGAAAAAGTAAAAGTAAACTTTAAATGGCTTCCCTTTTTGGTGTTGCCCATGCTACGGCATGAATAATCGAAAGAATAAGCAGATATACATATATACTACTATAGCCTGAGGGCGAGTGTTGTTGCTTTCAAGGTTGCTAACCACTGTGACCCATGTTTATCTACTACCCTAGTCTACAGATCGGACAGAGAACCTCGTTTTCACTAAGCCCGCGGGGGTAGCTTGGAACTTTAAAAGTTAAAACTTGAAATCCAAATCATAAGCAACTTTCATTAGAGCGCTCGTATATATACCATATATATATATATATATCTTTCACTAATTATCGGCTACTGGCGGCTGGCGTTGATAGCCTCTGGTGGAGAGTTAGGAAAGTTTCGGATCGAATCGATCTTGGCTTAGGCACTCTAATTCGATATCGTTGGTGCTAATTTGAACCGTCTCCCTGTGTCTGTGTGTGAAAGTACACCACGGCCTGTGTTGATGGCAAACTAAAAAAAAAAATAATAAAAAAAAAAACAATATTCGGGCCGCACTAACACTGACACTCGATTATAAGAAACGTTCCCGATTTTATTTGCATATATACACAGATCGTGAACAGCTAACATTCATATATGAGCATGATTCAATATGACCGGATTTAGCTATGTTTTTGTTGTTGTTGTTTGCTGTTGTCTGGTCTGCTCTGGGTGGGAGCTGTAAACTCACTCAATCTCTGACCAGTTCACACACAAAATATACTTATAAAAAAAAAAATACAAAACCACTAAAACAAAAATATATACAAAAAATAAAAACCACACACAGGAAAAAAAAAACATAGAGAGCGCGCTTGCACCTTCTTGGTTCGCCGAAGAAAATGGGAAAAATTAATGGCGGCTACCTATGAACGTGAACTTATTTCTCGTTTTTTTTTTTGTTGTTGTTGTTGGTTTTTATTTCTTTTTTTTTTGCTAGCGACCTGGCTGCATTTGCACGAGTTAACAACGCTGCGGCTGCTGCTGCTACTGCTGCAACGGCGAAACAAAAACCCGCCGCTTTCCGATCCGAACTCCCAGCACGTCTGCTTGGAATGAAAGTTGACTTATAACTGGTTTTAATGTCCCACAGAAGTTCGCAACGAACCATACTCCAAAAACTGTATAATGTATCATGTACACTCGTATGCCAAGCCGAGCCGAGCCGTTCCGATCCAGCCCGATCCGAACCGATCCGAGCTGCGTCGAGTTAAGCTCGGCACTACCGCGCATGTGCAGCGGCGAGCGCATGAACCGACTCGTCGTAGGAACCACAGGACAGTGGGACAAAACATTACGTATACTTAATATATCTTGAAAGATTATAAGACTTTGTTAGGGCAGCAGTAGTTATTAAATATTAGCTTTAAAAGGCTTGATAAGGAATATTTTGATGATTTGAGAATTTTATGGTTATCCGTAAGCCTTATCTATGGTTAAAGTAAGCCTTATTGAACGGTAAGGCTCATTTTAATACTATAAGATTTTTAGTTTCTGCCAAGAATGGCAGCGCCTTGCCCATTGTCCATCGTCACCAACATAAGGTTGATTGGTCGGTTGCCGGTTGCTTGCTTGGCTGACCGATCGCCTTTTACACTCCACAAACAAGCAATTTGAAAATTTACGATTTTCCCAATATTGTTTATAAAAAATGACGAATAATTTTAGATAATATTTTCCCCGGTTCTTGTTAAGCTAAAGTGTATACAGTTAGCAAGCTTAGCAACTGCTCCCACACTTTGCTTATCACTCAGATCCGAAAGTGAACTTTACAGTTATTAGCTCTTAAACGGGTTCTCAGCTGAAAGTTATTTAATTGTTTTGAAACAGGAAAAAAATGATATTTGTATTTTATTTGCATTTTTTGTTGTTACATTGTTGGGAGAGGCCACACCCAAGAGATTTGGTTCTTAAAACTAAACTTTAAGCAGGTCAGAAAATGTTAACTACGAAAGAAATATTCTAAGATCCTTCAATAATATTTTAACAATATATCAAAAAACCTTTTCTGTGATAAGCTATCTTTTTAAAAGGTGTAATAACTTCTTAATTCACTTTTCAAAGTTACAAAACTATTTCAAAATTACTGAAATCTATGCTTTTTGGTTTGCATTTTTCTTAATTTATAAATAATATTAAAGCTAATATTACTTTTTCCAAGTGTATTAGCCTTATTTACCGCTCGACGAATGGCGGTCGGTAGTTCGGTTTGTTTTCGCTGGTCGCTTGGCTGTCTGTCATGGTGGCGTTGTTGCCGACGCGAAATACAATATGCGCAATCGCAGAGCTTTACACAATTCGCTTGAGAGTCGGTTCAAGACATCATCCATATATACCACTAACTCTGCATCTGCCCTCTGCGGAAGTTTAGCCAATCTATTAAGGGTCCCTTATATAACCATATGTTTAAGGTTCCCCTCTTAAAGGATATCTCAAGAATGAATGGGTTTAAACTACATATGAGAGGTTTTATATTTCGAAATAGTAACTTTTCCTTGGCTTAAGTCGAAAGACAATCGTATTAAGCTACATTGAAAATGGTCTGCTGAACATGTGTATAGTATCTATATATGAATATATATGTATAAACAAAGGTCTATAAAGTCGGAGCAAAATGATACCGCCAAAATAGCTATACTATATACTATAAAAAACTGGTGTAAATTTTGCAATTAGCGGGGGCGAAAGGCGCGTGATTAATATCAAAAACAAACTTGATCTTAGCATTTCAAAAGCTTTGCTAGCGAATTATATTTTTAGATGAGGGACGTTGACTAAAAATATTAAAGTATAAGTCTTTCATAGATATAGTATATTAAAATATATACAATATTTGTTAATGTCAATAATAAATTAGGAAAAAACTTCAGACTTTCATAAGAAATTTCAATATTAAGAAATTTCAACTTTTTAGAATAAAATGGATATTTAGAAGCAGTTAAATCCTAACTTAAACTACTACAAATCAGAAACATCTTCAAGTACTATCATTTTACATGGATATATCAATATATTTCGTAAATTTAAGGGTATTACACTTTAGGCTATCCAATTTAAACTACTTTCAAGTGTTTTTTCTGTAATTAGACTGGCTAGTTGGTTCCCAAACAGAGCAACCAAAAGGTAAATAAGTAAGCCTAAAAACCCGTACTAAAACTGGATCGCAATAAGAGTCATGTTCTATTTAATGCCAATAATTGGCATGGCCAGCCAAGTCCTCAACTGTGGCCAATAGTACATGTTGAAAAGGTAATAAACGGAATTTCCGATTATATTTCTATAGTTGTCCTAATTCCAGGTTCAATGACTATAGACATTTGGCCAATTGATTGGCTAAAATTTCCAAAAAGAAAAAAACTGTAAAAATGACCGAAAGTCGCCGGAAAAGAAAACTCAAAATTTCTCAGCTCTTTTTCTATAGTGAGAAGCGGGACTTTTGGTTATAAACTTTATATTGTCATCGATATACATTCTCAATTCATGATTGCGCATGATTGACAATTTATTATTCCGCAATATTTCGCAAAAAGTGCATTAGACCGTTGACCAGGCTTTGTCGTCATCTTCATAGCCTCCATCGTCAAAACAGTCGCCTAGTTTTTCCCATCTGACGTCAGTTTATGGTCTTTTGAGCCAACTTCATTGCAATGCTTCAGTTGGCAAATGTGATTTAACATTTTTACTTATGATATAACTGAATTAACTGCTAAATGAAAAGACAACTAAACAAAAACAAAAACAAAACAAAAAAACAATTGAAATCGAGGGCTAAGAAAGAGTGACCAGCGAGAAACAAGAAAGGCATACTAACTATACTTATTACACATTTTAAAATCCAACGACTTGGCTTAGTTAGTCGTCTTGCTAACTTGAACAAGAGCTTTTTATTACTGAACAATCCATACTTAAAGCTTGGAACTGGGCCATAAAAAGCTTGCGAATATCAGTTGAGATATATGCAAATCTCTTTTTAATACCCAATTTAAAATGTGGGCTGTAATCAATCACTATCTCTATAATTAAACATTCTTTCAATGTTAGTATTAAATTCCAATTTTAAAAGATATTTTGAAACAATGGAAGTGATTATTTTAATTATTACTTTGCCATTAAATGTTTAGTTTAATATATAGTTCAGGATACAAATTTTATTTGTTATTAAATGAAATCAATTAAATTGAATTATTTGGCTTACTTAGTAGTTTTTTAAACCCTATAGAAAGAAGTTTTTACAAATGCAAATTAAATTTACTTATGGGTTTAGCTCTAATTTTTATATAGATATTTTTTGGGATATCTGGGAGAATTTTCCAATGCCAGAAAGAAACCCAAATTATAAATTTCAACAATTCATTAAACTTAAACGTTTTCCATTTATTATTTATTATACATTATTAGTTAGTAAACATAATGAAAACCTTTTTCAATATATCTAATGTTAATCTCTTTTTAAAAAAGAGCTACATATATTGCTAATAAAATGCTTGAAATATATTGTTTAATCCACAAAGCTAACAAGAAACAAATGTTTAAAAAGCATCTGTTATTTTTTCACACCAAAAACCCTTACCAACTTTTAACCTTGGCAAGATAATGCCTTCCACAATATCATAATATTTGTTATTGTTACGACGCTCTCACGGATCGCAGCTTGAGTTTTTATCTACGAGAGAGCAAGCGACCGTGGCAGCGGCTGAGAAAGCGTCAGAGAGTAATGCAGCGGCTGGTTAAACGTGAGAGAGGTATAGGTGCATACGCGGAGAGAGCGCCAGTGAGTGGCTAAGCAAGACCGCGGTGCAGTGAGAGTACCTGTGCATATACACGTATATCATCTCAGCTACCTGAGAGTGCCAGAGCGTAAGAGCACGCATCAGTGGAAATGGCTCGCTCCCAAGCTCTCGATCGGCGTTGACGTGGTAGGGAGAATTAATTTTCAGTCTGTGTTCGCCTCTCGGCGCGTTCGGTAGCATATACGGACGGCGGAAGAATTTTGTTTTCATTTTTTGTATACGTTTTTTCGGTTCGATATTGTTTTGATTTCGGGTATAGTTGTTTCCTGTGCTGCTCTCGGTTCTTTTTAACTCAGCTTTCCATCGGAATCGATTGCGACTTTCGTTTTTTTTTTTTTTTTTTTTTTCAGTTTTCTGTTGGTATGAGCTTGCTCTTTATAAAGTTGTAAAGTGTTTTTAGCAAGCGTTTGTTTATTTTTATTTGTTTTTTTGCCCACGAGGCCGACTTTTTAAATAGATCAAAAGAAGTATTTGGCAATCAGTGATTTTTATTGTACAACAAATGGATATATATGGATATATACATATATATACCAATGACTATGTTCAACGGCCCGTAACAGAACCCTCAATTTAGTAAAATTCCATCAACCTGACAAACCCAACAACAACAACAACAACAAAAGCCCAAAGGCGGAGTTACTTTGGCCGTTCTCTGGAATTTGTGAATAACTATTTTCCACTCCGCTCACTCTCGCATCATTGGATGCCAACGACCTATTGAAAAACCGGATAAATCCATGAAACCGGAATAAGTGACTAATCTGGAATATAGGTTTCCGCCAGTTGTCCTTCTTTTAACTTTTTTTTCTTTTTTTATTGATTTTCTTTAACTAGAAAGTGTTGTTGTCTTAAAGGTTACTAAAGTAATGAAAAGAAAAAGAAGCTGTATTAAATATTTGCCTAGCTTAATAGAGATCTGTGATTGAATTTAAAGTCAAAGCTATTAAAGTAATCAACACTTGCCAGGCTATATTAACTTATATTTCCCTATATAATTACATTAAATTAGCATGCAATATTTTAAGTAAAGCTTAACTAATCTATATTATTTGATTATATAAATGTTCTCATATATTTGCCTTAATTTTCATTATTTAGCGAATGCAGCCGAAAGGAATATGCCCTTAGCACCTGGTGCAGTTTTTACGCCTGGTTTAATCCTACTTCCGGAATGCCCATCTAGCCAGGTGATTAGGCAGTCATGCCAGTGCAACCAGTCCGTCCCGTGAGCACCTACGACAATTTGGGCGGCTCCCAGTCGAGGAACCAGGAATCATCCATAATGTACGACGCGGAACTGGAAACGGAATTAGAACTCAATGGGACCGGCACCAGTCATAGTATAGCCGCTGTGAAAGCAGCTCTAAACGATGCCAAGTCGAAATTCTTTGGGATCAACAACTATGAGTCACCGGTGATCAATAAGAACGCTCAGGTGACGATTGCCAAGCCGGAGCCCAAGTACCAGAATGTACCGCAACGTGATGAACTACCGGTAGTTGCTCCAATTCCAGTTCCAGATCCTGTCACATCACATCCTCCTCCTGCAGCTGCTTCTGTGGATCCAAGTAGAGCACTTCGTTATGCCACCACCTACGAACAGATTCCCCTCAGCGACATGGAAACTCCACAGGCGTCGCAGGTGTGTAGATTACTCATTTCAAATCCAAGATAATATCAAATTCGAATAACTCACTAATTCCATCTCTCGACTCGTAACCAAAAAAGGCCGTCTACATGAGCACCACGGTTCCGCAGAACATGAAAGGCATGAAGATCGCCGGACGACATACGCCAACCCGAAATAGTTTGCGGCACAGCCGGATGATTGTTGTCAATCATAAAAACCACGACAGTAAGTTCACTCAATCTCTGTGCTAAGAAAGACAAATGATGTGTGGGTGTGACTTTCGGGCATCATTAATTTTGTAAATATACTTTTCAATTTCAATTACTCAAAAGTTATGTCGGTAATGAAAAATGGTGGGAACTTCCTGAAACTTCATTGTTGTTAAGTTTTAATAGTTATTTTTCCAGTTTTCTAAGTGCGAGTTCTGTGATCTAAGGTTTACCTTTAATTAATAATGATTATTTTGTAATATTTTCTTCTAGGTCTCCAAGCAACCAGAAACCTGAATATTTCCCGGCAACTCCTAATTATGCAATTAGCTGTTGGCCTAATGATAGTTGGTCTAGCCGCTTGGATACTTATTCTAGCGCCAAATGCATCGATACTAATCAATCCCTACTTAAGTGGACTGTCGGTAAGTCTAATATATTATTTCATATTATATTTTCATATTGAGTAATTTATGTTAACCTTTTCAGTTGCTGTTGGCTAGTATTGCTGGTCTGATACTGCTGCGAAAGGATCACAAGATCACGGATCACAGACCACCAAACAGTTGCTATAAGGTATTGCTGGCCGAGTCCTATGTATTCACCGGCCTGGCATTGATCTTCTGCTGTTTGGCCCTGGTCTGTGCGGCAATTGAATTCGCAGAGCTCATCTCAGCCACAGATGGAGACTGCGAACCGACATCCAGTACGCTTTTGAGCTATCACAATTGCACCTGCTTTTCGACAGGCGAGGCAGTGACCTCCACCGAGGTACCAACTGCATTGACTGCTGTCCAGGAGCCAACGCAGTAAGTTCTATATTTAAAAATATCCTATAAATATCATATTAAAAAGCAATCCTTTCTTCAGAAGCGACAGATGTGAAAAGCTGCGAATCGAATGGAAGTATCTGTTGGCCTTTTCGATGGCACTCAACACTCTGGGCATTGTTGCAACATTCTTATATATAACGCTATTTATTTGTTGCCACCGCAACAGGGAACATTTTTACACGTCTGTTTAAGGGAGTTTTTACACACACACTTAGGCTTTTACTTAAATTATACACATGACTTAAATTATGCTTAGTAACTGATACAAATTAAAAATAAATTATTTATTAATATTAATACCATCTGAATGTGCATTTAACATTGTTATGTTATGCATTTAAAACTAAATAGTGGTATTTTTAATATAATTTAAAGAATTTTAGTTATTATCTAAATTTAGAGCAGAATATTAAACTTTATACTAATTTCCTTCAAAATAATAAGATATATCCTATATCTTTGAGCAGTAAACATTGAATTAACTAAAATTTCAAAAAAAATAATATGTTCCCTTAAAACAAAAGTAATACTTTATATAATACTATCTTTGCTACCACCTTTGGTATACTTTGAGATCAGAAAAGATCAGCCTTTTAAAAGCCACTAACTCCTCCTGGTTTCCGGAAATCCGTGTTTGCCCAGATGGTGTCATTATGTTGGGTGATTCCGCAGATTACAGATCCACGGTTTTCATATCGCTCGCACCGATGTCCCTTGTCCTCCAAGCTCTTTACATAACTCTGAAGTAATCCATATTCATAGAGCAGGACATTGGGCAACATTTGATGATGGATGCGATTGGCATCAATGGCTGTTTTGATATTTGCCCTTTGCCAAAGGATCCGTACAAGAAGTGGAGCAAGGGAAGAGATTATTTTGGTACCGCCAGCGGCACCCACAACCAAACGAACTTTCCCGGAAGATCGTTCTGTGACTATCACTGGACTCATCGAGGACATGGGACGGGCAGCTGGAGCTACACCATTTGTACCAGGGACAAAGGGCAGATCAAAGTAGTTCTTCAGCTGCTCAATGGAAAAGTCCGACATGGCATTATTGAAGATAACACCGGTGCGTCTCCCAGTTCGTCCACTACCGAAGCTATGGGATAAAGAAAAGGTAAGTTTCTATATATTATAATGATAAGATTGGTTATTACTAGAAGTTAATAGAGCTGGTAACCGAAACGGCATCGTTTCCATGGAGTACTGAAGTGTGTGCAGTGCCATGCTCATCCCGAATCTGAATTCCAGAGGAAGCTCCATAGAACTCAGTGTTGTTGGAGGTCTGTGATGTATTAATTTGCTGGGCTATAGATTTGGCTAATTCCTGGCTAGTCAGGTTCATCAAAAGCTTTTAGAATGAAAGAAATTTTAAGGTTTATTCCAAATATAGTTTTGCCTTGATTTTTTGAATTAGAAAGAGATAGAGTAGTGCTCACCTCCTCGTCTGCTGCTTCATCCAACTGCCATCGCTTAACAAATCCAAACTTCATGGCCTCAACTATTAGATGAATCTCCCTGGGGCCCATGGTTCGAATTCTTGAGAAATCTCCTCGAAACTCCCTCAATATGTTCATGATGAAACCCAAAACATGACCACTACCCGGTGGAGGTGTTAAATGAAGATCATACTCATCCAGAGGGATTACTACCGCCTTAACCATCTTGGCATGGGCTTGAATTAGGTCTTCCCTAGTTATTGGACTGCCAGCATCCTTCAAATCGGCAAGCAAATCATCAGCAATTGATCCTCTATAGAAACTGAGTGGTCCTTCCTTTGCCAAACGATCGTAGGTATTGCACAACTTAGACGAGGGTCGAATGAGATGACCCAAAGGCCAGAAGCGACCAGAATCGGGATCAATAAACATCCGACGCAGGCCGGGATCGGCTTTAATCATATCCTCGTTGAGGATGAGGGCATCATACTGGTGTTTGTACAATCGGTAACCACGTCGGCACAGCTCCAAAGTGGGCAGCACCAGATCTTCCCACTTCAGTCGACCGAATCTCTGATGGGCCACCGCATATCCAGCTAATTCTGCGGGTACGGCAATTGACCAACCGGATTTCTTAAGCTCCTGTTCATCGCGAAAGAACGAGAAGTTCTGTGCCCTAAATATCAATGGAGCTATTTCCCTAGCCAAAATGCTATAGGATGTACGCTCCTTTTCCAAGTAGATGTTCATAACCATGCCACCACCGATTCCCATGCTCTGCATCCCAATGAGACCGTTGCAAATTAGAGCAGCCAATGCGGCATCCACCGCGCTGCCTCCTTTTTCCAGGACATTCCGGGCCATGTCACTGCAGACATCGCTATCGGAACAAATGGCCGCCCGGGAGAATTGGTGCAGCGGTGAATTGGATGGGGGCAGTGGATCCTCTGGATTTGGTGGTCTCCTTGGTGACCTCTTTGTGGCAGCTGTGTGTGAGTATTTAAGATATTTATAAGTTAGGAATTCATTTCTCCTTTAACTTACTTACCATTTTTAACCGGAAGGCGATACCAATAGACAGCCACCAGGAGAATAATCACCACAGATATTAAACTATTTAATCCTATCCTAAAGAACATCGTGAGCAACTATATTTCTATTGATTTCACGCCCATCTTCAAGACATCGAAGGCCAAATGTAAATATCCTTTTGATTTCAAAAAACACAGCTGTTTGCCTGTGAGGCCGTATTTTTTGAATTACGGTATATTTGAATATTGTGAAATCCTAACTTTGATCTAATGTAATTGCAATATTTGTCTGGCATAACAATTATTTTGTAGCTTAAAAAACTTCTAATTGATTTCTTTTTTCTATCTACAGTCTAGATTGGAGTTAAAGATTTTACTTGGCCGTAAACGAAAATATGAGCAAACACATATATCGAATATGTATTCGATGTCTGTCGATATGTTATCGATTATAACTGAACGATTCGAGCTATCAAAGAAACAACAGGTAGTTGTCCCGCCCTGGCGGTAAGTCAGTTGATAAAATCGTCTCGGCATTACAAAATACTCGCACAGTGCCGTCGTCGCGTTTTCTGATACTTAAAGTAATTAAAAGTATTCTAATTTCCCCCAAACACTCCCCCAACCTCTTTTTAGTAATAATCAACGTATTTTTATGGTGTTCTTTACATTAAGAAGTGAACTTATAAATTAAGTTAATTTTTTAAAGATTGTGTGTATCTACTGAGCGGATAATACATATAGCTCGTACGACTGGCTGAGGGGTAACGGCAATAGAAACTTTCGTTTGGTATCTTCAGATACAAAGATACAAAGATACAATTATATCTCAAAGTGCACGTAGACAGATACACACTCACACACCGGTACTCATGACACGTGTTCATGTGGTGCATCTGTATGCGTTATATCCATCTGTTGATTTGCGACCTTGCCAGTAAATAATTACCATCTATAACATTATGATAGAGCCAATGTCGATGTCGGTTTAATATAAACCCATACTTAGGAATGTTTGCTTGTCTGTATGCGTACGACCCAGAAATATAGATCACAATTGGAGAAAAAAAACCAAAAACTTTTCAACTATGCCAGAATTAAAGTTTTTCTTTTTGATGTATATTCAATATTTTATCTCATCCCATAAAATATTGATATTTTCTTCCTAATGAGCCCTCTTTTCTGCGCATCTACGTCATTACAAGTCGACCATCCCACTCAAACCGTCTTGGATTTATTGACGTATCTTATGACTATGTCAATAATTCAAAAAATCATACCTACCGGTTATTGCGAAATACAAATTTTGCAAGAAAACTATATCAGAGAGAGATTTTGCTACTTTCCTAATGAGAAATATATCGATTTTCATTTTAGTATATTGAAAATAATCCAAAATAGAAGATAACTTATCAATTTTATTTTCATATATAATTTGAAAATAAACAAAAAGAGTTCAATGAACTCAAGCTTTGTATTAAATATCAAAAAAAAAACTCAAGCTTATCAATCTTTTGTTTTTCTCACGATTGAATGATTCTTACACGTGCTTAGCTATTTATAACTATGAATCCCAAAAATCCCAAACATTTTTTCACGTGATCCATTCGTAAAAGCATGACTCAATTGATATACATAGATACTTATGTATGCGCACGGGGAAACTTTGTTGACGTGGGCTTAAGTGTAAGATGAATCATCTAAAGTAAGCAAAAGATTCTGTTTTCAGAGCAAAACAGAATCAGCTTTTCAATGATAATGATTTGCAAATTACAGGGTAACGTTCTTTGACGTTATCGCGACTTCAAATTTGTTCATCTTTGACGTATTTGATTTGGTTTTCCGAAAAGAAGCTTCTGAGGTTTTTTATATGCAAATTTTAGTAATAATATATGAGTTATCCAGTTAGGCTTATCAGTTTCAAATTTAGTATCTTTCTTCTATAAACCAAAAAGAAAACATGATACCTTTGTCCAAATATTTTCTCTAGCTTTTACTTTCAATGCCAAACATTTGTTGCCATTCCCATAAAATCGCTGGCGTCCATGTGTCTGGGCAAAAAAAAGGCAACCATTAATGTATCACGCATGACCCCTGAATATTAGCCTACAGAGGGAAAGTACATGACTTATAATGTATATATATAGTACATACCTAATACGATATACGTATATATATAAAAAGGAAACGTATCCAAGGCTAAATCCTGTGTCTTTTAAGTTTGCATGACAAAAGTCACTAAGCTAAGTATTAGCATGAGCCAAATCAACAAATGAGGCAAAGAAAAAAGGTTTGACTTCCTTATAACTATATATATATATATCTACATATGTATATATATTCCGAAATGGGTGTAACTTACAATTCGCGAAAGTTTATTTACTTTCGCTGGGCTGGGCTGGCGAAACTTTTAAAGGCCAATGAAAATGATTTGGGCTTATGGTACAAAAATCAAAAAACTTTTTAAACAAAATTTTCCCTTTGACAAATTAAATATGAGCAATAAAATTTATACTTTGGGTTGTTCCCCACAGTTTTATACTTTTATCTCGTCTCAAGTATTGCCGGATGCCTTTATCAGATGTAACTGACATTTCCTGCTAACAGGCTTATAAATAATACTAACATGTAACATATTTTTCTGATTCATAACTAGAACTAGAGTTTTGACCAACTTTACTTGTAAAAAAACTTCCAAACGTCAAAGGCCTATCCCCAAAACTTATTTATTAGCACATTTTGTTAAGTAAAGGGTTTGAAAATTTCCGGCTCATGCTCCACATGCTATTAGCACCAATTGTTATATATTGTTAGAGTATATATGAACATATTGTTAGCTATGTATGAATATGTATTTGCAGTTTGTCTAAAGATATGCTTATGTGTTTGGTAGGCAAATAAGTATGTTGATCATAGCAACTGATTAAATATAGAAACAATAACCATAGCCTATGTATGTACATATGTGTAAATATTTTGATTTTAATGAAAACCCTGCTGTTCCTATTTTTGCTTATTCCAGTACTGAATCTCAATCACCGGAAACTCCCCACAGAATAGAATCTCCCTCATAATGTATCCCTTCGTAAGTTTTCAATTTTTTCCCTTAGATTTTAGTTTCTAAAGCATCAATCATCATTTTAAACAATGTTTTAGTTCTCAAAATTAATTTCTAGTATACTGATTTTAGTTTGAAATATTAATTTTAATATTTTATATATTTATACTTTTTTCTGGGTGAATATTCAAAAATTGTGCTTAATTTTTCTTTACCTACTCTTTATCATGAGCTCTGTAAAACCTAAGCTCAACTTGAATTGTAAATTTTTTGACTTTTATAGGGTTCTGGAATGCCATCGCACCCCCCTACCTCCACTAACCACCACCACGAGCCACCACGGGCGCCCTTTGGAGCTGGTTGGGTGCCACCGATGCAGCAGAACTCGCCATACCCACCACCCTCCTCCCAGCCACACCCATACTCACAGCCATCGTCCCAAATGCACCAACAACAACAGCACTATCAATATCCTGGCCAACAGGGTGGCGGTGCTCCAGCTCCATATCCACCAATGTCGGCACCATATCCGTCAGCCACACCATCCTATCCACCATATCCCAGTGCAAATCCGTATCCATCACAATATCCTCCGCCGTTGCATCATCAGCAGCAGCAGCAACCTTTTTCGAATAGTCCCTATCCCACGGATCGTGGATATACACCAGCCATGACAGCCGGATTTGATGCAGGCTATGGCTATGGAAACGGACAGGGACATGGACAAGGACAAGGACAAGGACAAGGACATGGACAAGGACATGGACATGGGCAGGGTTATGGGCATGGACAGGGGCATGGGAATGGTCAGGGGCACGCGCATCGGTCACTCACAGCTCACAGAGAGGTTGGTCATCAACTAATGGCCACTGTGGCGTACGCAGGTCTTTCTACACTGGGGATTTTTAGTTCATTTTATTTAAATATTGTCTAAAATGCTTTGTTTTTTTTAGACCTTTTTTACTTTTATTGTTAATTGCTTAATATTCATAATAATTTGATATTTAAAAATAACTTTATAATCCTTCCTGCGTACCCCGCTGCTTGGCCACACCAACCGCACTCTCATAACCCAACTAGATTCTCCCCTGGGCGGGTTAAAATACTAAATTCGATTTCCAGACATTAATCATCTTTAAAGATCACCTAATCCTAACTTATTTTAATAGATTTTCGATTGACTTTTCCAGGGAACTCCCACTGTGGTGCCCGCCCAGGGCTTTGATCCCGTCAAGGATGCCCATGACTTGCGCAAGGCGATGAAGGGCTTTGGCACGGATGAGGATGCCCTGATTAACATCATCTGCCGGCGTTCGAATGAACAGCGCCAGGAGATCCAGCGCCAGTTCAAGACCCATTTCGGCAAGGATCTTATCGAGGACATCAAGTCGGAGACCAGTGGTAACTTTGAGAAGCTCCTCGTCGGCCTGTTGCGTCCCATTGTGGACTACTATTGTGCCGAGCTGAATGATGCCATGGCTGGACTTGGCACCGACGAGGAAGTACTCATCGAGATCCTCTGCACGCTGTCCAACATGGAGATCTATACGATCAAAAACCAGTACTTACGATGTGGGTTTATAGATCTCATAAATCCTCTGAAGAAGATACTAATTTTAGTTTTTATTTGACAATCATGTAGTGTACGGCGCCCATTTGGAATCCGAACTGAAGTCGGAGACCTCGGGCAACTTCAAGCGGCTGCTCACATCCTTGTGTACAGCGGCGCGGGATGAAAGTGGACGCGTGGATCCCAATGCGGCCAAGAACGATGCCAGAGAGTTGCTGAAGGCAGGTGAACTGCGTGTCGGCACCGATGAGAGCATGTTCAACATGATCCTCTGCCAGAGGAACTATCAGCAATTGAAAATGGTATGTAGGAAAACATGGTATGGAGAAATCCTTATTAACCTTCTTCCTTTATAGATATTCCAAGAGTATGAGAGTATGACTGGTCACTCGCTGGAGAAGGCCATCAAGAAGGAGTTCTCCGGCGATGTTATGGAGGGCCTGATTGCCATCTACAGGTGTGTCACCAACAAGGCCGAATACTTTGCCTCGCGTTTGCACAAGGCGATGGCTGGAATCGGTACCAATGACACCCAGTTGATCCGTGTCATCATCACAAGGAGCGAGGTATATCTATATCCAAATCTATATAGTACTCCTTAGCTAAACTAATGGTAATGATACTTTCAGATCGATATGACAGACATTAAGGTGGCTTTTGAGCGTCTATACGGCAAGTCCTTAAAGAGCTGGATCAAGGTGAGAATATATTGTAAACTTAACCCTTCAGATAAACTCATATATATATATATCCATTTTCAGGGCGATACTTCGGGCCATTACAAGCACGCCCTTTATGCCCTCGTTGGTGAACAGCGCTCCTCTTAAGAATCTCCATATATATATTTATTAATCAAACCAAATCGAACTTGAATTCAATTATACGAATATGTATTATATTTTCTATATATTCGCTCATTAACATACATACAACATACACGCCAAGGGAGCCAAACAATTATGACCCAGTTATGTAGACTTTAAGTGCTCACAAATATTACCTGAATGGGATGGAAGGACAGACATCCCGCGTCCCTTCGACAAATTGATACCTCTTAAAGAAAATGTAGAAAAACACACCAGAACCACGGTCAGTAAGTGTTGTATTTGTATGTTGGTTCTTTTTTTTTTTATTATTATTAAAAGACCTCTTGTATTGTAAAATGCGCTCGGAAAGACAAAATATTAATGAAGTTCCTGTCGTTAAAGATGTTTGTAAAAAACCAAACAATTTGCTAATATTTTTTATCGAATGACCACATAAATGTTGCAATAAAAAACTACGCTTTCTACCTACCGACTTCGTCTCGACAGTGCCTCAAATGTAACTCTATTGCCTATTTCAAAAGCATTTAAAACATAATAAAAAGAAACTGCAAACTGCAAGGAAAAAACTTTTAAAAACATACACTAAAAATATATATGCATATTGAAACTTTAAATCGATTTGTATTCACTTATACACCTATACACATACTATTCGTGTTTTTAAGCGGATGTTTTTCTAAAAATTCTAGTTTGCTCTCAATGGAATAAATTATTATTATTATAATATATATGTATGTACGTATTATATATCAATGGGATTTTTCATTGTCTTGTCATTGTTTTCTTTTGCAAGGTAAATGTATTTCAAGCCCAATTATTATTTAAGAACTCGAACCTCGATAAACATGGAATCATTGCGAAGATAATTACGACTGGTAATCACCTTGTGGGGTATATGGAAATACTGATTGCTTTGGATAAAATCATCACTCTTCTTGCGTACAAAGATGGTTTTCACATAATCCTCGGCATCAGCAGCATTCGAGCTCTGATCACGGATAATGATCTCGGCCTGCAGACGACATGGCCAGGCCAATAGTGGATCGTACTCCCCGGATAGGACATTGAGGCAGGCAATCATATTCCTACCCTTCCAGGTGCCCTTGCCATTTAGGTATATATCCAGCTGGTCATGGTATGTATATATCAATTTGATATCTTAGCAAGATCAGATCTTAACTCACCCGTAGAGCATAGCTAAAGGCTTTATTGGAGAACATGGCACTGTGCAGAATGGTGTCGTACTGCTTGGACTCGTCTAGTTTCTTGGAATAGTCCTTGATGCGCCAGATCAGGTGGCCTTTAAATATATATAATATAAGGAAATATATCTCTAGTAAAGATTCAAATATATACCCCTTATATTCTGAACACTAGCAATGCGCTGCTGCATGGCCATTTGTGTCTCCAAGTCCGATAGATTCTGCATGGTCTGATGAAGGGCTCTATCCAGTTTATCGCAGCGTTCTTCTGTTTCGCAAACAATATTCTTAACATTTTTCACCTCGTAATCCAATGTTGCCTGCTTGGACGTAACATAATCACTATTTCCTAGCCTAGTTTTGATGTCCTCATTGATCTGCTGCAGAAATTCCTCAATCTGAAAGAACTTTTCTCTACGTTTTTGATTATTAGAAGGCTGTCAAGTTATGTCTTCATCTTTAGTCACCTGTTTAGTCTTTCGTTTTCAAAGATCAATTCCTCCAGTTTTAGAATATTGTCATTAAGCTGGTTCTGATGAAGGGTCACGTCCGCCGAGAGCTGGTTAACCAACTTTTGAGCCTCATCCAGCCTGGTCTCGACTTGCTCCTTCAAGGACTAGGGATGAAAAAGATAAACTATTTGAAAAAGCGAAACTGCTTATACTTCATTATCTATATACTTATATCTATTTTAACCCCTTATTTATTGCCTTTGTTTTCATGTTGACTTTGGTAATACCCGTCTTACTCACCTGGGTGACATCACAGCAGTATTGGACATCAAGCTGGTTCTGTTCGATGGCAAAGGCTTTCCGGGCAGTCTCCTCTTCCATCTGACGACGCAGATCATCTATTGCCCTTTCAGTGTCACGGGTCCAATCCTCGACAACTTGATTCTGTTTCCGGATATTACCCACATCGGTGATCAAGTGCAGACGCTGACGAATCTCCTCGTTAAGAACAGAACGAATGGTGCCCACATCCTGTTCGATGACCAGAAGACGCTGATCCGATTGACGATCCAAACGATCCATGCTGACACTCAAACGCTGTTGGTTACTTAGATTCTGTTGATTCGTCCGGGGACACTCCTTCAGATGAGAACGCATACGGATGCGCGGTATGAAGGCCTGACAGCCGTTGGGACACTCCTCCAAAACCTGGCCGCAGTGGATCAGGTGTTCCTGCAGTCGCATCCAAAGGGGAGTAATGTAATAGTAATCAAAGGTGGACTGAAAAGTTGGGCGATTATAACCGTGAATGTTTGGGCATCGAACCATTCGTTGCAGAAGAGGCACGAGGACTTCTCATACTTGACTATGGTCGTCGATTTTGGCTGGATGGGTATTAAATTTTGATCCGTTAGATCCTTTCTTGACGATGTCTTTGTTAAAGACATGATATAGATTTAGAAAATAGGAGAAAAAAATGTGGAAAACAACTATATATTGAAACTTGTGATCAGTAAATATTCTGGCACTGCGAGTACCGCCCTATGCACACTAAACTCAGCCGAAAATGATTAAGAATTTCCTTCGGCATAGTCATACGCGGCACACAGACGTGGTTTAGATATAGCTTTGCACATGTGTTAGCATTAGGGCGTCCATGAAATCTATATGACAACTGATAGCACCCCCATTTGGTGTGATTATAACGACCAGCGAGAACTAAACGTATCGCTTTGACCACTAACTTGGCAAACTCTTTTTTCCCCCACTTTTGTCGACCATAAAACACAGCCACCAAATGTCCACTAAAATCGTTCTCGATCTCCCAGCGAATGGGCCTACTACCTATATGTGTACCTGCAAAACGCTCATATCTCATCCATTGTTCAAATATATATATATATGTATATATATGGGAGTATATGTGCGGAATGTGAGATATCATTATCAATAAAAACGGTCCCACAATCAAAACTTTCGGTATTGCCTCAGCAATGCAAATGGGAACGACGCCATCAACCAGATAACATTATGATGTGAGGGGCTAGCTGGTGGGCGTGGCAGTGGGTCTGGTCGCCATAACAGGTGCTCTACGCAGGCCAGGAAATTCCATTTATTGGACTTGCCCCAGTTTTACTTATCGGAAGATGGCGTATATCTCTTTTGGGTTTCAAAAATTAACTTAAACTCAACGTATTAGCTTTATCTTTTGGAATTCGAACTTTTTAAGTTTCCATTTCACTTACTTTCCAAATATTTCAATCTTTTAAACCATAACTACCCCAACCCTTTAAATAAAAGTTCCAGAATTGTGATAAAAATGTTATCAGCATAAAATGTTGATTGCAGCTTATAGCATACGTTTTCAAGGTTCTCTGCCAGAATTTGAGATATTTTTGTATCTCAAGGGAAATAAAAAATAAAAAACAAGTTTCGAGTCTTTCAACAAAATTTCTTTTTATCTAACAAAAAAAAAAATGTATACATAAAGGAAATAAATAAATTAGGGGTATAAAAACTATAGCCTAGAGTCGTTTTACAAATATGTGGACTCAAATTTTTCACGCATTTTAAGTTTTCGCTGTTTTCCGGGGAAAATACTGAAACTCTTGATATTGAGTGCCCTCTGGAGCATTCGGATGGTATAGTCGGGTATCAAACAGGCCACACTGGTCAACAGGATCCACAACCAAACGGGCAAAGAGGCCAACAGATTGTTATAAGCCCAATAAATGTCGGTATCGTAGTCCCTGCGAAAGAATTTTATAAATTCGATATAATTTTAGATTTTAAACAAAAATTACTTACAGATTGATAACATTGTAGATAACCGTTGTGATCACAAAACCCAAAATGGAAATGATTATTGTGAAGATGTACCAAAACGACAGATACATGGACTCTAGCCAAAGCTTGAGGTTAACCACAACCACCACTGTCCACATAAGCAGGGTTCCGAAGCAGGAGAAGGCCACCGTCTGGCCGTAGTTTAGGATCACGTTGTTGTACGAGAAAAGGCAGAAGGCAAAGTAGAAAATGATGACCGAATGGTAGATGGCAAATATGACCCACATCAGGAAGTAAGGCCAATGAAGTTGCTTATTGTCCGTGTTCTTTTTATAAAGCTGTGGTGTTCTGTGAATGATATAGGATATAATATTAATATTAACTAATATATATTTCAAAAATTACAGACATATAATTACCTCATCAGCTTCTCCTCAGTGTATGGCTTCTCGGAGATAGCTATGAACAAAATGGGCAGCGAGGTGTATATCACATTGTACAAAGTCAGGAAAAGTGAATCGTAGACGGAGGACGAGGAGAACAGTGTGTGGAACTGGAACAGGAACATGATGCCCATGAAGACGATGTTCTTGTAGAAAAAGTACAGGACCAACAGGGATAGTCTAACACTATGGTAGTGACCATGGACGAGAAGCAGTCTCTTTAGCATACAAAACTTGGCAAAGGCAAAGTCAGCACATCGTGCCGCTTGTCTGCCTTCGCGTCCCATTATACCGATGCCCACATGGGCCTCCTGGATCATCGAAACATCATTGGCTCCATCGCCAATGGAAGCTGTATTATAGTTCTCATTGGAGGACTTGATCAGTGACACCACCTCACTTTTCTGCAGCGGGCTCAGGCGACAGCACAAAACGGCCGTGCACTTGACGGCTACGTCCCGGAACTCTGTGCTGGCCTCAGACAAGGCCACACCCAGGCTCTTGCCATCGATCAGCAGGGCGCACTCCTGCCCGATGCCAAAGATAATCTCCCGATCCAGTGCGTTCAGATGCAGCAGCATCTCCTCCCTGTTTTTGCAGTCGATGATGAAGTATTTCTTGGCATCGGGCGGAATGTGACCACATGACAGGGCTATGTTCAGTGCAGTCTCTACCTTATCACCAGTCAGCACCCAAATCTTAATGCCAGCCGCCTGCAGGGAAACCAACGTATCCGCCACGTCGTCCTGCAGGGCGTCCTCGACAGCTGTGGCACCCAGAAGATCCAGATCTTGGAAAGGAACAGGTAACATTAGTTATATACCCAAACTTAAATTAGTTTTTAATACTCACTGCTTTCGATTTTCGAGTAACACTCCTCGCTGAGCTGCTTTCGATTCTCCAATGAGCTATTGGCCTGGGCCAGCTCAACAAGGAAGTCCTGGTACTCTTCCTCAGCAATCAATCGCCGGGCAATGGCCAGTGTCCGCAAGCCAAGTCGTGCGAAATCACTGATATGAGCATCCGTCTTCGAGACCAAATCCGCCGAACTATTGGCACACAGCGGAAAAACATAGCTTTCGGCGCCCTTAGTATAGATCCACTTCTTGCCATCCGTATCCCGTACAATGACACTCATCCGCTTACGATCCGATGTGAATTCCAGGACATGGAGACGCTGGAAAGTCTCCTCCTTGGGCTTGGCAAACGGTCGCTTGTAGTCCATATGCGGAGGAACAATGCGCACCCGGAGAGTCTCGTCATCGTCGCCGGTGTAGACCATGCCTAAGTTAGCGCAGGCCTCCACCAAAGCCTTCTCATCGGGACTGGAGGCCTGGTAGTCCAAGGTGCTGTGAAGTGTAAAAACAATCTTAAAATCTTTCCATTAAACTGAAAAAATCCCTACTTACAATATGAAATCACGGATTTCGTTTTTCCTACGCTGCGATTCGGCACGAACCAGGATAGTGGGCTGCCTGGTGAATGTGGGTGCTGCATAGGATTCCCGGGAAGTGGTGCTCGGCGATCGGAATATGACACCGGCGGGCGGTGTGATGACAGTATTTGGATTTGTGAGGTAGGCATTGGGCGCTCCATAGGAGTGAGCCCTCCGATGGCCAGGCGCTTGACCATTTGGAGCTTCCCAGGACTGTTGCAGATCCTTCTCTGAGGTAGAACGTCGAAATTGCAGTGAAATGGGTCGAAAATTGGGAGTGGTGTCCACTCCATTTGTGGCACCATTGAGGTCAGTCTGATTGACATTAAAGTCATTGGCGGGGCTACTGTGCATCCGATTGGAACGGGCAAAGTTGGGACTCCTCTTCACAACCACCGGACGCTTGCGACGCTCTACGCCATAGCTGTCATCCGAGACCAGTAGAGGATTGACATCCGAAGAAATGGCCGTTGAATTGGCACCATTCGGATGACCCGACACCGAATTTTCGATGGTGTGACTCACATTGAGCTCGCTCTGCTGACTAGCATTGTGACTCTCCTCGGTGATGTCCGATATGGAGTACATCTCCGGTGGACCGGATTTAATAGCCGTCACTGGCTCCCTTTTGGTGCTGCCCGCATCAGCATCCTCCAGAGATCCGGAAGCCACCTGAACGGTATGGCAAATAGACAGAGCTTGGAAAAAGACACGCTGGCTGGACTGTAAAGTATAAATATATATGTTAAAGGGTTAAGCTATATATCCCTAAAAGACTTACACTAAACTTATTGATGTCCAGGAGGGCCTTGGTCTCCTCATCCTCCAGTCGCGTCTTCTTGAAGATAAACTTACTGCCATTAATCGAACACTGCTGGAAGTTCATTTCGTTTTTGGTCAACGTGCCCGTTTTATCCGAGAAGAGTATATTGATCTGTCCCAACTCCTCGTTCAGATTGGAGGTATTCACCACGCAGGGCTGATCGGTCTCCTTCTCGTAGAGCTCTATGTCCCATTCCATGAACCAACTTCCAATCACGCGCTGCAACTCGATGGTCACATAGAGGGAGATGGGTATCAGGTAGTTGAAGAGGATCAGGAAGGACAAGTAGTCCTGGAGGAACTGCTTCACACTGTAGCTGTCCGTCGCATCCCCCAGGTAGGTCAGTTTGGGTATCACAAAAAGCTCGTTGTACCTTAATTAATTAAAAAATTACACAATTATTTATAAACATTCCTTTCTTAAGAGCTTATCTTCACAACGCTTTAAAATGGTCAACAAATCTTGAGTAGCCTCTTCAGGCGACTAACCATTTATATTTTTAAAAAGATCACTTAGGATCAACTTACCTCTTCAGGAAATACAGCAAAGTGACAATCGCAATCAGGGCGACGAGAATGACGATTAGGAAGCGATTGATGTACGTCTCACTGGTGGCATTCTTGTTCCTGGTGAGCCGGCTATTCAGCTGCAGCTTGGAGATCATGCCCGTATATACAGCACAACCAATCACGCACTCCGTGTTCTTAACCCTTGATCCACGCAGCAGGACATTCTCGGCGGTCAAGGGCAACACTCGTCCTTCACTGCCCTTCAGCTCTATTTTCCCATTGAAGCTATACAAATCCGTGGTGGGACTCTCGCACTCGATCATGCCCAGCTTGTGCATCTCTTGGATATCGACGGTGGGCAAATCACGTGGCACCATCAACGTCTTCAGATTGGACTCACCATCCAAATTCGCTGTGGTTATGAAGCATTTGCCATGGGGATCCGTGGATCGTAGCAGCACCAGATCGCAGGGTACATCACAGTCCCGCTCCACGACTATCAGATCTCCGGGAATAACATCCTGTGACTTGATTATCGCCTCCTTTCCATCCCTGATCACCGTAACTGCAAACGGGTGAGTAGTTTTAGAAATTATTTATAAATTAATCCTTAAATCGGAAAATATTTCATACTTTTATCTTCAAGAGCAGCGTCTCATATATATTAGGGAAATTTTTTCTAAAAAGTAGAAAAATGTCTCTAAGAAGCTAAACAATTTATTTATTTAATATTTATAGAATATGTGAAAAAAAACTAAAAACTTAAAAGCAAGTTCTGTTTTTTAGTTGACAGTTTTAGTTTATAAAAAAATGTTACTACTTTTCTTAAAAGCTGTCTTAGTTATAATTTATAATTTAAGTCTATAGTTTGCCTACCTGGTGAGGAATTGACCACATTATCAGTCCTATATCGCAGGATATCTTCATATCCTTGTTTAGCTGCGGTCACAGCAATTACAAAAACCAGAGGTAAAAGTGAGGTCATCGGAGACACAGGACTATCTAAATATAAATAAAAACATTGAAATTTATATCAATTTTTCTATTAACTAATATTCATACTTTACTAGCTAATTCAACTTACCAATTAAAAGAGATATTATTGTCATTACTAAGAAATAGAAATTGGCAATTCTACGAAATTGTTCCAATAGATTTTGTGGCAGGAATGTGATCAGCGTATATTTTGTTGACTTAATCCGATTTTGGCCCTTTGGTCGCTTTTTCTTAACATCCTCGGGGCCACCAATTTGTATTTGCAGCCAATCATTTATTGTACTAACTCTGGAGCCCTGAAAGGGTAAATATGTCAACGGAAAGAGTTAATGAGAGTCGATCGAATAACAAATATGGTAGACATGTAGATAAGCATTTTTATTATCAGAATATTTGTTCTATGTGCCAGCAAATGAATCAGCGTCCATATTTAGCCAATAACAATGGTTAAATTCCTAAAATCTTTATTGAGTGTAACATGGCAAAGTTTAGAAGGGCATAATAGGCTTTATAGACTTGTAATTACAAAGAATATTACTATAGAAATATAAGATCACACACACACACACACCTTATGCCAATTCCATAGGAATGTGTCCTTAAGATGGAACGATTCCTGATCTGCCCACGGAGTGGCTCGATCTATGCGTCGAAATCCGCTCAGATGGTCATGGCCAAAGAAATTCATTGTTCATCATTCTAGGATTGGCGCATTTGGTAGCGGTTTGACCACTATTCCGCCAGAACATCTCTTCTTAAAAGCTATATCACGGATCCAGCGATGGACACTGATTGTTCCCGGCAATAGAAAACTTTTTTCACAACAATACTCGCTGAGGGTTTTTCGCGTTTTTCTTTTTTTGGGGCAATCACATTTTTAAACACCTGCCTGGTTTATGTGGTCACTATAGCTATTTGACTATTGTTAATTATTGTTTATTTATCGACATTCGGACGTACATAAGCTTTTGTATGCACAATAGAGCGGACCCTCTATGTTATGGATTTTATTTTTTAAGATTTTCCTAGGTATTGAAAGTATTTTTCAAGGTAAATCTCTGTGAACTTAATCTGATTGTTAATTAACCTTTTTCTTTACAGTTTTTAGTAAGATTGACTTGCCGACTAAGGTCCGCCCTAATTGCACATACAGACGTTTGTATATTTATCGACTTTTTCTCAGCACACTTAAATGTATAACCTTAAAACGATGTTAAGTGGGCAATTTTAACACTTCAATTGAACAGTTCTATGATGCACGTCTGTCTACGATCATTGTGGCACATAGTTATACACATTGATTTTTTTCTTTTTTTATAGGTTTGTACTATATATCACTGTGTACGATTACATATTTGCTTATAAATTTACATAGATTTAACTCTGATCAACACTAAAACACTTTAATCTGTCGGAACATTTGATATCCTTTTAGATACAATTTTTAATGATCCGCAAGAGATCCGCGTGATGTGCGCCAGTGAAAAGCCGTTCTCACACTGAGAATTAGATCTTCATTTTCTATAGCTATTCCGATCCCATATACCTATACCCCAATACCCATTCCCATTCCCATTCCCATTCACAGCTTCAAATTTGTGTATTGTAGCGCCACAGCTTCAGCTTCAGCTTCGGGCATCCAATAAAAGCTCGAAACTTATTGACGTCGCCAGTTCAAGTTGGCGAATGTTGATACATATGTAGGCACCTCTCTCTCTATACACGAAGACATTCGGGAACTAATAGGTTCAAAGTGCATAGTTAATTTGCCATATTGTCAATTCGATGACGTCCCACACAAATCAAATCTCATAAAAACCAATTGTTTAATATCTAGCACTGACTTGCTTTCCTATGCACCCCGGAAAATTGTAGTTTCGGTTTTGGTTGTAGCAGGAAGTTAATAGAGTCATTGGGGGAGATTGTTGTTGGCTTACATTTGTAAAAGGTGGTAAAACAAAGTTTGTAATCCACTTTAGCCATAACAATCTTGATTACCCATAAAGTTCTATTAAATATTGATATAGGTTGATAGTTTATGTGATAAACTGCATTTGCACTCATAAAAATTATAGATCTAGAACTTGAATTCAACCAACTTTTTGATTACATTCACTTTGGAAACCTACCATTGCAATTTTCCAAGTTCAAAAACGTTTAGCCTCCGAAAATGACTCATGAAATGACCATAGCTGTCGATCAATCAATTTCCAAAGGGGTTAACCCAAATAATAATCGTGGAAATTAAAGAAAAAACCCAAACACTTCCTTACACGGCGTGTTCCAATTTGAAATCTTTGATTGCAAACCCAAGAGAAGACAATTCTGTGATGGAATTCTAAGATTATAAAGTTGCAATCCACTTTATCTAAGCGACGCTATCTCTTTTTCCCTCTCTCACATATCGACAAACGACGTTTCTTTATAGCATACTTATCTTATATATATATACATATATAACTGATGGATAAAGAGACACACACTGACATAATTGAATTAATACAGGCATGCTTTTTGCAATAATATAAAAAATACGAACAGTGTTCAGTATTTGTTCCTTCTGACGATGTTACACAATCGAATGTCAATAAACAAGAACTCACCCTTTTCTGAAGAAGTCGTTCGAAGAACTTGCCCATAATGCTCCCTTGATATTATCCACTGCGAATGGGTTTTACTTTAAAAACAGTCTTCAAGCTCATATATATGGTTTGTTGAATTGGGAACAATGTGACACCGACGCGAAACAATAGCATAACTGACTAAAACTGACCGATTTCTGTATCTCTCTAGAATACTTCGTTACCACGAATTCGTCGTATTGCTTATCGGAAATAACGTTTACTTTTTTTTTTTGTGCTTTTTTGAAACCCAATAGCCGACTAGCCAGGTAATCTCTTCGTTAGATTCCGATGAGTAAAGTAACACCAATCAATATTTTATAGCCGAAGCTCAAACACTCTTATTTCATAGGGATCAACACTTTTTGGCAGGCGGCAAAGTTCTGGGCAGAACCGGTGGCAGAAAACATTTTCACCCATCGAGTGGACATTTCAATTAATGCACTCGAAAGCTTACAAATGTTTATCATTATTATTATGCATTACACAAATATGATGGCCTATCAGTCAAGTGGCTAAATGCACTAGAAACTTTCAATATACATATATATATTTATATATTTAACAAACGAACAACGAGATCATAGTCCATCCGTCACCCAAAACGTACTTCCCAAACTGAGGTATCCGTGCAAGAGAACCGGGTCCATAATCTGATATCCTCAGTTCACGATCTCTCCCCACCGACGGAGCTCTCTTGGTCGGCGAGACCTACCCATATCTATCTGGTTATATGTAAACTGCCAAAAAAAAAAAAAAAAACCCCTGATAAGATTATGGGTATATCTAAGTGCTCCGAGCACCTTAGCTGACTTATCGACGTTGCCGGAGAACTTTTGAGCGACAAATGCTGAAAAACTCCAGCTATGGCATGTTTCTGAATTGGGATTGGTTAAATTCATTACTTTTTTTAAACAAATTTTTAATCAATGCATAGTATATCCTTTCGTCACCATGATCAAGGTAAATTTCGTATTTATTCTCAGATCTTCTTGTCATTTTATAGTCCATAAATTCCGATAAGAAATACGGATTTTAACGAGCTCCAGAGGGGGAGCACTTTTATCACCAAACACTTAAAAGGCCAAAAGATCGTTTTACTGCTACGAATTTCACAATCAAAATAGCTTATTAAAAAGCTGGATAAGTAAGATTTCACCAATACTATTAAACAATTGTTTTGATAATAATATAGTTTTCTGAATTTTAACAAAAGTTTTGAAATAAAATAGTTTTTATTTCTATTTTTCACACACACAATCCCTTAGAACACTTCAAATTATGCAAATTTTTCGCAGGAAATGAGAATGAATTAAAATATAATTGATTCACAAGGATATATATCTAGCTGATGGTTCAACATACCATGTTTCTGGCCACTGAATTGTGTTTTTAGAATTGTAGAACTGAGTCGTTTGGTCCGCACTTTGATAGCACCCGAGGTCCTCTAGCCAAACAAACAAGTAAACAAACAGCAAACTTTATGGCGAAATATAGTATATATTTATATATGTGTAGAACCGTTATGGATCATAGGTATATAAATATTTTATATATATATATATATATATATATATATAAAGTTGTGTAGAAAGGAAAGAGAGACCTTCCACGCGCAAACTGATCTATCGGCAAACTGTCGAAGAATTGTTGATACCGATACCACTAACAAAGCCGTCATACATATAGGCTAGCCTGTCGGACCTTTTCATGCATGTTTATGTGCATATATATATATATAGGCTATGGCCATACCCATAACGTACCTATATCACACCCAGACCGGGGTCTTACCAACTTTTAGATATCCCTAAATACGTGCATAACCAAGTGCATTGCACTCTCCAATAGGTTCGTCTAACCACGTTGGGCCATACGATCCTCAGAGATACTCTCTCGGGGGATAGTGTTTTTTTTTTTTTTGTTGGGGGGTGAGCTCTATCAGGAGGCTTTCAAATAGCGCTCTCGTGAGCGAATAAGCCCGCGGTTTTGCCATTAGTCGAAGAGATAATGTCGATAACAATATCTTATCGTTCAGCATTGAACGGACTCCAAACACGCACACAAACGCACACCCATTTGTCCGTCCGTCCGTTTGTCGGAGCTTACGGACAAACCCATCTAAAAAAGTCGTGCAACTGCCACCTTGACTCACTCATCCCGCTGAACATGTCTGCAGCGTCTGTACGCGTATGTCCCATGATAGGTAAATCCATGGAGACCATGACCAAAACCTTATCACTGTCCTCGAAAATGAGTCAAAGGTAACTATATGCAAATAGTACCGTTATCGTTCGATAGCTAAAAGTACGACCTCCGCCCTTATGAGAAAGGTTATGAGTCAGACAGTCGTAAGATTTCTTAAGCTGGATGGACAATTCATAAAACAAATTAGCGGAAACTATTGTAAGATTATTGTCATCTTTTAGAAAATCCCTTAAGCTTAAACTTATTTTTTATAAGATTGATCAGTCTCTTAAAAAGAACTCGAATGTAAGGATTTTTTGTAATTCCCTTAGTCTTTTCTTATTAGTCTTTTCTATATTTCTTAAACGATATTCCCAAAAACATCTTATAGGAATTCTTATAATTTGAAGTATTACTATTTTCACGTTCTTATTATTTTGCCAACATGGCGAATGAGTAATATATATATTATAATTTTCTCAAAGTTAAAAGGTTATTTAAGTTGCATGTTTAGAGTACCAATATCTATAGTATCTGATACTGATCTTTGTAAAATGTGCATAATATAGATGTAAATAAAGTAGTTAAGTAATTATTTTGAAAAGGCAACTTTGCAAGAGGTGGTAACCCACAAACTTGGGCAAAAGCTTTAAAAACGTTAGCTTTCAAACTGAACTATAAACGTAGAACCTCACAGACGGACATGTTCATATCGCTAGATGATGCTGATTAAGAATATATAAATAACAAATATATATAACGACTGTATAACCCATCGTAAAAGTTTAAAAAATCCAATTTTCAGAAAGAAAACCATCTTTTATAGGCTTATTAAAACTTTCCCCTTGTGGATAGGCAACTTATTTGACAACAGATCACCCAATAATAGGTAACCCCCCTTCGAATCTCAACTGTATTTCCTTTTATACAGAAGCAAAGAGTCCAGAGCTCAAAGACCTTCATTTATTTTTGAAAACAGCTACAAGTGCCATGGCTATAATCAAAGTGTTTTGCTGATTAGACAAGTGATTAGAGTTAGCATGTAAACCGATATCAGGTGGATTAGATATTGGAATTTTAAATAGACGATACTACTAATCAGTAAGTGTTTTAATACAAAAAGTTTGTTCATTGCTATGAAGTAATCTTTTAAATGACTTTAGCAATTCCACATAGCCAAAAGGAGTAGGTGAATCGAGAGATATAGGGGCCAAGATTAAAATTCAAATTCATTATTAATCTGACATGTAGTGGACATCTAATCTGAGCTGCAGAGTGCCTAATGACGATAATTGTGTTGGACTAATCTGTCATCGGCAAAACGCCGGAAACACGACCAAAACTTAGTGTCCAGCCTTTTTTCGATGGGATAGCTCTGTGACAGGGGCCACTTGGAAACCCAAATAGGTTTTTATATAAGCAAGGGGAATGGAACATTATCTTTATCATACGCCAATTTATATGGCTAATTCAGTTTGAAATTCAGTCGAACTTTTACTCCGAAAGGCATCACGCGTGCGCACCTCCGTTCGTATTTTTTTTTCTTAGCTATAATGATCGCCGGACCTCTTCTGAATGATCAGTAGAGATAGAAGACAAAGTTTTCAGTTAGCTTTGCAAAAATGGGTGCGAATAAGAAAAAATCTGAAGATCCACTGCGGATCAAGATCGGTGGAATCGAGAGTCGTCAGAAGAAGCCACTAAACCGAGTGACAACCACCAAGTACACTTGGCTAACATTCCTGCCCCTTAACTTCTATGAACAGTTTAGACGAGCCGTTTACTTTTACTTTTTGATAATCACAATCATATCATTTTTCGTAAGTAAGTATTGCCGGTTGCACTGCAGATATTACTATATATCAATTGCTAATCGGACATTATTAACAAATTAGATGAAACAATATCGCCACTGGTTTCCCTGCTTCCCTTGCTATTTGTGATGATTATCACGGCTCTTAAAGAGGGCTTGGAAGATTTATCTAGATCGAAAAGTGATAAGCTTGTTAACACAGCCAAAGGTAAAAATGTGGTCCTGACTTTTTATATGGATATAATACGACATAGATTATATATAATTCTAGTTACTGTAATCCGAAATGGAAAGGAAGAGGTAATAAACTCACAGTTCATTGTGCCAGGCGATCTTGTCGTGGTGAGGAATGAAGGTGATGTGCCTTGTGATCTCGTCCTTCTGCAATCTTCAAGTGCAGACCGCAAATGCTTCGTGACCACAGCCAATCTGGATGGAGAAACGAATCTGAAGACCATCTCAGTCCCACCGAACTATATACTTTCCTCGGAAGATGGACTTGAGGGCAAGGATTGCATTGTCTGCGAGCCATCAACCTTTGATCTGTACAGCTTCAATGGACGTGTAGAGTTGAACTCTCGAATCGAAGCCAGAGGAGTAGGTGGTGCTGGTGAAGCCCTGCCACTGACCATTGAGAATCTTCTGCTTCGTGGTGTTAGAGTTAAGGGCACCGAGCGAGTAGTTGGATGTGCTATCTACACCGGGATGCATACCAAATTGCAACTGAATAGTCGCTATACGGGTAACAAGTCGGCCTCCAGCGAGAAGTACATCAACAGGTTCATGGTGGCCCTCATCGTGGGAATGATCGTGGTGGTAGTGGTATTATATCTGATCGAAAGGTAAGGGTTACTTCAAAAGTAAGAGCTTTGATTAAACTAAGTTCTTACTTACTTATGATTTGATTTTTACAGGCATAAGGAGGCGAAGGTTGTCCCAACAATGCCCTTCTTGGGACCGCCTAGCAATTTCAACTCGGCTTGGCAAATCTTCGAGGACTTCCTTTCATTTTTGCTACTCTTCAATTACATGGTGCCAATATCCGCTTACATGAACATTGAATTGTACCGCATTTTCGGAATGCATTTCATGCACAATGATCTCCATTTGTACGATGAGGAAACCGATCAGCCATGCCGTGTTAATGCCTCCAATCTTAATGAGGAATTGGGTCAGGTTAATATTCTCTTCTCCGACAAAACTGGCACACTCACCAAGAACCTCATGAAGTTCGTAAACTGCTATGTTTCCGATAAGAATTTTCAACTGCAAAATACCCATCTCCTTTGCGAGGCCACCGGGGAACAGTTTGAACTGGAAAAGCTAGATGTGAGTATGGCCGGAAAAGTACTTTAAGTATAAATCTAAAATTATTCTCATCTACCTTAATCCAGAGCGAAGCAATTATCTTTTTTGAGGCACTAGCCGTCTGTCATACTGTGGAAGTCCTCCATGAAGTGGGTGAAAAGCCTTTGGAGTCGCCAGAATCCGTATCGGAACGTAGTCATTTGATGGGCAGGAAAATTGTTGATCGCTATCAGGCAACCAGTCCCGATGAAAAGGCTCTCCTTGAGGGCTGTGCCAGCCTAGGTCTTGTGTATGAGGGTCAGGACAATGATATTTTGCGCATCTGCCAGTATCCCAGCGTTGAGAAACTGCAGTTTGAGCGTCTTCATGTCCTGGAGTTCAGTTCGGAACGACAACGGATGAGCGTTATTTTAAGAGATCAAAGCGGTACCATCTGGCTATATTCTAAGGGAGCAGAAAGCGCCATCTTTCCACGGTGTAAGTTGAGTCCTCGTGTGGAACAGACTGACAGTCAGATTACGAAGTATGCACAGAAAGGTCTTCGCACTATGGCCTTGGCGCGACGTACTCTAACAGAGGAGGAGTTGGCCAACTTCGACGTGCTCTACCGGAAGGCGAATACCCAGCTAAGCAATCGCAACGAGCTAATTGCAGAATGTTACGAAACGGTAGAGATTGGTAAGTGTTTTTCCTGCAAAAGGAATCAAGTTAGTTTATGGACTATGTTCTACTTACTTCTTGCAGATCTAAACCTTCTTGGAGCCACTGCCCTGGAGGATGCACTGCAAGAGAACGTGGGTGAAACCCTGGAAGCCCTGCAAACAGCTGGATTAAAGATCTGGGTTCTTACTGGTGACAAAGTAGAAACGGCCTACAACATCGGTCTGGCTTGCCGGCATATTCCTCCAGGATCAAAGCAGCATTTCATTGTCAACGTGACTGAGCCCGCGGAGCTATTGTCAAGACTTAAGGAGATAGAGGGAGATAATCCGGAAGTCCTAGTAGTCGATGGTATAACTATAACAGCGCTATTAAAGCATACACCACGCCAGTTTGCCGATCTCGCCCTGCATTGCCGAGCGGTACTCTGTTGCCGGCTGAGTCCGCTGCAGAAGTCCGAGATTGTCACACTGATTAAGCGGCGCAAAAAACATATAACGGCTGCCATTGGCGATGGTGCTAATGATGTGTCCATGATCCAGGAGGCGCATATTGGCATTGGGATCACGGGTCGTGAGGGAAAACAGGCTGCCCGATGTGCTGACTTTGCTATTGCCAGGTTTGAGATGCTGCGTCGCTTGTTCCTCGTCCATGGACACTACAACTCCCATCGCCTGGCCTTTTTGGTGCTCTTCTATTGCTACAAAAACATCATCATCACTGGATGCATGGCCCTGTTCCAGGTCTACGATCTATTCTCTGCCACCAATGTCTACAACTCGCTTTATCTTTGGCTCTTCGACATCGTCTATATCTCGTTTAGTTTCACGTACTTGGCCATTTCCGATAAGGATTATAGCGAGGAAACGCTGCTCAGGTAATGAATAAAAATCTTTATGAATATATAACTTATTTAATAATATCAATTTCAGACATCCGGAGCTATACAAGCCACTAGCCCACAATCGCCAGGCATCCATGAAAGTTTTCTGCTTGTGGATGCTCAATGGTTTTGTCCAGTGCTTCATAATCTTTTACTTCACCTACCTCGTGCTCAACGATGAGAATGTCCTCTTTAATGGAGGACAGACAGCTAGTTTCCAGACCTTTGGAACGATGCTCATAACTATAATAGTGATTGTGGGCAATCTGAAACTGCTTCTGGTTGCCCGATACATGACCTATCTGAACATTTTCATGATCTTCGCCTCAATTGCTGCCTTTATGCTGACAACATATCTATATAACCTGGATACAAGTGGAGAGCTCTATGATGTCTATAATCAGTTCATAACCTCATTTCCGCTATGGCTATTCACGATTGTCTGCTCGGCAGCTTGTCTACTGCCTGATTTTATTATCAAGGTTGTTAATGATATGTTCAGAAAAGTACCGCCCGACAGCAAGACAGGAGTATAAAAAATCAAATCAAAAATTAGCAATGATCATTAAACGTTTTATAATCTTCATTTATGAAAGGTTTTTAAGTTTATTGGTTAATTTATATATTAATATTAATTAAAAGGAATTTAATTAAGTTACATTTAATTTTAAAGTACTTCACAACTTTTCTTTAAAGCGACGAATTATTGTCAAAATCACCAACAAATATCAAAACGAATTTAAAAATCTGAACTTAACAAATAACAATCGATCTAGTATTTTAATAAATTTACTTTTTCTGATCCATATAAAAACTCAACATTTATTATTTACAGAAACAATCTTTAAGAAACTTGAGAAACGAGTTTTTGACTTTGGAAAGACATAAATCAAAAGACTTACTTTTAAAGAAATGCTCCCCAGCCAATGTACATTGCCGCCAAGTTGTCCACTTTGGTGGCCTCGTTTATAAGAAAGTTGACCTGACCCTCGGTCGAAAGAGGAATGCTGTTGGCCTGCTGACGCTTGACCTGTAAACAAAATTCGGATTAATTAGCTGATTTTAACTTGCTTAAGAAATATCTTAACAATTATCCAAGGGTTGTAGATAACCCTTTTCCCCACTTGATAAAGATTAGAATCTATACTTACATGTCCCTGCAGACGATCGGCGATTCGCTGTACATCCTTTGTGATTTTGGCAGTGGCTGCACCATTTCTAGTTTGTGCTCCCACATCGTAGACAAATGGCCTTAGCATGGACATGAGGGTCTTGGTTTCCTGCTTTAGCAGGCGCAGCGTTATCTCACAGCACTTCCGATAGCTACCTTCCACACCTAGCGGACCCATGGCGACGGTCATGTTATGTGTAAGCCGGAAGGGTACAACCTCAGGATAAGCCAGCAGCTCGCCCTGATTAAATAGGCAATTGAAGTCCACATGGACAGCATCGCCGTTGCTATCGGCAAACAGAATATTCTCTCCATGGCGATCGCCAAGTCCTAGGATATAACCCACCATAGACATGACGGCCACGGTGCGAATGTAAGTATTCCTCGCCTCATACCAACTGTGCAGGGTGACGAATCGTTGACGCAGCCACTCTTGGAAGACCGGCGGATGGGCAGGTATCAGCTTCTTGGTAAAGACCTCTCGCTTGCGCTCTATAGATTCATTCAAAGGCACAGCCAGCTGGTGTAATTGTCGGCCAGACATCACCTGTCCCCGCTGAGCATACAAACTCATACAGATACTCCGATATGAGGCAAGATTGGGCAACCACTCGACTAGGCCGCACTCCTCGTTAAACGGTAGCACGGCGTATGTACGGATGTGAAGTCTCCGCTGTCTGGCTGGAGCATCCTGATGCAGATATCGTTTGACCAGGCCATTAAACTCCATCAAACGAGCATCGCGACGCAGATCATCCTTGGGTTTTACCAAAACATCGTAATCTTGGCCATCACTGCAGCGAATGGTTAGCTTCTTGGGTTTTGCCGCCGAGCGCAGGACTAGCACTGACTCCTGAAAGCCACTGATGTATATCTGTTGATAGGGAAACCAATTGACCTTCGCTGCAGTCGTTGGAAGATGCGAAAGCGTCGATGAGGTCGGATCTGAACTTAAGGGCAATGTTGGCTGCATGTACTTCTCAAAGGGCAGGAGTATATTCGAGAAGTCCGCCTGTTTGCATAGTTTGGTGAGCCGTGTGTCCAGGTCACTCAACTTATATGTCCGATCAAGGGTTACTTCCTTGTTGGTGATATCCATGAGACGTTCCGTCAGCGAATTAAAATCATGCAGCAATTTCTGAAAGGTAGAATTCTGCAATCGGCTGTCTGTGAGAATAAGTTTACAGCGCTTAATCCTGTTCGCTTTGGCCGATTTGAAATGTGGCAAAAGCATCCACAGCGACTGCTGAGGATATTCCTCCACTAATCGTATTATCACATTACGGAGAACCGAGAACACCTCTGGCAATGGATGACAAAGACGACTCAGCATTTGTGAGTAAACAGTGTAGAACATAGCCGTAGGCAAAGCAGTACAGCAGTTTGTCAGCAAATCGTTCATCTTCTTCACCTGCTCAGTGTTGGTAGACGTCTCTGTGGTGTCCAGCCATAGGCTAATCAGTCGTGGCATTGACTGGTAGACATGCTCGCTACCATATCGCAAAGATCTTGCATAGTTGACCATCACATTGATGAGCATATCATCAAGGTCACTATTGGGGTCTGATTTGCTAGCCTGCTTTGCCTCACGGATCTTCTCCAGAAATTGTGCCATCTGTACGTAGCAGCTCTCCGATTGACGATGCACGAGAATGGCCTCCTCGAAATACTTCAGAACAGCATCCGCACACAGATGCATCGATTCGGCGCTATACACAGCCTGTAAGTACTTCCCACAAAAGAAGAGATGTCTTTGCTCCGGCGCCAGTTGCTTGACATTACCTTGGCACGACGAACGCATAATGGACAGCTGCTCCTCCAAATAGTTCATGGCCATCACCTGATCGCCCTTTTGCCATAGAAGTTTAGCTCGCTCGATGAAGAGACCCGTGGGTTTATATTCCGCTGCTTTGAGAATATAAAGTTGGGCACGCTGCAGTTGGCCGGCATTTCGATTGATTTGAGCACTATTTAGCCAGATTCTCGCCAGCTCCGTCTGCAAGGGGGGCAGCAGATGACTACGATCTGCCAAGCGGCGTTGAAGTTCCGCCAACAGATTCCGGCGGAAACTGTAGATGGACTCTTGCACACGAACTTGAGGCTGGATAACCTGCAGACGATACTGCCAATCCTCGAAGTACTTCTTCATAAGCCTCTCTTGATTGTCCTGATCGCGATCCTGTTCCAGATTCTCTACAAGCTGCTGGCTGCACTGCAGTTCATGAACTAAGTGAAGCTTCAACACCGCATCATATGCATTTGCATATGAATGTTGCTGGACTGCAGAGCAGCTTCGTAGCTGCTCCAGCACCGAGCCACGCATGCCGTCTAGCAATGCGTCGAATTCGATCCGCGTGGTAAGTGGCCTACGCAGCTTTAGACAGCCTTGTGAACACTGAGCTGGCCAGTTGGACTGAACCTCCTCCAGCTCATCGTAGCTTCCCAGGCGCCAGAGTAACTCTGACTTGCATTCTGCAAAGCACTGATCCGAGTACTGATCAGACAATCTCTGCCAGAGGCCGTCGGCTATCAACTGGGCTGTCTTGGGTGTGTCCCTCAAATATGCATCGATCATGGCGCGTACATGATCTGGCTGCATTTGGTCCGTACTGGAGAGAAGCTGCTCATAGGATGTAATCATATCCTGCTGTCGCTCCACCAGTCGATTGACCAGGATGTCTTGCATCACACTCATGTCATAGCTGCGAACCTGCACGGCTCCCTCCACCGAATCGGGATCCCTTAGTGATCCGTATACTTCCACAAGGAATGTAAATTGTTCCAACAATCTCTTAGATTTGTCTATGCCGCCCTCTTCCAAATAGCTCTCTAAGTAGCTAAGTGCACGAGCATATTCGCCACAATTGTAGCTAGCGCGAGATACTAATAACTTGGGTATCTGATTAAGGAATTCGTGGATCTTTCGGTAGTTAGAATCGATCGTCTCTGGCGGCTTTCCACCGGTGCTTCGGCCATGAATTCGCTGCCACTCCCTTAGCCAACGCTGTAGAAAGTCCAAGAGTTCGGCGCACAGCTTTCCGGCCAGCCGAGGAACACGGCTGGAGTCCTCTTTTCGCTCCAACACAGAGTTGGTTGTTAAGGGCTTGATCCCCGCTGCGTACTTTCGAGATTCGAATTGCTTAAAGGCGTTCTCCTTAATCGCTCCAAGCTCCTGGCGACCCTTCACTGAACTTGAACTTTCCTCATTGGCTCGGAGGACGGCCATGAACTCCTCCTGGATATGTTTCCTCTGCTCCTCTGTGCACTCGAGCAGTGCGTGCAAAAGAATGTAAGGATAGAATGTGCTTAGCATATTACCATCCCGCTTGATGCACGGTTTGTAAGAGCTAAGTAGGTGGCGAGTGTCCGAGGATTGAATGTAGTCGATCAATCGACTGGCCCAGAGAAAGGCCCATTCCTCGTAAAAGTTGTGTGAATAGTGACTTCCAAAAAGGGGCTGTTGCAGGCAGGTACTAGGACGATGGCAGCAAGTGTAGCAGGAGTGCAGCATTGGTTCCATAACCTGACGCATTCTCGCCGGCAGCGACTGCCAAAGCTGCACCTTCTTCTGCTCCTTGGGCGAAATTCCACAAACAGCCAGCGTCTCCTGGATGGCAAGTGAGAAACTATCCACATGCTTCGTCTTCTGCTGGAACTGATAGCCACGACACAATGAAGTCAGGGCTAAGACGGCAAAATCATCCGACAAAATATTGAGTGGCAGCTGCTGAGGACTGGCAAAATTGAAGTTCGAGGGTAGATAACTGGCATCAATAGCTCCCAGTTCTCCGAGGCACTTGGCCGAAGCCATTTGAAGTTGACTATCATCGTGCTGGCATCCAGCCATCAAAACATTCACTATCTGCTCCAGCAGAGGTTCTAGAGGCAATTCACTTAGGATTGTGCTGTTTAGCTGTGGTCGTCGCCTTCCAAAAAGTTCGCCAAGATGCTGAAGGGCATAGACACGCACCTGTAAACACTCATCCGTGATGTGCTTTTGCAGGAACCGCAATTGTTCCACCAGTTGTGGCGATGTATTTGATTGACTCTCGCCTTCCGCCGATCCCTTCAAGTCCAGATGGGCTGTATGCCTTTTGATGCACTTTTGAATAGAGGGCGCGACATTCTCCATGCGATCTAAGAAGTACAGATCTGTTATGAAGTTGCCCAGCATGGAAGCGTTTCGTAGGATTATAAACTCATACAGATCATTGACTTGCTTCACGCTCTCGCTATCCGCTAGCAGCGGCTGCAGAGTGGCCACAATTCTTCCGAGCGACGGTCCCAGCTCCTGTACATTTACCACATGCAAGAATATATGCCAGATCTTTAAACAAATGCGCTGAAGGCGAGGCTCCTGCAGTGTGTGAACGAAACTTAACATAGCAATGATCTTGAAACGAAACTGAGTGACGTGTTGTGAGCCCACGAATCGCATGATCTGTCCCAAACTGTACAAAGTCTCCTCCTTCAATGGCTTTTCAAAGGACGGTTCACTCAGACAGCTCTCGAAGTATGTTATCACGCCCAGGAAACGCTCAGCTATAAAATTGGCAAACTCAGCATTGGTAGTTTGACTTGATAACTCCTCCTCGGAACCGATGGATAGCTGCAAAAGGCTCTGGAAGGATCGCATCACGAATGTTGGGTTCCGATTGAAATAAATTAGCAATTCGGCCACCGTTTGCTAGCAAAAATAAAACATAAAAAATAAAATAATAAAAATAAAATATAACTCAGCCAACCTTAACATCTGCATTCATTAGCTGTTGCAGACTTGATTGTGTGCAGCTAACCACCAACTCAATGCAACTATTGGCCAGCTCTGGTTCCTCGGTAAGATAAACATGGGTGTAGAGACGCAGAAACGAGATGGAAAACAACGTTGAAATGGGTTTTCGCAATTGTTTGGCTATCAAAACCAAAACTCCTTTAGATCGCGGCTCAACGATGCAGTGCGGCAAAACCATTGCTGTCACAAGGCGATGGTACTTGCAGGTAAACTCCTGGACGCACGTAAATCCCAACATTTTTGAAAGCTACAGAAACAGAAACAAGGTCAATTTTGGTCAGGTAAAATGAACTTAATATACTTACCGCCCTTAGAGATCTGGTGAAGCGAACGCCATCCGAAAGATATCCTGTTAAGGCAAGACGAACAGCAAGGTTGAGGGCATCTCGCTTATAACAGTTCCACAAATTAATCGTCTGCAGACCATGACTGGCACACATCTCAGTAGCTGCCAGCACTGCTTCCTGAGCCACCAAAGATCGAATGTGTACCAAAAAGAAGAACGTCATTTTAAACCAATGGAAGAGCCAGATTTCATCGTCTTCCGTGTGAGCAATGGCATTCAATATGTTCAGCATACGCCTTTGCTGCAGAACATTTTGCTCTGATAGTGGTTTTTCTAACATAACTTTAATAGAACTAAGAAGAAGATTGCCCAACTTTTCCATAAAATCTGGTGAAAGGGCTCGCATTCCAGAGACTAGAAGACCTAGAATCTTAACGCTAACCTTTTGTAGTCGATCCGTTTCCTTAAGCAAACGGAGAATAATGTTAGGATCGAAGCGCAGTAGATCCAGGTGGTGGGAAATGTAAGAAAAATCTTGATAAAATAAAAAATCTTTGGCTATCATCTCGAGGGCAGCGCTGGAGAAGTCTAGACAAGCCAGTGGCTGCTTGCATTTCCCGAGGTAAATGCCTGGTAGATTCTCTGGCAATGGTCTACATTTCGGACAGTACAACTCAATCCGATCTTGGACTTTAAAGACACTTAAAGTTCCTGGTTGGGAGCACAGCAATAAGCGTATAACATGAGCACGTCCAATTCGACTTGTAATGGAGGGAAGAGCTTTCATAAGTTGCTCCGGTTTTATGTAACCTGATATGTACAACTGTGGAAGATTGTTAAAAAATAATTCCTGCGTGTTCTCGGTTTTCATGAGACTTATGAACTGCTGGCCATAGAATCCTTGCATTTGGGTATGGGCACTCGAAGGTGTCTCCAATCGAATGGCACACAGATGGGATAACTCCATATGCCGCTGAAGAATTGCCAGAAGTTGGTGTTGTGTTTGTGTCTTTAAAAAGTGTCGAATGAAGTTGACCTGCATTAGAAGCGAGCAGACTTCCAAATACATGTGTTTCGTGTCTAAGCGACATTTCGATTCCTGCTCAACCAATTGCATTGAAAGGTTATTCCAGTTGGTGTCCGTTATCTTTATGATTTCACATTGCAGCGGCAGTTTGGTCAACACTGAGGAATCAATATGACCTTCTTGTTCAGCAATCTTGTGCTGGCTCTGTGACAAAACGAGCTGTTCTAGCTGTTGAAATGTGCGTAAAATAGCAACTACTTCCTGCCACTCCTTGGCTAAAACCTCCTTTTTCTGAATAATTTGCGTTAGGCTTTGTGTTAGCACTTGCACCACTGTTGTGCGTATCTTAGTCTGTTTTAAGCCCATTAGCGCCAATATGGGCAGTAAATGTGATGGGTGGGTGTGCCAATGACTTAGGACAAGCTGCTGCAAGTGTATTAACTGCTCCAATGACGTTTCTGAATGCTCTAACTGGCTATGAATATAGGAACTTAAAGTTTCTAAGAGTTCATCGTCTAGTTCGATGTTTGTGGGCAAGCTAAGTATCTCATTTAGGAGCAGATAGCCAAGTTGAAGAGCTGGTTGGCCACGGGTTTGCAGAACAAGCAGCAGCTGCTTTGTGGTCACATTCAGTTGTTTTAGTTCCTGGCGTGTCATACAACCCATCTCTAACCACTTGAAAACGGTGGACCACATAATTATCGTTGCCTCCAGCGTCAACTGGGCATAATGACTAACGTCCGGATTTGTTAGCCAGCTGGTAGCTGACTGTGACCGCAGGACACTAAGACAGTAATTCAGGCTGGCCAGTTTGGTATCCATGTCGCACTCCTTGATGATTAGTAATGCCTGGTGTAAGCTGCTCGAAAATATATCGCCATGAGTGGCATATCCAATATGATGGGCATGCTGCAAAACTTCTAGCAGACTCTTTGCATACATGTCGGCCTGCTCAATGGGCAATTTAATATCTTCAAATGAGCACTGTGGGTCGAACTCCTGCAAGCAGGACACATCGCATCGAAATATTCTCAAGGTTATTGTAGAATTATGGTCGTCACAACCTTGGCTAAAGTCCAACAAGCTTAGCTGCAGGTGCGTCTCCTCAAGCGCTTCTACATAGGCCAGTACCAGGCGTTCGTACAACTTAGGATGATTGGAACAGCAGGAGCTAAGTATTTTCCTTTGTAGATTGATGCACTGGCTGCAGCAGAACAATGGCGTGCATTATGTTTACAGCTAAAAGCTTATATTAAATCTCACCTGCCATCTGGAGTTTCACTAAGGCACTTGGCCAGTTTGTTGAGCAGCCACAAAAGGAAAGTGTCCTGGAATTTATTGTGCAGCTCTCGTACCAACGAGCAGCTTATCAGACTCGGTTCCTGGCACAGAATGTCCTCAATTACGCTGTACACTCGGGACAAGTTGGTTACGTTCCGGTTAACGTGGTTGTAGAGCAACTTCCACATATCTTTTCGTTGGTTCGACATTTTGCCAATTTTATTTTAAATAATCCACAAAACCGAGACATTTCTTTACGAACTACCGGCATTATTGGCAGCGTTGCCACTTCTCTTCTCTGTATCGATTTTTATCGATATCTTTAATATTCGATTTTTTTCATTTAACAGCAACATTCCAACTACATATATGGAATATACCTTATTCACGTTAGAGGCAATTCAAATAATAATTCAATTTATCTCTACACTGCCATGCTATAATTGTTGAGTTCATTTTGAAAAACTTTGCCTATTTGTATTGGATTTATATAATACATTAAAATGTGCCACAATTTTTTTAATTACTTCAAACCATTTTCGTTCTATTTCTTGCCAAGTAGATAGATGCGAATAAGCAGCTGCAGTGTAAACAGTACATAATCGTTCTGGAAGAGGTATTTTTTCGTTAACGTTTTACTACAACACTAACAAAAAACCAGAATTAATCAAAATAAGAAAAGTTTATTATATGTTAATGTAACTAAGATTTTAAGATAAAATGGAAGTAGAATACGACGACTCCGGCTGGCAAGGCCGCGCCAAAGGGCAGTCAAATCCGGAGGTAATTAGGGATATGGCGTGGCGGGATATCCCGGTTAACCGCTGACGCCGTTGGCTAGATTTACATATCCATGATTATTATTAATTTTTCCTCTAATCTTATTGAAGGAAATGCTCGAGGATAACCCGCAAAAGACGATCCAGGAGTGTCTGGAGAAGTTCCTCACACCGGACTACATTATGGAGCCGGGCATATTCACACAGCTTAAGCGGTACTTCCAGTCTGGTGGATCACCGGAGGAAGTTATATCAATGCTGTCGGAAAACTACAAGGCGGTGGCACAAATGGCTAACCTCCTTGCCGAGTGGCTAATCCTGGCTGGTGTTAAGGTGACGGAGGTTCAAGCCATGGTCGAGAATCACCTTAAGGAGATGATATTGAAGTCCTTTGATCCCAAGAAGGCTGATACCATCTTTACGGAGGAGGGTGAAACGCCCGACTGGCTTACCGAGATGATTGACCACTATACGTGGCGTTCGCTGATCTACCGACTGGCCGAAGAGTATCCCGACTGCCTTATGCTTAACTTTACAATCAAGTTGATCTCCGATGCTGGTTTCCAGAGTGAGATCACTTCCATCTCGACGGCTGCACAACAGATCGAGGTCTTCTCGCGGGTTCTCAAAACATCGATTGTCAAATTTCTAAATAATCCTGATGATGTACATGGCGCTATTCAGGAGTGCGCTCGCATGGTCTGCCATGGTCAACACACCTATGTTTACTCCCAAGTGCTTATCCAGGTCCTCAGCCAGGAGCAGAAGGGTGGATTCAACATGAAGCGCCTGTCACAGGAAATCATTAAATACGCCCTGCAAAAGTGAGCAAAATAGATAATTAATTACTGTCTCGTTGAAAGCCATTACACTATTATTTTTAACATTGATTGAAAAAAATTCCTAACTTTCTCCTTAGTAAATATCTTCCCTTTCCTATATTCCAGCAATCAAAATGTGACCCCTATAACGATGGCTCTAAATGGTTCGGCGGTCTATCCGCAGGCATGTCAAGCCCTAACTTCCATGCTAACCCGCAACACACTTAATCCCGCCGATATTACGGTTCTGTTTCGCAATTATTCCGGATCTGACCCGCCGCCCATCGACTTGATACGGAACCCACAGTTTTTGGAGCTTCTGGTGGATGCCCTCTTCCGCTCCGGCGTTAAGATTAATCCCGAGCACAAGCCGAAGTATATGTTTCTTCTTGCCTACGCGTCCGCGGTTATTGACCAGCCTGCCAAAAAGCGGCCCATGACCGAGCGCATGCTAAACAAGGAGGAGCTTAAAAGTACAATTCAAGCTATCGAAAAGGCGCATACCATCTGCAATGTGGATCAGGGATCAACCGAATTGATTGCCGAGCTGCAAACGCTTTACAATTGCATCAAGTGAGTAGGCAAAAATCTAGTCATGTTTTTATCATATAAAAACCTACTTTCATCTGTAGATATCCAGTTGTGGGAGTTGGTGTGATTCGGTGGATCGAAAACGTGGTAATGGAGCCGTCCTACTTTAAACTCTCCACCGACAGCTGTCCCACGCATTTGGCAGTTCTCGATGAGGTGGCCGCCGTGCATCCCACCCTGCAGCAGCAGATACTATTCCTGCTCATCCGCCTTTTCGAGTCCAAGCAAGATGAATTGGAGATTCTCGTACAACTGGAGATGAAGAAAATGATCTTGGACCGGATGGTTAACCTGCTAACACGTGGCTGCGTTGTACCCGTTCTGCGATACATTAAACAGTGTTGCGCCATCGAGGATACAGACATTTCGCTGATCAGGTATTTCGTTACTGAGGTTCTGGAGACCATAACACATCCGTATTCACCGGAGTTCGTACAACTTTTCCTGCCTATGGTGGAGAACGAGGAAATCACAGGAACGATGCGCGGCGAGGGCGACAACGATCCCGTGTCCGAATTTATTGGTAAGTGAAGTCCACCTGTTTTCACATTTCTTGCTGACCATCGTTTTCCATCTCTTTCAGTTCACTGTAAAGCACATTATACGACTGTATAGAAAGGGGCAATAGAGGGGTATTTTTAGGGGCAATTACCTTGAAACAGTCTATAAAACTACCCAATTTTCAATCAAATTTTTATATACATTTTTTTAGCGTACTTCACTTTTTGTAAGATTTAGCAACTTAAAAATATGCAAGTCTCTCCTTAACGAAAAGATAAAAGAATTATACAAACAAAAGTTTAATCAATCGATACCTTTATCGCCTAAGATCTATCTTCATTCTAATTCTAATTTCCTTGAGTTTTTGATTGTCATTTTTATGCTACAAAGCTCAATACATTTAATTTGTTAAACCGCTGCTTTATATTGATTGTGAATAAAATTATTAACGCTTCTACAGAATTTTGCTTTAAAATTCAATTAATTATCTTCGAATCTAACAAAAAATTGTATAGTTATTAGGAAAATTAAATTGTATAAATATAGTTGGTAAAAATCATAATAAAGCTACTATTGATACGTTATTACTAAATAATAACAGAAATTTAAGAATTAAAATACGACAATAGAAAATACAAATATATTGTACAATTCGTAGGCCTTAGGAATTTAGGTATTAGGTATTTTATAAGTTTTTTGAACATTTATATCTGTATTGAAAGGAGATAGAGATAAAGACAGTAAGAAGTGTTACTTGTCAACTCAAAGTTTGGACTTCTCCATTAAAAACTTGCATACAAAATGTATAGAGTCCTTTTCTTCTTTTAAAAAACAATCTTTTTGATTTTGATCATAACCATTGATCCCAATTTTGATACAAACAAGACAATCAACCAAAATCGTAGTTTAATTTTATTGCAAACAATAAACATTCACTCCTCTTACAATAGCCTTAAGTTCAGCTTGAATACGTATTCACAATCTTCAAGCAATGATCTATCATTTTCGAATGGGTCTTCGGCAAAAACTCTTAAAATGTATTTAAAAAAAAGGAAGCAATGAAACGACTTTAATATTTACACATTTCGTTCGTTGAGCACGTCGCTTTTGCAGCAAAAAAACACAAGACTCGGCGTGCTCCCTCAGATTGCTAAAATTGTTATCTAAAATCGTTTTTGACTGTCGTATTAGTTTAGAGATAAGCTGTACCTGGCCGAATTTAAAACTTAAATATGGCATCTTAATAAGTCTGTGGTATTTGCTGCTGCTGTTTTTTGTAAGTCCTAACCAATTATAAAAAAAAACATTACATACAAATTTTTGAGGGCTAACAGTTGGCGTGAAATCGGTGTCGAGGAACAGCTGGCACACCCAACCAAGTGCTGATCCTCAAGAGTAATTGTCACGCCTCACAAAATGTCTTTGGCTTGCGCTTCTAAATCGAATCACATGGGAAGATCGTTCGTTATGCTATGTATTATGTATATATTGTGTGCGTTTTTATAGGCTTTAGCTTTGGTTGGCAGCGTTAAGTACTTTTTTTTTTGGGGCGGGGGACGGGAAGACTACAAATAGTTTAGTTGCTCTTTTTAACATCTTTGCTATCGCCGTCCTTGGCCTGCCCGCGGCCCAGGATCTTGGCCAGACTATCCCAGATTCCGCCGAAAAAGATGGCACAGCAAAGGTTCTCCAATGGCAGGAAGGGATCATGGATGCCCAGCAGGATGGAAGACAGCTTAAAGTAGACCAGGAATATAACGATGCCGAAGTAAACCAGTGCATGTGGTGCTGAGATCCAGTCGGTCTTTTTGTCCAGCACAAAGATGATCGAGGCCAACAGGGAAGCCTTGGTGTAGCTATATTGATACAAAATATTAATTTACAATAAAACTCTTAGGTGAACCCCAAATGATATTTACAAGCTTGGCTGCATGAATTCCATGGCTGTTGGAGTCCATGCTCCTCGGATAAGGCGTTCGATCAGCTTGGTGAATCCCGCTCCGTTGCCTTTCAAAGTACCGATGATGATCATGATTATCCATGCATTCGGATACAGCTTGGCCGCATGCCCCACTCCGTCATAGACTTTCTTTGCCCTGTAGATCTCCTTCATGGCACTGGCAACAATCTTGACGGGAAGGAACTTGGCCACCTTGTAACCGATATCAAATGGCGTGTAGAAGACTACGTACCTGTCCAAGGATTAATATTTAGTTCGAAGTGGATTATAAAAAGCATTAAATCACTTACCACACAGCTGTGCCCACAAGGAGCTGACCTGTGTTCTTCAACGGAGCCAATATAGGCTCGCCCAGCAATCCGTTGGCCACCATACCGCCGGCAAAGATCACCAGCATGGTGGAGAGCCAGCAGGCGAGCGGATGCTTCCGCGAAAATGCCTGGGCATTGGCGCCCAAGTCCTCACGCACGGCCAGCGCGGCAAGTAGACTGTGAGCGATGTCGAAGAACGGAAACATTTTCAGCTTGATGACCTGATTGGCCACATCCAAAAATGCTTCCGGGTCCATGATCACAGCCGATCTTGTGTCCTGCCTTCACGGATGATAATCTGTAAGAGGTAATTAATAGGATTTTAAATATTATTCCTAATATACATATATTCTATTTCCAGGTATTAAAAATGGTTTGAAAAGCTTTAAAGTTTCAAAACGACAATTATTTTCCAAAATTCTTATAAAAAATATTTTATAAACTTTATTTTTTAAACCCGTTCATCTTTTTTCTCCACTATTACTTATTATATTTGAATTATTATGATGCTCTTAATTGAGCGTAATTCCATATTAATATATTTATATATTTTGTGTAAATTAGCAAGTCCACATTTCTTAATTAAGCACTCATATGATTCGTTGAATGTTACATAACTGAAAAGTAAGAACTCGTATTCTAATATACTTGTAATTTCAGGGTTATTAACCACAAGATATGGTTATATAGCGGATGTAACAGGTTCTTTAAGGCACTCTCTTACATTCCCAAGAATATTGTCGTATTGGCCGGTTGATTTTCAAATGCAATTGATGCTGTTTTTGAACTGCAGTCAGTGCACGGATGCAGAGGATGTGATGTACAAGTTGTCAGATTGGTGTGTTCATGTAGAAGAAACATACAAAAAAAATTTCGAATAAAAATTGCGCTGTTTTTGCCGCACCTCCAAAAATAAATTTCACCATGAGGGCTGTTAAAAGAAGCGCGCCGGGTCGGACCTGACATATATGTACATATATACATAAGTACGATTGTTTATATCAACAATGGTGCTCAAAATAATAGCACTTAGAATCTGAACTTTTGAGTTTCCCCACGTTTTATTGCCCTTTTTTATTTGATTACTACGAAACAGGGGAAAGTAATTGCTTTTGATCTTATAAAGTGGTCAGTCTCATAAACAGAATTTTGCCTTTTTCTATATAAAGTACATCCGGTTTTCTTCTACTTTGAATATTATTTACAAAAATTATCGTTTCAAAATCCATATGTAATCAATATTTAATCAATGCTATTTGTTTTTCATATGACTTTTATAAGGTTTTCTGTAATAGTCAAGAGATTAATAATCTAAATTCATAAAATTAGCGTGGTCCTCTCAAAGGTAAATAAACCAAACCGAAAAAAATAAATATTTTTATGGAAAATCTATAGGAAAGCTTAAGGATTTAAAAAGTAACAATAAGAGCAAGTGCATTAGAGTTTATAGACAAATTTAAAGAAACCTGTTCAATAGTAGTCTAATTACTTGTCTAATCTAATCAAATAGAAGCTCTAAAATAGTCAAATGACTAAACTTAATGTTGCACAATCGTTTAGAAGAAGGGTAATGACCGGAGTTTTAGGTTTACAGTGTCTGGTTGGTTTACAAATATTTGTTTATCTAGACGAGCTACTTGAATTATTAGTGTATTTGATGGATCTATTTTTCAGTGCTAATATTTTAGCCACAGCTGTGTTTATTATGTACATATACTATATATTGCCTGCCTCCTGGCTATTTTTGAGCGGCGTGAATTGGAAGAGATTTGTCGGCGGTACACACACAATATGTATGTACAGGATGACAGAAACTATGTGTACATAAATCAATTCTCTTTTACAAAAGTAAGAAGTTATCAGATAGTTCTTCGCATCCAGGCGAAACACACGCGTGTAAATAAATAAAATACAATAAATAAATATATTGAAATAAGCAACTAATTACCTACGTCTAACACGCGAGCAACGGATAGCGGATAGCAGAGTGCAGCACGAACACTGGGAGACTGGGCACGATATTAGATTATATGGCGGTTGCTCTCGAGAACCTGATATATATTTAGAATGTCCGACTTCTTAGAGAACCAAAACTCTCGCGAGCGAAGTTTCATTATCGTATCTTTCGTATCTTTCAAACTCAACGGATAAAGATTGCCCGCGTATGTTGCACTTATATTCATCGATCAATGAACAGTCTTAAGTAAGCATCTCTCCTGGTGGTTATTTTCAGTTATTATTAGGATTAAACTGTTTACACCCAATGTCTTCTTACATAAATAATTTGATTGCGGCTAGACGTAAACAAACTGATAAAAGCTTCTCAAAGCTAAACCAAGGATTAAGTGTGCCCGTCCAATCTTTCTAATTTCATTTACAGGGACCTAAAAATGTACAATGTCCACTGTATCGTAACAAAAATATATTTAATATATTTATTCTTAAAATATTACCTAAAAACACAAATTTTGAACAAATTTTTATCAGATCTGTTTTATAACTTATATCAAAAATCTACAAATAAAGTCGTTCACTATCCCTGGATGCCCTTAATATCATATATCGATAGTTTTCATCAAAGAGTGTGAATGCTGTGAAGTAACAGTGTTGTGACCGATAGAAAAGAGAAAGCTATTATTGAGTTTACTGGGTTTTTTAACACTGGTTAGTTCGAGTTTTTGTTTATTCGATATATACATCATGCGTTCGGTCCTTAAACAAATAAACTAATGTAATGTGAAGTTTGTAATTATTGCCAATCCACACCCCGTCCATTCGATGTTGGATGTTCCCACGGCAAAATAACAAAACAAAACCACAGCTCAATAGAAATCCAAGAGCTGAGAATCTCAGACCATATATCACGGATTTATACGGTTCATTATAAAAAACCCACTCCACATACGCGATAGTATATATTTGTATATACTTATATACTTGGCTTAAGCAAATGCTATATTTGCACAAAACCTTGTGATATTAAGGTCAAGATTTGAGGAGAAAAGGTGAGAGCAATTCAGGTTTTGTTTTGTGATTTTAAATAAGAAGTCTAATTTTTGTTTTAAACCTACTAACACAAAGTCATGTTTGGTTATACTACTACTTGTTTGTCACCCAAAAAGTATGTGTCTGTATGTATGTATATATATATATAGCAAGGTAAATGTGCGTGTTGTTTTGAATCTCGGCTTTTTTATGTATGTGTTGGTTAAACCACTTTTTTATATTCAAGTCGTCGCGATGCGCATATATGTATTTGAACATATATAACGTAATCCCAGCAACAAATTCCAATTGTGAAAATACCATTTCAGGCGAATGTGGAGAGTTATTTGTGCCGCACAATGTCTTCGTTCACTAGTGCCAATGTGTCAATAGTCTCCACTGTCAACAGTTATTCTTCCAAGTTGTTTGCACGTCACTACTATCAGATTGTTTGCTTGCCATGATAAATATTTACTCCTTCAATATTGTTCTTAATTGAGGAATAAGAATGTTTATTTATGTTCTCGTGTATTCAAACCTATGAAGTGTGCTGAAGGTTATAAATAAGCAACAACAAAAAGGATTTCTGTGCAGAAAGGTTATCAATTCATTAGTTTCTAAACTTAGTGTGCCGATATTTTCATGTCAGTGTCATTTGTGAAGACTTCAGTAAAACTACACTTTCATAAAAAACAAAAGCAAGTGTACTTTTACAATTTAATTTCTGAATTTAGTATACTGAATTTCAGATGGCTTCCAATTCGACGAAGAAAAGCAAATCCTCTGGTATGCGCATATTGTGGATACCAGGTCGAAAGTCCCATCCAAAGGGTCGATTTAGTGCTACGAATAAGCAGATTTCTTATACAGGACCACAAAAAAAGAGCGAAGTGTGGTCTTTGGGAGGCAGCAAGGCACAGTCCGAGCTGATTGACTTGTAAGTAAGGTGCAAATTGTGATTAAAAAAGCACAAAACAGTTTTAATTTTATAAACAATTCTTAATTAAAAACTTATACCTAACCGTTAAATCAATAAGATATCTTAAGCTACATATATGATATGGGGTATACAGAAATAATTATGAATTATATTTTAGTCCCTCTCCCGATCTATCCGGCAATCCGCCATCACCGTCCCTCAGCATTGTGGCCACATGTTCGATGGTTCAAGGTGCTTCAACCAGTGACAGAACATCCTCTGATGATCTGGCCATCGTTTCAGACACTGCCACTTTACCAGCCACACCCGTGAGCACCAACTCACCAATCCTGAATAGTCCACTTTCTGATACTGGATCAGCATCCACACGAGTTATGACTTCACCCAATGTTATTACCACCGTAGTAATACAGGACTTGGTATATTGTTTTACCCCTCTTAAATGGATTGAATTTAATCAGTATCTTGTTTTAGCACAATTTTGTGAGCCCTGAGGAGTTGCCCAAAGTACCAGCTTTGACAGCACAGGATACCGAGGTGGTGCTAAATAGTTCTTCGGGAACTACTGCTTCTATTGCAACGACATCCTCGTCAATGGTCAATCATAAGCCGGGATCATCGCCCCCGGCTTCACATTCCCAGCAAACAACGCCACAAAAGAGTAGATATAAGAATCACAACAATAATCAGGTAATAGACTTAAATATCATCTATTAGCTTATGATGTTAACACAATTTCTACTTGAATAGGAGGATATCAATTCGATCGAAAGCATTTCCAGTTTTCCGAGGTTTCAGAAAAACACCACCGACTTCGATTGGATCGATGATATGGTGCAACAGAGAAATTGCAGTGAAATGATGCATAAAAATAAACGAAAGAAGTCTAAGAAAGTCGATAGTCTGGAAGCCGATCAATTGGATGGGAAAATCTTTGGCTACGACAATGACAAGGCTAAATTGAATGGCAAAGATGATGATAATGATGAAAAGGTCGTCAAGTGCTTGTACTACTCTTTAATGTGCTGCGACTGTACTATATCTTGAATGGATCGTAAGCCTACAAACGAATCCACGTCCATGTAAAATACCTCTCAGCCACCTATGTAAAAACAAATATATATATATATATATCTTCGATTTTTGTATACTTTAGAATACGCCGCAACATATAAGACAGAAGAAGTAAACAGAAGTATTAACGAATTTATAATAATTTACATACATGGAACTAACATTATGAACATTCGAATAAATGTCAAAATCCAAATCCAAGCTACAATAATATTTTGTAACGTTGTCTCGATTTAAAATTGAATGAGTGATCGAAGTGTATATTGAATATGTACATAGATATTTTCTATTTTTGTAAATAAAATATTTTCTACCGGAACTTTATATTAAACTGGAAAATAAAGACATTCTTTGAGGTCGACTTCCTGAATATCATTGTTTATTCTATAATTTTTTTTTAAATAACCAACAAAAGAGATATATCTATCTCTCTCATTTTCATTAACAAAATAATCGGTTCACATCTTTAAAAAGTGTTTGTATTTATTAAAAAATGTATTAAACTAAAAACAATAATTCCTAAGACTAATTTCATTTTGTTTTTATCAAAAGCGATATTGTTTTGTTTTATTTTGTTCGTTTTGCCAATAATTTGATCGAAATTTATTTTGGTGTTCATTATCTAAACCTTTTTTGTTTTTAATCTTCCCTTTAAAATAGAAAAGATATTATTGGCTGGAACAATAAAAAAAGACACTGTCATTGTTCAACTTGACATAACATTTTTCATAAAAATTTAATACAAACATTAAATTTACAAATATATATATAAAAACAATTCACAATCACATATAAATTTTTATCATTTTCAGATGTTAAATATTTCGATTCGCTATATTCCTCTCAAAGCAAGGTTACAATTTACTAGTCCAGAGCAAGAAAGCCAAGATCAAAATTCTTGTTGGTACAATTATGTTCGCTGTCGCGTGTTGTCCATTGATCGTTAACAATCAATCAGCTACGGATGTTTGTACGGGATGTTGTTGCTGTTGACGGATTTCTTTCCGTATTCATATTATAATGAACAATATCATCATTATCATTATCATCATTACCAACGTTCTCATTGCTCCTTCGTGTCTGGGACTCTGCTTTCTGCGCTCCTCCTTTGCAGTGAAACTCGATCGCATCAATATCATTTGTACTCTCAATGTAAAATTCGTGTCCATGATCTTTGCCATTGCGATCGTAAACAATCCTGTTTATATCTGTGCCCACGTTACCATCCATCTCATCCTCGGTATTATCACCATCTGTTTCATCGTCCTCGCCAATATTAAAAATGAATCTTGCATCGCTGGTGGGCTTAGCGGACAAGTTCTTTCGTCTGCTCGACGATGTGTTTGCTATTTTCCTATATCGTACTGAATTTCTAGATACGTGGTTGCTATTGCGCTGCAGGGACAATAAAATAAGTAAATTATCGTTGCAATTAGCAAGTTGCCAATTTGTTTCTTACCTGTAAAACAGCAAAGATAATGGAGAATATCGTTATAATCAAGAGGCATATGGCCACAGCAATAGCTGTGATCGCCGTTAGCGGTGAGTCCAGTCGAAGGACGAACTCCCTGCTGTTACCATCACTCTCAAATGATCCATGCACAGATTCGCTGCTTTTGTAAGCACTTCCGGTGCCGATAACAGTGCGTCTTTTGCCACCCGTCGACGTGGCCTTGCACTCGCCTGTAAGTAAGACATTTTATATAATTTATATATAGATATTATTAAGAACCGATTAAAAGCTTACCGGTTTCTCCATCACAGTTGCAGCAGGGTGCCGACAAGGACTTCTTGACGATCGTCAGATTGTTACAGCACGCTACACACTGGCTATTAAGCTGGTCCAAGTGGAAAGGCGGAGCACAAGCTTTGCAGGAGAATTGGCCGGGACCGAAGCAGGAGCGGCAAGAATCGTGACAAGTCTTGCATGTGGCCGTTGTTGTATCATAATACTGTGAGCTTAGACACTCCATACACAGACCACCATCAAGCATCGAGTGTGGCGGACACGAGGTACAGGCCAATGGACCAGCATCTTAATATGAAAACAGGAAAGTACATTAGACTTATAATAATAAATGGTTTGAGTATTATAGCTTACCATTGCATGTCTTGCAGTAATGATGACACTTCTGACATCCAAAGTCAGACTTGTAAAAGCCTTCGGGGCACTCGGGATGGCATTCACCGGCGGCCAGTTGCCATCCTGCCGGGCACTGGACGCACTGATTTCGTCTTGGACCGCTGCAAGTGTGACAGCTTAAATAACATTTGGCGCAAATGCCACGATCGCTGTAGTAACTGGAAAGAGAATATACGGCACATATTAGGTTTATGTTAGACGACCATGTAGGATTAATAGCTTACCCATCGGCACAGGTGGTGCGGCATTCGCCGTTTTGCAGTTCCAGACCCTTGGAACAATTACTGCAATTCGTCCGCGAGACGCACTGGCTACATGTGTGCAGGCATGGTGAGCAAACGGAGCCCGCTTCCATGAAAAAGCCCTCACGACAGCCACTCACACACCGACTCTGTTCTAGCAGTCGACTCGATGGGCAAGACATGCAATTCGTCTCTGCCGGTCCATTGCAACTCCCGCAGGAGGCGTGGCACGGGCTACACTGCCCATCGATCTGGCTGAAGAATTCAGCTGTTGAAAGACAAACAATTAAATCAAATTAAGTTATAGATTTCTAAATCGATTGCAAGTATACTAGAAAAACCCCTTAGCCCTCTTATGTTTTCTATTCATGAGACGAAAGAGAACTGGAAAAACAATACCTTTTCCAATCTAACGGACAACTCCCTCATACATTTTATAGATCAGAATTTCTGATAACAACTATAATACTGATCTATAATACCAAGCAAGGGTAAAATAATGAATTCAGTGCATAGCCTCTTTCAGGTTGCTTACATTCACTGCAGCCCTCACTCCCGGCCACGATGCACTTGTCTCTCTTATTCAGCGTCCAGTTTTGAAGGCACTCGGAACAGACTCCATTGCTGGTGCAGGTCTTACATCCCTCCTGGCAGGGCATGCACTCCAGACGTTTTTTGTCGGCATAGAATCCATCTGGACAGCTAATAAGGCATTTGTTTTGCCAGGCATATCGACTCGAACGGCACGTAATGCAGTTTTGGTCCGTTGGGCCATTGCAGGTGGCACAAGTCGAGTGGCAGAAGGCACATCTACCGGATAGCATTCGTTAGTACTATATTTTGATTAAAGATTGATTTATAAACTCACTTGTTATCCTCCGTTTCGTATGTGTCCAAAGGACAGGCCGAGTAACATTTGTGCTCATGCATAACCAAATGGTGATCACAGCTAGTACAGTACTCGGGATGGTCCTGGCACGAGGCACAGTTGGGCTCGCAGGGAACGCAGGTTCTATTCCTGCTATCTGTTTTGAAGGTAAGAAAAAATTATGATCGCATACAATATCAAAAATAGGAGTCTTTATCTAAAATTACTTTCAAAATATCCATCCGGGCAAAATTGCAGGCATACGGCGAGATCGATGACGTGCAAGTGGGCTGGGGCACATGTCAGACAGCTGTCGGGTCCGGCGCCAGCGCACGTTTCGCAAGTGTCGTGACATGGCCAGCAGATTCCAACTTGATTTGGGAAGGAACGCGGAGGACAGCGACTTACACAAGTACTGTAAACGGAAAACCACTTAGTCTGATACTTCTAATCACTATACAATTTCGTATCTTACTTGTCCAAGCGGTAGTGACTGCAGGCTACACACTGAGTGGGCCCACGACCATAGCAACCCGAGGAGTCGCACTCGGCATCGCAAGAGTGCAGGATCTTCTTGTCCCCATCTCTCGTATCAGGTGCAGCTATCAGTTGAGCAGCGGAAGCGGTAAAACCAACGGATTCAGCGGATGAGCCGGAAGCTATCGGAACGGTCACGTTCTGACCGTCAAGAGTAGCTGTTGCTGGCTCCGGATTAGAACCAGCGCTGCTAAAGATATTCTGATAATTGAGGTAACCAGCAAAGCTATCCGTGTTGAAGTTTCCACCCTCGTTGGCCGGCTGACCAATGTTCGAAGCTGACGGGATAAGGAATGGATTGGAGCCAATAGGGCTTCGTAGCTGGGGACTGCTGTTTAATAACTCCGACTTGAGACGCATAGGTTGAGTTTTGGTGCCATAAAATATTAGCTGCCATTTTGAAAGGATGCCCGGTTGATTGACACGCCGTCGCCCGCCGTTGATCACCTGCAGGGTCCAGCGGCCCTCTGCCTTTTCGCCCCAGAAGTGAACACTGAGGAATGGCCAGTCATCGAAATTGGACTTGACAATGTCACGCGGCCGTTCGAACAGCAATGTACTGGTAGTGCCCATCGGTGAGGTGAGCAGAATGCGTAGATTTCCACGAGGGAAAAACCGCAGAGTTATCCGACATTGTACATGTTCCAGATAGCGCACTTCGTTGAGTGTACCCGCACATCCATTCACATCCATATGCGTGGCCAATGTATACCCATATGTGCCATCAATCTTACGATCCTCATTGTTTTCCCGCGACTTGCAGATGTGCTGCGGCGGCACCGTTGTCCATTGCTCTGCTAGCGACACCATTGCTCCGGCATCCATCAATCCGTATCCAAACTTGTGGCTGTACTTTCGCTTCACACCGTTCAGCGTCCAACCGTTCTCCTTCTCCAATGGCGCTGGTCTTGATGTATATACCACCAAATACTGCATATCACGCCAAGTAAGTTCTGGATTTGCCTCTAGCGCAAGGGCACAGATGCCGGCTGCCAGTGGTGCCGATGCCGATGTACCCGTATGTTCCACTGTGCAAATGTGATCCGGTCTCAGGCTGCCGTCCATGTCAACAGTGGCAACGCTCTTATCATGACCCGGCGTTCCAGAACTGTAGGTTGTTGCCAGTGTGGAAGAGCACTCCTCCAAGTACCAAGGCTTAAAACTGTAACGAAAGAAAAAATTAAATTAGAACTATATCTTGGTATGTAATTCTAAAAACTTACCCCGCCTGAGTTGCACTTGAAATTGATAGGGTAAAGATCGAATTGGTGTAGCCATCACAGTTGCAGGAGTCCGTGTAGCGTCCACCATTGCCAGAGGCCCACACAAAAATGGATCCCTTGCCCTGTCGTCCGCTGGTCACTCCATAGATGAAAGCTCGCCGAGCCAACGGCCCAGGGCCATCAACAGTGGAACCATCATCTTCCGGTCCCCAAGAGGCGCTGTATATATCGATGTGCGCCGGATTAAGACTTAAGGCCTGGGCCTCTACCACATCATTGACTTTTCCGTCTAACATTCGGACACCTAATTAAAAAAGAATTTTATAGATATAAAATTGATAACAAACAAACTAACTTACCACCAATGCTGGCATTGTAGGCAACTCCAACTCCACAATAGTTATTAAAAGCCACAGCGGCCACTTCGCCGGCACATCTGGTTCCGTGTTTGTTGTCACCATTATCCTGGGGCGTAGGATCCGAATCATTGCCATTGATGTCGAATGAGGCATCTGGATCCTGTTTTATTTGCATTTTTTTATTATAAAAACGTGTACTAATTTTCAAATGCGATATACTTACATAGTTCTGGGCAAGATCTGGATGATTTGTCTGAATGCCATCGTCCAAAATGGACACGACCACGCCCTTGCCAGTGTAACCCTTTTGCCATGCTGGTCCGACATTCATGTCTAAGCCATCCTTGGCACCGCCATTCTACAGAACAAATTGTATGGAAGATTTTATAATTATTAAAAAGATTTTGGTTTTACAACATTGAAATCCAAAAATAAATGATAGGATTTAGTTAGATTATGAAGTAGTTAACTTTCAAGTATTTTCAATAGATTTATTTATTTTTAGATGAAAAAGTTAATGTTTGATAATGGGACTATAAAATATATGGATTTTATGAAGCATGCATTTAAGTGAGAGATGATTACATACTTTACTCACCAGATACCACTGTTCCTTAAACAACGGATCCGGAAATATAAAATGTGAGCTAACATCCCGGTATTCCATGCGTGGCGAGTGCGAGGATAACGAAATTGATTCTGGGGAGAATGAAAGATGCGGATTCGGATCGACAGCGTAGCCGGGTTGGCGTAAAAGATTATACGGACTGTAGGTGGGTAAGCCCTGGTATGGTCCATCTCTCTTCCGTCGCACCTTTTCATGCTGCTGCTCCATCCATTTTACCTACAATTTAATCATGTTTGTTATTAAACTTTTTATAGATATCCTTAGTGATTCTTACTTACCTCGTTCTCTGATCTAAGAGCTCCCTGATGCTTGTGGCTGGAACGCAGCGAGCGCTTTGACACGTGATGGTGCTGGAATAGGTAGTAATTGTCGAGCGATCCAATCTAAAAAGAGATCGTTTTGACATGATTAGTAGGTCTATCATGTTCTTTATTGGTTGCGAGTACTACCAGATAACAAATGGGGTAATTAATCATGTATTAATAGAGTAATACTATATATGTACGAGTGTATACAGATATCGCAACAAATAGCTTTTGAACTGATGGAACCCTCTTCTGGGAATACATTTATAATAATGGAGGATTATAGAACTCGACATAATAGCAGTTGTTGACGTTGTATCAAATCAAATAACTTTTTAAAGGATTTAATTTAAAAGTTAGCTGGTAGATATCCTTACCTGTCCCTTGTTAATAAAACCATGTTTGGAAGCTATGACATCGGCCACATGCTTGCCAGCTGGAATGTTAACGGCGAACTCGTTCGTGTATATCGCCTCCTCTGGAATATTGAAGGCGCCAAACATATCGACCCCGTCGAAGTCGAGGCTATTTGACTGCTGTTGTAGAAGCGGGTCAACATTTTTATCTTTCGCACTGGCATTTGTGTGAGTATTTTCATAGTTATAATCATATTTGCCACCGCCACTAATGGCCTGTGCTTGACCTGCTCTTCCACCTCCCGGGCTTGATTCGACCTTGGTGGTACTATGGAGCTTTTTATCATTAACATCAACATGATCATCATCTGTTGATAGGCCCGGGGTTCTACTATTTTGCGACGCAGACATATCATATAATGTTGTCGCGGTCGTGTTGCTGAGTATTCCGGCATAATTCTGAGTTTCACCCTTACTACTCCTTAGAGCACAACTAGTATTTGGGCTTAGGATTACTAAAAATAATACAAAATATATACAGCTCTGTGCCATTCGGTTAATTGTACATAAATAGATTCTATTGAGTTTTGCCGTTGCCGTTTCTGTTGCTGTTGTTGTCGTTCCAGGGTCATGGACATGGATTTGCAGTATCTTTCGCCGTCCAATCTTTCGATACGTTGGCTCTTCGAGAGATTTTGGGCCTTCGCTGCAGGAAGGTCGTTTCATCTTCAAGGCGGACCATTTTTCTTGATCTGTGATCTGTGGCGTGAATCCTATGCTACCGACGGTACCACTACTGGATGCCGTATTTGACATATTTAACTAACTTTAGCTAATATTATTAAGGTAATTTGCTTCTCCCGAAGAGTCTTTTTGCGACGTGTCCCTTTCCTGTTGTCGTACTCATGAATCTATCTTTTGAGTCTGGTACCTGACGTATCTGCTGCAAACAGAACAAGAAAATACTTTACTTGTAGATTGGTAATTGTGTTTTTGAGATAACCATATATACATATATATATATATATATGTATATATATCTAGCCTTGGACCGGTTAAACGTGGGGTTGTTGTTCTTATATAATAAAGATGCCAAAAGTGAATCATATTTCTGTGGTACTTTTTAAAGCTTGTGCTTATTTATTAATGAGGTGCCTTTGGCAATGTTCCATTGTTCGTGGGATGACACAACAGAATACTCTGCGGGGGGAATCACGGTGAAGTGTTAACAATGAGTAAGCCAATCAGCAGATACTATATCCACAAATCGTTAGTTTTAATTGTTGTTATCGGAAACTCACCAAAACCAACTGGTAAAACATGCAATATGAAAATTCCCATTTTAAATTTATTTGAAATCAAGACTTTTGTTTACAAAGAATCCAAATGGATCAAATTGCTTTTAAAAAGCATTCCTAAATATTTATTTTCAGTATTGTTATGAATTGTTTATTGGAAATACTGTTTTCCTTCCTTACGAAATTGTTTGTTTATATAAAATCTTAACTCGAAATCAAGGAGCTCCCCCAAGAAACTGAAATCTCCAAAGAAAATGTTTTATAATCAAGCTAATTGTATATTCCTTGTGCGTTTCCAATTAGAAAATAATGTATGCATGCACACGACATTTATTGTACACATACATATGTATATATAATCATATTATCAAAGTATAAATTTGTGCACGCGCTTAAAAACTTAATGTCTGCATACATATGTTTACCAAATGATATGCACATAGGATATGCAGTTATGTGCAGTATACATTACGTAGCTAGACACATATGAAACATAAGAAGGCTATAAAAATCATGGTACGGTTTCATATCAACAGTATCATATGTAGTATGTACATCGATTCCGGTTTCTGTTTTACTGTGCCATTCGTTTATAAACCATTTCTTTGTATGTATTAAAGTTTGCCGAATATGCACGTCGGTGTGTTAAAGTACTTATGTACATATACATATACGTATATTCATAAGTATGTTTGCAAGTTCAGCTTGAAAATCTCCTATTTTGTTTATCTCTCTCACTCTATTTGAATTTGCCACATGTTTATAAAATCACACATCTCCATTTAATTATAGTAATTTCGCACTGTGTGCAGACGACTATTAGCACAATAAAAGCAACAACAATTAAGCCACCAAGCCAACTTATATTTTGTATGTGCGCGTGAAAGTATACATATACATATGTATTTGATGCGCCTGACAATCTATGCATGTATGTATATGTATGGCTTTATACACATTCGCAACTTTATGCGTAAGAGTTGCCATTTCTATAGTACACATACAAACAAACATATATACAGTGCTATGAAATCACGTAATGCAAATGCATTTGTATGCTCTCTTCTTACATACATCACTATGCAACAAAAATGTAATCCAAAGTATTTGTTAAACGTTACAAATACATAGGTATATCTTATTTAAAGTCACATTTTGAAACAAATCACAGAATTGCAGACACACTTTAAGCTTCCTTTTATTGTTTGTTAATCAAAGCAAAGGCAATTGAAACGACTGAAAACTGAAACTGAGACTAAAACTTTGGAATCGTCGAATCGAATCGAAAGAGAACGCGTGCTTACCATGCGTACATATAATATAGGAACTAGCCGAAAGCCCAAATATAAAAAAAACCGAAAGACCAAAAAGCCGACCGAATGAACAAACGACGCAACCTCGACTGCCTGCGCTCCAGCTTAAACTGAACTTTATTTTGAAGTTAATACATATAGCCAACGTTGGTTGTTTCTTTCTCGTTGGATTTGTGCTAACCGCATACACAAACACACGCCATCTACATTCGTATTTTTACGTACGTACATATATACACAGTCGTGCAATCAAACATTCGCATGTACATACATACGTAATGTTTATGCATCAAAGACCTACAGAAAGCACAGCTTTTGGAGCTTTCAAAACAAAATGCAAAACATAACACGCAACTGTGCTGTAACGAAGAAAAAAAAAGAAAAAACAAAATATCAAGTATTACGTACGCACGCATACAGACGTGCACATTTCATACACCCCATCCAAAGATAAATACATATTTAAGACGTGTTTCGATAGGAAACTGAAACTTTCGTGCAAGCCAAGTACATACATACATACCAACCGATGGAAGCTTGACCGTACATACTGCTTATGTATGTGCGTCTGTATGTACGTGCGAAGACGCTCTCTAAGCGCTGACATTCAAACAACAGATAACATTTAGCGGCAGAGCAAGGTTTTCGTTGTTATTCGGCTAACCGAGATTAGCGTTTCCATTTTCCGCTTTTATATGACCTGGAAAAAAGCAAATGAATCCAGTCGAGAAAAAAAAACAAATCCCTCTAATAAATACATACAGATGCATTCAGTTTGTTTGTATGTATGTTAAAGATTTTGGCAAATCCCAAAATTATGAACATACATATGTACATATGTATGTTTGGTAAGCCCCGGTGTCCACACATCTACATAAATACATATAAACATACAGATGTGAAGGCAAAAGAGCCGCTTTTAAAAATCGGCTTTACCATTAAACAATTATTCGCGGTTAGGACAGGTTATGGTTGTTTCCAATGGGAAGTAATACACAATTTTTAAGTAGCCACAAATTGGAAGTACACTGAGCTAAAAAATGCTTACATTTTTAAAAGAAGCTAGTTTAAGGTATTCGTAGTTTTAGCTTCAGCTTGAGATTTGAATATTCATATTAGCTTTAACGGGTGATTCCTTTTACCATTAACCATGCTTCCTAACAAGAACCATTAAATCAATCAACAGCATTATGTTTTATATGATTTTTTTTAATATTATTTGTTTCCGATTTTATATAAGTTTTCTTTTTATAATTGTCAAAAATGATAACAATTTTTGTATTAAACAATTCATGTAATATCTGCTCCAATACGAAAGCCATTATATCCGAAGATTGTAAAACAGGAAAGGTGGCATCCGGAGAAAGGCCAAGTATATCGTCAATGCGTTTGATCTCCTGCAAACAAAATTGGATTAGTCAAAAATTCTAGAATGGTTTGATTTTAAAAATGCAGCTAATTTGAGGGAAGGCTGCGAGAAACGAAAAGTCGGCACAAAACCCACGTTGAACGGTCGTCGGAAAAACAAACCAAGCAACGTTGATCGAACAATAGTAGTAGATCTTTTTAAGAAACACTTTTTGGCTTAAAAGTGTTGGTATAGATTTAAACATAGATTACCTGATAAATATTTAAGCGCTTTGCTGCCCCAGTCGATTGGACTTCATTTGCTAGCAAAAACACCATTATTGCGATCTTGAGAATATTATCTTAGTTTCGTTGAAAAAAATCAGCTTATTGCTGTCTGTCTTGACCCCAAGAATCCACATGCAATTAATTTTTGTGAAGAGTCTTCATCAGGGAAACAAAAGTTTTCATATCTCAATTTCGTCACTTAAAGTTCCAACATTGTTGACTTTCTATACAAAGAAGTATCTATGTTTTTAACATAGATCTTTTAAATGAACTGATTTCTTTCATAGATTTTGATTTCGGTACGTTTGTTTTCTAAAGTTTTTAACCTCAGTTTTAACACCTTTGCTAATAGGTTAAACCAATTGTAAAGCTAAAAGAAAATTTCTTAACCTAATTTTGAAATAAAATGCCATCTTCAGTGATTTATTCAATCTGATATTAATTAGGAAACTGAAACAATAGTTTCCAGTGAATTTCCAATCGGGTTTATGTTTTAACATGCTAAAAAAGGATATAGCTATTATGCCATATTACAAAATTCAAAAAGATATCCCAAAAGCACAAACAAAAACAACGAAGTATCGCTAATTGGAACCGATATTGTCTGCTGCCATTCAATATAACATTTTTTAATCTGTAAATAAGTGTTTTGCCCAGTTCTTTATTTATTTCGAAACATAAATTCGTATGTCTTTAGAAAATTGAAAGAAAATCTTACAATTTTCCTATCTTTGCGAATTTAATTTATTAAGTAAAGTTGACGACATGTTTTAACGTGTTGTAACTTGATAAAGGTAGATAATTTATGGTTCCATAAGGGTCTTAATTGAAAGTGGTTGTAATGTGAGTAATGGTGAATGAATTTTCTTCCCATTCTGATCAAAAGGCAACCTACAAAAAGTAAAGACTACTTTTGCTTAATTATGTAGCTGACATACCGTTTGATTAAACAAACAGATCTGAGAATTATTTGAGAATAAATCAATTCATGTACATGAATTTTACAGTGAAATGGGTATAATTATAATAAAATAATTGTATTATTTTTTGAAAATGTTTAAGGCGGAGTATCAAAGAACTTTGTCCGTAGAAAAGCTACGTATATAGGTGTATCGTTTCGACCCCTAATCTATCATTGACGCCATGAAAGAATTTATTCCAAAAATTATCGTTAACTTTGGTATTTGTTTAGAAGTTGAAATAATATTTGCATTCGCAAATTCTACACGAAATAGTGCAGTGTTCCACATTTAAAAGTGATTCCAACGTTATTGTAAATGCAAATACGATGCAAGTCATCACATTCATTAAATAAACCTGTAAAAAAAACTTGAATATGAAAATAATTAAATTATTAAGGCTGTAGAGGGGAGTAAATTAATAAAAATTTCAAAAGGGCAGGGTATTACCTTTTCCCATTCGCCATGGTATTGAAATATTCATCCTTCTCGGAACGCAAGATGTTGTTATCCCATTTTGTTCGTTATACACCTCAATCTAATTTCCCAAAAACCAATATATCATCTTCGATTTCATTCAAAATGTTGAATATTGAATTTGTTCCCCAATATTTTTATTCTTCTGTGTGACTTTTTACTGATTACGTATAATTCATATTATTCGTATAATATATTCGCATTTCCACCAAAAAAAAAAAAGCTTTTAGTTTGAGGCTAAGAATAAACCAAAAAAAATAAAGCTAAAGTAAAACTTTTTGGCATAATTGGATAGGTTTCCACAAAAAAAGAAACAAAATCAACATAGTCACAGATCATAGATAGACCTATCTTAAGTATATTATTTTACAGATTTGAACGCGTACGTATGTCCCCAGCGACTTACTTGAAATGCCCATAAAGTTTACAAAATAAAAATAAAATTTTAGAATAGAACGTAGAATGGCAAAGATTACAGTAGCGACTAAGTCTATAATACCCCCATATGTACAGTTTTCTTAAAGTTTAATAAGTTTATCACCTATTTTTATACCCCCGTATGTATGTAACAGGTATTATAAATCGTTTCCGACTATGAAAAGAATGTATATTCTTGATCAGTATCAGTAGCAGTAGCATCAGTAGCAGAGTTGACTTAGCAATGTCTGTCCGTATAAACATTGAGATCTCGGGGGAGATCTATAAGCCCTAGAAAATTGGGATATTGCATGTAGCGCAAGTTTCTTGCAAACTTTAAACATACCCACAAATTTAAATTATTTTTTGTTGACCTAACAACATTATTTATCAATTATTAAGAAACAAGGATTGTGAGGCCTTAAATATGCAGGGACACGTATGGTCTTAAAAAATGGATGGCGCTAGTAAAAATTCTACATTACATTACAGGAAGCGTACTGTTAGGGAATATACGAGTAATTTGAAATTGGTGGATAGAGTAATTCGTATCTGATAGTCGCGGCATCCGACTATAGAGATTTTGGTTAGAATTTAGAAAACACAATTGTCCAGGGACTCCAGAATCCATAATAATTAAAAATATATATTCCTGAATAAACAAAGAATATTGTGTCCATATTTGAAATAAATTTGAAAAAGACTGACTGTATCGTCAGTCAAGATAAATATTCCCTTAATAATTTTTAGGGTCATGGAATAAGAATAACTTATCCCAATAAAACAGAGTTAGCATACGGATAAATAAAATATGATTCCTTGATGTGTAGAAGTTTTTGACTTGAAGAAATTCCCTGTAAGGGCATAGAAATATTATTATAATTCCGAATTAAAAAAAGAAAGTCTATTTGAAGCCCCTATCGCCAGTCTAAACATTAAAAGTATAATTATTTTGTTACATTAATTTTATTTCCATTGCTAAACTTTGTGAAAGTGAAATTGTGCCAGCATTCAGTATAAAAAAAATGTTTAACATTTCAAGTTTTGTTTTTGGTTTGATGTTTATTTAATTGAAGGACTTTTTTCTATATACTTAGGTGTCATTTTTTTTTTACAAATAACAATTAATTGTTTGTTTTGTGGATTAGTTAAGGTTAAATTGACGAAACATTAGGGTGGGTATAGGTGTAAGACACAAAGAAGTGTTGGATCATTCTAGCCGGGAAACTATATATACGCGACGTTTTGATGTTTTGGAAAATGCTGGAAAAGTCTGTGAGTATCAGACCACATTTTATTAATGTACTGACACGATCTAAAAAGATCTTAAAATAAAGAAAAAACAATGTTTTAAATTTTATGAAAAAGGAGAATATAAATGATTTCCAAAACCAATTGAATATTAAACCCAAGTCACCTTATTTTTAAAATTTAATATTATGTGCAACTAACTTACAGTTTTTGCCAGATATCTTCAAGGCGTATAAAGCCCAGAGACTATTGCAAAGTATTAAAAATAAATGAAAATAAAATTTCAAATTAAAATGAAAAAAGGTATTGGGGAAAACATTTTCAGTTGGAATAGAAAGCTCTCAGAGTTTTTTGTAGTTTCGGCTTTATTTTCGCTTCAAAAATCTATTAATAGTATAAGTTCATTAATGACAGAGTGAGTTTTCTAAATTGCAATCTATAATTTAGACTGAAGAGATATTTAACCTACAATATTCTAAATTTCGACTACTTCTCATTTTTAGATTATAAGTTAATTTAAAAACAAAAATGAAAATTATATATGGGAAAGCGTAGAATATTGTCTGCATAACAGAAATTTCCATGTGTGCAAATCGAATGAGACTAATCCTATTGTAAATCCAGATTAGATAGAGCTTTTTATTCATCTGCTCATACGAAATACTTACCGTTATTCGACGTGTTATTTTTACTTTTTTCAAATAATGTTAGGTTTTCGCCTTTGAATTCAATTAGTCGATTAGTATAATTATAACTTGATATAGTTAATTTGAATGATAGATAAAAGAAAGAGTAATATTGCTGGAGAGTGTAGTCACCAAATACATAATCTAAAAATTATCGCTATGATTATATAAGATGTACGTAATGATTTGATATTTTTGTGCAAGTACTGCACTTCATAAACAATCATTTTTGTTTAAGGGATTTGGATAGTATAATATTTTTTTAGGGTTCATCCTTTTTGCATGCCATTACTTAGAGTTTCATAGTTGCTCTCACATTAAGACCGATAGACGAGTGATAGATAGCATTTGGCTAAATATTAAATCAAATCATATATAATATTTTTCTTTTTTGGGTTGCATTCGATTGGACGATCTCCGTAATTATGTTAGCGTATATATTTATTGTTAGCTCATAAACGAGCATAGTCAAAATGTGAAACGTAATCAATTGCTTTAGAGATTGCGTTTTTTTTTTTTTTGTTATTCATCCTTATCGATCCAGTGTCTAAAAACGTCGTCGTCCCCATGGGACATTATTTCCTCCGCCATTATTTCCACGTTGATTTCCGCCTTGGTTCATATTGTTAACCCCAAATTCAAAAGCGAAGGAGTCCTAGTCAAGCAATGAAATACAATTGTTCAATTGAGTGTTACATTAGCCATGTTTGGAACCCAATTCAAAAAGGGGGAAAAATGTTATCAATAATATGAGCCCACACATCTGATTAAATGTTAAATATAACTGTGAACCCATCGCAGTATCCCCACATAATATCCATTTATATATATATATATATATCCCCCAAAAACGAATAAATCCCTTCGTCCCGCTATATAGTATGAAAGATTCAAGAACGGATTTGACCTCCTTGCAAGCACGATAAAGCAGAATATATTAAATAAATATATTTGAATATGATTTGCAACTCAAAAATACTCAAAATACATACCAATATAGAACTGTCCCCAATCAACTGCCCCAAATGCATTCCAGATTTTAGGATATATATGTATAACCCCTATTTACATATACAGAATGGCTGATGAAAGCCGCTACCAGAAAATATAAATAACTTTTTTCTATTTAAGAATTCCGTTTGGTTTTTTTTAGATTGAAATGTAAATAGATTATGGATGGACGTTACGAGTAGTCCAAAGTTTTTGTTGAGAAAGAATATATACGCCATCCTTTGGCCAAGATCTTTTATGATCTTTTACCCTTTCCATTATAAGGTTCAAGTATAGACGAAGAAGTAAACTACCGCGTGTGTAGTTATTGCCGGAATAACTATTCCAAAGTATTAGCTTATCAGTTAAAATGACTAACAGCATACAGCCATCGCAGACAGTTAAAAAAATTTCCCAAAAAATGATGATTAGAAGACAAACTGTGCTTCCATTTCTTACTTTCATGAAGAAAGCTTCCACTTGACAAGAATCCAGAAAGATAAAAGATAGTAAAACTTCATACCTAGCCCCAGTTCATTATGGTAGAATTTTGACCACAAGTTCCCCAACCCGGATTCCCGTGACTTATTCTTTGGCGATAAGAAATAAGAAGTCTACAAATCAAAGCCAACCAATCTGAATGGTATAAATCAATCCAATTGGACAACGATTACGGATACTCCACTCCAGACGCTAGGTATACACTTGCAAATGTGCTTTATCACTTAAGAAACTCTAATTAATTTCGAACACTAAAAAAAGTTATTCGTCTTTCTTATTGTAGCAATATTCATCAGCCACTGTGTTATATGCATGAGAAGAGCGGCGGCAGCCCCTATGGTAAAAGTCTTATGTACTTTTTCTGTAGAAAAATAATATAGGTATGCTTTTTCCCGGCTTTATAATTTGTATACAGAAATGTATGCAAATAAAATTATGCATAAGTCTTGCCCTCAGAATAGAAAGAATCCTTTACAGATATGGTCCCCCCTTGTTTCTTTTTAAATTATTTGAATCTCTTCCAAACCCAAAAGTCTAATACAAGGAAAACTTGTTTTCTTTTTCTTTTTTAAGATCCTGAAGAATTCTCGGAGAAACAAATCTCATATTTTATGAAACATAGATATATGCATTGGGTTATACTTTTATGAAAGCGATAGACAGAAGCTCAACCACAAATCTAGTGGCTATTGAATCTTTCTTGATATGGACTTTAGGACTTGAACATACCTGTGCATTGGGACCGGAATTGTTTCCAATCATTGTGGAATTGTTGTTATTATTGCCTATTAAAATAGTAAAAATACAAAATAATCAAGTGAAAAATGATATTTCAAATATCTTACCTCTAAAAACTTCAAATGGTGAATTGCTGTTTCCACCGAAGTTGTCAAAACTGGAGTTGTTATTGCCACCATTGCCTCCACCGCTGCTGAAGCCTTCCTGCTGATCTAGCAACGAGTTAAGCTGCTGTGCCTGCATAAACAGAGTGTTCTCCTGCTGGCGACGAAGTAGGTCCTCCTCCTGACGATTCATGTGATTCTGCATCTCACCCTGATGGCGTCGCATTGTCTCCTCCTCGCGCTTGCGCATCTCCTCGACCTGCTTCTCGCGCATCTCCCACTCCAATTTCTTACGCTCGTTGTCCACCTCGCGCTTTCTCAACTCTGGAAAGGAATCACATGTAAGTATATTCAAGAAAAGATCTCAATTTTATTGGGATACTATTAACAGAATTTTACTGTTCATTATTTGAAAAGTCTAAATGGAAACCTTTTGGATAAATAAATAAATTACAGTGTGTGCAGTACCAACAGAATAGGCATAAATTATTTTCTGTTTCTTTGACTTTTCGGTTCTGTCTCAATAGTTTATTCACCAAGACGTTCGATCCACTCCATGTAAGATTTATGAGCCTACATTTTCAAATAATCAACGGAAATATCAAGAATTCTCTCTATCGTTGTGTAGCTTAAGCCTATTTAACAACTTTAAAATCGCTTTTATTACCATGACATACTAACCTTGACGCAAAAGTTCCGTTTCCTGTTCATAGCGAGCATACTCCATCTGCGCCTCTAACTTGTCTTCCTCCATTTTCAGCTCACGTTTCAGAGCATCCTGTTTGGTTTTGAAGAGATTGTGCAACTGCTTCCAGCGCGATCCATATTCATGCTCAAACGAGTTTTGATCGGCGAAACGCGGACCAATGCTTCGCTCCTGGTTGTAATCGGGCATCTTCTTGTTGAACGCCTTCTCCGGCAGACCATCATTGTCATCGTTCACCTCCATTGGATCAACAAAACACGGACGAAGAGAAGCCGTAAGGAAAAAGCATTTCTCATTGCACAATCGCAGACAAGCGCTGGCAGATGATTTCTTGGCAAACTCAACGATACCTTCGCCAGTGTGCTTGCCACGATCATCGACCGTAATGCTGGCCCTCTCGATGGGTCCAAAGATTTCAAAGGACTTGTACAGTAACTCATTAGACACGAACGGAGTCAGATTGCTCACTCGCACAATGGTAGCATTGGGCGCAAATCTTACCCTCAACTGGCGTCCCTTTCGTGTTGTTCCATCTAAGGCACGTTTGGCCTTCTCGGCATTGGGATGATAGTCAACCTTAAGGAATGTAAAGTTCTTGTCTAGGTTCGAGAAGATCTCGCTGATCTCTCCGTAAGGCTTGAACATCTCGCGCAACTCATCGTCGGTAATGTCTCCGGTAAGATTGCCGACATAAAGACGATTACGTCCAGAGAATTTCGTCTCGGTGGGCACTTCAATCGGTTCCAGTTCATAGGTGGGTCCTGAAATGCTACGCAATCGCTGGGCAATGAAGAAGTCTTCTCCACCGCCGCGTTGACCACCGCCGCCACCCATATTGGAGTTGTTCATACCACCTGGACCGCCGCTAGAGCGTTGACCTCGGTTTCTGTTGTCACGCTGCTGATTCTGGGGTCCACCAGGACCGCCACCACCACCTCCACTTTGGTTGTTACCAATGTTGCGTCCTCGGAAACCATGCCCATTTCCTTGATTTCCCTGTCCTCCTTGATTGCCATGTCCTCCCTGGTTTCCTTGTCCTCCTTGATTTCCTTGACCGTGAATCTGATTTTGGTTTTGACCTTGTCGTTGATTTTGACCCTTGTTAGCATTCTGATTCAATTGATTTTGATTTTGGCCAGCAGCTGGAGTTTCATTGCTCTTTGCCGGTACATTGACAACGTCTGGCTTTGGTGATTCATTATTTTGCTATATTTTTTTTTATATAAATAGTTCGATCAGTACATAGATATTAATGATAATTCAGATACACCCAGACAAATGAAGCTTTTGACATTAAAGTTCACAGTTTACTGTGGGTAAATAATGATTGTATAATCATTTCGCTAATCTGCGCTATAGACTGGCCATTAAAAGGTTAAGTTATGTACTTTTTCCCCCTTCTAAAAACAATGTTAGAGGCTATACATAAATTCATGATGTATTAACCCTATTAAATTGAGGTTCAACCTATTTAAAATACTTGCATGCCGGCATACTTGTTATTCGTGATTTGTAAGCAAACATTTTTAGTAAAAGAAGTAGAATCAGTAATGCTTCAAAATTTGAAGTTGTAAAATATTTTCCTATTTTTTCAATCTTATTATCTTATTTTATCTTAAGTTTCTTTACTCATTATTTAGAATCTTTTATTGACTTCATATTATAGTTGTGTCAACCATGGTCAGTTTGGGCAATCAATTTAATCAGTTCTTAAAATTATATGGCCGTTCCCTTTGCTGAATCAATATTGAAAGCACATCGAAAGGGGACAGTTATTTGTTGGATATTCAAAAAAACACTTAGATATGATTAGATAATTGGATGAAAAAAAAAAATAAAGCGTAGTATCTTTAATAAGGAGGCTTTTATGCGATAAACTGATTATCACTGATTTGAACCAATATGAAAATCAAATTATCGTTCAATAAATCAATTTCAAGAATTGGTTTTTACTTTCTAAATGTCAAGAATACATACATATGTATGCACCTGCATACAACTGTTTACTTTGTATGTATTCGATATATGCCAGCAATACATGCATGCATATGCAAGCCTAAGAAGAAGAAGTTGTACATATACAGATATAAATTTGCACTGTAATCAATGTTTGTAATTAGGCATGTATAACGCGTGCGTATAAAAGCAATTCGGTTTTTAATTTGTTTTTACAGGTGTTTGTATGTATGTACATATGTGTCTATATGAACAGCTGTACCCAAAAAAAATATACTGAAGTACAATTAACTTATATTATTATATTTACCAAACAGATAAACTTACATTAGCATTATTTGGGCCTCCAAAACTCCGGTTTTGATTGCCGCCACGATTGTTGCGATTGCGGTTCGCGGCGAATCCACCCTTGTTGTTTCCAAAGTTCCTATTTTGATTGGGGCCAGCATCACCACCACCATTGCCGCCTCCCGTTACACCACCATTCTGGTTTTGATTTTGATTCTGATTCTGGTTCTGGTTCTGGGTATTTGGTCCAGTATATCGTGGCTTCTTTTCCGACGGACCTCCATCGGCAGAATCGTTTTGCTTCTGGGTATTATGCTTCCCGAGATTTTTATTAGGCTGTTGATTACCCCGCTGCTGCCGTTGTGGCATCGGCCCGGAGTTGTTATCCAGTTTATTCGCACTTTCCATCTTTAAAAATACTTATAGCTTGATCAGAATAAAAACCGATTTAAAAACTTGATCAGGCAACCGTTCCCCAAATTTTGTACTTTGTAATGAAATTAAATGAACTGTGCAAGCGAAAACGTTTAAGCGAGGCAAGGTGGCGGCATTGCGCCGTTTTTGGTCTTTACGGAATGGAACAATAGTGTAATCGATAACCAAAAGCTACACAGCAAATAAACAGTTTATCTGTATTAACTAGAGATTTAATTTTATCGAAAGAAGATAATATTAATTTTATTTACGTAAAATATTACTAGTTTTCTATCTTTCTTTACAAATAAGTTGCATATCTTGCCAAAATCACAAAGAATAGAATTTTACCGAAGTATAATAATAAAAAAATGTCTGTTTCGATTTTTGTATTTTTTATATTTGGTCTTAATTGCCTTATAAAGTTGTTATTTTATACACTGTCACGTTGATTTTCTGTTGTTTATGTATCAGAAAAGCTTTTTCGTGTGATGAAAAATCCTTAATTTGAAGACAATCTGAAAACATTATCGTCATTATTGTAAAACATTCAATTATCTGAATACCTACCTATGTCATGACATCCTTTTAATAACCGCTTTAAACAACTTTCAATCGGAAGATACAAAATTTTTCTTCGACAAAACTCAAATATGCTTAGAGTTGCAAACGTAAGCGCCTTCAGCTTTGAAAATTAATAACATTTAATAAAATCATCAAAATATTTTGAGATTTCAAACTTACAGCAGCAAAAACGATATAGTAGACAAGGGTAGTGGGAAATAAGAACAGAATGGCAGAAAAAAATATTGTGGCAAGATATAATTGTCGGTTCATATAATTATGAGACTCTGTGCGACCTGAAATTGGAGGATTGGTATCAAAACATAGTTCTTTTTTCTCCTTAATATGCAAACTTGCCTTTTAAAATATTGTAACGATTTCCTCGAACCACTTGCCATAGAACCGAAAGACCTTTTCTCTCCACATTGTATAGCCTATTAAAACAAAATTATGATTTTAGAACTTCATAGTATTTGTTTCATACTTACACTTTGGTATAGATATAGAAACAATGCGAATGTAAACCAATTATGGATATTAAGTCTACAAGAAGTGCCATCTGGAATGTAAGACCCAGACATCCAAATGCTCCAATGGCCAGAAAAACTTGTCGCACCAAAGGTTCGATGAAATCTATTGGAGAATTGTTTGAAAATTATTGAATGTGTGACATTATTCTTTTAAACTAAATACTTACCCAGAAATGTAGACCACAATTCAATATGGTATTTGAAGCAGTCAAGAAAGAAGTTATTTAAATGTATATTTAACTTGAGACCAATAGGACTGCCCTCTAATACTTTCAATAGGATGTATAATTCGTCAATAACGTACTATAAGAAAAGGTAATATTACTCTAATAATTTGAATTTTCGATTTTATACTTACGTGGGATATTTGTATTAGAAAATCACCCGGCTGTGCCGCAAGTGATAAAAGAATTAACATTAGTATAATCCCCAGTATTCTATCAAGTGCTATATTAGCCAGGCAAGATCTAAAAACATAAATGAAATTTTAATAATGTAAATTAGTATCGACTTAAATTAATTTTACCTTTTATCACACGTTAACTGCCATTCCTTAAAATGCTTATATATAGTTGTATGAACCATTATACTATTAACAAATATATTTTCAGCAATATATTTAAACATCGTTATTGGCGAGTCGGCAATGATATTTAAAACATATAGTAAACTCTTTTTGGTATTAGTCTTTGGATTGTTTTGAGTCTCAACTGGAGATTGTGTTAATCTAGATAGCTCAAGGAAGTCGCAGTCATTGCTATCATTGTTGTCATATTCTATTGGTAGATGCTTCACAGATTTCCCGCTAACAAACAGATTTCGCATCATTTGCTTTTCATAAAGTATTAGTTTTATGTGCTTTAGATATTCCGGGGTAATTCCAATGTAAACCAGAGATATATTTGACTGACTGCTGTTGTATGTAAAACATAGTCGCATATTAAACTTAAGATATTGATTTTGATCTGCGCTAAAGTCATCATTTAGTATAGAGCCCAAGAAACGCATATTGCTTGATTCATGATTTATGGTTTTGTCGCGAAACTCCAAATCTGCTGCTTCCACAATGTAATATGCTACGACATTATCTTCATTAATTTGAACTTGGCCGTACAAATTGGTGGGCTTCTTAAGATAATAAAAGCTAGTCGGTAAATATATCTTAATGCTCATTTTATAATCTTTTAAACCACAATAACACCGGTCGTTTATTTTTCAATCAAAACAAAACAATTGCAGCATGTTTGATAAGGTGTATTATTCCCAGTGACGTCACAGTTTTGTTATTGGATTAATGAATATTAAAATTCTCCTGGTACAATTTTTGTTGTTTTATGTCCAGATATAGTAAACATTATTTGTTCCTTTTAAATATATATATATATTGAAGTTGCTTAAATAAACAATTAAATTCTTAAAAAAACGATAAGTGAATGAATATTTACTAGCGCCACCCTAAAAAGAATCATGTCGATTAGTCGGTAAGCGATTGCTCCGAAAAATGCAGCTGTTCGATTAATCATGTTCCTTTCCACTATTCTTTAGTTTTCACGTGTTCTGTTTTATATCGTTTCGCAGATATCTGCATTAATATACGCAATAAAGGGATACATTTTTCATCGGCATTTTATATAGTAAAAATTGTTTTCGTTTAAAAGATATATATTTTAACTAAATACAAAGATGGGATATGATGGTGAGTTTTAAAACAAGTGTAAATAAGTGAAAATGATTTAGATACCCAAATGTGCATAAATTTATGTATGCGTACGCATACATACATACAGCTGTATAATATTAAGTGAAGAAATAGAAAATATAGAAATTGCTTTCTTCGGTAATGCAAAATAGCCCCCAACGTTTCTTTTTAGTTATCAAAGGACTGTGTTTGGAAAGTATTTCGTTGTTGACCGGTTGTTTTTTTTTTTTTTTAACTCGGCGGTTTACTTATACATATGCACAGGGCCACAATAAAGCTAGTCTTGTTTTTGTGAAATATGATGCATTCTCATTTTATAATTAAATGTTAACATTATTAATCTGTTTATTTGCAATAAGGTGTATAATTTAATATCCATAGATGCTAAAAGCATTGAATACAGCCAACGTCCATTTGTATGTATGTTTGTGCGTGCGTCGATGTGTATGCAACGGGTACATTAGCGTGCATTTTATTTTTGTAAGAGACGTATGCACATTTATGGATATTTGCTTAACAATTCCAGTGTTTTTATTAATTTATATTTTTATTATCATTTTCAACAGATCGTGAACGTGATCGCGAAAGACGCCGCCATCGTTCCCGCTCTCGTGACCGCCATCGCGATCGTTCCAGGGATCGTCGCCATCATCGCAACTCGAGACGTAAGCCGTCGCTTTATTGGGATGTACCGCCACCGGGATTCGAGCACATTACCCCAATGCAGTACAAAGCCATGCAGGCTTCCGGACAAATCCCGGCCAGCGTGGTGCCGGATACGCCACAAACGGCGGTGCCCGTTGTTGGATCGACAATCACCCGACAGGCGCGTCGCCTGTATGTTGGCAACATTCCGTTTGGCGTCACCGAGGAGGAAATGATGGAGTTCTTTAACCAACAGATGCATTTAGTTGGCCTAGCCCAGGCGGCCGGCAGTCCCGTCTTGGCCTGCCAAATTAATTTGGATAAAAACTTTGCTTTCCTCGAATTCCGGTCAATAGATGAAACCACGCAGGCAATGGCATTCGATGGCATCAACTTGAAGGGACAGAGCTTAAAGATAAGGCGTCCGCATGATTACCAACCCATGCCGGGTATTACAGATACGCCGGCAATTAAGCCCGCTGTTGGTAAGTCAAATAGATATTCAGATTCCAATTAACAGGGTCAAAATCTAATTGAATCTATTTCTTTACAGTTTCTAGTGGAGTTATTTCGACAGTGGTGCCAGACTCTCCTCACAAAATCTTCATTGGAGGTCTACCGAACTATTTAAATGACGATCAGGTTGGATTTAATTTGTATAACTATGATATATGTTCATTTAACACTGGTTATATCTTATTTCAGGTTAAGGAACTGCTTTTGTCATTCGGTAAGCTAAGAGCATTTAACCTTGTTAAGGACGCTGCTACTGGATTGAGCAAAGGGTATGCCTTCTGTGAATATGTGGATCTAAGCATTACAGATCAGGTAAGAAGCCAACTTACTTTAAGAGCTAGAATATGTTAAACAATCACTATATATAGTCCTTAAAATAGAGGCTTAGGTTGATGTATTTTGTTTTTTATATTGCCATTCTGCTTACGTGTCCACGTACTCTTCTTTTGTAATATACTAATTATTTTTTCTCTTTCGATTTCTGGTACAAATCAAAAGTCAATTGCTGGTTTGAATGGCATGCAGCTGGGTGACAAGAAACTGATTGTTCAAAGAGCCAGCGTGGGCGCCAAGAATGCCCAGAACGCTGCTAATACCACGCAGTCTGTAATGCTGCAAGTTCCGGGCTTGTCAAATGTGGTGACCTCTGGACCACCGACCGAGGTTCTCTGCTTGCTCAACATGGTCACACCCGATGAACTGCGGGACGAGGAAGAGTACGAGGATATATTAGAAGACATCAAGGAAGAGTGCACGAAGTATGGTGTCGTGAGAAGTGTGGAAATCCCTCGACCCATCGAGGGCGTAGAAGTACCGGGATGCGGCAAAGTGTTTGTCGAATTTAACTCGGTTCTCGACTGTCAGAAGGCTCAGCAGGCGCTTACTGGAAGGAAATTCAGCGATCGCGTTGTCGTTACATCATATTTCGATCCTGACAAATACCATAGACGCGAATTCTAAATACAAGTAAATCATATTTCTCACATTCACCGTTTGTCCAATAAATATCACACAATAAAAGTAACAATTTACGACTTGACTGCGAGACATCCATGAAATAGAAAGAGATAGTAGGTTATCTTTTATCGACGGTAGGTAAAAGAAGTTACCTAGCAATCAGAAAACTATTTGAGAAGTTTGGAGTCCTATCTTTCTAACTATACAAATGGAACTTGTAACTTCCTTTACAAGAAACCCCTTATAAAAATAAAACAATGCTATATATAGACAGCTAACGCCGGTAAATATTTATTTGGCATTAAATAATGTATGTTTTTATACATATTGTGTGTTCGCTGAATATAAGGCTTTATAAAATAGTTGAAAATATCTATTTTAGACATACAAATACACTTAAAAACGGAACGTACAACTTAAATACATTTTGGTTACATATACTAAAAGTTATTGGCTAAATCTTCAATAGCGAAAATGTCCAATAAAGATCTATGCTTATTTGCATGTTTTTGTTTTTAGCATTGGAAGCTGCAGAATGTTGATTAAATAATTAAATGCAAGTGCAAGACAAATGATATGTTTAAAGATGTATTGATCATTATGTTCTGCATTCGAATGGAATGCAAGTCGTTTTCAGATTGTAAATCTGCTCGATAATTCATTAAAACTCCAGAGGATTCATTTCATTCATTTCATTTCTTAAACCGACTAGTGCATTTTATAGATCCTTTATGTTTAATTTACATTTATTTATGCATTTTAAACGGTAAGAACTTTAATAAATTACATTTCACGATAACATTTAGTCGCTGATTTGATTATAGTTATTTTTGCATACATTTTAATTAGTAAGAATTAATGATCAACGTTGAATAATTTCCTAGATTGACACACTAATAGAATCAGTTTTGAAACTGTATTTAATTTGATTTATAAGGCACTTGTAAACTAGTGTTAATGATTCATACTTTTAAAAATGTATAGTTTTTCTAGATTTGTGATTTAATATTATGACTTCTGCGAATATTTATGGATAAATAACAGTAATTAAAATTCGTAGACTCGAAATTGTTAGACAAGACTGGAAGACATTCAAGACTCGAAAAGTTAGGTATTTTTGCAAAATAAATAAGTTTGTAAATAAACAACAAATAAAGAGTTGAATGGTAAGGATCAAAATGCTTTTTGAGTATTTGTGCTAAGGAAAAGATTTAGAGATAGTTTTTCACCTTTCTTTGATAAAAAATTGTTGTTTTTTTTAAATAGATTGCAAACAAATATATATGAAAATATGCTAAATCATATATAGTACTGAAACTGAATATAAAAAGTTACCTAGATTTTCTAATATACACAGTTTAATTTCTTATGTGCATTCTCATTTAGTTATTTATCGTGTTTGCCTTAATAGCGAAGGTACTAGTTAAAAATATTAAGCTGACAATTTCTTTATCAGTTCTAAATATATCAAATCATTTAGTTTCCATTGCAATATAAGTTATTAAATACCAAATTCTAAACTAAGAAATCAGACTGTGTTACTTCGAAAAATTTGATTTTACTTTAAGGATTTCAGATTTTTATAGTTTTCTGAATACTTGTTGTACGATATGCACTACCATAACTTCCGATTTGTATAGAAAACAATCTATAAACCTTAATCATAATAAGTTTCAGGTATCTTCCCTTAAAAAGTATTACGAGTCGGAGAATGAGGTCATTGTTCGATGAAATGGTGTATGTACAGTGTTTGACAAATTGCCTATGTGAAATAGCTAAGCTTTCTTTCAGTTAAACATTTGTTCTTTTTTAAACATACATACTTGCAGATTTGAAATCATAGTTTGCACTCTTAATACATCGATGATCCAGTTAATAAGACATTACCATCAATCCTTTTATGGGGAAGTAGAATTTGCAATCTTAATGTTGATCAGTAAGGATGATAGTTCCAGTTCCTCACTGAATTTATTTCGCATAATGACACTGCGATAGCCTTGTCTTATACAAGTAAGCGGATAACAGGCCTGGGCGATGAAGTGTGTCTCGGCAAACATGTCCTCGTCCTGGACTTCAAAGCGAAGAATCGCGAATTGTGGATTACGCACATTGAACTCGCAAGACTCATTCCACACGGGATTGAAGCCATTCTCATTGACTTTGGTGCGATATTTAACGCCAGTATCATAACTGGCACCAACTATTTCGACTACGATCTGTGGATTATTTGATTTGCCACCTCGGAATAGATGACGTGCGGCTATAAGTCGAATGCTTACTTTCACCTCGCCAAAGCCATCGCAAAGGGGATTATTCGGATTGAAGCTATCTGACTTCATAAACGATGGCTTTAATATATAGCCACATTGTCCATTATTTCGAAACTTGGCCTGATTCAGCTGCATTGCCTTATCTCCCGTCTGGTAATTCAGTGCTATCATCTGTGATCCGATATTCCAGAATGGCATTGGGTTAAAGTTTGATGAATCCAAGCGCTGACCCTTTGGATACACTCGACTTATCTGATTCCGATGATAGGAGAGAAACAGTTGTGTATTCTGCTGAAAGAATTGTTTCTCCGCCTTCGTCTCTGGGAAACTGGACATTTCCTGGAATATCCACGAATGTTCACGGAACGGTACGCTGCGGAAATAGATGATCAGATCAGACATCTCCTTGGCCACTCGAGCAGTGCGCTCCTTTTTCCTTCTCTCCGATGCTAATTGACTGGCGATGAGGGCCGCTTCCTGGATGGCTTTTATCCACTCATAGGCCGTCTCCTGGTTGTCAAAGCCAATCACAAACGGATTCTGCATCGTTGGAGTTTGTATTTGCAGTTTAAAAATGATGCCCGGATCATTGGACTCGAATAAAGAAGCCACAGCTCCAAAGATCTCTATAGAATCGGTGCGACCGTCTGTACCCTCTTCGTTCAACGAGTTGTAGTCTTCCGTGGCGGAATCAATAACCTGGATATTAAAATTAATATTAGAATGATCAAATATAAATAACAACAAGTGATTTTACCTTTACGTAGTTAGCCGGCAGATGCTTCTTTATCATACCGCCGTAGTCACCAATCCACCACATCGAGTTGTCCCTTTGGACATTCGTGATGATAGCATGCTTGGGAAATGAGAGTTCGTCCGGCTTGTTAGCCTTGTAGCTGTAGAGTGCCTTGCAGGTAACATACTCTTCCAGATTGGAGCCCATATAGTTGGATGCGCCGTTATCGTCATGACCACTATGATCACCTTGGGCAACCTCAGCTAGCGCCTGTCGCAGAAGCTCCTGAGAAACTGGGTGACTGAGCTTAACATTGCGATATAGCGGGTTTCGGGTATAGTAGTTGATCAGGGAGACCAGAGACTCGAAATTCATAGTATCAATGCCGTACAAACGACCCTCTTGCATTATACGACAATGCTTTATCTTTCGATTGATTGTGAAAGAAATAACGAAGGCATTAACACTCTGCACTGATGGTCTCACAAGAAACGATCCAATATCTAGTCTATATAGACCCTGTTCGGCTTGCTCCTTTGTTGTGTTCGGGTGGAACCATTCCTGATCCTCGTGCTTCTTTGGTTGCGGTACAGGTTCCTTCAGTATAATCGAAAACTCCGAGCTTCGCAGCATATTCTTGCGATAGTAAACGATCAGGGAGTAAAGTGAATCGAAGACGAAATTCTCCACTAAATAGTACTTGATTGATCCATTTTCATGCTTTAACTTAATGCGACAGTGATTGGGTCGATTTCGTCGCCAAAACGATAGACTATAGTCGCCTACAAATGTTGCCGATTCGCGTACTAAAAATGTTCCATCGCCAAAATGTTTATACTGCTTAAGAAGATCATCTGCTTCCTTTCTGCCACCTGAAATTTTCAAAAGGTAAAGTTAAAAACCGTTTGTAGTGTATAATATCAAAATGAATTCAATGATAAACGCACCTTCTAGTTTGCCATGGAACCAATTCTCGCCAAAGTGCAACTCATCATTGGCCGACGTATCTTTCTGCTTTTGCTGCATATTGCTGTTCAGTGAGCACGATGAGGACAGCCCAAAATCATCATCCTCGGAGTTGCCATTGCGCGATTCATTGATCTCAGAAGAGTAAATAAGCTCCTGATGTGTCAACACGAATTGGTAAAGATTCCATGACTTATCGACCGGATCCTTGAAGTACAGCAATCCCTCCTTAAAGACTTTGCGCACATTCTCGCCATCGTTCTCCCCATGTGCTCCACCACCAGCTCCTCCCAGTGACGATCTATGGCCCAGAGATCCGGTACCAGAAATTCCATTGCTGAGGTCATCAAACTGTGGCAACTTCTTGTGTTTCAGGATTATCTTGCGACGCAGTTGATATGGCGAAGGCAAGTGCTGCTCGTTACGATCGCAGGGCTGAGTCAGTAGCATGTCTCCGAAGACCTAAAATGTGGTTTAAGCATAGGTAAAAATAGTAAGTTATCCTTTAAAATCATATAGTGCTAAAGAAATCTTTTACAACCTAAAGTTAATTGGATTTCTGTAGCACTCCCAGCTTATAATATATTTCCAGTTAGCTTGTATTACAAATATGCATCGAATGCATTCAAAGAATTAACAAAGAAATATATATAGCTATAAATGCACTGATTATTGCAGTCAAATTGCAATCATGCAGAACTCCTGTTTCTATGCAATAAATACATTTTTATTTATTTATAGGTCCCATTAGGTCAGCTCACCTCGATCAAGGCCTGTGCCATGTTGCGCTGCTGTTCTAGGGAGCAGTTCTGCTCGATGGACAATATCACCGGATACTCGGAACTGGTGAAGGCATGATCCTTGATCGTCTTAATGACATCCATAAATTTAATCTTAGAGGTCATGGTGTGACCGTGAAAGATGTAGGGAAGATTATCTGGACCATTCCAGCAGTCCAGCTCGATGCACCGGCATCCCATACGAAGAGCGCGGGCATAGGCCTCGCAGGAGGATTCGCTGGAGAACTGATCTCCCGTCAGATAGGTATTATGCGACGAGGCGATCCAGTAGGAGGACAATGGCAGGTTCATGTCCATGAACACCGAGTCGTATTTGCTGTTCCATAAGTCATTTTGCTTGGAGAACAAAAAGTCTACAAACTCGGGGAAGGTCAGATATGGTTCCTGAACATCCCGCTCCACATCCTGAATAAAGTCCCGAATAAAGGTGGTAATGGCAGTGTTACTAATCTCACTGGCGCTCACATCGCGCTGTTCCGTCTCTAAGAACTGTTTCAGTTCTGCCGGACGCACCACCTGTTGATCCTCAGAATAGGGAAAGTTCGCTGCTCCCGATCCTGATAGATTGCTGGCAAATCCATTTGGCAGCAGCAATTTCTGATAGAGTCGCGAAAAATCATCGAACTTAAGATCATGCTTGCGCCGCACATCCTCGGAGAAGTGTTCCATGAACTTGCCAGTGGTCATCTTACAGCTAACGCCGGCCAGGAAGAGCTTAAAATCCTTGATAGTAACCTGTGCCGGCGACAGTTCCGTGGCCTTGGCGGAATGGGAATTGACATTCTCGATTTGATAGTATTCCCGGCGCAGCCAACGATCAATTTGTAGAGGATAAGGTGCTCCAAGTGTATCTTTGACCATGTAACGTAGTCCTCTTACCCAATTATCGGCCTCAATCTCCGACAGAGCCACCACCGAAAAGCTCTTGAGCTTAAAGTGGCTACCATGCAGGATGACAAAGCATTTAGTGGACTCGAAACGCTGGCAATCGTCTGCAAACAAGCGAAACTCCTTCGAATGCTTGCCCACGCGAATCTCACGGATCTCTCGCAGCTGGATTGCTCCCTCGTAGTCGGTTCGTGGCGTTTGCGTGGCCACCGTGGCCCAGAGCAGTTGACGAGTCTCGCGGATGAGCATCAAGTGGCGGCGATCTGGACGACGCTGTTTGCCATACAATTTGGTCACAATTGTTCCCCGCTCCAGCATACCAATGGTCTGCTCCATCTCGCCCAGCAGAGGGGCACTCATCGCACTAAAGCAGCTCATCCTGTCGCGTGCTGTTGAATCGTGTAGTATCCTCTACTTTCCTGCTGGCTGCTACAGGTTGTTCCTCGCCTCGCCAACCGATCACCAAACTAATTGCAATGCATGCAAATTATCGGTTCCAGTTTGTGGAACTATACGCAGATCAACTGCTCCCACTTTCCTAACTATCTAATGCACTACCGACGGAGGCACTAGAACTCTAAAATCCGAGTTAAACAATGAAATATTTAAAATGTACCCAAAAAATACCACAGGAACAGATAAGATAAGCCAGCTGCTGGGGAAATGGCCAGTGTTGCCAGGTAGTAATGGACACAAAAACTACTACAGCTAAAGAATAATCATAGGGGGTATTCCCACTAGGACGTACTTTAAATGTGGTCCAGCTGTTCGCCTGCTGTTGTACAAAAGAGAGTATAGATTAAATTATTTTACTGCAATCCATTTACTTTTTATACATTTATTTTACAATTGAGTATTAGCCGACTGAAAAAGGCGTTATGCACATTTCATATATATTTGAAAACCGGTCACACTGGACTTTTTAAATTTGAACTTATATTCCAATCAGAAACTAATCAAATGTTTTGGAAATGAAAAAATTAAGATTATTTTCAATATATCTGTATAAGACTAATCATACACTTACCTTGAAGTGCAGAAATTAGCCATAAAAAGTAAACATTTACCTAACTTCTAAAAACGAAACAAACATGGGATGTTTTCTTATTATTGTATTTAAAAATTGCTTACAAATTACTAAGCACATCTGCATCTAGCTTAGGCGAATGTTGATTGTTACCGGATTATGTAAGGCTGATCCTAACAGCTTTATAAGGATAACTGGCTTCTGCAAATTCACAGAGGTTACCAACGAACTTGATAGTCTTCACTTTTTGATAGAAGAAAGTGGGCTTTTCAATATAAATTGGAGTTAAACTATTAAGTAGTAATAAAATATCTAATATTTGAACAGAATTAGAAACAGTACGAAAAGATCTGAAACATCTGACAATAGAGCTTTTTAAATATACTCGGTTATTCCCCTGAAAACCACTTTGGCACACAACAATACCACTCTTGCGCTACACACGCCAAACAACTGATAAGAAATTTTGTCTGATTTGCCTTTTACAAGCGTACATCTAGCTAAATTAAGTTTATTTCAAACTATTTTTACAATATTTTTGTAAGTTCTTAGGAAAAAAAAACAAATTCTTAGTGGCTACTATAGTATCGCTAAAGTAATTCACACATTTTAAGTTTTAGGAACTCGGTCGGGCGGTTCCTACCGAGTGTTGTGTCGTCTGCCTATCAAATATAAAAGCTAAAGCTGTTTTATAGGGATTTTTTAAACATAAAAGTACGTCATCTAATATATTCTATGTACCAAGAAGCATTACTAAAACAATAAACCAATAATATAAAGACAAATGGATTTGAAGAACACAAATCACTCCATCTATAAAAAAGAATCTCATTTCTAAAAGTTTATTTAATAATAGTTTAGTTTTCTTATAACAAAGCGCACAGGGAACTGGAATTTTCATAGTAATTTATGATGTGAGGGATGATTACCTTTCAATTTTGTAGAAAATTTGGAATTGAAGGTTTAACCTAGACACTTCTATGAATATAATCTCGGTGGCGAGTTTATTCTCTATCGAAAATCATGCTAAAAAATATATATAAATACATACATATACATATCTATCTTGCACTCATAACGTGGACAGATCGAAGTTAGGGTTACAGCTAGAGACATCGTGATTAACTCTGCATCCATAGTTATAGTATCAGCTCCTCTCTTATCACGTTATAATATCTAACCACTACTTAGCTTATACATGCCATATAAAGAGAAACATGCATCCAACCGTTGTAGATTGATGATCTTGGTGACCCATCTATCAAAAGCCAGAGGAACGTCTCCCTTTACAATCCGCATAAACACTTGTGTCTGTGCCTGGAACATTTTTTTTTGTTCTTTAAGGCCGTAAAAAATAGCTTTCACTTCGCCCTTCAAACTTTCTATGCAATTTACATTACTCTTGCAGTCCCGCTGAAATCTAATCTAATATTAGGGTTGTGTATATAATTTGCTCTCGATTCTCTCGTTAATTTCTACGTAGTCTCATCTAAATAATACTTCAAATAGTATGTACATGGCCATGGTCAACAATTGTTGCAATGTCCGAGATATCGCTTTGGTTGTTTGCTTCTTTCTTTCCAAAAAAAAAAGTTTAACAACCTTAGATTAACTATCCGAATCTTATAATCATGGCTATTATTAATTGATGTATATATTTACAAATGAACACAAAATCCAAATCTCTTCACGGATCTAAATTCAAGAATCGCGAAATGTAACTGAGTAAACGAAATAAATGAATTGGAATCGCAAATGTTATTTTCTTCCTTTTGTTTATATATATGTTGATGTGTATAAAGATTAATATACACATTTGCAGAGCGGCAAAAATAAATAGATCGAGATATCACCCGCCACTGAGTTAAGTATTTCACATTATCACGTTTCATTGAGTTTGTTTTCTGTTTGCTGGGGGACACATATAAACTCGAACGCATTGATTTTTTTTTTGTAGTTTCATTATTGGTGAATCTAACTTTAATAAATGGGAAATATGTACCAATATTTATAAATGTAGTGGTAACCTTCATAGTTGCTGAGAACGAATGACATCATGATGAATTTCTTCAATTTATAAAATAATTCTTCTTATTACTTTTAGGAGAAACTTAGCACTGAAGCACAAATAAGGGTTGCAGACAGATGAGTGTCATTTTAATCTAACCATACTTAATCGTATTCATCTTAACATAGAACTTATAAAAGGTTTCTTTGTGATTTATCTTCATAATTCATGGAAATTTGATTACTTATGTTAAAAAAAAAAAATTATATATTATTTATATATATGCATTTACATATATATAATAGGTGTCTTTTAGAGGTTCCACTTCCCGATAACTTTCAAATTTATCACAACAAAAACAAAACAATTTTGTGCTTTGGTTTTCCAATCACAGACATCTCGGTTGGTATGCAAATCTTTTTAAAAAATCCACAAGTTTCACAGAATCTCTTGAGATTTCCTTTTTTTTTTGTTTCGAAATATACTAGGAACAATGGTTTTATAGCTTACTTCTCTTCGGTTAATTTAAAAACCTCTTTTGAAACTTCAAGAGATATCTGTGCTAATTGGATTTTTAGCTTTGGACTTTGGTTGAAAAATATTTTCTGAAAGAGACTAACACCACTCATTTTGTAGGGTCGGTGGAAAATAAAGTCCACTCGAGATTCACAAGAGCTCAAAAATCCTTACTACTTTCAAAAAAAAGTTTATATTTTTAAAACCTTTCCACCATGATCTTGTTAGTCTATATTTTGTAATCAAAACACGATTGATATTAGCGTTTGTCGTCAGATGATCTGAACAAATTGTGACGAGTTTTTTGTTACCGGAAAACGGAACCTTTAAAAAGGGGAACACCCTTATATATATAAATATATATTCAACACACATTGGCCAACCTGATAATAGATCAACCAACGTTATCATGTTCATTTCCTTTCTTCGTGACAACGACCGTGTGTATAAATAGTGAAGAGTATTTACTGCTAAACCTATTGGTTCTCGTCATCATCTCCATCGCCGTCGTCGTCGTCATGCTGCTCTTCCAGCTGCTGGTGTTGCTGCTGGGCAGCGGCGGCAAGTAACGCGGCTTTCTGTGCCTGCGCCTGCATTGACGCCTGCATCGACGGGGCGGACATGGCTATTTTCCCGCTCGTCTTGTATTCGGTCATCTCCTGCAATTTTCAAGATGTTAAAATGTTATTCATAAGTTCAAAAGACTTAAACCTTCAGAAACACTTACGCGTTCATATCGAGCCTTGTCTCGTTCTGCCATCGACTCGTATTTCTGCTTGACCTCGGGATCCACATCTGACCACTTTCGTCCAAGCTCTTTGGCAATGTCGCCAACTCCAAACTCGGGATTAAGTGCCTTCACCTTATTTCTTTCATCATTGCAGAACCAGAAGAACGCAGACCTAATTGTTTTAAGAAATGATAAAAATTAAGAGTATTAATTGATTATTGATCCATTGCTGCATCATTGAGCAGTTAAATTTCATTTTAATTTTATGATAGAATATAATTGATTTTGCTACGAACTCACAATGAACGTTTTGGAGCATTGGGATCCTTGATTTGTTTCCTCTTCTTGCCACGTCCCACGACCGCTCCCTTGGGCGGCACATAGTTCTGCATTTCAGCCTCATATCGCTGCTTGTCTTTCTCGGCCATTTCATGGAAACGCTTCTTCTCCTTATCCACCATTGTCTAAGGGGTAACATATATTTATATATATTACTTAAGGATTCTGAGTAGATTCTTTCTTGCCGCACTTACCTTCCACCTTTCGGCACACTTTCGTGAGAATTCGGCAAATATGACCGTCTCATCGGGATGCTTCTTTTTGTGCTCCTCTCTGCAAGTTTGTACAAAGTATGCGTAGGCGGTCATTCGGCCTCTGGGCTTAGCATCAGCCTTGCCTCTGATCATAGGGCTCTGTGGATCAAAGAAATATCATTAGATTAAAAAAAACTTTTTTAATAACTTATTATCTTACCCCAGCCGAATTGATGACATTCTGTTGTTGTTGCTGCTGTTGCATCTGTTGTTGCTGCTGGTGCTGTTGCTGCTGCTGTTGTTGCTGCTGCTGCTGTTGCTGCTGTTGATGCTGCAGTTGCGCCGCTGTATTGGCATCGACCTGACCCTGATTGGCGGCCGAATACCACCATTGGGACCCGGGAACGGCAGCGGCTGCGGCTGCCTGTGCCATATTTAGACGATAATCATAGCCCGTAGTACCGGCTGCGTTCGATGTGGCAACCACTTGAGCCATCGTCGTGGCCGGACTTGGAAAACTGCTGGCCATTTTGTATGTGAACAGCTGTTGGGTGCCAACGCCAGCCGTGGTATTGGAGCTGTTCTGATGCGCCTGCTGCTGATTCTGCTGCACGACCACCTGGTGTTGTTGCAACTGTTGCTGTTGTACTTGTTGTTGTTGCTGAGCAGCCAGTTGCTGCTGATAGTGTTGAATTGTTTGCTGATCAATAGTTGGTTGATGGTGTTTATTAGTATTATTAGTGCGATGCCAGTCGTCGATTGGATTACAATTCTACAATATTCTACATTCGAGTCGACTAGGCGCGCGCACGCTCAGTCTTCTCTTGTCTGGCATCGCACTAACTAACTAAGATAGTCCTTAATATTTAGAATAGTGAGCATTGAATGGTTGTGAGTTTTGTAGATAAGTATGCGACCACGAGTGAAATATAGGAGCGACAAGGTCAACACAAAAAGTTAAGTGGATATTTCTTGACTGTTAGTCGACTGGTGGAGTGTATCTAACCGCTGGCCAAAACGAATAGGCAAGTACACTTCCAAATTATAATTAAGTCGTAGAAATTATTCAAAACTACATCTTCTTAAAGACTCATTAGTACTTAAACTAATGGGTATTACTTTGATTTACAAATCAATGAAACAATTAAACATTATCATTTTCCATGCACACAAAATATATCCAATATTGCTTTTAAAAGCGAAAAGTATCTTTTGGATGAGGGGCGTATCCTTTTTATATCTGTTGTACATGTAAGTTAAGCCATGTAGATAATCGCTATACATCTACAAATAAAATGCGTGTCAATTTCAAGGTGAATGTTAAATTATAAAATAAACAAAAATGATTGTATATTCATCTACAGAAATTGAGATAATCGTATTTTTGTTTTGTTGTTCTTATTATCAATATTCTTTTACGATTTGTTTACAAATTGCGAGTGAACATTAACACCAGCTGTTGTCGTTGAAGATAAAAGCTTTTACATGAATCAGGCATGAAAATGGAACTATACATGTGTGGGAACAGAAGGAGAATAAGAAGAAGAGCAAATCGCACCGGTTCCGTTTTGCGAATCGGATTATCTTCATTTTGATTCCGATTCCAGGGCCTAAAGTGCCAAACCAGGGCATCAGTGGTTCAAATCATGAATGGAACACCAGACTATGAGCTGAAAATAGCCCTTTTTCCTTGGCAAATTTTTCATAAAGAAAAACAAAAATAACATTTTTCTCCCTCCGTCAAAAAAATAAGAATGTATATTAGAAAGCAAGCTAAATGAGCACTTACAATTTTATATAGCTACATATGTAAGTACATATAAATACATACATATGCATATAAATATTTGCATAGACAAGTATTTGCACATACATATGCACATATATACATATTTATATATGGATTTCTGCACACATGGTTAAAAAATATAGCCAATTTGGGATTACGCAAGCTGTGATTTTGTCTTCATATTCAGGTTTTCACATTTATATGTATGAATGTACGTACATATGTACACATATGGATGTATATATTTTATAATGCATACATACAAGCAAACGTGCGTACATCGCATAAGGGCGACATTTTTAACAAGAAATAAAAAACATAAAATGCTATAACATTTACAGCCAAGCATTTACCATTCTTGTTATAAATATTTTTGTATATTTATACAAACTAATAAGAAAAATGGCGGACTTGGATGCGCACGCAAAATATAATTTTTGGTTGTACAGCGTCGATTTTCTTTTTTGTTTGTATGCATACTTGCACATACATAAACATACTCCTATTGCATTTAGTTACAAATTTATTTACCCTTTCTGTTTTACCTAAAAACAAAAGACGCAACGAAAATATGTACATATGTAAGTATGTATGTATGTTCTCATGTATGGCTGCATACATATACAAACAAAAACTTTCCACTGCGGTAAAGAAAATCCAATCAGGTGCCAAAATACTATAACAATTATTGTGCAAATAAATGCTTGGGTTTTTATTAATTATACATTGCCGTTTGGCGGGAAAATGATTAAAACGCGGCAAACAATACATAAACGCGGATATGCCTGTTTGTGTATGTGTGTTCGTGTGCTATGTTATATGTATGAACATGCATGTGTGTATGTTTGTGCGTTTTAAATAAAACGCCGTATACCTGCACACAAGCTTACCTGTATTTGATGAAAGTGTTCCATAGCTGTGAGATATCGGATCAAGTCCGAATGTTTCAATTGTGAATTAACTTTATGCTTAGTCCTTTATTTTTAATTCATTCACTTTGGATCCCAAATATTTTATAACTTTCCTTGCACAAAAATATATAAATATATATTTAGTATATATGTATGTATGTAAACGTACACCAACGCAAGTTGGAGTCGAGTCTTAAGCCAGTTTTTTTTTTCGTTTTTATTTTAATACTGTTCTACGCAGTTTGTATTATATTGATTATTGCACGTATGTATGTTCGGATACGAAATACGAATGTATGTATTATGTACGTTAGAAGGAAAAAGGAACACACGGCACAAGCCAAAAATTTGAAAATCGAAAATTTCAAACTCACACAATGCACGTTTTTTTTTTGTTTTTTTGATTATTTGTTGTTTGTTTTTTATTTTGTTCGTTCCTTTTGCAAACTCGAAACGCGGGCGGCTTTACTGATTTGTTTTGTCGTTTGTTTTTAGCTTGTAAAAAATAAACAAACAGCGCTGCATACGCTGACTTATTGTATCGTATCGTATCGCTTGTGTTTTTTTTTTTTTTTTTTTTTTTGTTTTGTTGGTATGGCTATGGCTATGGTTATGGGTATGGTTACCGTATATATGGTATATAGTATAGAGTATAGAGTAATGGTATCGTATCAATGCGAATGCGAATGCGGAAAATACAATATACAATATATGGAGGTTCGTTCGCGCGCCGCTCGCCTGATTGAAAACACACACAGAGAGTACCAACAACGAATGCAAAGGCTATTGAATTGAATTGCCGTCTCTGCCTTACTGTGCTTCAAAACCCAAACGAGCGAATAAATGTGTATGCGTTGAACTGTATGCGCAACGGTGTTAGTGTGTGTGTGCCGCAGAGAGCGTAAGAGAGAGAACAAGTTCGGTGTGAGAGTAGCAGCGCAGTTTTTTGTTGGTGGAATTAACACACAAACTACGAGTGAGAGAGCGCGTTTGGTTTACTGTACAAACGCTTCCTCTCTCGCAGATACATACATATGTACATACACGTGGTGGAGGGAAAAGGCCTTATAAAATAAATTTTTTTGGCTTGTTACTTTTGTGCGCTCACATACGTACAAACGTACATACAAGCGAATACGAGTATGTACATAAACTCTTCCCTGCCAAACGTACATACATACAAATGGAATGGAGTGTGGGAAAAATACAAAAATTGTATGTATGCATATGTACATACACGTAATAGAGTTTTACAAAATTCTTAGCAGCTATAGAAGAGGTAGAAATGCGAAATTTATATTAAACGTATTTTATTTTTAACTGCATACTACATTCATTAACATATGTATGGATGTACATACAAATGTACATATGTTTGGCTGGCTACACGAATTCTACAAAAACGATATGCATCAATGCAAACACATTGATACATAACCAAACATATACGTATAAGACACACAAACGCACATCGCAGCGACCCGCTACATACACATTTTCATTTTGTGTTCCCGTCTGACTGTACTTCCCAGCTCTCGCTCTCTCTCTACCTCTCTCTTTTTCTCTCGCTCTCTCACGTTTTAAGAAGAGAGGCATGAGAAAATAATGCAGCCATGTATGTGTATGTGTAAACGTATTAGTGAGGTCACAAAAACCCAAAAAACTAATTTTATTGGTCATAAAATAGTTTTATTTTTTATTTAACACATTTTATTAATTGACTTAACTCCCTAATTTTTCTGTAAGCGATGTAGTTGTAATTTTTCACACTTTTAATTTAATATATTTTTTTTCTGGCATATGGTCTTGAAAATATACTAGTCATGTTCTTGTTTTCGTAAAAATGTATGTTATTAAAAATACAAATGTTATTTATTAACTAACATTTTTCTATACGTAAATGTTTTAAAATCAAGTTCAAAATTGAATAGTATTTTATTTACGGTTCCTAGGTATAAAAACAAAAAAATATATTACAAACTTCTTAATCAACGGTTTTTTGGGATAGCTCATGTAAACAAAATATATGTCAAACGATACACAGCATTGCCAGATACGATTATATTTGACATCACAAGCAAAGCGCGAAATTTGAATGTTAAAACCGGTATGTCATTACCAAACAACCTAATATGTATGAAAAATATATCAACACTTTTTAATATATATGTCCGTTTATGTCGTTTATGACGACCATACAATATTTTAAACAATGAAGAGATTTAAGTATTAAATTTTAATAATCTTTCAGCCAAATGTAATAAAAATATTGTAATATTGCTTTTGTTTTCTTCGTGCATACAAAATGTATAAACTTCCAAAACATCTTTTTACGGCAATTTTTTTTAAATATATTTATATATTATAAAAATTGTATTTTATGTTCCAGTTTCAAGGCGTTTCTTGAGATTTGTTGGTAAATTGGCCGTGAGAAAACTATCGGATAAATAGTGGGAACGCACTTCACTTTGCTTGTGTCACGGTGGCTAAACACTCGGTATAAGTCCATCTCTAATTGAATAATAGAACTGTTTGTAGTTTGCAATTGATTTACTAAAATTTACTTGAAAGAACATCAAAATGTCGAACAAAATTCAAGTCTCGCTTCCCGAGGAGGAACTAGACTGGATACAATTGCGCCAGGATCTGGGGCCTGTTGTCGAAATGGAAACGACAAAGGAGAAGCTTCAGCGGAAGATTAAAGAGAACCCGCTGGTTCCATTGGGTGAGTTATTTTTTTTTTTTTTTTTTGCCGCTCAGCAGTTTAGCGGGTTATGTAAACAAAACAATATATATGTACATAAATTTATATGAGCAATTGTTTATAAATTTTTCATTCAGGATGTTTGGCCACCACAGCAGCTCTAACCGCCGGTTTGTACAACTTTCGTACTGGCAATCGTAAGATGTCTCAGTTGATGATGCGGACTCGAATCGCCGCCCAGGGATTCACCGTTTTGGCTCTGGTTGTCGGCGTCGTCATGACTTACACCGATAAAAAATAACTGTCGATAATCATATGGATCCAAAATATATAGGCTGAATTTAATTTCAGTTTCTGTTTTAGAATGCTGTTACAAAAGCTACCATCTAGCTACTAGCTTATATAAATATACGTTAACTCTCATATGTAGATGGTATTTGAAAGATACCTAAAAAGAAAATCATATTTTTATAACGTTTTATCTTGTGATATGATATTTGGGCTGTTTATAGCTTAACCTTAAGGGGTTACTTAAAAAGACAGTTTATGCTGTGATTAAATAAGAGTCTTTAATAAATTACACATATTTAAAGAATTTTTACTTCAGCTTTCGATGACTTTAGTATAAACTTTAGTTTACCGATTCATTTCTTTAATTGCATATGAATTCAAGAACATCTCAGCTTGCTTAATGGTCATAATATTAGTACAAATTCCTCTTCAATACTCTTTTTTTAACTGTTAATTTGTGCTTTATGACCAAAATAAAACAACACTATTATGAATAGAGTTCAAACATTTGAACATTTATTTCGAATGTTTCTAAAAATAAGACAGCTTTAGCTATCCGGAAGTAGTACTTGTTTCCGCAAAAATTTGTTTTCCTAGAACTAAACCAAAAAGCCTTTAAAAGCTTAAAAATGAATTTCAAAGTACCTTTTAAAAAAATTGCCTTTTCATGTTTGTTTTGGTTAAAATATAAAAATATATTAACAATTTCAAAAGCTATGTATTTTATATATATATTAAAATTAGGTAAATATGATTTCTTTAAAGAAAATCCGATTTTCTAAATCTTTATAAATTTGAAAAATAGAAAATGGGTAATAAATAGCAATAAGTAAAATTAGTAAAAAATTCATAGAAAGTATACAACTGATAAACAATGAAAGGTCTTCAGTTTTTTGAAAACATATTGTACCTATAAATGGGCATACCTGGGTGTGTCCAAAGGCACGGGGGTAAGTGTCTACGGACTTAAAGGTATTCCTAAAGTTACTGCTTTTACCCACTTTCTAGGGAGATGCGCGCGCATTTCGGATGGAGAGGAGAGCCATGTATTTGGGATAGTTACTACCACTCAGTTCTGACTGGGATTTCCTTGACACAAGTCAAGGTATTGTGTCGAAAGGTTCGAAAATGTTTTTAATTTTAATTGCTGTCATATTATACTCTGTTAATCGGTTAAAAAGATTCTTATGCGTTTTTAAATTAAACACTCAAGAGCAATTATTACCATCGGGATGTAATGGAATTTTCAATGATTCGATCTGTTTGTAGTTGTGTATTTAAAACATTTGAATTAGCAAACTCAGGAAGTTTAAAGTATTCGATTTTTCAGTAGTACGAGAAAGAGTCTATTATTAAAAACTAGTTATTATTTGTGTTCAATTAGTAGATTCGTAGTTAGTAGTATTTGAAAACCTACCCCCAAAAAGGATGTTATGAATCTAAACACAACACAGATACACATGAATAGTTGAGATATAGATATAGGGGATACATGGGTATTCGACATTGATTGTTGTGGATTTATTTTGGATACTTTCAGTTTCATGATGAATATAATACTTGGAAATTGTGTGGGCAGCTGTGACCAGTTAGCTGGTCCACCGCCTGATTTTATCCTATCTATGCCGCCGCCACCGTTGCCGTCCTTTTTGATCTCAAAGCCGGCGACAGTGGATATCCTGGTGCCCTCCAATGAGTCTCAGCCATGTTTTGCAGCCTTTATGTGTGGCCATGGAATGCAGCACAATGAGAGCGGAAATGCCTTGATGGAGCTGGTGAGAAGTGATTCCAAGAGTCTGGAGAACGTCTGGCTATTTGTCTCATCTTGCATTGGGATCTTTGTATTCGGCTGTTTCCTGGCCCTCCTTGTTATCAGATGCAGAGAGTAAGTTTAGTAGCTTTTTTATTTTATTCTTTTATTCTATTCAGGATTTTATTTTTCCATTCCAGTAGTTCCTTCTTTTCGTACCATGACGCCAATATCAAGCAAACAGCAATCAACGCTTTAGGTGAGGCCACCAAGTCAAATGCTTTTACATCCGGTGGAATCCTATATCCATGTGCCACGGCCAACAGTCGGGATCTCCTCCAGAGTCAACTGGTCAATGATAGTCGTCTTTTGTGGGCCACACTAACGCCTCATGGCACTAGGCATTTCATCATCGAGAATTCCCAAGATGGGCATTATGAATCGGTAGACTATCGCGGCAAGTCCCACAGCCAAGTATTCCGCGGCTACGAGAAGCACTCACAGTCTTTTGTTAAGGTAAGGATTGGGATATTATATATGAAATATAATAATAATAATTCCTAAATTTTCTTAACCATTTCCAGTCTTTTGACAATAATGGCTTTGTTGATTACGACTACGAGGATCCTACGCCATTGATGGACTCTTATCATGATGATATGGACTCGGGTTACCAAGAGCCGCACGAGGTTACAGGTTCCTTAAAACGGACTGCGATGCGAACTTTGGATTCAATGAATGATACCCCTACCAGTGGTGGATCGAATTCCAACTTCAACTCTAACCAGATTGGTAACTCCAAGTCCATTAGCCGCAAGACGACGCTCTCACGTCGCATTAGCGATGCGTCCTCCCAGAATGGAACATCCATGTAAATGTTGTATTAATGGAGGTATCCCTAAGTTGCGTCTTGTATATTTCAATTGGCGGCACACGTGGGATTGGGAGGAGATCCGGTCATGTCGTCCATCATCACAAACTGCAGATTGTATGAATTTACGCTGATATTTTAGACTATTTTAAGAGGTGAATGCACAAGTGTGGGTTGTTTTCGAAGATCACAAGAGGCAGTTAAGTGATTGGAACAAAAAATGAACTTAATTTCAAGCGGGAAAAGCGACTTCGTTAGAAAAAATCACTAAATTCCAAAACTATAAAACTCGACTATCATAAATTTGGGACTATAACTGCTGGAATCGTTGGCAATTTTACTATATAGAGAGAAACCACATGCACACATGCGATTACTTTTTAAGCCTAACTACTATGGATCATTATATCCGCTAGTGTACTATAATACTCGTGCACATAATACTCGCGCCGCTATTAATTGCTTTGTATACATCTTCTTTTATAAATACCTTAACTATACGTCAGATAATCTAACTAATCGCGCAATTCGATATCGCTGATCGGAAAGGCCAACTATTGTATCTGCATATAGACTTACCATGGGAGTCCTTCCTTTTCCCAAAAGATCTGGGTAAGGTTATAAATAAACATAAATAGATTTTGAAAATACTCTGAACACGTCTCGCCTTCAGCGCTCGTTTAATTGTAGACATAAGAACAATAAATAAAATTCTCAGTAGTACATAATCCTGCATAATCGCATTACCGATTTCGCTCAATTTTGAAATAGATAATAAAAATAGATGATCAAGGAGTTTGTTTAATTTAAGTGGGACCAAAAATGATATTTAGAAAACCAGATAAGAAACCATTTAAATCAAGCAAATCATTTAGAAACTTATTAACAAAAATCTTAAGATTTGAAACATTTTTAAACACCAATCCCAAGAAATTTAAAACTATATAAATCAGCGAAACTGGCGATCGATTTGCAGGTCAGTGTATCATCCTTATCCAGTCAATGCAGTTGCACCTCTATTTAAAACAAAAGAAATCTTAAGGTTTATAAAAAAAGTGATCAAAGAAATTCAGTGGAAGTGTTTTGGGTTTTGAACCCAATAAATTAACAGCTCAGTATGCTCTTAATCCAGTCGTGCAGATGCACTTCGATGACATTCACCTGGCTATAGTTCTTCAAATGGAATTGGTTGAAGGCGGTGGTCAGATGGATGACGGCAGATACAAAGTCACTGAGCCTCAGCGTACCATCCTTACGGATATATCTCTGAATCAGGCAGTTCATAATGTCGGTGCTTAACTGGAATCCTATATCGGAGAGTGCATCGCGCAATCGTTCCGCACGCAGTATTCCGGCCTTCTCCTTGGTGTACATTTTGAAGACGCCTTGCCACGACTTCAGGTTGACCATGAACGTTTTGAACTGCTGAAAGGTGATCCTACCACTGCCGCTCCTATCCTGCAGGGCGATAACCTGTCGGCAAATGTCGATGTTGGCACATCCTTTGATGTAATCATTAGGCAGGCAGGCCTCCAAGAGTTCGTGCAGCTCGAAACAGTTGATGGTTTTGTTCTCATCGGCCAGTTGCATATAAACGGGTTCATACTGGCACACACTCTTCACCTTCTGACCACCACATCGCTCAGCACCACCACTTTCCGAGCTCTTAAGCGCAGGAAAGGGATCCAGTAGAATCATTGTTTGCGTCTCTAGACATGACAGTCGAAATGATCCAGTGCCCAGGATGCGGACCGTGAAGTGAGCCTCCTCTGCCGGCTCATAGGTTGTGGGTATGAGAACATAGTGGCCCGCCTCCAAGTGTGTATGATAGCTTACGTGCCGCGTATTGCCATAATCCGAGTTCAGGAAGCTAACATGATTCTTGAAGAAGTCCTTCTGCAGGCATTCGCTAAGCATGTAGTCACCATCCCATGTGTACATCGTAAAGCCAATGACTTTTGGTTCCACGGCAGTGTGTTGATTTAGGGCCACCACCAGATCCTGTTGATCCTGTATAGATATCAGTAGCTGGGGATTTATGTGAAAGGATTCGTGGTTGCGACAACCACCAGCAGTGACACCGCGCTTCCATTGACCCTGATGCATCTTCATTTTCCAATGTAGCGGTCGACTTTTGAGCATTTCCTCGTCGTTTGATGTCTCCGTGTCCAGGTATACCACCTCCATAGTAGTAAAGATCTCCACAAAGTCACAGAACGATAGCCAGAATTCGCCGGGACCCAATTGGCGTATAAGTCGCGCTCGCTCCACCTGCGAAACTCGTTCCCATGTCTTGGACGACGGCGACCAGTCGCCGAGGAAGTGTGTCTTGTCTCCGAAAGGCTTGCTTGAGAATGTGTCCTTCAGGCAAATTAGCTGCACCGAATCTCCCATCAGAGTCTTCACCTTGTCCAGGCTGGAAAGTCTGAAAGATTATATAAATATTTAGATAATTTATACTTATCAAAATATTGATTAATATATAACATAATTTACCTATAGTTAACGTTCACCAGAATTCCATTGGGCATTCGCTCGGCGAGGTTCTTCTTCGCCACAGAGGCGCTTTTGTCTGCCAGACAGGTGACGATGCAGGTGGTAGTCAATAGTTCTTTGAGCGTCTGTGGTCTTATAGTGTCCGCCAGGATAGGCATTTGTCGGACAACGCCGCCCAGCAGATCTGTAAGTCCATCCGATCTAGTTCCATACTTGAGGGCCTCATAGGAGCCATGTAACTTAGCAATTGCCTTCTCCAAGAGGGCAGCCCAAAAACAATTAGATGCCTGTGGCTGCATAAAGGCAAGGCGTCCATTAATGGTGGGCAGTCGATCATCGACCAGGACCTCTACCCATTCACCGCACCACCACAATCGAAAACGGAACACACCGTGGGCATTGGTTAGAGTCTGATCGGCGGGCACTACTCTATAAAAGAGGTTCCTTAAAGAACTTAGTAGCCCAAGGCAGGAAACAAGCCAGCGATCGCCCATTTTACCAGGTACCACATCAAACTCTGCCGTCTCGTTAAGGAATACTGGTGGCGATAAAGATACTGTTCCCGAACCCGATCCCGAACCAGATCCATTATCCGCCAGATCCATAATACGTTTCCATTGAAAGGTAAACGGAGGCGTTTGGTAATAGAAGACGGACGATTGAACTGCGGGGAAATCGGGGTCTTCCCACAGCACGTTCTTCGCCCTGCAATCACTTAATATGCGCTCGTATTTGGATGCCATTATCTTGGCGTATATATCCTTCACATCACTCCCGATTTCGTTAACGATTCTGGTTTTGAATCCCAATGATGATCCTGATCACGATTTCGATCTTTAATAGATCCTATTGCGATTTGCCTTTGTCTCCGCCTCTTGTAACCGAAGTGAAAGTTAACGAGCTGCATGAAATATACAATGCCAACTAGCTGGGCTAAGTCTAGCTTCGAGTCCGAACCGGTTCGGTTCGGTTCATTTGGGGGAACCGTCTTAATTGGACTCGAAACTCTGTCTCAGAGACCGACTCCGACTGGTTCCAGATACTTGATCATCTAAGATTGTTGCGCATGCGCAGCTGAAATCGATTTATACATTTATTTAGGCCTTCTATTGATTTTGATTTCAATTTAAATTAAAATATTAAGTTAAGGAATCGTATTATAAGGATTTCCTTATTTCTGAACTGGTATTTAAGAGAACAACTAAGCATTAACTTACTAAGTCAGTTAAAACCTAACTATATATTAGGTATATCGATGGTTCAAATATCGATGGATACTTTATTCCTTAAAAATTGCTATTGAAGATTTTTCAAACTTAAAAAGATTTTAATAATTTGATACCGACTAAAGTTTTAGGGATCCCAATCAAACTAATAAGCAAATAATAATTTATTAATCTTTATTAAAATAATTCAAGCAACTTCAAAAATAAGTTGGTATTGTATTGGGATGGCAATTTGTGTAGTAGATTATTATGAGTTTAATTTCGAGCATATATAAGGCAATAATGGCAATGGAAAGATCTAAAGGAATAAATAGAACACATGCGAAATAATTCAAGCAACTTTAAAAATAAGTTGGTATCGTATTGGGATGGCAATTTGTGTAGTAGATTATTATGAGTATAATTCCGAGAATATATAAGGCAATAATGGCAATGGAAAGATCTAAAGGAATGAATAGAACACATGCGAAGGTGTTTTGCAACAGGCAGAATGTAAGATAATATAGATATTTATACTTGGTTGGGGCATCCTTAACGGGAGTAAAAATAAATAAGTAAACTATGCCAAAGCAAAGACAGTATAGGTAGTTCATAAATCGAGATTCGGCGATCATTGGGGAGTCCACTAAGAATACAGTAGTGCCACAAAAGCATGCGTGCACCGCACATATGGTCAGTGTTTCGATAGGGAAAAGACTGGCCACATATCCGATGCAAAGTGTTCTCGAAACTACAAAATAAAGATCGGATAACTATTGAATGGTCGTCCTAATAAATAAAAGCCACTACTACTAACCAGTAAGACAAAGCAGGAAAATAAATTGGAGAAACCGCCCCTTGGCCGCAATGTCATGTTTGTCCATTTGAACCAGGCGGTTGGAGCGGTTGTACGCCTGGATGCACCACGCTATGCTTCCAAAGTAGACGACGAAAGCAATCAGGCGATAGTCTGAAAAATATTAAAATTAGTTATTAGTACCTATGTAGTTTCTCCTTTCGATTTTCACTTTCTTCGAATATCACTTAAATTGGATTCGTAGCATTTAATTCCGCTGTCGAAAGTGAAAATCGCAAAAAATATAGTTAGGCTTTCTGTGAGATTATATATATATTAAATTTAAATAATCACAAAGACAGCCAAATTATTATAATTGTGTTACTTGTAATGTGCTTTGTTGATCGAAATACTATGGCGAGCTGTAATATTTTCTGCGGTGCAGATTCCAAGAATGAATCAAAAAGTCGAACGAAGCCAACATTGCACTCTTCCGTCATAAGTTTTTGATAATATCTGAAAAATAATGTAAAATTAAAAAACTAAGATTACTAAACGTCAGCAAACTTAGATCAAGGGCATCAAAACTGCAAGCGATACATGGAACTGCAAGGCCAACGAGATTACCAAGCATTGCATCCACTCACCCGATCTCCTTCTCATGATCATTTTGTCGTTTTGCTTTGGAATACTTAAGAGCATATTTTAGAGCATAGAAATCCCGAAAAAGATATGAGATCACAACATTTGAGTAGACTCCCCTATCCAAGATCTGTTTTTCACCCGAATCCGCGGCTTTTAAACTGAAATCAAATGTTATTTTGGATTAGAACTACTTTTTTCGATTTCTTACGTGTGTATATATATAACCGATGTGACTACCATGGGCACCAAGATTGAACCTACTGTCCAGCCAAAGTACCCGTAGGATTCCTCCATCCAATAATCGTAGGCCAGGCGCCAATTAATGAAGATAGAAATAAACCGCCATAGAATGGAAAACCCAGTTAGCACCATACTGAACTTCGAGACTGGCTCCATAATAAGGGCGTCCACTTCCGTCCTTTCTTCGGTAGCCATATTTTCATATTAAGTATAATATTGCACATATTATATTCCACATAATTCGACGGCCTTGACCGCTAATCTAAGATTATTTTACGCTTGGCTTAGATGTACCAAATGAGATTTTCGACTGTAAACATTGTTTTGGTAAGTAAATTCATCCCGAACTTGTTCTTTTGAAGAACAGGTTGATCGGTGCTATCGATGGAAAGTATCGATAGCTTCGATCTTGCTGTAGTTCTTATTGTTTATTATAAAAATATATTTATTATTTCTGTAGGGCACTAATAATTTTAGTTATATTTATTTTAAAATATTTTTAAATTTAATACAGCGTATTGTAAATATAAATAATTCAAAATATATATTTATATTCATAAATCGATAATAGTCGCAACCATCAAATGTCGATAGTTTCAATAGAACTAATTAAACCGTGTATCGTATAAAACCATCAATCGAAAGCCATCTCTAACCGACGGGTGGGATACAATGGAATTTTCTAATTGAATTAATTTTTCCAATTGTTTAAATGTACATTCAGTATCTTCTGATAATCCAAACAATTATGTATGTTTGAAGGAGATAAAACATACTAGTGCAAAACTCTTTCGTCGGCAGGTGACCTCAACAAGGTTAAAAAAAGTAAAAACCAAAAAAAAAAAAAGAAAAAAAAACACAAAATAACTGAAGATGACCAAAACATTTATAAACCATACAATCAGCATAATATGGCTAATTATCTTTAGCAATATTGGCATATGGGCCCAATTGGACATTGATCAAATCCAGACCCAACTTCCAGACCAACTAGCCAAGTCGAACTTTAGCTTAAACGATGCCAAGGAGCTGTTTCGCAACAAATGCATCGAGGTTGCCGGCGAGGAGGCGGGTGGTCAGGCGTACGGCGAAATCGAGTCTGGATTTATTGTCCTCACCGATTGCCTAAATGGCATCGTTAACTATACGGCGATGCAACAGGAAATTCAGGAGGCCAGTCCCAAGGGCGAACTCGATGTAGTATTTAATAAGTACTGTAGCAGGCGAACGAACGCCGTGGAATGTGTTGATGTGTTTACGGCCAAGCTTTTGCCTTGTTTGGTCCAGGAGGAGCGAGAAGGTCAGGATGTCATTAAGCAGATTATCCAGAGCCTGTTAAATTTCGTCTGTCACAAAGATGGCGATCAAATAGCTCTATTTATCGCTGAAAAAGGCCCCGAGTGCATCGAATCGCAGAAGGACAACATCCACCAGTGCGTGAACAATACCTTTTCGGAGTACCTAAACTTCTCTGATCTGCAGGACAATCGAATCAAGACGATCCCAAAGCTAACTGTTGGTCAAAAGCAGTGCGACGAAATGTTGACTCTGGAAGCTTGTGTGGTCAGCAAATTGGAGCAATGCTCGGACATTACACCAGCCAATCTCGTCGAGTCAATGTTCAACTTTATAAGAAACCAAACATTGTGCCGAGACAATCAAAAATCTCCTCTAGTCGCTGCGGTCAGTGGAAGTCGAGGGTTGCAACACATTATGCCTAATATTTTTCCTTACTTCGCTATTTATTTGCTTATTTTACGAGTTTCTTTTCAAAAATCTCCTTAGTTTTAAGATGCTTGTTTTTGTGCTCGAATATTAGCTTTTTATCCTGACAGATAATCTGTAAAACTTTTTTTTAATGCTTCAGCTTTCCAGTTTAAAGCGATTAATCAAAAAGCACGATAATCACTATTTTTAAGCTTTTGCTTTGCTAATAACGTAGACGTGGAACAGGATTCCATAGTTCAACAGCTTCTGGGGGTGCGCAAGTCAAAGTACTCAGGCAGCTAAATTTGTTGATTGCTTATAATTTGTGTAATTAACTTTCAATAATTGTTTAGAATACTCCTAAAAATGAGTTGGCCTATGTCATGCGTTCATCTCAATGCTTTATTTAAATTCGATTAAATTTTGGGGGCTTATTCGGTTTCGAGTTAAGTTTGTATTAAATCTTATATTTCACTGTGGGCAGCTAATGGTAATCTCACTATTTCATAGTGAATAAGGTACGGGTTTGGGATATGAAGTACTATCTATTATATTTGTATGAATAATGAATGAAAAGTTTTGTAAATGAATATACGTATCATTATTGTAAAAATAAAGTGATAAATTTGAAAATAAATATTATTGATAATAACATTAATGCAATATGTAAGAGAATAACCTGTGATGTACCGTAATATGTATATGGATTTGATCAAAAAGTAGCACCGTCATAAGTTTACAAAAACGGTATCATCAACGTAAAGCAGCATTTTATTTTTATTTATACAAGTTCATAAATTTGTGTTAAAAACTTTATTACATTTTCCTTTTTTTTTTTAATTTTTCTAAGCTTCTGAAATAGGAGGCACTGATGATATTTTTTTCATCTTCCATCGTTTCGTTAAAAGTACATAAAATGTGAATTTAATATATTGGAAACAAATATAAATTTTAACTTATTAAATATATCGTATTTGTTATTTATTAAAAAAAACTATTTGATTAAGACCCAATTTTTAAATAAAGCACCGGATGCTGTGACCCGCTAAATTCAACTATCGATAGATTTATTTTTGAAAATACGCGGGACGCTTGTATAAAAATTGATTTTTGGCGATAATGATCTTTGAATTTATATTCTTCATGAGAATTATATATTTTTTTAATTTATATTACAATAAATAAAATAAATAAATAAATTTATGTTAATATATACAAATAATTTTACCATCAAATTGATTATTGTGGTATCTTTTAATATCGTTCAAGAATATACTTCCTTTATATTCTTTTATCAAATCTAAGTGATCGCAAGTATCGAATCGCGGATAGAGATGCATTTTGCTGTTGAACGTGACCATTTTCTTCACATGGTAAGGAAATAGGATGAAAAGTGCGTTCGTATGTGCCCTAAAGTGATGTAACCGTTAGCCGGAGCGCGAAATATGCGGAATGGAACGCGTGTTTCTACCATCGTTTATATGGTATCGTAGTATCGTACATGCGGTCGCTCGTCATACACGATGGTCTCTTTCGGTGCAACTCTGTTTCGACAGTTTCGGTATAAGTCGGCAGCGGCATTTCACATTGCAGAGTCCGCCATTTTAACTAAAAAATCTATAACCCTAGCTTCGTCAGCGTGCAGTGCGAATAGGGGTCAGTTGCAATTTGGAATTCAGATTGTTCGCGAATATTCGAAAGCGTCGAAGATGAGTACTTTGCCTAGGGTATATTTCGATATGACCGCCGATGGCGAGCCCCTCGGTAGGATAATCATGGAGGTAAGTTAAATAGTTTTAAATTAAAATGCCTTTTTTATTTTTTAAGATTATTTTGTGGAAAAAGTGTATGAACACGTGATTTTTGAAAAGCCTTTTTTCGCGCAATTACCTCTGTAATTAATGGAAATGCCTATCTATTTACCAATAAAAGCCGCAAGTGACAAGTACGAAAGGTTAATTTTTTTTTTTCTTGACTTAAAAAATATATATGTACATTTGAGTGCAGTTATTTTCCATACTCATGCCTGAGTAATTGCATAGTACTTTTAAAGTTCTCACCAATTGGGTAAATGTTAAATAAATTCTTAATAATTACCTACATCTCTGAGTCAAGCATTTAAAAGTATTATCTTTGTAGAATGGAATTTTCCTTAAATTTAATTGACGTGTCGGCAAACTTTTGCTAGAATGGTGTGCAATTTTTTTTTACCGGTATTAATATGTATATGGGTGTGCAGTATATATACATTTAGCTAATGTATTGGTGTAGCTCTCATACCTATACACACATCCAGATCAATACAGGAACATAACCTCCAAGCGGTCACTCACATATGTACGTATAAATGTACAGTGTACACACAGAGATATATTCGGGTGTGAATGCGCGAGTTCTGTAAACTCGTTTGCAAAAATGAACTCACTATTAATTCCGTTGATGATGTAATGTAAGTGTATTTTACTTTTTTTTTTTTGTTTTCAAACTGTCCACTCCACCTAGCTGTATTTTTAGTAATCTGGGGAAAAAGTCATTGGCCGAATTTTAAAAGCCCACATGTCTAGGATTTTCCAATAGGATATGTATACGTACATACAGTGGAAGAAAATAATATACACCTTATCCTGAAACTTAATATGAAAAGTCTGGAATCTTTTTGATCACTGTAGGCATTTCCTCTATAAAGACAATGAAAACTTATACTAAACTTAACTAATTTAAACAATTGTCTATAATATGTATGACATATTTATTAAAAGTAATCTTTTTCTGCATATTATACAAGTTCCAGTGCATTTGACTGTTCGAGAAATTATATATGTATATTCTTATAGTATAGATATTTAAATATATATAAAATGTGAGTGGATGCAGGATTTGATTATTTGTTTATCATTTCCATTTGGTGTGCAATTATTTTAAGCCATTTGATGGAAAGTTCCAAAATATCCGAACACGAAAAGATTAAATATTAGTCATCTTTTCTACCGCATGCTAAAAATTCCGTTTATGTCAAAGGATTTAAAATGGCGCCGATAAAACGCAAAATTCGGCGTCGCGGAATCAACAAAACAGCTTATTGTTTCGCATTTTTTTTTTCGCGCACCATGGATTAAACAAACAAAAATGTGTAAATGATGTCAAGGTCGTGTGAATCGGATATGATTACAAATAAAACAAAAGCAATTGATCTGTATTTTTAATAATAAAGGCCAACAACCTTAGTGGGAAACTGATATGTTCCCCTGAAATAATATAGCAATTTATTAACCTGTTTGTTATTGTATATTTCAGCTGCGCTCCGATGTCGTGCCTAAGACCGCTGAGAATTTCCGCGCCTTGTGCACCGGCGAGAAGGGTTTCGGCTACAAGGGCTCCATTTTCCACCGCGTTATTCCCAACTTCATGTGTCAGGGCGGCGACTTCACCAACCACAACGGCACTGGCGGCAAGTCCATCTATGGCAACAAGTTCCCCGACGAGAACTTTCAGCTGAAGCACACCGGCTCCGGTATTTTGTCGATGGCAAACGCTGGTGCCAACACGAACGGTTCCCAGTTCTTTATTTGCACCGTGAAGACCGCTTGGTTGGACAACAAGCACGTTGTTTTCGGTGAGGTCGTCGAGGGCTTGGATGTGGTCAAGAAGATCGAATCTTATGGATCGCAATCGGGCAAGACCTCCAAGAAGATCATGGTCGCTAACTCTGGTGCTCTTTAAGAATGCGTAACAAACGCAAGATTACAAGAAGAAAAATCTGTTAAGACGAAAACCATTTGCATTTTCTCCAAAACATTTTTTTTTACCAATTACTGTAATATTACGAAATACAATACAACAATATTTTCAATAGACATGTTTAACTATTCCGATTGGGTTCTTTTTGGCCAATTATATTGTATTTGGGGGCCAAAATTTGAATATAAATAGAGAGCCTCCCCCTCTTATATCAAAGTGTTTAAATGGATAGTGAAGTTCCTTAGATCAGACGAAATAAAATGCTTCAAATCTGTAACTTTCACATTTCCATTGACAAAGACGAACGCATAAACAATGGGGCTTAGTAAAATGTTTGATGTTTGAAATTGGCATACTACAAAAAGTAGAGGCTAAATCTATCTACATATATATACCAACGTTCTACGATATGTACCGGACTCGGAATTGTAATTTCGTCTTAATAAAAGTTAAATAAAGGGAACTCAACTCTACTGATCAATGTGTTTATCATTGTTATTTGGTTTGGATAACAGATTTTTTTTATTTTATTGGAAGAATATCTCTGAGCTACTTAGAGTAGCATAGAGTAAATTATATTCATGTTCATAGGCATTAACATGTCGTTCGGTTATCGCCACCGTCTGGACAAGCTTCTCGTCCAGCTGCTCGGTCGCATTCTGCTGGCGTGCCAAGATTTCGCGCACCTTGGATCGCTCTTCGATTAGATGCTGAGTGGTCGTTTGACTCCAACCCAGCTCATGGAAATCTGTCTGCTGGTTCAGCATGTTAAGGATGTAGACCAGGCCAATTGCGAAGCCATCCTCGAACAAGGAGAACTTGTTCTGGTCCTTTTTGTGAATCTTAAGCTTCTGTTTGACCCTGTAGTCAATGTAGTTCATTATGAGCGCTGGTGTGATGAGGTAGAAGGTTCTTAAGTGGTGGTTATGCGGATTGCACAGAAAAGGTTGAAAGCCTTGCAGTAGAAGCTGAAATTTGATATCTTTATGCAATCGTATTTTGAAAAAGTAATATGCGTACCTTAAAGTAATTTGTGCTATCAGAATAGCATTCCTTCATATGTCCTAGGCTCTTTTCATATTCCTTAATTGAGCCCTTCGTGACTTGATGTACTTTGGAGCCACCTGAACTAAAGTTGCTATCGAGTCTGGTCTTAAATGAACGACTTCGGAAGTTTGCATTCTTGCTTCCTGCCTGCAGGAGGCGCACATATCCCACAGCATTGCCTAATTTCAAAAGTATTTTAAAGTTAATATCAGTCTGATTCCAATATACGAGGTGTGTTCAAAAAGTAAGGTGACTCTTCAAATTTCGCGAATTTCAAATTTTTCGATTATCGATTTTTTTGTTTTGTTATATTGGTACACTCTTCCCTAACATCTGTACCAAGTTTCAATGGAACATCCTCTTTTGTTTGGTTGTGAGAGGCGTAAAGTTACAAGTTGTTTTGCGAGCTCGGCGATTTTTTGCTATCGAAAAATATGGATCAAAGGATTTGGATTTTTTGGCCAAAAACAACACCACAATAATGCCTCAGCCACCATATTCACCGGATTTGGCCCCATGTGACTTTTTCTTGTTCCCAAAACTGAAGATAATCGAAAAATTTGAAATTTGAAAAGTCACCTTACTTTTTGAACACACCTCGTATAACTTCTAAAAGGTTTCGAAAATCGAAAAATTTGAAATTCGCGAAATTTGAAGAGTCACCTTACTTTTTGAACACACCTCGTAAGTCATTAAATAGTGTGTTTGTGATTTATAGGTCTTTACATACCAACTTGTGTTATAACCTTTCTAAAAAGGTCCATATAGGTCTCGCCATTGCCAGAGCAGCCCAACTTTCTGATCTTCTTGAGAAAGCTGTCGGCTCGCTCATATGGATACGATTGGTAGGGTTTGATGTGCTTGTGCTCCGAGTGAAATCGCAACTCCTTGAGCAGACGCGACTTGATCTGCTCGTCGTGCAGAAACGTGGAGAAGGTGTAGAACTTTTGGCGCAGGAACTGGTAAATAAAGTTCACGGTGGTATTGATGATACCAGTGCCGTGCGTCTGCACCGAGTTGGCCACGTGACGAGTGCCAATAATATCCAGATGTTTACTCTTACTATGTGTCTCTACGAATAATTGTAGGTTCATATTGTAGGCATAGGAGGAGGCAAACGTATGAATATTGCGCATGATTTGCAGCACGTCTATGCCCTTAACAACAGGAGGATCGGTAAGTTAATAGATTACAGATTGTAGATAGTGAATTAAATGATTACCTGATCAATGATTTGATTGGGTAGGTGATCATCGATGGGCCTCAGGTGCAATACCTTGTTGGCCAAATGACGCATCTTTTCGTACGACTTCCAGTCGTGCGGTGCGATCGTCGTTAGATTATAGAACGTTGCAGTAAAATAATTCTCAAGGTTATCTAAGAGATAGAATATTATGCAAATCAAATATCTTATTATTATGAATAACCCCTTTATATATTTTCAATTTCATCCTACCTTTAATAATATTATAATTTCTGCCGTTTTCAAAAGACACTGCATTAATGGAAAGCCGATAGTCCAAAGTACATTGCTGGAATGGTTGATCTTGGTCCTGGAACAGATGTGAAAGGGCCTCGACTCGCAGGAAGAACTCCAAGTGGTTGCTTAAAAACTCGATAATTAAATCGTTCGCCGATTGCTTGAGACACTTTGAACCCCTAAATATAGCCATAATCTTGTCCAGATGATGGCTTGCAGATACAATATTCTGCAAATATAAGCTTCAAAATTTTAGGACATTGCATTATAAGACGTAATAACTTACTTGCAGAGAGTAAGGATTGCGCTGGAGTTCGGTGTACTCCTTAAGCACCGAAGTGTTCAGGAACCAGTAATTATATACCAAACTCGAGGAGTCTGACGAGTCCATTTGTCCTCTTATATCACGCATAAACTTCCTAATATTATTAGCACGAAGTATAATTGATCTGAATAGCTTCTGATTGTCGGCGGGCAGATGACGATTGTCGAGAAACTCGCCAAGGGCTAGGTTTATAAAAGTCAGCCGTTCTTTGCTTGGAAAGCCCATAATAGACTTCTCGGCCAGTTTCATGGTTGATAAAAAGTTAATCTTGCGCTGGTGCAACTTAAGATCAACGATTTTCTTCTTTGTGGTGTGCAGTAGATGCAGAACCTTTTGCTTCTGCCATTGAATCAGTGAGCTAATAAATTGCACGAAATTGATTTGATTCGATTCAAAGGTATTTTGAATAACTTTTAGGTACTGTAGCAATCGATAGACGACAAACCAGTCGTGCTTGGACAAGGGCGTCATCAGAGCAACATGGCGGTTGATCAGTGAGACTGCCAGTTGGGTAACTTGATCAGCATACGAATGACCAGTGAGTATCAGCTGGGAGAAGGTCTTCAAGTGCCCAAAGACTCCGACATCAAATACCCTCTTCATCCGGATTGACCACAGCGAGATTTGTGTGCCCAATTGCCGACAACTCTTCTGATCGCTAAGCTTAAATTTTTCTAGGACGGTGCTATGGATTTTTAGGGCATGTCCATCTTGAGAACGGGCTGGTGATTTTATCAGGGTTTTGGCATGCTGCGAGAGAAATGCAGATGGTGACCAGAAAACACTCCGATTAAGCGGAACCTGTTTATGCCTAGCTACCAAGTCGACAATATTTTTCACCAGTTTCCCCTCCATTTGGATGCCAAACTCATGGATCACCGCCACAAAGGCAGTAAGGCGAATGATGTGCTTGGGTTCTTCATAGTTTTTGTACTCGTGGCTTTGATTCGCATCCATGTCAACAAGCAGCTTGCGAATATAGGCATTGGAATGCTGAGTGATGTGGTTAATAACGTTCAGGCTAAATTGCTTTTTCAATTCCATTAGGTTATCTAGAAGAATCTGTTTTAAAATATCCATTATAAGAGGTACAATAATGCTTTATGATATTCCTACCCGAAAGAAATCCTTTGTAATTAGATTTTCCATGTCAACTAGCGATGAACTGAGTCCATGGAGCTCCGAGAGAGTGGATCGGTTAGAGGATATACTATTATTATTGGACAGGTTTATAAGCCACTTTTTGTAGAGCGCCCACATAACAGAAATCTTCGATTGTCTTGCCAGTTCATTAAAAACGACTATGTGCTCCAGCAATTCAGTCATAACATCAAAGACAGCCTATAAATTCGGATATCAATATGTTATATTACAGACTTTTAAAGTATTAATATACTTACGAATATATGGACTTCATTGACATCCTCAGGCACGCAAACGGATGCGGCTATTTGCCTCAATAGATTTTGGAGTATCACAATCATGCGTTTGAGCAAAAAGTAAATCTGGCAAAAGAATTCCATTGAGCTGCTCATTCGGACCAAAGATCCTTCGAAGCCGAAACCATCTGAATGTGAAGAAAGCGAATCATCCAACCGAAAATCACTGAATAGAAATGCTAGCTGAAACCGTTTTGCCTTCATGGACAAATTTCTGCTCTGATTGCAGAGATTTGCCAATGTCGTCAGAGGTTTATTCGCCACAAGCTCCGATTCCTCAAAGTTCTTATCGGGAACAATTGAGTAGTTGTTAACAAAGTTGACCTCGATGACGGGCGACATATATATACAAGATACAGGCTCCAAAACGTCCGAATTAGGCACTTTATCCCTTAACAACTTCAATTTTTCATCATGTTCGGATATAAATGAGCCGAAATCCCTTAAAATATCCTCAGCAAACATAGCTAATATAGAAGAAATATAGATGAAGGCATGTATATGGATTTTATTTGAATATGATACGTACACATAGAGCTTTGCTCTTCCTTCATGTTTACCAATTTTAATTATGTTATTGTTTTGATTTTCTTATTAGTAATTTGGAGATGGAACATTTCAAGTGGGAGGTTTCTTCCTCGATAACGATATTTTCCGATAACTAAAAAGATTAGAACAAAAGTAGTTGGAAAATATATTTCTTACACCATGAATTCTTGAATACCTAAAGAACAATTTATTTAACATACATGTTTGCAAATTTAGTAATACACTATTTTTCATTTGATTGACTAAAATTGTCAAGATGAATAAGAAATAAAACAAATACAAAAAAACATATCCGATTTAAAGTGCAGGCGAAGAAACTTTGAAAACCTAGTTTGTCATCTCATTGTTGAAGAATTCTTTTAACAAAAAAGTTTTTGTTTGTATTTGTTTTATTTCTTATTCATCTTGGAAATTTTAGTCCATCAAATGAACAATTTTATTAGAAAAGTTTAACTTTAAAATATAGAACAAATATGTAAAATATTAATAATAATTTTTCTTAATGGTTGCTGCGGTGATTGTTGCGATTGTGGTATGTAACGGCCCCAAACAGCGTGCAGGCAAGAGTGTATGTGTATACACTAACACCAATGTTCCTAATGCCATTCGTTCCAGTGTATCGGCCCTGATAAATGCCGAAGAATCGAATCGCGTCGTATTTTATAAGTCATTGCAGGAATTATTTTTTAGCTATTGCTTTAATGTCTATCCTATAATACCACAAACCAATTGCACAACTGATTTAACTAATTTAGTTGTTAGGCGTGCTTTTCGTTGTTTTTGTATTATAATAAGACGCACGGCATGGAAACTTCTGAACAAGGTTTGTTACAAAGTTAAGTATCAATTGTATATTACTTAAATATTAATGTAATTTGAAGAAAAAACCGGAGGCAACGACGCCGCGAGCTTATTTGAAACTCTCGAGAAGACAACAACAGAGCTGGTCGCAAAGACAGTGGTGGAGGAAATTCGAGATTCAAATCCTGACGTGACCAATTTGGAAACAGTATTGCCAGAAAAGTGCAAGAGCAAGTCGCCATCTCCGGCACCCAAGGATGATGGCAAAAATGACGATGAGGCCATAACCGCCCGTTCGCGTAGTCGCAGTCGCAGTGGATCCAGGAAGAGTGTATCCCGCTCGCGAAGTGGATCACTGCGGTCACGCAGCGGTTCGGCTCATTCGGCTGGTTCCCAGCGTTCACGAAGTCGTTCCAAGCAATCCTTGAATGGTTCTCGGCGGTCCCGTAGTGGATCTGCCCGTTCCCGCAGTGGATCCCAGCATTCTGGTGCAGCTCCGAGTTCGCCAACTGGCTCCAGACGTTCTCGTAGTGGCTCCAGACGTTCCCGCAGTGGCTCTAGGCGCTCCCTTAGTGGATCTAAAAGATCCCGTAGTGGGTCCAAACGATCTCGCAGTGGCTCTAGACGATCACGCAGTGGTTCCAGACGGTCCCGCAGTGGCTCCAAGCGATCCCGCAGTGGCTCAAGACGATCCCGCAGTGGATCACATCGCTCCCGTAGCAGATCTGGCTCCAGGCGCTCCAGCCGATCTCGGAGCGGCTCAAGACGTTCGCGAAGTGGTTCGGGGTCTAGACGATCTCGCAGTGGATCCGGATCACGGCGTTCTCGAAGTGGCTCCAGGCGCTCCCGTAGTGGTTCTAGGCGCTCCCGTAGTGGCTCCAGGCGTTCACGAAGTGGATCGGCGCGTTCTCGTAGCGGATCTCACCGTTCTCGCAGTGGTTCGCGGCGTTCGCGCAGTGGATCCGGCTCGAGGCGATCTAGAAGTGGATCACGGCGTTCACGCAGTGGATCCGCACGCTCTAGGAGCGGATCTAGGCGCTCTCGAAGTGGATCCAGGCGTTCTAGAAGTGGATCCAGGCGCTCTAGGAGTGGGTCTCGACGTTCCAGGAGTGGATCCAGGCGATCGAGGAGTGGTTCTAGGCGATCTAGGAGTGGATCTAGGCGGTCAAGAAGCAGATCGAGGAGTGGATCTAAGCGATCTAGAAGCGGATCCAGGCGATCACGAAGCGGATCTAGGCGGTCTAGAAGTGGTTCCCGTTCGCGTAGTCGATCCAATAGTGCTGCTTCTCAAAAGGGAGCTCGATCCCGGTCCGGCAGTGCTATTTCCCAGAATGGAGCTAGGCGCAAAAGATTAGCTATTAGTGATTCCGAAGGTGAATATAGCCTACAGCTTATTAAATACCATTATTTATGTTGTTTCCATCTATAGACGAAGAACCGAAGGTGGCTAAGAAACGCGCAAAAATTACCGACACGGACAACGAGGAGGAAGAAGGCGAGAATAATGGGCTCGGCAAAGAGAAGTCACAAGACAAAATCACAGAAAGTTCAGACGATGAGAACACGCCAATTTCAAATGAACCAGAGTAAGACATTTTGCTATAAATCAAAATGTAAACTAACATTTACATTCATTGCAGTAGCAGCAACTTTATTTCAGACTTTGATGCAATGCTTCTGAGAAAGAAGGAAGAGAAGCGAGTGCGTCGTCGCAAGCGAGATATCGATCTGATCAATGACAATGATGATCTGATCGATCAGCTTATTATTAGTATGAAGAACGCCTCGGATGACGACAGAGAACTGAATATGATGGGTAAACCGGCTACAAAGAAAATTTCAATGCTAAAACAAGTGATGTCACAGCTCATTAAGAAGCACTTACAGCTCGCCTTCTTGGAACACAATATACTCAATGTACTTACAGATTGGTTAGCGCCCCTGCCAAACAAAAGTCTGCCCTGTCTTCAGATACGCGAGAGTATTCTTAAACTCTTGTCAGATGTAAGTTCAGTAGTCTTTAGTAGTCATTTATTTTTGTTTTATAACTTTAATGCATTCTCTTTTTAATAGTTTCCTACCATAGAAAAGGGACTCTTAAAACAGTCGGGCATCGGCAAGGCTGTCATGTACTTGTACAAACATCCTCAGGAGACAAAGACGAATCGCGATCGAGCTGGTCGCCTGATTTCCGAATGGGCCCGCCCGATATTTAACCTCAGCTGCAATTTCTCAGCCATGAGCAAAGAGGAGCGGCAGGAACGTGATTTAGCGCAAATGTCTCGCCATCGCCATAAAAGTGTAGAACCAGAACCAGCCTCCTCCAGTCAAGCCCAAACCCTGAATCAGACGTTGTCCAATGAGGACAAGCTGCTTCGACCTGGAGATCCTGGCTGGGTGGCACGCGCTCGTGTTCCCATGCCCTCCAATAAGGATTATGTCATCCGCCCTAAGTCCACAGTCGAGGGTGAAATCTCCACGGTTAGTTTTGCACTTTCGAGATTCGAACTTCAGTCTGTATATTTATTGACCTTCTTTGGACTTTCAGACAACAAAGCGGAAACCAAACCGATACGAAAAGCATATGAAACGTTTCTTGGACTCAAAGCGCCTGAAGGAGAGCCGCAGGGCCGTCGAGATATCTATCGAGGGTCGCAAGATGGCACTGTAAGCGGCATACTAGCTAACTTTAATAAATAATTGTAATAAAAATGAAATCAAATGGCACGAATTGAAATCCAAATCATAGAACAAAATTAAAGAATATATTTTTGAATATAATTAAAAATGAAAGCCAACCTTTTGAATTCCAAAGTCAATAAGAAAGAGATGGGTAAACAAAATGACATTTCGCGATGCCCTAATCAAGTTCCCAAACTGCACTCTTATCAACTATCTACAAGATTTTATTGTAAATGGATATGCAATAGAATTAATATGAGAGCAGTGATTAGATAAAAGTATGTAAACACTTCAGTTAAGCTATAAATTTCATTCGCTAACTTTTCCTGATAGGCATATTTACACAAAAGAATTAGAAAGCTTTGGTAGTTTGAAAAAATTGCCCTTTTTAATTTAAGAAGGATATATTTTTGAATATAATTAAAAATGAAAGCCAACCATTTGAATTCCAAAGTCAATAAGAAAGAGAAGGGTATACAAAATGACATTTCGCGATGCCCTAATCAAGTTCCCAAACTGCACTCTTATCAACTATCTACAAGATTTTATTGTAAATGGATATGCAATAGAATTAATATGAGAGCAGTGATTAGATAAAAGTATGTAAACACTTCAGTTAAGCTATAAATTTCATTCCCTAACTTTTCCTGATATGCATATTTACACAAAAGAATTAGAAAGCTTTGGTAGTTTGTAAAAATTGACCTTTTTAATTTTGATTCCGTCTAAAATTGAAAAATTCTTTAGACATACTGGTTTTTTTTATGATTTTTTTACCTTGCCTAAATAGGTTACTGCGCTTTTAAAATATATATAAATACAACTATAATTTCTTTAAGTGTTTACAACAAATTCGGGCATGAGATAGAATAGAATTTTTACTTTTAACAAACCGTAAGCAAGTCTTGAGAAAAAGTCAAATCTTTAAAATTATACATATGTTTTTTTTCATAATTTAAGATTGTTTACTTGATGCAGATTATTTTTTCTATCCTAATCTTGTGATCACGTTATTAATTTATTAGGGAATAAAAAATTAAGTACAGAAACTGAAAGTCAAACTTATAACTTTTAAAAATAAATAGTAAAAGAAATTTTATGTTAGTAAATGATAAATATGTCCGAAGAGATAATGTCCGACTTTCTGGATCGCTTAACCAAATACAATTTAAAGATTAAAGTTTGTTATCATTAAAAAATATAATTACCACTTCCAAGATTTCATAAAAACAAGGGTAAATATTTTCAAATTGAGTTTTTTAGGAACAAATTTTTTTAAATTTCATTCAAAAGAGAAAGAGTGTTCAAATACTCATTTATTTTTAATAGTTTTTGAAACTTTTTTATTTACATTGGTATGCAGCATACCAGGTTGAAAACAGTGTTATTTATATGCTTTATTTAATGTTCATCCATATTTATATTATTTAATGTCGTATATATTAAATACTACGACAGCTCGAAAAGCTTAGTAAGGTTATTTTAGTGCTAGTAACAAATACATAAGTGCACGACAATCACAAAGAACCCCAAGTGTGGAGCTACCATTATAAAATGGCATTAATAATAAAAGTCAAATTAAGGGCATCTTGGCACAGTTTTGTAGTGTGTCACCCAGTAGAAAATTAGTTACTTGTCACGACATTTCCACGACGGATTATCTCGTCAAATGGTTAAACGCCTTGTAGCAAAAGTTACTTGCTTTTTTTCCCCACTTATTTCAAATTACAAATTAAACTTTTCGATTTTTTAATTTGATTTAAATAATATAAAAAGACCCAGGCTATAACCAGTGTATATAACTCTGGTTACTATAGTCTGAATTCAAATCCCATCATCACATAGTACATTATTAAAAAAAAAATAATCCATCTTACCGAAGTTTCTTTTAATATTTAATTATTTAATATTTGAAATATAATCTTTATTTTCTTTTTCTTTTTCTTCTTATGTATTTTATATTTTTATCTAAGTAAAAAGCATAAAAACAAGGCAGGTTCTTAGGAAAATAGTTTTTGTACAACTCTATGATGTGTATATAGGGCTGTGGGCGTGGCAGCATCATCCAATTGTCTAACGGGGTGGCATTATTATCGCACGCCAATGTGTGCAGGCCCACTATCTCCTCGGAAATCTCCACCAACACCCATCAACACCCCACAAACACTTGGGTTTTCGGTCTCGTTTTTGGGTTCACCTCTGCTTGTCTGCCAGTCGTTATCGCTCAATATTAAACCGGTTGCGCCGCCGTCTAATTGTTCAAACGCATGTACGCTGTGCCAAGTGGCGGTCGACAGCAATAGCTCCTCCATAACTCCCATATAGTTACGCTGAAAAGTAAATATAAACAGAGATGTCGCTGAAGAACGAGAAAATCGGTATTGTGGGCAGGTAAGTGTGAGCAGAAACAAGAAAAATCGATTCTGAAGGATATAAAGGTGCTGAATCGTAGATATATATTCATATTTTAGCGGTCTGATTGGTCGCTCCTGGTCCATGTTGTTCGCCTCGGTGGGCTATCAAGTGGTGCTGTACGATATCCTGCCCGAGCAGGTGTCCACCGCTTTGACTGCCACTCAAAAGGAGCTGCTGGATCTCGAGTCCAAGGGTCTGCTGCGCGGCAAGTTGACTGCCGCCCAGCAATTCTCCTGCATCTCGGGTACCAATGACATCAAGGAGTTGGTCAAGGGTGCCATCTTCATCCAGGAGTGTATCCCCGAGCGTTTGGATCTGAAAAAGGCTCTGTATAAGCAATTAGATGCTGTTGTCGGACCCAACACCATCTTGTCAAGCTCCACCAGTACTTTTCTGCCCTCCCTCTTCAGCGCGGATCTGAAAAACAAGGCTAATGTGAGTAGAACTCTCAAGATTGGTTGGGCAATACGTCGTTTATATTTTACCAGATTTGAAAAACTTTATATGGTGGCTATACCTGCTGAATATATATAGATAAAGCCAGCTCAACCGACCTTGTTCTCAATTAAATCCAAATATTTGTGTTGTTTTTGATGAGAACAAAACAACTAAGGCCAACTACGCTTAATTTTATGAACAGGTTTTGGTCTCGCATCCCGTCAACCCACCGTACTACGTTCCTCTGGTCGAGATTGTGCCTGCACCGTGGACGAAACCGGAATGGGTGCAGAAGGCCCGTGCCTTGATGGAAGAGATTGGTCAAAAACCAGTTACTCTGTCACGGGAGATTGAGGGCTTTGCCCTGAACCGTATCCAGTATGCCATTCTTAATGAAACATGGCGATTGGTCGAGGCCGGGATCCTGAACGTCAAGGACATCGATAGCGTGATGAGCAATGGACTGGGTCCGCGTTATGCCTTCTTGGGTCCCTTGGAGACAGCCCATCTGAATGCCGAAGGCATGGCCAACTATTGCGAGCGTTACTCGAAATCCATCTATACCGTCAGTCAGACAATGGGACCAACAATGAAAATGGAGGGTCCAGTGGCTGACGAAGTGGCCAAGCAGCTAAACGAGATGGTACCGCTGGATCAGTTGGCCGCCCGCCGCAACTACCGCGACAATTGCCTCACCCAGTTGAGCATTCTCAAGAGCAAGCTCAATAAGTAACTCATTATCTTCGTTCTTTCCTTTTTTTTTTTTGTGATATGCTAGCGCCACATATGTACGTTAAATATACGGAAATCGTTTAAATAATAATCTCTTTTTATTGAATTCTTAAAGTGGTCTTTGAAGACAATTTAGTAGTGGAAAATTAAACAGATTTTACAAAGGATGTGCTTTGCAAGCGACTTATTTTAAATTCGGGTAATTTTTTTTTTAAAGATTTAAAGTCTTGAAAATATAGGATATTGTGGTCAAACGGCTAACAGTTGCGTTATTTAAATAAACGTTATTATTATTTTCTAGTAGTACGCTAAAGTATACTGCAATTTGATTAAAATTATATTATATTTCAATGAGATTTCAGACTTGGAAAATGCAATTAAACAGAAACTTATCCTTCGTGGCTAGGCATTCTAAAAAGTTAAAATAACTAATTAACTTGGTTCTCATTAACTAAAGTAAATATAAAATTATGGTTATATAGACAAACGTTTAGAAACGAAAACTAGGTGGCTAAAGTTTATAATTTAGTGCAGATGGCATATCAGTTGGCTTTATCTTGTGACGTCAGGCGAAAGGAAACAAGAACCAAAAATATAAAGAGATAGCCAAGCCGTCGTATTCACATTGTCGGTTTATCTTCAAGGTTAAAAACTTGACCTCAGACATCACATTTGGATTCACTTTCAGGCGACATTGCGCCACCGCCACGGGACAAACAAGTGCTTCCTATCTCTACTCTATGCAACTTATCCGGAACCGGACTTTTTGGCAAAGCTCTGGCCCCTAAAGCTTGGCGTCGTGTAGGAGGTATTCGACAGGCCTCCGGTTCCTGAGCCTGCGGCCATGCCCATTGGCTTTAGGGATCTGCGTTGCTGGGACCGCATTGGGACCGGCAGCGGTGTGCTTGTGCAGGACATTTTTTGGGTAGGCTTGGTCCTAGAAGATATGGGCGTCTCTGGGATTCGTGGATGAACGGGATTCAGGTAAGTGGACTCGCTACTTGCAGTCACCTTCATAATCGGAACAACGGGTTTGATAGGCTTTGTTGCCTTGATGGTTCCACTGGGCTTTACCATCGATTCTGTTATTGATGGATTCTTCAAACGGCTGCTCATAAGGGTGCGCCTATTTTCGTAGGCCTTAGTGGACGGATTACTGGGTGTGGAAAAGGAGTTGCTTCTCTGTCGAAACGAAGCTGCTGCACCCATTGGCCCAACAGTGGCAGTGTTTTTAGCTTCCCTAGGCGGCGGAAGATTTTCTACTTGTCGATCGGATTTCAAAACTTCCCTAGGCAGCTTAGACTTGTCTTGTATGGACAGTGACGATGATCGACGACGCATTGTATTGGAATCACTTAAGGGCATCGGATTCGCTTTCTCAATGCAATTGGAGGGAAATATTTGCTGATTACTGTAGCTGCTGGGATTTACCAATAGTATGACTGTCCTCGGATCAATGCCTTGTTTTTGTTCCTGATCACCAGCCTTTGCAAGTTTGTGCCGTTCCAGGAGTTCGTTGATCTGCAGAGCGAGAGTTTCGTCCACCAACTCTGTCATATAGGGCTCTTTTCTGGTTACTGGAACAGAAGGTATCGATGGTATGGATGGTAATATAGAAGGTATCGTTGGCAAGTTCTTATCGAATGGCTCCAGGCGGGATTCGCCATCGAAAGTGGCTGTAGAGCAGACCATGGCATCGGGAAAGTTTTGAGCCTTATTACCAAGCTCCTCGCTCCCCTCCTCCTGAATCTGATTGGCATCTAATGAACGCTTTGCCCTTGAGCCCTGAAATTAGATAATTTAAGGAACTTTAGAGGGTAATAGATAGTCATGATATAACTTTGCAAGTAAGTACGTACTTAATAGGTATAAGACTCTACTTTTAGACTATTTATTAGAGCTTCGATAGAGGAGTTCTAAAAATCATTACCTGAAGTTCGAGATCAAATGTACCCTGGCGGGTGTATGAGTAAGACGGTGGAATCGTTAGTTCTGTCCGGGCCTCAAGACAATTGTTATTGGGACCAAAAATGACTGCCGCAATGGATTCAATTGCCGTGTCAAATATATGCCACTTGGTCCTTTCGACGTGTTCGTGGGCTAATATCTTAAGATCCTGCAATAGTTGACCCAAATCTTTGCTATTTGATCGATGTTTTGGTGGCTCTTTTGGACTTTCTTGACTTATATCATAAATTTCGCTTGCTTGCTTGAGGCGTTCATCTGCTTTTTCATTCTGCTCTGCATTATTTAAAGCATCAAGAATCGGTATGCGTAGCATTTTAAGGTCTTCCTCGAAATTGATACTAGAGGACATAACGTCGTCGTCCTCAATAAGCTTCAGCGGCGATTCTGCCGCCAACATCTGTAGGTTTTCGTTCATAATAGTTTGCTCTAACTCCGTTTTGGATCGATTCTGAGGCGGCGTGTTAATCACGGATCGTGAGGCATTCAGTTTCAGCAACTGTTTTTGAAATGAGCTGTTCGAGCGCTTCTTTTGTGTTGTTTCTGACGATACTGACATCTTGTCTGTCTGCATGCAAACCGGAGGACTCTCGTTATCAAGATCAGGATACTGTCGTTCGGCACTGGACACCTTTTCCTTTATCTGCGTCTTCAAGGTCATCCCCTGAAATTATAAATAGAGATAGGTAAGTGGTACTTTATTTGAAAGCATTACTTAGTATATTAGCCATAGGGGACTATTTCCGAGATAATTTATTATTACAGCAGTAAACGCGACCTAACCTTACCTTAATGCAAGCTTCCTTCTCCATCAAATCGAAGGGATCGTAGGGGCCCTCAAAGTTTGAGACAACGACCAAATCCTCCGGCTCCTCGAGCAACATCTCCTTATTGGGCTCATCCCATTCAGTCAAGTCAATCAGATTCCGGACATCACACATCTTTGCGCAAACACAATTCCTTACACAAAAATTAAAAATAAAAACTTCGAAACAACGCCGTGTTTGGCGCTACTACGATGGTATGTGTTGAAATTATCGATAAATGTTACCTGAGGTGATAACACCTGTTTTCCCGTCAGATTCTTTATAATCCGGTCACACAGAATATCAATATCGAAAACATGTCTTTTTTTGTTTATAGAAAATAAACTAAATTTTTTTTTTATTCGCGCCGGGCTATAAAAATCTTCACTTTACATTGGTTGAAAAATTGGAGGAACAATAAATGAATTCCTGGTCACACTGCCTAGCAATGTCTTCTTCTTTTAAATATTCAAAACCAAACGAGGTAAATAAAAAGTCGCATCCTTTGTTTAAAGATTGTATTTTAATTTACAATTGTTTCCATATATCCACATATATATTTCTAACAAAATTGTATAATTTCGTGTTCTATATAAACGCACAGATGAATTTTTCGCTATTATGGTGCTAACACATATGCAATAAATATTTTTTGAGTAATAATATGTACATATTGATACAACAGAGGAGTCTTAAATTAATTGGGAAAAGCTCTTAGGAATTTGCAGAAGACGTCTCTTCGTCCTTCACCTGGGACTCGATGGGTACGGCATCGTAATCCTGGACATTTGTTGTGACGGTCGTGTAGCAAGCTCCACATAGCCTAACTGGATTAAAAAGCTTTTCATTTGGCAAAGGCGCCCAAAATTCAGAGCAGTCAGCACAAAAAATTTCTCCACATGATCTGCAAGTATATTAAATAAAGAGGTTTGCTTTATTAACTGTCCGAACAGGAGTTTTGTTTATTGAAAAAAATTGTTTAATTTATTTTCCTTTTAGTACAGTTCTACTGACTTGGTTGTAATATTTGTAAAAGTATTGTTGCCTTATAAGCCTCATTAAATAACCATAGTTGTGAGAATAGGAAACTCCTCTAACTTAAAAATAAATTCAGTTCATTAAACTCGAAATTTTGTCAAAATAATGGTTATATGTTTTTATATATTCTTGATTAGCATAGTTGACACTGTTAGTATAGTCATGTATCCCAGTAAAATAACTAAATTAAAACATGAATTCAACATAAGTTGAATATCAAGCATTAGCAAAATTCCGTCTGAATATTAAGAGCTAAAAACAGTATTGCAAAATAATCAATAAGGTACGAGAGTTTACTAATTTACTGTCTATAAGGGGAAGGGTTTTTAATTATTTGTCTTTAAAATATGTTAACGTGTTAATATTTAACTCAAGCTAAAAATCAAACATGTATGGAAAATGTTTTAAGAGTAAAACAGTAAAGTTTCAAGTGTTGGATGCGCACCGACAATGATGTTTTCTTCGTCCAAGCCAGAACTCAGTTTGACAACTAGAGCAACGCGAAACTGCATGATCTGGTACCCAAAGGACACTGGAGGCTTTTTTCTCTTGGATCGAGGAAGGGGCAAATGATGGGGGGCCACTACGTTCTTCGACAGCTTCCCAGGAACATGTTGAAGCATTTTCAACGATATCCGATCCATTTTCCTAAAGAAGAGTTAAATGATTAGACGACTGAAAGTTAATGAACAATCTTACTTAGATTAGATAACAATGTTTGGCTCGTTCAACGCAGTACTATCATGCGCTAAATTTTCTTGCCTCCAGGCATCGGCAAATTTGTTAATAAATGTTATAAATGTACAATATTTTGTCACTTTGTCTTCGTGACAATTCCTTATTTACCCTTTCTTTTAACACACATTTCATTATAATGGGCTATATCTAACATTAACCACGCTTTTCAAGAATATATGCACGTAGATTATAAGTAAAACGAATATTAAAAACATTATTTACATGTTCCAAATTTGTCGAAACGATGCTATTGCAGCTGGGGCAACCTTTTTCCAACAATGCTAGACGCATACCGTGAATTTCCCGCAGCAGCATTTCCTCTCGTAGCTAAAAACGTTTATGAAAGTTATATAAATTGATTTTAATTGGAGAAAGGTATTAACTTTTTACCTTGTGTTCTTGTACGATCTGGTGGAGTCTTATATTTTGTTCGCTAAGTCCATGAGCTAAGCCATCTGGACAGGATATAGTGAACTGAGCCCTCTCCTGAAATGGTGTGGGAGGCAACGAAATGACTCCCGACGAAGGGAATTGGTGTGCGCTGAAAAATGTATATATATTTTGTTTAATTCTTTCCAATGTGTTTGAGTTTTTAATTATCATCTTACTTACCTGCCGTTTTCTGCTGTGAATTTTATGTCACGACTATAGCTCGACCCAAAGGTATTCCGACGTATTCGACCGCCCGAGGAAGGTGCATCAAATGGTGAGTGGCCAATGAAACGCTGGAGGTCAGGGGATATAAAAAGACTTTCATCAGCGTGGTAACCATCCGATGCCAACAGGGATCCATTAGCATTGGAATCTTTGGACAACTTCTCCGCCTTGCAACGCTCCGTGTTTTCCCTTGGCACTTGTAGGTCCAGATGATGCGGAAAAGTATCTCCACGCTGCGGGCATATCACTGCATTTGGTTTTATGTGAACCTTGGGCAAATTATTATAGCTCTGACTGATTTTACTGCTTTGGACTGCAGTTGTAGTCGACTCTGGCTTTTTATCACCACTGACCAGGTCGATTGGGGGTTGTATAAGGTCTCTACTGCTATTGTCGCTGTTCGTTTTTTGTACGGGCTCTGCGGGTGTAAGGGTATCAGTGCTGGTTTCAATTGCGCCATGCCACAAAGCGCGACAAATATCACTTGTGTCTTCAGATTTTGAAGGAACTGGATTTTGATCTGGAAACATTGTACAAGTTGAATTTCATTTTTGTTTTAAATGATGATAATTTCAATAGAATCTCTTACCGTTTTCGGATTGATCCAAAACGTGGACAGATCGCTCGGATCCAGTGATCTGTTGCTGTGAGGACACCAAGGAACTACGTCTTTGCGATTGTGATGCTACTTCTAATATATCACGGTTAGAAGCTGTACTTTGGTCGTTGTGGAACTCTGGAATGGGATTTTTTGAAAGGCCACATGGACCTTTTTCAGTTGCATCCGTTACGTCCAGCTCAAGTTCTTTGGAGTCTTTAACACTTTCTTGGACATTTTCGCTAAAACTATTGTCGGTCTCAGATCGTATGTCAAACATAGAGTTTCTATTCGCATTGAAACAATCTGTAACACTGAATCGCAAAGAAAAAAATATAGTTAATTTTTCCGACCATTAGTTGATTAGTTATAATTGGACCTACATGGATTCAACTGTTAGGTTCGGATCACTTGATCTTCTTGAAATAGTGCTTTGTCCCAATTCATTCGTTGTTAAGTCTTCAGAAGATCTTGTCTTCGCCATTAGGCCTTTATATTGTGGGTATAAACGAAATTATGACAACCCACTGTTACGGTTATTTATATTTTACACTCACCGTTGTGTCCACTCTGTCTTTCATTACTTAGTAATGATAGATCAGTTCCATTTTTGTTGCCTAAACTACCAAGGTATACATCGGACCAAAAATATAAAAACCGCACACTGTGCGCTGGCCAAAGAACCTAAAATACAGTGAAATCATCAGCATTAGCATATTAGCATATGTAATAAAAACGGAATCCAAGAGGATAGCTACCTTTTCAGTCTCATGCTTGTAGAGAGGATTTCTATACATAGTTTCAGCTAAAAATGGCCACACCGAAAACGTTCGGTCGAAAACTGAATTTTCGATTCGTTCTCTGAGCGAGTTACATAGGAACGTGCCGAAGAGACAGGACAGCGAATGTTGCGCCAGTTTAATCTATAAAATATAATAATATATTATAGTCGAAAACCCATACCGTACTCTAGTGCGGAACTCACCAAATAACTTATACTGAACTCAAAGCTGCATGGATACTGTCTGTGTATTTGATGCACCAGATCAAGCCACTGCAGGAAAACTGGGCATCGCTCGTTAACTTCGTCGGAATTCGGACCATTGCCGGAGCGATCGGCAAACTTGTGGCCGAAATTCAACCATTCCCGCTCAACAAGAACACGGAATCCCTGCAACAAAGGCAAGTAAACATTACATTTTAGTCTACGATAAAAGTAAAATTATATCAACGTACTTCTATAGTCCTGTAGTACGGATCCAAACAGAGTTGCGCCGTAGCCACAATCTGAGGAGTGCGATCCCAGCCATCTGAACAGTGAACAAGTACAGGCCGTCCATTCTTCTCGATTGTGTGCACAACGGTCATAGTGGCTCCCAACAAACCCGAAAGATGCTGCATCCACATGGTCTTTTCCAATTGTCCATACCAACTATGGGTTCATACAAAAACGTTAGGTCCGTTACGCAGGTTGCTCTGATAAATTGTAATTATAAACTCACTTTGGATCATCGGGAGATGAGGCGCAAAGCTGTCTTACAGCGTGAAAACTTTTTCGGATAGCATGGATATTGCCCAAGTTCATAAACTCAATCTCTGCACAGGGATAGTACTCGATACACTCACATCCGCCACCTCTGGCCCGATTTGTAACTGCAGAAGTGTAGCTGCGGGCGTCCACAATGAGGATTTTCTGAAGTGAGATAAGGTATAATATATTAAGGTATTTATTAAATAAATCACTTCATAAATTGTATTTCTTATTATATAATATTGTTTACTTTTAAGCAAAGATAACTTATGTGATTAACATTTTGTATTGCGTTACATAATTTAAGCATACCTTAATTTCATCCATTGTGAGTTCCTCGTGCGAAGAATCGTCCAGAGATGGTGAGCTTTTGCCGGATAAGCCTGACTGGCCATTGGTCTCCTTGGAACCCTTTGTTGGTTGAGCCTTCGTATTGGCGAATGAGGAATGCCTGGCGTGCTCGCCTCTATCAAAGGCACAGGCATCGGCCAGTGCCTTGAGTAGCTGCTCGTCCCTGGTGTTACGCCAGCCGAGCCAACCGACCTCTGGCTGGCTGCATCGGGCCAAAATAGCGCCCGACTTTTGATGCCGCCAAACTACCGCTGGTAATCTTCGCGATCCCCTAAAGTTTGCCACATTGTGCAGCATTTCATCGGTGATGCAGCAGGGCACAAGCAATTTCGGGGGATACGAAGGACAGAGCTTGAAATCCGCATTGGCTGTTGAGATGCGCCAGGAGCCCTTCAGATCGAAGCCCAAACGGGCCACTTCGTTTTTAAAATCACTTTCATAGCGGACTGATCGCTGCAGGCGGTTGCTCATTACAGAGGTAACGGTCTCGCTGGCAGGATCATGCAAAGGATTGTTTGCTGTGACGGTGGCTGTGGGCTTGGCCGAGCCATTATGTAGCGTTAACGAGCGATCCTTGACAACCAGACCATTTCCGTTGGCCTGAGCACTCCCGCTTCCACTTGCATTTCCACTTCCGATCACATCGCAGGTCCATGAGTAAAAGGGAAAAGCAAATAGTGTCTCTAGTGTTTCTGGCACACCGATAAGCAGGTGGATGCGGCGCTGCCAGTCAGCACACTGTTCCGCCGACTGAAAAGAGCACCGAACCGTGCTGGCATCCTTGCAGTTCACAATCAGCTGAAATAGGTCCCGCACCTGAACGGATTCTATTAGACCCAGTGGAACGTACGTCACGTAGGCGGTTGACTTTTTGGAGAGAAATATCCGGTAATTGGATAATGCAAGTATGCCATCATCCGTACGTCCCAGGTACTTAATCGATTCTCCGGCCACTATAATAGGATGTATAATACAGATTACTATATATTTACATGTACATTGACATAAGTAAGCGACCACCTACACTCTTGAAACGGGACAAACAGCTGTGAGTCTTCCTTCTCCATTTGTGATTTTGGATACGATTCGGCGGCACGGATAAAGCAAATCGATGGAGGCGGTGATCCATCGGACATTGTGTGAATCGGCTAAAAGAATACTTGGCATGTAACGTTTTCGAAATTACTTATTTGCCTATATTTAGGCAAGGCAAATAAGTGTCATTGGAAATCCGGTTATCGCTTATAGCTGGATATATATGATATATCCACCAACCGAATACATAATTACGCACATCTATCTGTGTTTGTGTGCGTGTATCTGGTTGGTAAGTATTTTACTGCCTTAAATAAATAAATAATACATTGTAAATATATGTAGGACATGTGCATTAATATGTGCACAAACAAAGCAAAATAAATATCATTGGCATGATAATTTGGACACAATCAGCACTTTTAGAACAAATCGAAGTTAATATTTGAGTTTTTGAGCGTGTCGTGGTGGCAATATAGATAATGCAGTGCATATACTATGCACGTATATATTTATGAAAGCACACAAATGCAGTTCCACAAGGTGCGCAATACATAGTGTGTATGTATGTTTATATGTACACATGTCGCTACATTACATACGCACATACATATATATCAATAGTCTAGATTATCACAATTCCATAACCAATAAGCGTAAAACGGCCGATTATCGTACTCAACAGACTCTAATGTCTGTGTATGTTGTCATAAACAAAGTAATTAAACATTTACGCATGTGTACGTTTGCATAAATGTATATATATAAATATATTTATCTAAGTATGCATATATTTCGATATTTCAAAGAGCAACAATAACACATTACAATCGTTACATATGTATGCACACACATTTGATTTTGGTTTTTTTTTTAGGTTCCACAAAACGATCGGGCCTCAGCCTTTCGGGGTGTTTAGCTCAAAAACGAATTGCCGAATTGAAAACGCGCTTTGCTTCTAGCTTTTCTCGCTCTATTTACCACCATAAAATCCATAAGCGTCAGCTATTATAAACAAAGATTTGCAAATGTTGTTGCACATACATATGTATGCATATGTATTCATTTAGACACTTTTTGTTTCATTTCCATTGAAATTGCTATCGTTATGATATGTATATATATCGTTATCGATGTTGCCAGAGATGGGATAGTCATGTGACGGCACTATCGATACCCTATATTGCCCAAAAGTGTGCTTGGCGAGACTAACCAACACTGGCCAGCCGATAAAATCAACCAAATTGTTAAAACATATATTCTGCGTACGTTTGCATTCCATTCCAGCTGATGAGTAACTGAACTAAACCGATCGCTTGGACTTTCCGCCGGTGCACGCAAATCCACACCCACTCCACACAACTTCACTCCAGCCACACTTCCCGTCTGAATCGGAATGACAATGTTTGGAGCGAGAATCGGAAAGCTTGGGCCGTGTATGGCCCTAGTTGCGGTGAGTCGACGTGTTCTGTTCTGGTTCTAGCGCTGAATCAGAGGGCGGCAAACGAAAACATGATAGGGGAATGGGGCTGGGGCAATGGTTTCTCCGAAAAAGTCAACCAAGCCGGCTTTTCTGTTTCATCGAAGCAGCATATCTGCTCAACTAACCAATGCATGGTGTTCTTTTTAAAATTCCAGATTCTACAGATCCTCCAGCAGACACACCCGGCAGAAGCCGCTGGAGCCGTGCCCATGACCAGTGATAATATTGATATGACCCTAGGTGAGAGACCGAAACTTTAGGCACTCCCGCAGCTAGCGGGACTAGAAATCAATTAACAAATCGACTTACCCCATTGACGTGTCACTAAACAAAATCAGTGGCCCGTTCAATTCGATACTGCCAACGTGGTAGATTGGGTTTTCAACGATCTGTAACAGGAGTTAATGCGGATGCTGAATAGAATTGATTAGGGAGGTTTTTTCATGGTGGATTTATTTGCGCTGATCCGCAAATGGAATTAGCCACACGAGAGCGGTTCAAGTCAGGTCCATTGCAAATATGTCAATTTTAATTAATTTGCTTCTATCTGTAGTCCTGTAATAATAGTAATCTACTTCATAAAAGGGTCTATTATTATTGATTTTGACATGGTTAGATTTTGCTGCGTTATTACCAAGATCTTTTAATGTCAACCTGTCAGAGACGTCATTTCATGTTTTTATTTGTACAGAAGTGTTTTTCTTATTGACAGTTTTAATCGAATTTCATTAACGTTCTTGTTAAGGTTATCTATATTTTTCTAGATATGATTTTTTACTGTAGTTCTTCGCTTTAATTACAACCTTTTAAAGATTATCATATTTAGAGAGAGAAATGAAAAACGTTTTAAAACATTTCGGTTTTTTTATACATACATATATATTTCATTTGATATCCCTATTAGATTAATATATAAATTTCTAGTACATGAAACCCCTATAATAAACTCCTTAATATACATATAACAAAAGTTCAAAAATTGATACAATTCCTGGTAATATCTGTTATGAACACAATCGCTTTTAGTTTGCCACACTGAGACACACACATACTATTTCACACACAACTTGGTGCTTATTACATTAAACACGCTTTGTTTTTTTCCAGCGTCTAATGAATTGGTTTTCCTTAATTTTTATGCGGAGTGGTGTCGGTTTAGTAATATTTTAGCACCTATATTTGGTGAAGCTGCAGATAAGGTGAGTCAAATGCATCGGTAGTGAAAATGCAAAATAAACTTTAGTATTTGCATGAGTTAATACGTGGCATTGAATTGTCTTTCTTTTTGCAGATTAAAGAAGAATTTCCAGAGGCGGGCAAGGTGGTGCTAGGAAAAGTGGATTGCGACAAGGAGACGGCCATCGCATCCCGTTTCCACATAAATAAGTATCCAACCTTGAAAATTGTCCGCAATGGACAGCTCAGCAAGCGCGAATACCGAGGACAGCGTTCGGCGGAGGCATTCCTCGAATTCGTCAAAAAGCAGCTCGAGGACCCTATCCAGGAGTTCAAATCGCTCAAGGATCTGGAGAATCTAGACTCAAAAAAGCGTCTTATCCTGGGCTATTTTGATCGTCGGGACCAGCCAGAGTATGACATATTCCGCAAGGTGGCGACAAATCTGAAGGAGGACTGCCAGTTCCACGTGGGCTTCGGGGACGCCGCTCAGGCTATGCATCCTCCTGGTAAGATCTAACTAAGTTCTTATGTTTTCCGATAGTAATTTTAGCTTTTTTTGTTCCAGGCACACCTATTATAGTATTTAGGCCTGATGTGGCCCTGTCTCATGAAAACGATGAGACCTACACTGGAACCTTACAAAATTTCGATGAACTTAAAATTTGGATCCAGGAAAAGTGTGTACCATTGGTACGAGAAATTACGTTTGAGAATGCAGAAGAACTTACGGAGGAGGGTCTGCCGTTCCTTATCCTTTTCCATAACCCTGACGATCATAACTCTATCAAGGATTACAAGTCGATCATTGAGCGTCAGTTACTGGATGAAAAACGTAAGCTAATACAAATTTATTGTTGAATATTTATTAGGCATTGTATTTATAAAACTTTTCAGAGAACGTCAACTTTTTGACCGCTGATGGCAAGAGATTCGCGCATCCACTACACCATCTTGGGAAATCCGAAGATGACTTGCCCTTGATTGCCATTGATTCGTTTAAGCACATGTATCTGTTTCCCCACTTTAGCGACATGTATTCACCGGGTAAGCTAAAGCAGTTCCTTCAGGATCTCTACAGCGGCAAGCTGCACAGGTAATTGAAATGAAACAAAGTATATCTGCTTGAAAACTGAATTATCTCTTCATTTAGGGAGTTCCATTACGGGCCGGATCCCACGAATGATATTGAACCTGACCCTCACACCGGCAAGGGTACTTCACCTCCAGAATCAAAATTCAAGGAACTTGGCCCATCAAAGCACCGCTACACCCTGCTAGAAAAAGATGAACTGTAATATAATTATGTATATTAAAAATAAAAGAAAATTTAAAAAATGTAATCAACTTCCATTCTCTTTGGAAGCCTGTGAGCAGAATTCAATTGAAAGTGTACGCAGGTGGCACATTGATTCTGTTTAACGTAAATCTAAAAATAAAGTCTGAATTTAATCGACTTTTGTAATTGCAAAAACAATTGAATTATTCACGAGCGTGACATACTCTCATTTGTTATTTAAAAAAATTATGCTTTTGTTAAATGGTTTCGTAGAATTCTTTAAATTATCAACCTGCGCCTGAAATTTAATAAACCCATCAGCTATAATCTGATATATTGAAGTCCCTCAGACAGTTTCCATAATAAAAAACGTAATTCATTATTGTTTTTGAGTTTTATACATATATACATATATATGTGAGCTATATATATATATATATATATATTTTATTCGTATGTACCTTGTTACAATTACAATTGTTAAATTAGATTACATATATATATAAGTCAGTCAAATCGAGCAATAACCGTGTCCGTGTTGCCTAGAAATCGGTTCAAATGAAGATGTGTGCTGGTATTTAAGTTTAGCTCTGACTGGTAAATTTAAAAGTACATTTAAAAGAGTACTCGCTACAATTAATACGTTAATGTGAAAAAATAGATGCCATCGGAAGGCATGCGCTTAGTATGGCCTGGAACGCATGCCTCCATCGTTCCTCATGGGACCACCGCCATCCCGACGGTTTCCACCACCTCCTCGACCACCACGTCCACCACCGCCACCTCCACCATTGTCATTGAATCGCGAATATCCGCCACCACCTCCTTGCGAGTTGCCCCCGCGATCTCTGTTTTGATATCCACCTCCGCCAGATCCGCGATCATTTCCTCGGTCATACCCTCCGCCGCCACCACCGCCGTAGCCGCCGCCGCCACCACCGCTGGAGCCTTCATCATCTCCCTTGGGTGTCTTGCAACTGAAAGTAAAAATGGCATTACAATCGGAACCTTCCAGAGCGAACAATTTTCAGTCCCTTCACTAATTCTTACTCATTAAAATGCCTTATCAAGAATAATAAAATGAAGGAATTCTTTAGGTTTGGGCACTGATAAGTGACAAAATTTTCAACAATTTATATTTAGAATTTTTTTTTTTAAGCAAGATAAAAGTTTAGTGAATAGAAAAACTGTTGCTAAGTCACCCGGAAATATGTTCTAATATAGTTACATTGCTTACCGATTGCACTCATTGCGCCAAGCGAAGTTGGTGTTATTACAGCTGTTGCACTTCCAGTCGCCATCACGTGGTTGCACATTGCCGCCGCCAGATCCGCCGCCGCCTCCACCACCACCTCCTCGATCGAAGCGTCCGCCGCCACCTCCATTACCGCCACCACCGCCTCCTCGATCAAATCGGCCTCCACCACCACCACCTCCGCCGCCACCACCACCGCCTCCGCCACCACCACGTCGTCCACCAAATCCACCGCGACCACCGCCGCCCTTGTTCCAGTTATTCTGGCGCTGGGCCAGCGACACCTTGATCGCATTGCCGTTAAAATCCCGTCCGTCGAACCATTCGATGGCGGACTGTGCAGCATTGGTGTCATCATAAGTGACAGTGGCTTCTCCCTTTGATGCACCGGTCTCCTTGTTCTTGTACAGCCAAATCTTAGGCTTCATCGTACGCTTGTCTTTCTATAAATTCAAATAAAATAAAAGGAAGAAGATTAAAATGGATTTCTAGGAAGACAATCCTATGACTTGCCTTGATAATTCCAATAGCTCCGAAGTGTGTTTCAATATCCTGCTCGGTGGTTGATGGATCCATGCCAGAGACAAAAATTGTGTCCTCCTGGGTGATCATGTCGCCGCCACTGGAGCCACCGCCTCCTCCTCCACCGCCGCCGCCAGAGTATCCACTGGGTCCTACAAAAGCGAATGTTATATTAGAACGCGTTGACAAAGTATGGAATAGCTTAAAATGGAACTACTTTTATAAATTATTTATTTATCTTCTTTTTTAAAATGTTTCCCCTCAGTTCAACCACCAAAAACGCAACGAAGGTGAAGGCCGAAGTACACGCCCGTATATATGTATAATATCAAATCCTATCCCTTGGCTGTCCGTGATATATATATATATTAACCATCGTCTTTGCGGTGTATACTTGTGTTTGAAACCAGAATTTCGAGATGTAATCGAAAACCTTTAAGGGGTGGACAACTCAAGGAGAGAAATGGGGACACTTTTAATGGATTTCAGTCGGGATTCGAGCTTTCAAGGCCAGACTAACTGGTACATCAAACATAAACTGGTGAGCCCAAACTGGAGTAAATCCGACCAATAATGCACCTTATCAGAGAAACCTTAGTTCGTGTTAACACTTTGACATATACTCAACATTACACAGAAGTTTTATATTTTTAATAACCCCTAGCAGACCAAGTCGGTCGTTAACCATAATTGATCAAACAAAGATCAACGAGTTAAAAAAGTACACTAAATACACTTTAAAGACCACAACATATGGGCTCCTCGACGGAATTAAACAATGGGTAAAAGACCCATTTAAAATGCCGCTGGAAAAGGAACACTTTTGTTTGCTTTTTCTATCATTTTTCAATTTCTTTTTTTCTCTCAGTTTGCAACTAGATTTTTTAGTTTAATAATCTGATAGGTTGGTTTTTTTTTCATTTCGTTTTAAGGTTCAAGTTCAATATGTAGAAAAATATTGGTATACATTACTCGATAAGATTGCAATTATTTGCATTATTTTTACCTTTGTTGTAGCTGTCCTTGCTGGCGCCTCCATTTCTAAAAGAGGATATTGAATAACTTATTTAATGCTTTGATTTTTGTTTTAATGCAGTATGGTGAGGTATACGCCTAGGATCCTTTCAATACATATTTCATTTTCGGCATTATGGAATCTATAAAACCATATAGAGAGCACCCGGCACAGTTCGGTCAGTGACGACGGTTAGACAGCGGATATCCATTTTGTTCTTTTCCATCTTAGTATTTAGAATCAAGTGCGGCAATCACTGATCAAACTGATCCAAGGAGGACATGGTAATTTAAAGCATACATCTTAACTCTTATAAATCTATTCTTAACCTTTAAACTTTACTATCGTAAAACCTTTTTTCCGAAATGCGTAAAAATGAAAGGGACGGAAGACGTACATTTTTTACAAGTCCAGGTAAAAACTTAAACCCAAATATCAATTTCATGGTTATCTATATACAACAAAAAATAGGTTTTAAAATCTTTAAATCTTATATTTAGGTAGGCAGTGGATAAAGTTATTTTTCAAATTTATTAGGTGTTAATAAATGTAATGCAATTAAATGAAGTATATCTCCTAAAAGAGAATACTCAGTTGAAGAATTAAAACACATAGCTTAGATCAAAATTGTTAAAGGTAAAGCTCGATCTTAGTCTCGGTTTGATTACCATCAATTAACTACTAGCTTAGAATCTGTAAGAATTTAAATAAATTTTTATGAATATACGTAAATACCTTGAAAATTATTAAAATTAAGCAGAACCACACCAATCTCTCCAAACTTCAGTAATTTCTATTGATTTTGTCGATGATTTATGTTGGATTATATGATCGATTAAAATTATTAGTAGCTTTATATCTTTGGATACACTCTGTATTATATTTTATCTTGTTATTATTTTCAGCATTTCTTGGCCCACACATTTCTTAAATCAGTTTTTAGAATGTTGACGCTTGTAGCTCTCTTATATTACGAGGAAGGTTGATAGTATGGTATAAGTGAACGATTATAATACAATGTGCGCGATTCTCTAAGCAGGAATCAAGGAATTCTAAATTTCATTAGGTGACCATTATTATACCGATTAAACGGATGTCGAACCACAAATATTTCTTCATTGCAGCGATTGGTTATCCCCAAGTCGATTTATTTACCATTGAACACATTTGCATCGTCAAAACCATTTTGAAATATACCAGTTTCTGATGTTTTCAGTCAGATTTTCAAAGAAAAAAAATCATGCATGTAAAATACAGTCATGCCGTGTAAATAATAAAAAACATAAGTAGAGGTTTCTGTTTTTTTAAAAACACCTGAAGAGATGTTCATTTACATTTACTGCGTCTCCCAGCATGATGCATTTGACTGGAATTGCAAGTATCAGTTTTACACTTTGATGCAGTTTTTGCATCTATTGCATTTTCTTCAAGGTTCTTATTTTTATATTTTTTTAAAAGTTGGCTCGGTTTTCTTACGTCGATTACGCTGAATTGATTCGTAAATTTTTTGTTTTTTTTACGTACACATTTTATAACTCTTATGGAACTCCATGGAACACTACTACCCATGATCTGTATTATCTCTGTATCTGATCTATACCGAATTTATGGCTAAAAGTCAATAACATACCCGTAGGAATTGCCTCCTCTGTCGTTCCATGAGCCGCCGCCGCCGCCACCACCGCTGCCACCAGAACCACGATGACCGGAACCGGAATCATAACCTTAAACATAAATGTGTCGATATTGAAGTCTCTTTCGAAACAGGGATTTATTTGCACGCCTTACCACCGCCTTGTTTGCTGTAGTTCGGAGGTGGCTCGTTGTAGTTACCCGTTTTATTTGGCATTTGTTGGTAGTTTGGTGGGGGGACAGCGAAATTATTATATCCCTGTCCGGCACCACCACCATAACCGCCACCTAAAGTGCACATATTTCTGTGTATTCACGAAGCTAACTAATGTGCATTTTTAGCTCTACTTACGATCCATGACAAATAAACGATGAACACAAACTCTTTTTGATCAATAGAATAGCAGGAGTTCTTATTACTCGCTGAGCACAAACTGTCTTAGAAGATTAAAGCGTCAGATCGTTACAAATTTTATTGTAAAATGGCGTGTGAAAATAAATTAGAGATGTGTGACGACTGGGGCTGGTATACGATTGTCCAAAAGAGCATCGATATCGAAATTGTATGTATTAAAAGTATCGCCGAGACTAGCGGAATGGAACATAAATTAATGCCAATCGATTTCTGAATTCAACAGTTTAATAAACATTTTGACATAACTGTTAAGGGAGAGAGAAAATAATATGTTATAATCATGAAAATGCAGAAATCGAAGGAGGAATCAAACTATTCTTCTCAAATTTTGATGTATTCAAACTTCGCCCCCTTTTCAACACTGTGCTGCTGCAACCCTGCAAACGTTGTTTACATTCGTTAGCACTAAACTTTGAATGAAAGTGGAAATCAGCTGTTCGTGCTTTGAAATTGAATTGGTGTTTACGTGGATTTTTTTTCATCATCAAATTAAAGCATCACCAAACACAAAATGATTGAGATAACAGATCTACAGAGTGAGTAGCCCGCACTATTTCAAAGCCACATGCAAAATCAATGCTCAACGAAATCTTCCCGCAGAAATTGGCATCGGCTTGGCTGGTTTTGGCATTTCATTTCTGTTCCTTGGCATGCTGCTGCTGTTCGATAAGGGCTTGCTCGCCATCGGCAATGTACGTTTTATATACCTATGTATATAATAGTTCCTGGGTGCCGTATAATTATAGCAATCGCTTCTTCCCACAGATTCTATTCATATCAGGCCTCGGGTGTGTTATTGGTGTGGAGCGCACTCTGCGCTTTTTCTTCCAAAGACACAAAGTCAAAGGAACGACAGCCTTCTTCGGGGGAATCGTCATCGTCCTGTTGGGCTTTCCCATTATTGGAATGATTATTGAATCCTATGGATTTTTCGCACTGTTCAGGTATGTAGCACTTGGCGAAAATTTACTCGAATGTCTCCTCTGTGTGGGATTTGTACAAGGTCAGCTTAGCCAGATTAACCGGTCACGCAGTTCACGTTTCCGTGGTCCAGAGACTCTCTAATCTTTAGGGATTTATTTAACTTCTCGAAGTCAGGGAAAAGGAGTTAGGTACTTTCTTAATTGCAAAGTCCGTCTTTTAGCAAGAAATAAAATTCATAAATTCATAAATATATAAAAAAACAAGAGGATTTCTAGTCTGTTAACCTTTTTGAGTGCTTGATTTTTATCTTCAAAATAAATTGTTTGACGACGTCGAAACTGTAAGTTAGGATACATTTTGCAGGTCACACGGCTATTATACCATAGATCCTACATGAGTAATCGGCCGTACTGTGATATCTTCCGTTTGCGACCACTCCAAAATTCCTTCTCATTTTATTTTAATATATTTTTATAGCTGATTCCAGAAACGTTGATGATTACTAAATAAAGCACACAAACTAGACAAGATTCATTTGTTACATATTAATGTGGACTATATTTTCCACTTAACTTTATAATGATTGAGTACGAGGTTTTCCTTTTAGTAAACTTAATCAGTTGGTATCTATTCCATAAAAAATATTTCCCTCGTTTAATAAAAGAACGTAAACACTAACATTTAGTTACTATTTTTAAGCCATGCCGTGAATCCCAAAAAAAATTCATTCTAAATGTTTCTTTTATATCTTTACAGCGGTTTCTTCCCCGTGGCCATTAATTTTCTGGGACGAGTGCCAGTTCTAGGATCACTTTTAAATTTACCATTTATGCAAAAGGTAAGATAGCTTGGAGCCTATTATAGAAAAATAAATGTAGCCCATTGTCATACGCATGATCATTTCTTGAGCTCATCTCACTTTGACGCGATTGCCCATTAAATAAAGTGAAGGGTCCAACATTCCCAAACGACCACGCATAGTCTCGATTTCATAGCCAATTTTGGTATTTATCTAAGCTATGTATTTCAACATTTACAAGTCCAAAGAAGAGGGGTTTAGTGGATCTTTTCCCAGTCCTCACGCTCCTCGCGCTCCTTAACGACCTCCTTGAGATACGGCTCCAGATACTTGACATCCTCCTCGTACTTGGTCCACTGCTCCTTAGGCAGGATTGTCTTGGTCATGGACAGATGGAGGGCCCTCATGATGCGGTAATTGCGCTCATCGTACAATTTGCGGGGCAATCGACGCACGGCCTCTTTAACGTCCTCGTTCTCATACAGACAATCATCCCGATGCAGACCTGTAAAATGCAGTAGATCCGTAATGAGCGGTTAGAAGTCTCTTATTTACTTATTTATCCTACCGTATTGGTTGAATCCAGAAAGATTGTAGGCCCATCTGCCCAGATTGGCTGTGGGGAAAAAAATTCTAATTACATATTTACGTAATCACATTGCGGGGCAGTGCTTAACGCGTTTTAACGTTTCTTACGCTTGTCAACTCATTTTCCTGAGATATTACTTACAGAGAACTGCGGGTCCCTTCCTGGCAATATAGTTCGACATGATTTACGTAAAATTAGAAGTCAGGAAAGAGATATTCCTCCAACCTTTTTATTTAGCAAATGTCTATCGATAAATATTTAGGTATGAACGTTAGTTGGAGCTAGAGATGCGACTCATCGCACTCAGTTATCGATTAAGCTCACATATGGTTGTGTTTGAAAAATCGATTTTTATTTTACACACTAACATCCATTCGATACTCCAAGCCGAAATAAATCAACACAACGGCATTATTTCATTTCAAAAATATCACTTTCTTGTTTTTCTAAATAATTAATAATGGATTAAATACTAATGTTGTTGAAATATAGTTCTAAATCTTTATTTAATTGCAGATTAATCCAAATTTATTTTCTAACTTTTTACCCTTTTGCCATTTATTTAGATTGTTCAAAAACTTGGAGGAGATGGCAACCGAACTACTGTATAATTTATCAGTTTACCAGAACTTTGCGAAGACTTTTTGTATAAAGTAAATAAAATCAATTGAAATTCTTGTAAATCCATTTAACTCCATGTAAAAATCTACCTTCATAAACAAATTATTTGTAGTTTACCTGAATACTTTTGGTTTTTATGGGATGATGAAATAAGCTATAAAAAGTTCACGGGTAAATAAAATTTGGTTTTTGACAAGGACGAATATATTTTGAAAACTTTCACAAAAAATATTCATCAATTATGAAAACACTGCACGGAATATTTTACCTAAGGCGTTTTTAAACAGGTGAAAAATTACTTATTAACAATAAGAACATAATTTATTTTTTTTTGGAGACCAAAAAACGTTGAAACTATTTCTTCAGACCTCAATAATTTGAAACCCCCACCAGTAATCCATTTACTTAAAAGTAAGTCCTCCAACGAACGGAAATCCTCACTTCTCATTTAAATATTGTTTCCACTTTTGTTTACGATAAGATCCCGCTATCAGTAAAGCCTTCAATGAAATGATTGATAATGTTTATATTTTAAAGTACATACCTTCGCTTTATTATGACTACAAAATATCAATTTATACAAATTAAAGAACATATACAAATTCTTTATATATACAGTGCTCTCTCTTAAGAGTAAACACTCGATTATGTGAATTTTAGTAAGAGTGAACAATTTATTCAAGAATTTTTATAAAATGTTTAAATAAAAAATAAGAATTTGGTGTTTTTCAAAACGTTTTGTTTAAAAATAAGTTTATTATTGTTTTATTGTGATTCGTTATTGTGAACAAATTCGATTCAGTGCACACCCTTGGTTTTGAATAGTTCACTGTTTCGAGTGAGCACTGTACATACACTAAGGCTGGCACGAACACGACACTAATTTAAATTTATTTTCTGTTTTGTTTCTGATTTCTGAACACACGTTATATATATACATATGTATAACATTGAGACCCGTTCCAGCCTTAGTTTATACATATATCACTGGGCACATAATTTAGTTACACCCAATGCGGTGAGTGGCCGGCCGGGAGAGAGAAATCACTTATTGTTCTTTGCTGCAGTCAATGACAAAAACTCGTCCTTCCGGGCCAAATATTCATTGTAACGAAGAAATGCATAGCTATATGGGACGATAAAAAGTAGAAAATTTAGTATTAGTATTCATTATTTTTGCTTAATATTCATATCATTAAATATTAAGTACCTAACATAGTCGAAATCGATAGTGGAATGCTCAGCTTGCAACAAGGACCACACCGTCCAAAAGATATGCGATGCCAGCGCAAACTGATTGACCTGGACGTAGAGAAGCTCGACTTCCTCGTTCTGGATGTGGCTGCGCTGTAGGTACTCCTCAAGGTAGACCCTCAGCCATTTAAGTTGAAACTCGCGCTTTGGGTAGCGGGAGTAGTCAACTTCATCCACTCCGCACATCTCCGCAAAGTGGTTGCCAATGTCAAAGGCCTGGAAATTGTAGTCGGCATATTCGTAGTCAATAAAGTTCACGGTATTTAGGTTCTGCGTGTAAATGACATTCCCCAAGAGAAGGTCATTGTGGGAGAAGACAATAGGACTGTCCAATGCCTCAAGGTATTCATATAGCTTGTTGAATTCCTCGCGCAGGCGGCCGATAGGTAGAAACGTTTCTTTCACTCTACAAATGAAGAAAAAGACAATGAAGAATCGCAAAAGGGATTTTGGGCACCATCTTATTTACCTTTTGTGTTTTTCAGCATCACTAAAACGTTCAGGTACTAAATCGAGAAAGCTCTGGGTCTTCTTCCAAATCATCGGCATTGGTTTGGCCGCCGAACTTTCCCCGTGCTTCCTCACCTTCCGATGCATTTCAGCCATTCGACGGGCAACCAAGGGCCAAATCTCTGGACAGAGCACACTGTCCGTATTCAGGGTGGTTCCAGGTACGTATTCGTAGACGAGACCGTTCTTGAACGTGGCATACAGCGATGGCGCTAGGCCGTACGTATGCAGTAGAAGAAAGTTTTGCGTCTCCGCCTTGCGATCTATCAGTAGGTCCGTTTTATTTCCGTATATCCTGACCAGCACTACGTTATCGGAGTACTGTACAGGTGCCCCCCCGACGACAGCTGCCAGATCGTCTGTGGTGTACTCATCGTCCTTCTCGATGATAACTGGATCCTCAGACTGAACTGGCGACAGACCCTGGGTCTTGATAGGTAAATATGATCCGCCGTTTTCATCTCTCAATTTGGTAATTTCTTTATGGAAACATCCGACCAGTTTGTTTGTGATGCCATCGGTAAAACTCTAAAATTGGTAAGAAATAAAATATTTAATTGAAGTAAGTGATTAATATGGATGAGTTAGGTCAAATAACTAGTCAGCTAAAGCTACGTGATTTGTGTGCTTTGATTATGTATATGAAATTATTGCATCACCGAATTACCAATTCGCTATAGACAGGTTTATTAGTAGTATTCCATTTGGAACAATTTCAAGAATTCATTTCTTAAGCCGAAGCTCAAAAGCTACAGTAAAGGGCTTACGGCACCTTTCTTATCGACTTCACATGCTTCTTTATGTACATACATATATATTAAAAGTATGGAAGCACATGGGTGATAAACTTTTTGACACCAGCTATTTGCGTGCTAAGCGTCTCTGAAAGACCCCCTTCGTATTGGAACATACGTATATGGTGCGTCTTATAATGAAAACACAGACACAGATAAGATAATGGAATATTAAACAATTAACATTCAAAATATTCAAAGCCAAGCTGATAGAAGTGAAGAAATGTGCAGGTATGTACAATTTTTTTTTAAATGATGATGGAAAATAAACGCTTTATCGACTAGAAGGGTTATAAATTCAGTAAGAAAACACTTTAATCTTAAAGATAACTATTGGTTTTAGTTTTAACGATGTTAGCCACACCTTGAATTATCATAAAAAATACAATAAAAATAATCAATAATTCCCAATTATTGCCCTTTATTTGTTTTGAATTTGTTTTTACTCCACTTTAGATTATTGAGATAGTACTAATGTAGGGCACCTGTGCTATCGATTGTTACCATCATTAAAATTTTCATTTCATATACGGAAGCCTGCGGTTGTTCTAAGTAAGTTAGATACTTAGTAAATAATGTCATAGCTTTAATTTAACTTAAATATTTTACTTTTCGAAAAAGTTTGCATATGACGCCATGGTCCCTGGTGATTCAACTTATTTCCCTTGCCTCCACAATTTTAAATGTTTCATAGTTGGATGATTTGTCTACAGCGTTCATTCTTATTTTTTACGATATGGAGAACGACTGGCTGGCGCCAAAAACAAGCATAAACGAAGTTTTGTTCTTCCATAAGGAAGATTTGAATGAGCCGGATTTACTTATATTCTTTTAATCTACAAATATACTTATTGCATCTATAACTAGAAAGCTGACTTGACTATATTCACCATGCTTTGTAGTAATCAAGGGATGAACCACATTTCCTTACCAACCAACAACTTGACAAGATTCAGCATTTAACAATTCTGACTGGAACTGTTATAAGCTGATAAGTAACTTACGGACAAGCTGTGTACACCAATTAGACGTCATGCATACAGTAAAGTACACAGATAGTGAGGTCAAGGCATACGAGTGGGTTCCGATAAGGCAAGAACGCCCCATTTCGAAAGAATAATGAAAAAAAAAGATTAAAACAGCTTCAGGCATTCGTATATATGGTCCTCTAGCCAAACATGCGTTCCATTATCAAATCGGGACAAAATAAATCAAAAACAAGCCCCTTAAAAGGAACAAAAATGATATACAGCCTTATGGTATCAGTTTATTGCATCTGATCATCCGTAAAATATGGACGGGACCACTCGAGTCAATGCACCTGTTTTCGCGCCACCTTGTACAAGTATTGAGAGATTGAGAGCGTGTGATTTCATTAGAACCTGCGACTAATTGGCACGAAGGCCTATTTTCTTGGCTACCACCTTCGCTACCCCTCTCTAAATTTATTTTTGTATTGTAGGGAAGCAATTATTTCCACCGGAGTCGAGGGCTAGATTAGCAAACTGGTTTCTACTGCGTCTCGGTCTCAGTCTCAGTCTTGGCATTCAGAATTCGTAACTCTCGCGCAGTCCTAACGCACCAACACCAGCGTAATAAATAATGTTAATTTTGAATAACAATCCCATGGGTCTCTCCATTGATATAACAAAGTCTATTTACAATTATCAAGGCAGCAGCGAGTACGATGTACGAGAATATCTATATATATTATATAATTACTATTGGAAGGTTGGTTGTGCAATAACTCTGTTCAAACTGTGTTAGCAACTACATCGAGTATCTAATCCCCTTTCCGCACACCAGTTAGTGATCGTAATAAAAGATAAGGAAACATACATCATCGTCATCATCATCATTTTGGGCCGGATAACGATCTTCGATCAGCGAACTACCCTCATCTGATGGAGTAGAGAATATGACATTGACATTGATGGTTTCGAATTGTTCTTTTTGTATTTAGCTCTTTTTTGAAGTTTTGAGGATCATAATGTTTTATGGAGTATGTGGGGGATTGATGTTGTGTTTGGGTTGATGAGGTTTACTTTACCTTAAACTCGACGTGGCTTAGGTCCCAGGTCGGTCGAATAACCTTCAACAGTTCTTTGGCCCCTTGTATCACGTCGGCCTCCTCAACAAATACGGGGACAAAAGGAACAATCGCCTCTTTTCCTGATTTATCCTCCTGTTTATCTCGAATATCACGCGTTTTTTGTTCGTGCTCGTTTTCGCTATCGTTTGGGTACGAATTGGAATTTATATTTGATTTCAATTGGTTTTGGACGTGGTTCGATTGCGATTGCTGATTGACCGTCTGACGAACTAAGGATAAAGAATCTTTCATCACTTTGGGGTTGCCGCCACTTGTTGAAATCTGTCCTGTGTAACTGTTGCTCTTGGTTTCTGTGCCCATTCTATTGTATTATATATGTGAAATACGAAAGTGTCAGGTCGGGTCATACACATAAAACGACAATAACAACAGCAAGTATAAGAGTAGTAGGATGTAGCGTAAAAAAACGAATTATCCGAATACAAAAACCAACTAAAAACCCCAAACCAGCCAAGGATTTCACCCAAAGCCCACAGCCAGAAAACCAATATTAAAGCCCACCAGTAGCCGCATCCGGTAAGTATACTACGCCCATGTCCTCTCACTCATGCGCACCAAAACCACAGTTTTGGATGGAGAAGACCGCACCCAGTTAGTAGATCTAGCATGTGCTGTTGCAGCAAAAGCTATAGCTCAAAAGTTTAAGCCCTATAAATACAAAAACACTTGCATTTTTCTTGTAAATAATATTCGTACCTGAATTATTCGAAAGAAAGCTACATAAGACTACTTTTATTAATAAATTATCTTGTTTAGGTTTAAATTGCTTTTACAATCTCTAAAGAAAAAGATTCAATCAATACTGAAAGGAGAGCGAAATTCTGATGGTTTTCAAGCAAATGTATTCACACGTAAAAACAAATATATAATACCATTTTTGAAATAAAAAACAAACAAAAAAACTTAACGAGATAACGATCACGTTTTAAGCTATCGAACTAATTACGAAAAGCTTGTATCCGGTAATTTTTTAAGCAAATAAATTGTTATTAGATGTTGTCGAAAAAATTAATAGAAAATAAGGGACCTTGAAAGTGCACTAGTCACTTCGTGAACAGGTTTTTGATTGATGTAGGAAATTTTTTTAATGGCTATAATAGAAAACAAACATATTCTTTTTCTTTTTTAACCGATTCGTGAGCTTTGACTAGGGGTATTACACTATGAATTGCTATATGGATTGATGCTGTTTACTCTTGATATTCAAAGCGATGGTGTTTTCACTAGAACTCAAACCCACATGTGTGGGTTTTCAAATTAAAAACTTGGTAATATTTTTTTTAATAATTTACAATCCAAAATTAGACTTTAATTATAAGTCCATGCAACTTTTTGATGTATGAGTGAAGTCGCCCGACTTTTGATTATTATTTTTTGGACTTTATCGTCAACCTTATCTACTGACTAGATTCATCATAATGTCTCCATATTCAACTATATTTAAAATGTAAATGTCCATAACCAAAATATATATTACTTTAACCATTTTTGCACTCTTTGTGAATTTGTAAAAAAGAAAAATGGTTTGATTCATATTGAAATATTATAAATTATAAAAAATGATAAATGATAAAAATTACAAAAATTGACATTACTAAATGTTATATGCTTTCTAAGAAGGAAACAATAAAAATTGCTTTATTGTTATTAACAAAACAAAAATTCTGACCGGAGAACGATACTTGTGTACATATCAAAGTGAAATTGAATATGGAAACTGCAAATTAAACAACTGAAAGTAAATCTAACTGGTATGGTATGTATCAATAACACCAAACCAAATTAAGCAAAATAAATATAAACCATGTTAGTTAAAAGTTCTATATTTCTACCCTCTGCTGTAAAAATGGTCGAATTCCGCACGAATTCCGGGCGGAAAGTACACGTAAACGTGCATATGTGTACTTGAAAATACACGAAGGTGCGTAAGGCGATGACTATAAATCGGAATAGGTACCCAAAGAGCTGAACAGACGACATATGGGATAAGGCAAAAAGGATCGAAATAAGTCAATAAGATCGCATAGGGTTAAGCCAATGTGTCTCAGCGGAACTTGAAGGGGATTTTCCCTTTTTTTGGTAAGTTTTTTAAATGAACTAAAATCAGACATATATTTAATTTATGGTTTGATACAACCAAAAAAACCCCCCTTAAACACGCTCCTGGAGCAAGGTAAGGCACCCACACAATCGCACCAATAAATAGGGCGTTAAATGCTAATCTTGTGAATATGTGAATACATGTACTCCTCGGAAATCATGTGGTGAACAATGCAAATGTACATACATATGTACGATCAGAACTCAGGTGAAAAATCCGGGTACCAAAAAGACAAGTGGGCGGTTTGTTTTTGTACGCGACATTCGCTTCAATATTAACATGTTTTCTGTTTTCACACATTATTGTTTTCTCTTCTTTTTTTAATTTTTAGCCATGCCAAAAATCTGTTTAAAGTTTACACACACAGATACGCAATATATGCGTGCAGGCATAGAACTGCATGTGTGTGCATACTCGGTGGTTAAGGCCCCTTTGCACCAGCTATGTTTTTGATAGGACCTATTTGGTTTTGACATCGTTCCTAGGGTTTGACCTAAATTATCAATTAAATGAATAAAATATAAACTTAATATTTACGTATAGCTAGGTGTCTAGTAACCCTCCTTTAAGCCATATAACTCAGGTCGTGTGAGGAGGCCTTTTAGCGCGTTCTGGGTTAAGAACCCTGCTCCCCATTATCACAAACCCCTCCCACTACCCCACAATCCTTTTTCTGAACCCGGTGCGATATTTTCAAGATAACTGGAAAGTGCTATTCCGATTTCGATTCCCCATTCGCTGGTTTTGATTCTAATTTCTGATTCGATTCGTGTTCGCATGCAATTCTTATTAAATTTTTTGAAAACGACAAACAAGGTAAAATAATAATAAAATGTGTACCAATATGTCAAGCGTCAACGAATGCAAACGCACACTGAGGTGAATTGTTAGTTGTCTACACACGTTACCTTCGGGTATTGATTGTTTTTAAAAGAAAACACAAAAAAAAAGCCGCGAAAATCACACAACCAGATTATTGATTTTGACCCCCGCTGAAATTGGCGCACACAACACACAAATTTGACTGAGGAACGAAACAGCGGGCGATGTAAGCGATTCGGTTCCGACTTGGGGAATTATAGCTGCCAAACTATCGTTCGAGTGGAACCATCGGTTATCTGGTCCACTTTTCTGACGAGAATACCAAAACGCGTCGAAAAAGTAGCCGGAAAATTAAAGTATATTTGACTAGCTATTTGTTGGTCCCACTAAGGTGGCCAAAGTATATGTTTTCTATTAAATTAAAAGAATTTGCATGTTTTTTATTTGTCACTGGTAGCGTTGCAAATACTGGTTTGCCAACCATTTGATTTCGAACGGAATTATCCAGTTTTTGCTGCGCATTGACTACTTTCAAGTAAACACAGTGATGCCAGATAGTAAAACCGGCACTTGCAAGTTTATCCTTCACATTCACTCTGTTTTTAAACTTATCCTAAATCCACAAATTTGTAAAAAGTTTATATCTATCCGTTTTATAATGAGATTTTTAGAAAAAGTTTCTTTATAACAAAATGTTATAAAAACAGCTTTGCCAGTCTTTTGGTAATTGCATTAATGACAGCCCGCCAACTTTGAATTTTAAGTCTAAAAGCCGGAGGGATAGGAAAACTTTTATGCTCGGTAAATTCACATTGCGTTTATGATTTTCATATGAAAACACACACCTCTTTTCTATATTTGTTTCAAAAAATTCTCAAAAGAATTTATTATTAATAATTACTTTGTGACCTAAAACGTCTGACCTTATATAGTCATACAAGTTTTAATTTTACCATAACTAATACATTTGCCCAAATATCCTTCACTCTAATAACACCCAGATGCATTTAATAACGCTCAAATATTTAACATAGTTCCGTTTAATGTATGATGACGCATGTATTTTATACAAATCAAATAGTTTCATACCATTATACAAAGGTTCCGATGAATAGAAAACTGTAAATTAAAAAAAGAATGCATTCGGAATACCGAAGCTTGAGTTTGAAGCGTTTTCCAATTCAAATCAGGTCTGCAATAATGAGCAGACATAATGGGGCCATAGTGCCGCAGGATATATTTGAAAAACATTTCAAATTGAAGGCCTTCCATCGAAGAAATGTGCCAGCTGGATGTTACTTTTTCTGTTTCTTCTTCTCGAGTTCCTCTTCTTTTTCCTTCTCGATGATCTTAACGTACTCGGCGATGACTTTGCTGTCCAGCATTTTCAGTGGCTTGCCGTTCTCCATGATGGCCACCTCTAAATTGTTCTGGCCCGACTGGGCCACTTCAAGAAGTGCCCGGATCGCAAGTTTGACAGCTCCACTCTCGGAGGCCACATCCTCCTCGCGATACGCCTTCTCGAAGAACTCGCGCACAACCTTTGCCGAACGTCCCGTAGCGTTTGCCTTGTACTCGTAGAAAATTCCGGACGGTTCAGTCTGGAACAAGTGTGCAGAGCCATCGGCATCGAAGCCGCCGATTAGGCAGGATATCCCGAAAGGACGGCGGCCATTACTCTGCGTGTACTTTTGCTTCAGCTGGGCAATGTACCTGAAAGGCCGAAAACCATTTATAAAATCACTAGGGAAACCGCTTCAATTCTGGTAATCACCTTGTTATGTACTCGAGGGTCACCGGGTCCTCAACATTCAGGCGGTGGCTCTGGCACTCAACTTGGGCGCGATTTATCAGGATTCGAGCATCGGCCGTGAGGCCGGCAAAGGCCATCACAACGTGGTGGTCGAGCATACAGATTTTGCGCACAGTGCGATCTTCCTGCAACTTAGCCACTGATTTCTTCTCTACGCCAAGAACCACGCAGTTGGCCCCGCGAACTCCGACCTGCGAAGCAAAAAAGTGGACAAGTCCAAGTTTGTTTAAGTCTGTTTATTTTGCGAATAATTGTAACTGGACTTACCGCTGTGGATCCCTTGCGGACGGCCTCCTGGGCATATTCGACTTGCAGGAGGTGACCGTCCGGAGAGAAAATGGTTACAGCTCGATCGTAACGTGAAGACATCTTTAAAATTTACTTAACAGCAGAGGTATTTTCAAAATTTAAACTCTTTCGCTTTTCCCTTGTCGTCTTTGCTAGGCAATGATGATGCTTTTTTGAGGAAATGCCGCAGTGTGACCTCAGCAGGACGGCGTCGAAAAATACTAAAATAATATCGTTTTAGGTTTTAAGACATATTGTAGCATCGGTTGGAACTATCGTCTGAAAAGATACATCATTATATTTTGTGGGATATCAACATCCATACATGCTTACATGCCATTGCTTATTTTTAGTTTTCATAACTACTTTTTATTGTAATATACAACACTGTGAAACCCAGGCCAAATTTTAACCTATTGCCTTTAATCGTTCACGATTTTTATTACCACATAAGGTCTGAATTTAGTGATAAACTTTATAAAAAAAACTATATATAATTATAACAATTCTCGAACCACAAGCCCGTAGCCCTGCTTATCAGCGTCTATCGATAGTTTCTGCATCCCTCGTTATCGCTGTAATTACAATGTGCATTTGTTTTTGTCTATCAGAATTGTCTGAATTTACAATTAGACTATATGTTATTGTACGATGCGATCGCAGTGATATCGGCTTATAAAGGTGTTGTGCCCAATGTGATTACGTTCCAGTGCTTTTCGTTTTCGTTTCTCGTGAATAAAGGGAATTTCAAGTTGGCATAAAAGACCAGACAGCTGATCACAGACTTTTTGGCTCACACCTGCTACAAAAAGATAATAATTATTTAAAAACCTGGCATTTACGGGGATTTTTGCAGGTGCCAGCGTATTTATATAACAACAATTTGATTGATTATGGCGCTGCCCAGAAAACTGATATCAAAGATCTGTAAGTAAACCGAATGTTCGAAAGTACCGTTGTATATTCCCACACACACGCAAGTATGTACAAGTAAGCCTCCGCTTTTGTTGTTGCTGCGGCGCATGAGAGTAAGTGCGTGTGTGTTTGTGCCTGCAATGTATCATAGTAGTTAATTCTGTTGCTTGCATCTTCTAAAACATTTAACAATATTAAAAACGCGTTTTTGAAAGCAATGACAATGACCAAAACAAAAATACATATACATATGTATGTATGAATGGATTACATATAGTTCGTCATACATATGGAAGTGCAGCTGCAGGCAAAATGTTAACTTTGAAGTAAGATGATACCTAGTTATGCTTTCCAATATCAAACTCAAGTTTAGCAAGGAGTCAACATGTAATATAAACAATATAAGTTATCCATATCGGATTCTTCATACCTCAAGTTTTGTATAGATCTGCAGCGGTTCCAATGAAATCTAACTTTTGGTAGTCTATTATTTATATGGACTTATGCACATTCATACAAACTGTTATCAAATAACTATAGGAAGAAGAGATGATTTGATTTAAAGGTTTTATACTCGATCGCCTCATATGTGTAAATATTACAAACATATCCACCTTAAGCTGGATTTTATTGGGACGTTATAAATAATATATTACATTTTTAATGGTTGCATTTGTGCTCGTTAAAACCAAGTTGCAGCTTAGATTCAAAATAAATCATTGATAAGTCTTAAGTATCTGTCACTTTTCATAATTGAGGCATGATTTTAAATTTATAGCATTTATGAAGCCGTACGATTGCTTTAGGTAAAACATAAAATGCCATATAATGTTTGTAATAAACTAATAAAATAAACTAATTTTCTTGCTATCCTGTTCAGATGATATAAAGGCACACGATAGCAGAGTCACGAGCCTTGATCTGGGCGAAACAGGGGGAGTTCTGGTCACCGGAGGAGAAGATCGCAATGTAAATCTTTGGGCAATTGGACAGAATGAGTGTTTTATGGTAAGTTTGCTATGCTCAAAAACCTTCTCAAACATTTATCTTGATCATAACTTCTTTTAGTCTCTGACGGGCCACAATCGCTCTATTGATTGCGTTCGTTTTGCTTACAAGGATAACTTTGTCTACTCCGCCGACGACATCGGAATAATCCGGAGATGGGATCTGAATTCCCAGAAAATCTACTCCACTTTAAATGGCCACATGAAGAGTGTCCGCACTCTGGACTTTAATCCGTCCGGAGAATATGTTGTGTCCGGAAGTAATGATACGACCGTCAGGTGAGCTAAGACTTAGATATAAATATTAATCATAACCGATCCATGAGTCAAGAGTCGAACTCTTGTTTGCTTATCATATATCGCGTTGAAATTGGGTTTGCGTTAATTGAAAAGAGATGGCGATATATGTTTATCTCCTTCGTTCAGCTGTTAGCTTCTTGGGTATACTATTTTCTTTCCAGGGGATTAACTGTCATAAAGGGAAATTATTGTGATAGATGGAACCTCTAGACAAAGCTATTATTGAATCACCTAGGGTTGTTGATCTAGAATGGATACTCTTCTAAAATCGTAGCTATCTTATCTTTAAAGATACGTATATTTTATTCATGAAAAGTAGTAAAACAAGGTTTCTTATGAGTCCATTATTGTTTTATTTTATTGGAAATATTGAAACAGTGTTGTATAAAAAAATACTTCTACCACCACGGGCGTTAAAAATAGCATATGCATATGCATATTTGTTACATGTTAGATAGTAAACGGACGCAATGCGAAATCTAAAGACATAGACGATCCATCACGTCGAAGGCAAAGTCAAGTTGATTAGCTTACAGCTTGGCCGGTGAGCTTTTTAAGTCTACGTAGGCACCCGAAATGACCTCCTTGCCAGTCTCTACGACCACAGTGCGGAAGCTGATGCGTGTACCCTGCTTCCACATGTCGACCCGCAAACTCTGGCCAGGAATCACGGGTCCAGAGAAACGCACTTTGACAGCCTTGAACAGAGTCGGGTTGTTGTCCGCATACTGTGCCAGCACGGCGCGTACGGAGAAGCCCAATGTGCAGAGTCCATGGAGAATGGGTGTCTTGAAGCCGGCAAGCAGTGCCATCTGGGGATCGATGTGCAGGGGGTTGCTGTCGCCGGAGAGACGGTAAAGCGCAGCCTGGTCCTCACTCGTGATGTATTGAATAGAGGCGTCCGGCTGGCGATTGGGTGTCGGCTGGAGCGGAACAACTCCGGCGATGGGCTCCTTCTTGCCGCCAAATTTGCCAGCGCCGACCACGAATGTGCTGCTCTGGTTACGCACCAAAAGGCGGCCATTCTCGTCAAAAGATTCGGTATTGGTGACGACAACGGCGCCGGATCCCTTATCCATCACATCGAAGACCTTACCGCTGGATAGTAAAGTGCCGCTGGTGGGCAGATCGTCGACGATCTCTAGGTACTGTTCGCCGTGCAGAATGTTAGAGAAGTTGACCTGGGTGTTAGGCAGGGCCTTGCTGATCAGCTTGTCAGAGGACATTTGCAGCAGGAGACCCGGCAACACGAAAAATGAAGGAATGGCGGCGAAATCAGCATCGTTTTCGTACAGAAAACGCATGTCCTTAGAGTTCTTGATAGATGCTCCAATACCCAGGGCGTACGTGATGAGCGATTTGCTGTTAAAATCGAAGGAGTCCTCCACGGCGTCGCCACCGCCTTCCTTTAGCTTCTCAAGAACTTCCAGTAGGGTTCCGGAGGCCTCTCCAATGGCACCCAAGTGCTTGGCATTCGACATGTCGGTTACCTTAGACCACACATCCTTCACGTACTCAATGGTCACGGGGTCATCCAGCGATGGTCGTAGCACAGCTCCCGTGCCTCGAACAGTGTGTACCTTGGTGGCCCAACCGGCGGCACTTTCGATATAGCTGCCTGTGGATAGGATGAGACAAAGTGATTAATAAGGATCAGAAGTTGAGGGGCTACACCAATTTCTTAAATATGTATGCATTCTCAATAATCATCCCTAGGTGGGTTAATATATAGACATTTCAAGAGATTTATTTGCTCAATTTAAACGTTATCAGCATGAAACTAGCTTTCCTTATCTCATTCTGACACAGATTAATAACCATTCAGATTAAATTTGTATATCTTTTAGGTTCCTTATGAATATTCGATCCAAACAAATTACATAATTTTTCTGTATGTAATTAAGTATTTCAGTAAAAAAGATTTTTAAGAGATATGGAAATTGGTTCCATAATCACACTTACCATTATCCTCGCAAGACTCGTGGCACAAATAGGCGACCACAGGGGCAATCAACTTGGGCTTCAGTTCGTTAAATAGGATGTCAGGCAGGATGCCCTCGGTCATCCGACTGGCGGCCGTGGGAACGATAACGTTGCACAGGATGTTGTTGCGGGCTCCCTCGATGGCTACAGTGTTGGCCAGTCCGACTAAACCCATTTTGGCAGCCGAGTAATTGGCCTGGCCAAAATTGCCATAGATTCCCGAATTGGATGAAGTCATAATGATGCGACCATAATTCTGTTTCTTCATGTACGAGAATGCTGCTTGGGTGCACTTGAAGCTGCCCTTCAGATGGACATCGTTGACTAGATTCCAATCCTGTTCACTGGTCTTAACCAGGCTCCGATCACGCAATATACCGGCATTATTCACCAGGATGTCTACGCGTCCGAAGGCATTAATTGCCGTCTCGATGACCTTTGCTCCATCGATCACAGAGTTGTAGTCGGCCACCGCCTCACCACCTGCCTTTCGGATTTCTTCCACCACAATATCTGCGGCACGCTGAGAGGCTCCCTCGCCGGAATGGGTGCCACCCAAATCGTTTACAACCACCTTGGCGCCACGTTCGGCGAAGAGGAGGGCATATTCCCGACCCAAGCCGGCACCGGCACCAGTCACCACCGCCACACGGCCGTCGTAACGTAGTTTTCCATCGGATGAGGACATTGTGGTCAGGTTCTTTGTTCGTTGTTTTGGAAAAGTCCGAAAACAGGTTTTTTTTTTGCACAAATCCGGTCTCTAATGCACCTTTATTGGCTGCAAAATGCGAATGAAATAAAAATAACTGGTTGGATGGGACATAATCTAAAAAGGCAGGAGGGTATTTTCAATAGTCTTAATCTTAAGCGATAATGTTATCGTTTTAAGTATGTGAGTGAAATAGTTAATTCTTGAGCTAAAGAACGTCCCCATGGTGATATGGTCCAAGTCCAACGGTTCATGGTTCAAAATAAAGAAGTTCGAATGGGATGGTACGAAAAATAACCGAGATACAAGATACAGTGATGAAGATCTCGCGAAAGTAAAATACATCGCCACACAGATGGTTATAGAAAATAGTTTCCAGATAACGATTGCCGTGGTTCACTTACAGTTCCGACGATTAAACGTTGGTATAATACGCCCGAATGCACAGATTGCCCCAATATCACAAGTACAAAGTGCATTAACATTTGCTACCCATATATAAGATTGCAATATTTTAATACGGTTAAAGTCATAAAAATGTACTAAAATATACTCCTATATTAGTTTCCAAGCGCATAATAATTTACCATGAATACCAACTGCATCGTGGACACAAACCTTGGCACCTAGCAGTGTCTCAATCCCATTTGGTTTGAGAATTTATAAATACCGCCGTTTTTATGTTTATTTAAATAATTCGATATCAACACCTTTAATTTGCCGTTAGTAGATTCTTTTATTAAGAAGCAGTTATTTAAAAGTACATATTTAATTTAATTTTAATAGAGCATTAAAATTTAACCTTAAAAAAAACTTTTATTTCAGACTTTGGGATGTGCAGAACGAAAATAACTGCATTAAGGTATGTCGGGGTCACATGTCTCACGTAAATTCCGTAAAGTTCTCCCCGGACGGACTTTGGATCGCCTCTGCTGGCTTGGAGGGTTCCATTCTCATCTGGGACATACGGAAGAGTAAACAGATAATGGAGTTTATAGCTGATCCCCCCGTTACGGCAATCACATGCGTTCAGTTCCATCCTTTTGAGTTCCTGCTGGCCGCCGGACGTATTGATGGCACAGTTTCCATTTACGATCTGGAGAAACAGCAGCTCGTCTCTCAGACCACGCACTTTTACGGCCAGGCCATCAGATGTATTACCTTTAGGTAAGTTTCCTACCTTAAAATACCATTTAAGTAAATGATGGTCAACAATTTTTACATTAATTATAATAATAATTTCAGTGAGAACGGAGAATGTCTTTTTGTCGGCAGTTCTTCCGGTATTTCAGTCATTGGTTGGGAGCCTGACCGTGAGCTCGACCACATCAAAAGCACCTGGTCTTCGTTGGCCGACATGAAAGTCGTCAAAAATAAGTTGGTAAGTAAAAGTATTTTTCAATTTACTGCTAAAGGTTAAATGTGTATAACGCAAATGTACTTTTTTCATTTCCAATATTTTAATCCTATTATTTTGAAAATAAAAAAAATGATTGATGTTTTTTTGCAGATCTGTGGTTGCCATGAGATCGACACCGTTTCGATCAATACTATCAGTCTGGACAGCGTGAAACCGTTCTATCAACCTCCAAATTCCCTACCCAACTTCAAGCACAATTCAACGAACCGGAAGAGTTTCTCTCGCGGCAACCAGAAATTCAGGCTGTCTTTGGGAGGATCCAAGCCGGCACAGGTGCAGGAGGAGCTTGAAGAGAACAAAAGTGGCTTGTCGTCACCAAACTATAGTCTGGAGGTGGTGAACGAGGCGGTGCTGGATTCAGCGGAAACGTCTCCAATGTCCTCGTTGCCACCTGTTCACTTGGCTTCGATGGCGGGTTCATCGGCGGATCTCGCTTCCCATCATGCTATGTACGGCGGACCAATCGATTCATCGTTAAGGCAGGGGAAATTCTCTAGGGTGCCCGATAATATGGCCAGCTATTCGAGTAGCTATGCCATTGATACCCGCCTGATGTCGATGAATGAACCCAGTTCGCTGCACAAGCCGGACATCTACAACATATACTCCCTAGAAAAGGACGTAGAGGAGGACGTGCAGCAATTGGAGTTCAATCTTAACGATAGTAATCCGCCAATACTCAATAACTATGACAATTACCAGATGGCCGAAGACTTTCCGGTCAATCAAAACCTGAACTACATTACCAATAATTATAAGCAAATTCCCGCCACCTCCACAATTAACGCTTCGTCCAAGTCGATCAAGAAGACTACTACTACCACCTTGCACAAACGGACAACGGGTAACATGAGCAACTCGAAGCAGACGTCCACGGGCATCTTTGGTGGCAGCAAGCTCAGTCAGGTTTCCTCGGTTAGCTCTATGGAATTGCACAAGCTGGACGACAACATGGTCTTGAAAAAGTCCTCCTCAACGAATGTTGTCAATAAAAACAAGCGCCCAATGGGTTCTGCCCAGAGTCAGTTTAGCAAAGAGAACAATCAACAGAAACATATTAACGTTGAGATCATCACAAAGCCACCGATGCGTTCTCGCACTACCCTGGATTTGCGTCCTTCACAGCAAGCTAAAACTCAGGAAAAACAAATTCACGTATGTATTCAAAATTAATAGCTAAGACGCAGTATTTTATATTTTTGATATTACACCAGCAGCAGCCATTGAACAATCGCATCATGATGGATGATCACGATTTTGATGTGCTCTCCAGATCACATGAGGCTGTGCTGCAAGAGCTGAGCAATCGTCAGTCCAGTCTGGACTTGCTGCGAAACGCAACGCGGTGAGTATGGATTCCCTAGTTTTTAAGGGGATTTTAAATAATAATTAACATTTTTAAGGTCCCATGATGTACTAGGCGCATTAAGGCAAGCCAAGAATTGTGGAAAATCCATTTTTATAGACCTTCTCGGAGCCATTCTAGAAAAACCGTATGTTTTATATATGAATTAAAAAACCAAAAGTTATGAGAGTTACATCCTATACTAGATCATCGTGGAACTTGGATTTCTGTATGTTTGTGTTGCCAGAGATTTACGAACTCTTGCAAAGCCAACACAAGTTGTAAGTAGAGATCTAAAGAATAGCCAGTGCAGTCTAATTCATTTGCATTTTTGTATTTAGCCACTTTACAAGGGCCTGTGATACGTTGCGTATTATACTGTCGAACTTCTTGCCGACCATTCAGGAAAACCTTGATTCTTGGGCTGCCAATGGCCTGGGTGTCGACGTGACCCGAGAAGATCGTCAGAGGAAGTGCGCAGAGTGCCAGCGGTGGTTGCTGCAAATTAAGAATCTGCCAGAAAGCACCCACTTTGGATCAACACTGTCACAATTACAGAACATAATCATTTTCTAAGGGCCACGCATATCTTAGCTGTGAATTCTCGCCGGCGTTCAGATCAGCTCTTGAACGGTACAAAGATCGTCAACAAAAGAAAACCACCAGCTTCCCAAAAACCTGATTTAAATACAGTGTCTTGGGGAGTGGCCTCATTTGTCGCTCTAAGCTGCCAAAATAAGGAATTTTAAAAAGGAACAGCTGCTCGAAAACGAGCTCTTCCGAACTCTGTTTATCCAGCATTAAAAACCCTAGGGCCTTTTTTCATAAGATTTGAAATTACGAAACCCTGTATTTTATTTTTCGTTTACAAGCTACTTTCAGCCTACCATAACGATTTGAAAACGGGCCTTAGTTATTTAATGATTGATACTATTAATTTGTTATGGAAACTAATTTATAAAATTATTATTTACATATACCTAAGTCTTATATATTTGAAAATAAATTAAAAAACGATTATAAGGCCAAACTATACAAAGAATATGGGCCTTTACATTGCCCAAAACTTTAAAATTGTGCAAAAAAAATATGTACTATAATTAGTGAAGTAAAGTAAGTGAATATAGACATATTTTGAATATTAACGGCTATGTTATACTAATCAAAATTTTCTGCACTTAGCGTACCAATAATTCCCAATTCGTTTTAGCCCGACGGTAATGAGGTACCCTTCTGGTGACCACCCAGAAATCAGTAAATTCATTTCAAAGTGTGTGTGTTTGCCTTAGTAAAGTGCCTCAAAGTGGTATTCGGGAACCTTATCATGTTTGTGGACTCCAGTAGGATGCAGTGCATTATGAATTTTTTTTGGAAATACCTTCTTGAATTTCTTATGACTTCGATATTTATGACTACACCTATTATGCCAAGAATTGTCTACAGCAAGCAGCAAATCAAGGTATTTGACAATCGTTTATGGAAATCTAATATATATTTGTAGATATGTATATGTTTCCATGATATGAAATGAATAATGCAAGTTGTTTAAAAGCAAGCTGATTTAATTGTTTGGCGAATTGTAACTAAATTTATGGCTTACGTGTATTTAGTGCACAGACGACTGGTATTGGAAAAAGTGTATGGGGTGTGTATATGATGTCTTTTTGTGCAAGCGGTGAAATCGGGGAATGAACTATTGCGGTTCAGTGCGCCAATAGAATGACCAACAAAGCAGTCAGAACAAACGGCTTTGAAGTTCATCTTACCATGTCGCCGAATCATTGTAGCGTTTAATGCCCAACCTTTCAATAGAGTTTTGCAGCGATTAGTGTAGCACTTCTATCTGGCACTCCGAACGCATCGGCTGTACTACTGCATCATGTCCGAGGAAAAGGTCATGCACATTTGGATGAGGTGCTTGATGCCACTGCTGTTGGTCCACTGCATATCTGCAAATCCTAGTTTCGAGGACCTTGGTCGCAGCTTGGATATGGAGGCAAAGGACACTGTGGTGGATACTACGGGAATACTGGAACAAACACAACCCAAACAAATGAATTTCCAGAAGGCACCCATTGGTTACAAGGACTATGAGTACTTTCTGGGCTCTGGTCCTAGACGAATTGGAGATCTATATGGCGCTGACAACGATCTTAGTGCCACATCGGCTCTTAAGATTCACGGCGAAGAAAATTTGGCTTCCTTGAACAGGCCAGTAAGCGGAATTGCCCAAAAGCCGCTCCCTTGGTATGGAGATTACTCCAACAAAATGTTGGCCAATCCACCAATGTATCCCTCACGGTCTTACGATCCCTACATCCGCCGATACGACAGGTGAGTTTGTGCATGAACTATCACTAGCTATAATAAAAATCTGAACTTTATACAAAACTTGGTGCCTATTTTGTTTTTGTATTTTTCATATGTCGACTGTTTTATATTTTTGATTTTCTGGTTTAGTTTCTCTTAAAATATTTCTTTAAAATCAATATTAAAGAAACTTAATTTTGTTTCAGATTCGATGAGCAATACCATCGCAACTATCCGCAGTACTTTGAGGACATGTATATGCACCGCCAGCGATTCGATCCGTACGATAGCTATAGCCCCCGTATACCCCAGTATCCAGATCCGTATGTGATGTATCCGGACCGTTACCCAGATGCCCCTCTATCTCTAAGGGACTATCCCAAATTGGGTCGCAGATATATAGACGAACCCATGGCTCCCATCGATTCCTACAGCAGCAGCAAATACGCAGCATCATCGAAGCAATCTGATTTGAATTTTCCAGCCCGTAATGAGCGGATCGTATACTACGCCCACCTTCCGGAGATTGTCAGAACACCGTATGATAGTACTTCGCCAGAGGATCGCAACTCAGCTCCTTACAAGCTGAACAAGAAGAAAATAAAAAATAACCTGCGACCTTCAACGAGTAATGCTACCACCTATAAAATGACGTTGTAAGAGAGAAATTTAGCATTTAATGCATTTTTTAACGCATTATTCATCAGCATTTTAATCATAAAACTAAGCACTAAGTTCAGAGTTTCAAATATTTTATTACATTTATGCAATCACATCATAAAATTAAAAGTAAACTCAAAATTAGGTGAAAGCAAATTGATTGGCACAAACCCTGCATTCTATATTTTATAAATAAATTTAAGATTTTTTTTTTGTTACTTTTCATAGGTTTTAATATAAGATTTCAATTTTTTTATCATCATAGATTATATTGAAAAGAATCAAATTAAAGAATACAAATGTTATATCTTTCTTTGATTCTTTTTAACAGAAACGTTCAGTTTCGTAAGAACTATTTTTTTTGAAAATATTTTTTAATGAATGGAAATAAACTTAACGCAAAAATGGCATTCATTGTAAACTAAATGAGATGTCAAAAAACTCGACAAGCTAATAGAAACCATTCACATGTTGCCAACTTCTGTTGATTTTTGACCAAGTTTCATTTGTGGATATGGATTTATTGAAGACCTGGCAAAATAACGTTCATCGGCTTGGAGATCCCCAGAGTCTCGTTAATTACGCAACGCCATTACTTTGACTTTTGTTTTGGGCTTGGGGATATTCAAGTTTTGCGATTTCTGTAATTTAACTTTTTTGCTGTCTCCACAAGAAACAAGAAGCACCAGTAAATATGTACAAACATGCATACATCTACCAAATACATACTCACATGGAAAAGGCCAAAAAGGCCATTCATCCTGAAGGTTTATGTGTTCTGTATGTTTGTTTGTTTGTTTGGGTTTTGTTCTCGTTTTCGTTTTTGACATCAGAGAAACAGAAGAGCTATTATGGTGCCCAATACCAGCGACAACAAATACTTCAGTAATGCATGAACACGTACAGCTAATTAATGTCCTTTTTTCTGTTGCGGCTAAAGATGCTTGGGGAGCATCGGTCGATGTAATTGCCAATAGTGAAAAGCATGCAGCGCTAAAAAGTACGCTATGTTTTGTCAACAATTAACACTATGGCCATAACAATCAAAAGATGGTCTAAGACATGACAAGATATAAAATTGAAGTTACCTCCTTCGATATTTTTGATTTTAATATATTTATATTATATTTAATAGATGAGGTCTTTGAAAAATGGCCAACAAAGAATTACATTTTCTTTCATTTTCCAGCTAAACGATTTTATAAACTTAACTGTTTGAACTTTTAAGGAACTGAAGTTTAAGTAATCATTTTAAGCCACAAATCAAACTTGTGTTATCAATAATAAAATTTAAATGCAATTTTTTCTACAGATAATAATCCATGATCTACATCTATTTATTATCTAACTTTTAGGTTTGGTAAAGTTAGGGCATCTTCACGTCAACTAAATGGTAATAGGTACAAAGATATCTTCCCTGCCTTTGTCCATTTTACGTGCTGTGCTTCGTTGTCCCTTTTCTTTGGCATTTCCGTGTTATTACTCACAACTTGACACGGACATTTTCACAGGTCACAGCCACGCACACATGCACACACACCCACACAATTGCCGTCCTTGTGGGACATTTTGCATGACGATGCGAAGGTCTTGCGATGGAATTGGAACTGGAAGGGGCTGGCCACCTAATGAGCGCACACCACCCATCGAATGAAATGTTGCAGGCGAGAATGGATTCGTACAGGGCAGGTCAATCATTAAGTGCCCGAAATGAAATAATAGAAATTCAAGAAATGCATTAGCTACAAATTTTAATTGCTTGGTATTTATTTCCAAACTTTGTTCTGGAAATGTTATGTTATTAATTTCTAACAAGAAATCTTTCGAATTTTCAAAAACTTATAATTTGTTGCCCTCTGCTGTATAACCAAAAGAACAAGGCAATTCGGCTGCTTTGTGGATCTCGGGTTCGGCAAGAAAAACAATAACAATGATGCACGCGATACTTAACAAACTTTTGCGCCGGGCGGCTCCATAATTAGAATCATTGAAATAGCCATTCAACGTTCATTTGCTCTGACAGGGAAGTCGGTCGTCTTGGCCAGGAGGATGGCTGAGTTCGAAATGACCGTGTGCCTTTTTGGGGAGGAGGTGAAAACGATGGCCAAAGAGCACGACATATGCCTCATGATTTTGGGGGCGAACACCACGACGAGTGGGTGTATTTCGGAGGTGTTGCGGCAAATGAGAAAACAATGCCCGAATAACGACTCTCCGATGTGCATTAAAAGATTTATTTCCCTGCGAATAAATGAAGTTTTTCTTTATGGCCCCCGGTCTTGCCAGCATTTCCACTTGGCTGCTGTTTCCGCCATGCAGTATGTGCTACTGATTTTGACTATCCATGTGGCATCCTCTGGACATCCTGACCATCCGACTGACCGACACACCTTATGGAGTTGTAGGCGTACTTTGATGGGACATAAAGTACGGCCACAGCAATTCATTCACTCCTTGCGGAGTATTCTCGATGTAATCGCCAAATAGTTAAATTCGCTCTAGTTACTTATTGTTTTTTTGGGATGAGGTGAAGTAGCATCGTTCGCAATGCCTTTTCCGCATCCACATGTCAACAAATCACCGGAAATTTATATGTCTGCCCGGAGTAGACTTGCACGTAATTAGGCAACCCCAAAGGTACGGACCACATAAAGCAACCTATAAAAATTCCAGTTCCCTATTAGAGTGTCAACGCTGGAGTGGCTAAAGTTGGTTGCCTTTAATTGATGGAGTGGCGGCAAATGGACTGGGGATGTGGCCAACGAAGCTAATCATCTCGTAGAGTAAGTACTTCCCAGTTTCTTTGTAAAGAAGTAACATTAAAGGGGTTTCTTGGTGGATCTTATTTTGGAAGGACTTATTAGTAAATTTACCTTAAACTATGATGCTTCCTCTTCTTGTTAGCATTTCCATTCAGTTTTAAGGCCATTTATATTATTGCTATTATTTTTATATATGTACATAATATATATAATAACCCAGATAATACCAAGAGCTCTGAAAGTCAAAGGATGGATGATGATATACAACCTAAATTAAATATGTATCTTATATTTAGCAAAAGTTGTGCGAAATGTTCATTATAACACCTACGATTGGCCAACCTCACTGCATTCTCATTAATAATATTGTTCATTTTGATAAATTCAGGCAGTGTGGGGATGATAAGCAGTTTGCTTGACCCTTGTATCGCCAGGATGAATAACTGCTCACTTATTCTTATTTGTAATTACCAGTTGGCCAGTTGCCCAGTTGGTCAGTCAGTCAGTCTGTCCCAAAAGCGGTGTCCCATCTGGTTGCGTGGTGCAAATATGGCATACATATATACGAGTGTATCCTTCGTCCTCCGAATCCGTTGTGTGGTTTTGGTTTGAGGAATTCAAGGGTGGGGCGGTATACATAATTGTGGAGGGAGTGGTGCTGCGTGCGGTGTGTGTGGGCAAATGCAAAACCTATAAATCTTTATCCAGTCCGAATTATTGATTGGCACTGGGCCAGGGAACACTCCGGACACCCAGGACACACGCAAATGGACATATGCTTGGGCAATATTACGAATATTCATGCAAGGAAAAACCGGTCAGTAATGTCAAATTTAAGAGGGCGTGTGTTGGCCCCCTCAGAACATTGGCTTGGAACTCCACCCTACTGTTCCGATACGATAGAGATTACAGACCAACTCCCAGGACGAAACCGAAACTTGTTCGACGTCCCAATAATAGGATAAATAAATAATTCAAATAAATAACGCCGAAATAAAATCAAATGCAATGACGAGTTATGATGCCAAGCCACTGTCTCGTACTTATATACATGTATATATATATATATATATATATGTGTATGTTATATCTTGTGTTGTTTGGCTATGTGTCCCGAATGATTGGGGAGCTCGTAAATCACCGACAAGGGGCAGATCGCATCCCTTGGCCCTTGATTAGAGCTAGAAAGGGGGAACAACTAGTGGCAAAGAGCCCCTGGCCACTCAAGTGTCAAGTGCCATGGGCATTCAGAATAAACAATACAAGTACGTACCCTATATCTATATATATATATCTTGTATCTTCTATGGTTTGTCATAAATATTCTCTCATGTCTGTGTGCGCAAAAAATTTATCATTTGAGTCAAGTTTTGTTAATTATTTATGTTGGCCATGCCTCATATTTTGCGATCTGATTTATGTGCCCCTCCCCCATAAGCAAGTTTTTGCCTTGGGACTTGCGTGACATGTGACATTTTCATGACAAGTGCTTCATACTGAAGCAGCGGGCATTAATTTAGATAAACAAACTGATTTATTGTATGGCCATCTATCCATGGAGTCCAAGCCATACCATATCCATTCCATTCCTTTCGTTACGTTTCGACTGGGAAATGGCCAGAGTCGTTAGTGAGATTCGATTCGGTTTTTGGGTTCGATCTCTCTCTCTTTTGGTGAAGTGCAATAAAGTCGAATTTAATTGCCCGTTTGAAATGAGCAAACTTAATGGACAATGACTCATTAACACTGACACGTCAAACAATAATGGCGTGTCTGGGATGTTTGCCAAAAAAAAAGAGAGAAGGAAAAGCGGAAAGGCGGAAATTGAAATAACGCTTCCTGCGATGGCGACGCACTATACAAGTTTATATGTTATACATATATGGAGCACGTCCAGGTCCATGACAAAAGCCCGCCTTCCACATTGGCACATCAAAAGGACTCTCGCACAAAAAAAAGCAATTAAGCGTTGAAAGCAATCTTAAGCGCTACTGACGGTGACAGTAAAGACAAAAGGGAGGGTGTGCCATGGTGTATTCCAGAGCTACTCCTCCATGTGAACTTCGATGTCTGCCGAGTGAGTGGAAGCCCTTAAGGATGTGACATGAAATGCTTATCAGCAGGCACAGGCACGACGCGAGGGCACTGGGAGAAAAGCCAATCTAAGTCACGATTGGTAAGCCCCAAACTATTTATAAAAACCTAGTTAATAACGTTAAAGTAATTCCGAATTTTGATTTTTGATGTTCGATTTTTATATCAAACCATATTTCTTTGAAAAATAGGGCTTTACTTAATATTATATTATTTAGAAATGAAAGTATTCATCAATATGGAAGTATTCAAAGTTATATTATCAAGTAATACTTACTTACAACATGTCTAAGTCTTAGATGTTGATACTTATTTTCTGTCTATGTAAACATCCAGTTTTCCATGAAGGAAAACCCACCCCACACACACAGCTCACCCAAGACAGTACGCCTAGGAAATTAGTTTTCCCACAGATAAAACTCTCTGTGTGTGTCAATTAAGCAGGCAATGGACAATGGACGAGGGCCAACCCATCCGCATCGAATGAGTTCGATCAAAATGTAGCTGGCGTAGAGCTCTTTAAATGTTTCCTTAACCCCAACACCCCATCGTCC